CGCACCTTGCTCAGGACCTGAACGCCGACTTCGACTTCTAGGCTCGTACAAAGATACCCCGTCTTATGAACAACATGCATGATCCCGGTACCCATATACGCATTATCTCAACCGGACCTTACTAGGGCATGAAATGGACTTCGTCTTGCACACCGATACACTAGAACCACCTCCTACTCTGTTATGCTGGCATGCTGTTCTTTGCTGTGAAATGCTGCTCGCTCGTATACCCTTGTAGTTTTAGATTCCTTGTTTGCTCTGCTCAATGCTTCCCGTCATGTACGTAACGAAAGTCTCTTGCTATCATCGTGCTATGCAGTTCTTGTGTTTTCGCACTTGATGTTCACTGCAAGGCACGGCACTCAGGCACCTGTCCGCTTAAGCAACCAGCGCGATTGGGGGGCGATGCTGTGGTACAAGTTGTACTTAGCCATCAAACCCTCGTAGCTCAGAATATCGGTCGGTACCGGGCGGTACACTCAGGGCAAGGTATACCAAGTTGACGTGACTTGAAATTGCATCCGTTAGCAAGTCCTGAAATGGAACTGTGCCTTCCTTACTTGACGTGCGGCTTCCCGTCACCGCTGACGGCCTGGCCTGCAGCCGCTGACGGCCTGCAGCTGAATGTGCAGAGCGGGCTTTCTGGGCTCTGCACAGCCGACGCATGGCCTGTGCGCCGCCCTTGCACAGAGTCACCGACTTGTATAACACGATGACATTTGGCCACCGGCGAGGCCGGTGGTCCGTGCGCACGCGCGTACGGTGTAAATGTCCATGAGTGACGCCCGGCGGACTCGCACGCGGAGTCGACCGCAGAGAAATCCGAGGCTATGAGCTTCCACCTGCATGGACAACCTCGGTCTTAATTTAAGACATACATCGTGGGGTGCTTTGGGTGGGCTCGTTGAGCAAGTGGAAATGAACGCGCCGGCACTTTGCGAAGGACCGCGGGCGCGCGGGAGTGTCATTCTCGGTATGGTACACTCACTGCGGCACTGCATGATCTCAACATTACGATGATGCGTTTCAGATGTCTTCGCGCACTCCCACAACATGATATACTCCCTCGGCGTCCTTGCTCTCTTCCACAAGCCGTATATTTCTGCTGGGCATCCGGGTCTTGTCGCGTTCGTCGTCGCCATCACCGCCCCAGCTGTCACCGCCCACACGCCGTCGTCGGGCACTGTGTGGTTCAGGTACGCCGATTGTGCACAGCCATCTGTCATTCCGAGTCCGGGCGACACCCTGCAACACCAAGCATCCAATTCATCGAGATCGCAGGGCTTCGGTGCCGCCCATTCGCTAAAGGGCGCTGCTTGCTCGACCACCATCTTCCTGCTGCACGCTGCCCTCGCCGCCTGTGACCCTTGACTGAAGTACTCTCTGTACAACCCACCTCTCTGCACGCGCCGGTCTCGTCAGAGGAGGTAGCAACTATGAAGATCGGGCCGAAGCTCGGACCCAGGGTCCTCCACAGACTATCGCTGCCAGCGACACCGGAGCGGCCCCAGCCTCCGCGGTCGTGCAGGAAGAAGGCGCTCCTCATCGGCATCAACTACAGCATGGAGGAGTCGTCGCTGAACACCGAGTGCATGGAGCTGGAGGGCCCGCACCGGGATGCGCTCGGCATGAAGGCGCTCCTCATCGGTGAGTCTCGAGTGCCTTCCTACGCCTGCTCAAGGAAGCTCATGCCACCTGGCGAGCAGAGAATTACGGGTACAGGGAGGAGGACATCGTACTCATGGTGGATCTGGAAGGTGTGGACCGGATGAGGAGGCCTACGCAGAAAAACATGGTACGTAATAATCATCATTGCCCATCGTTCATTCCGTGCCTAATTGCGATACTAGATGCGGGAGATCCGTGCTCTTGTGAGGGGCGCCCAGCCAGGGGATCGCTTCGTGTTCCTATGTTAGTGATTTCTCGTCTTACTGTGTCCCGTACCGTGAACTGACTGTGTGTCATGTAGTTTCGGGGCACTCGGACCAGATCCCGTGTCGAGATCACACCGAGGACGATGGCTTCGACGAAGGTGCGGTCTTCCTCGATCACCATAATTGACTCGACGCTGACAGAGCGTCGTGGGCAGTCCTGCTCCCTATGGACTTCGACGGCAAGAGCAAGCACAAGCTTATCGTCGACAACGTGAGCATTCCTCGTCACCCACACAGTCGATTACTTACTGGTATGGAATCAGGATCTCGGAAATGGCTCGTCGATCCACTCCACCGGGTGCCCAACTCATGGTGAGCACATATCCAACATGCCTGCGTCGATATGAAGGCTAATCGCGTGTGCAGGCGATCCTCGATGCATGTCATTCCGGCACCTTGCTTGGTATGTCGATTGCTAGGAATGCCGATCGACCGATTGCTGATGCCTACGCAGATCTGGACCACTACGACTGCAACAAGGTGTACTTCCCGTGGGTCTCGCTGGGTAGCCGGGACGCGAAGACGCGGCATGTAGACGTCGGTGCGTTGCGTCCTTCCGATTCGTCTCTCGACTGCGTCTGACACCTTCGTCGCCCTCAGTGCGCAGAAACGATACCTGTGGGTCCTCTGTTAGTAAACACGCTCGCGGAACTCACGCCCCCCACCAGTTGCCCCCGTCCTCCAACAGAAGACTATCCCTGCAGCGCCTCTCGACACCCTCTCCCCACTCCCCCGCTCCCCGCTCTCCCACTCCCCGCTCCCCGCTCTCCCCACTCCCCGCTCCCCGCTCTCCCCGCTCTCCCCCTCCAAGACCATCCGGCACTCGCGTTCGCTACACCACAAGGCGCTGAAGCGGGCCGAGCAGGACCCAAGCGCGGAGCAGCGCGCGCTGCGGCGGCGGCGGACGACTGTGTCCGTCGCAGCGTGGGCGGCGGTCAAGCCCGCGGCAGAGGTGTTCAGGCAGATCATACCCGCGGCGCTGTGCATGTCGCCGGTGTCGTATAGGAAGTGCGATGGGGAGTGCCCGGTGGGGGCGGCCGCGGGGGTGCCGCGCGTGGTACGTGTGATCTGTGCACTGTCAGGCATGCTGGAGGGCTTATATGTTATGATGTCGGTGTAGATTTCGTTGGCGGCGTGTGGGGACTCACAGTACACGTGGGAGTACAAGCGGGGGCAGTCGATGACCCAGGTACGGCAACCGAACTCTTGTGTCCGCGAGTTCTGCTGACAGTGCTTGTCCTGGTACGTATAGGATTTGATCCAGGAGCTCAAGGAGAACCCGCAACCGAAGCTCCACGATCTCGTCACCAAGCTGGGGTAGGTGTCGGTCGCCGTTGTACCTGTGATTCACGTTCTGATCTGGGGGGCTCGTCAGATACTCGCGGTACGACGTGTCTCGGTTGCTGCACGGCGCAGCGAAGAGGCAGCGGGAGGCGATCAAGAAGGGCGCGCAGCTGCCCTATCTGCTCGAGGGTGTCAACTTCCAGGACATCCAGGTGAGCCCTGTTACGCTTCCCTGATTTGTTCCGGGGGATGCTGACGTCCGTGCCTATTCTAGCTTGGTAGCCAAGAAAGACTGGTAAGCGAGCTCCATGTTCGTCCTGTGTAACTCGCGCTCATGTTGAACGCAGGATATGGAGATGCCCTTCGAGTTTTGATTTATATATCTTTCCTCACGTCATCGTCCCCCTAAGCGGGACAAGGAACTACATCTGCATCTCTTTAACTTATTATCTGCATGAACTCAGGATTTTAGCCCGTACTCGCTCGCATAGTCACCTCCGCACATTTATTCTTTGTTGTCTGCTGCACATCTGTATCGTTAAATGCAATAATGCATGTTATGCTCTTCACAAGTAGTCTAATCTACATACCTAGGTAGTTTGATAGGAACTGTACTGTACGCGCCTCTGCCTGCCGGCAATGCCATTTATTTACGCCTGCGCTGTCCCTCAGGCTGGCTGACTCGAAATTCCAAGCTACTGACCTTCCCACGTGAACCGCACCCTTCCCAGAAAGGCAGGTATCATGGTTCGCGCTGTCGGTGGCGCTGGTGGCCTTCTATCCAGCTATCAACTCGCTACAGCCGCACCCCGACCTCAAGCTCAGCTCCAGTCCGTTGGTCCTCTCATCTGTGCCTATGTGCTGTCAGGCTGTGCTCGATACAGCATCGCCTGCGAGGCCAGATGACTGTCATGCTGTATCTTCGCCGTGATTGCGCGGTGTCCTAGTAGCAGACATCCACTGGCAAGCGCTCCTCGATCTGCGAGCGGCGTGGGTCACGGTCTACGTTCGATTTGGACGCAATCAAAGGCGATTTGGACGCAATCAAAGGCTGTCCTGTCGGAGAAGCAGTTGCACCGTAACTCTGATGATGTTGTGCCGATGTGTCGCGCAAGATCAATGAAGATTTGCCGTGGTATGTTGGTATTCGGTAGCACACCCGTTTCAACAAAAGCTCACTGTGATCTGGTCCGTTTGTCGGTCTGCTTGGTCTGCTATATTTGGATGTTGTGCAAAGCGCAGATGGCCATGGTGCGGGAGGTAAGCCTTGTCGCGTCGTATTTTCTTCTGCATTGTGGAGTTAACATACCCAGAGCGATGACAGACACGTCACGCATTGACAAGATTTGCACACTTTGCGATAGAATATGTGCGTCTATCGTGCATTACTGAACTGTATCGCCTTTTCAACCGTCAACTTCTGTCCAGATACACGTGTGCGAGGGACAAAAATAAAACCTTCTGTGCCTAACGCCCGCTAGTCCAGTGTCGTGCTATACTACATGACTCGCACGCCAACATCTACAAACTGCATGGACTCGGAGCTGACGAAATGAGGTGCTGTCGACATGCCGTTGACAATGAAGAAGAGATGTGCCCAAGGACCGCACCGAACATCACGGCGGTGCAATGTCAAGCAGACCGTCTGACGGGAGGCATGTGCGTGGACCACACATGACGTGCTCGCTGTTGTCCTCCTCTCTTGCCCGTATCTCGGACGCGCGATACTGGCACCGCCTACCCTTGTCCCTTCACACTTCTAACACAGCCGTCTCATCCGCCGAAAGCTCGAAGCGGCTGCCCCCGCCACGAATCACAGCCGCAGCCCTGCGATACAGCTTTAGCAGCGTCGAAACGCGACCCAGCAGTATGGAACGGGCGGCAGAGTACCAGGACTGAGGCCGAGTTACAGAGATCCCTGGCACTCTCTGTTTAGGACGTTACTAGTGAGATTCATTGCTGACTCGGACTGTTCTCACACTGAGTAATTGCGATTGGGACAGTGTTGCTTGACACGACGAGTCGAAATCATGGTGATCAATAAGGGCATAACCTCTGACGCGAGCGGGGCTGGATTAGGCCCCATGCAAAGAAAGGAAAATACATGACCGCAAGCTGATTGTCAACCGGGCTTACGTCTGGGTTTTCTTTACATCGGTGCTCGGAAGATCTCATCGTTGACCCATGCCGGACCCCCTCGCCAGGATCCTGCACTTCGCGAAACAACCCGATTTGGCCTCGACGCCCATATCGTACTCAACAACATCAGGGTTTGAGCAGTAAGTGTGAAATTATGGTCTACGTCCGCATTTGCCTCTTAGTACCCCGCCAGACTTGTCAGAAGACCTTGGGAAAACCCGAAGGCTGTGCTTCTGCATCCCGTCGGCGGTCCCTTTTTTGGCAGTGCGGCGCAATGATCCCTGCCGTTGTCTTCTTATAAGCTTCCTACCTGGCCCGCCCTGCCATACGTAAGCATATACGTTCCAGTGCCACACTGACTGGTGACTTCAAGGACATAACGCAGCCCCGGCGCGTAGTTCTTCAAGACACTTATATCTGGTCCTCTTCCCCTTGCCCCACAGCAGCCACTGCCCGCCGTCGGGTGTTACCCGATTTGTGTCAAAGACGCCTCAATCTCCTTGTCCCATATCGGCCCCACACAGACGACCTTTCCCTCGTCCCCCTTCTTTCCACCGCACCCCTACCCAACGACGACCCAATGGGCAATCCTGATCGCCCTCCCCAGAAGAAAGCCTTGCTCATCGCCAGCAAGTACATCTACAACAAGCAAAGTTCCATCGCATCGAACGTCGACGACACGCAAGCCGCCGAGGTGCGCGAAGGTGCTAGCACTGCAGGACTCGGAGACCTTCTGCCCCGCCGCGCAAACCTCGCGTCAACGGTTGACCCAGCTTTATTGGTTAACCCCTGCAGGGATGCATGGAAGTGGAAGAAGCTACTGATTGGTCAGTGCTCGCTGATGCCAATGACGGTCGCGCCGACTTGAAGTAACTTTGCCCCTCGGCAGACATTTTCGGCTTCTCGGAGAACAGAATCCGCACGCTCGTCGACGAAGAGCATGACTGTCCTCAGGGCTCAACTCCTTGTCCGCCACCAACTTCTGCTGTCGGTTTGGATGAGGTTCATCAGCCCAACCCGCGCATGCGACCAAAGAAGGTCAACATCGTAAGGCTTCATGCCCTCCTTAGATCTCCTTGACTGAAGGATGATTCATACCTTGCAGCTGCGTGAATTGCACGAACTTGTGAGAGATGCAGTCTCCGGCGACACGCTGTTTTTATTCCGTGAGTAGTAATTTCACACTCGGCAAACTGTCTGAAATGTTTTCTAGTCGCCGGACACGTCAATCAATTGACTTGCGATGAACATACTGAAGCAGATGGCCAAGACGAAGGTAGAATGATTAGTTCGTGATTATATATGCGGTACTGAAGGAAGCTCCCTGTAGCGTTCATACCGTCGGATGCATTTCGACCATGGGAATGTTTACATATCCCTTCTGTACGACGTGCAGAACACAGCAGTTGGCTCAAAGATAATGTATGTGGCTACAGTTTTCCTGCTGTCATACTGGTGCCTTGACAAACAACCTAGGACTTGAAGAAGATACTTGTGGATACCCTCCCAAAGGGTGTTCGACTAGTTGTACGTACTAAGCATATCCCTGCACTCTTCTCACCAACGAATCATACTATAGTGTGTTGTCGATGCGTGCCATTCGGGGACCTTGTTCGGTAAGTGGAGCGATTGTGCTCTCATTGCCGAGCGGAATGTGATTATTCTCTCTAGACCTACCACACGGTCCATGCAACGCCATCCGAATCACTGCTAACCGTCGACCTAGGACTTATCTTACCAATGCCTCGTATCGGCCCCTGTCTCGACAATCATCAAACACTCAGTCGTTGCGACAAGGGACTCTGTGCAAGAACGTCTTCTGCTCTCGACGTCAATCAGCAGCGATAGAAACGGCACCTAGGGATCTGGGTCTAGCCAACACTTTGCACAGCAAGGAGAATCTACCGTTGGCTGTACACACAGACCAGAAAGTCCCTCAACGGCGAAGCTCGACCCATGACTCCTGCGCGCAATGTAGCTGCTTCCCAACACGAGATCCGTCACATAGCTTGGGAGCTGTGGATGCCAACTCAAGCCCCATCACCGCGGACTCGGAAACCGAGACTCATATATGCGAGTCCCCGACTATAATGTCGTCGTCGATCTCATTGGCCAGCGAATCGTGTGGCGAGTGGTGCAGGCCCGATCCCAGCTTTGCCGGATCCCATGTCGTATGTCATGCATGCCTCGTGAAGACCATGGCACTCAAGGGACTGTAGGTCACAATATCGGCGTGCATGGATGACCAGGAGGCTTGGGAGAACCAGAAACTTGGCGGCACCCTGACACAAGTAAGTTCTCGATCTCTGACCATCACACGCTGGTGCTGACGACACGGCCAAGGTTCTGGTCCCATTTCTCGGTGTGTAACACGTACCCAACCCAGGCCATGTGTCTGTGTGCTGACTTCCCTTGCAGCGAAGAACCCGAAGCCAACCTACCGAGCACTCATGACGCATACGAGGTATGTCGGGATGCTATGTCCGGCTACTAGTGCTTTGATACATGTTCTCATTGGTTCGTCATTAGCTCTGCTCTCGACAAGATCGTCCATAAAGCCCACGATAGATATCGTAGGAAGCGAGACGCGGGTATCTCTCCTCAGACCATGGCATACCAAGGCCCGGGCTACCAAGACCCTCAGGTGAGCGTTCATACTATGCGTTGCGTCATGATCGCTGATTATTTTCTCACAGCTATGCAGTACAGCGCCGCTGGTGAGTGAACCTTGCTATGAGTTCCGCTAGGTCTGTCGGCAGCTGATTGATGTTCTTCCCAGGACTTGGATCAACCGTTTATTCTTTGACCACCCTGGCTCATGCCGCACTACGATTTCGATGCTTTCACACTTAGAAACTATCAGTTTTGCTGACTTCCCCACCAAGGGCCCTCGTTATCTATTATTCGACCGATACAGCGACTTCAAGTTATACCCTCTTATACCATTTCGAACCCCATATTCCCGTATACCCCCGTACGACGCTTGATACCCCCATGTACTGTGTTTCTGGTTGATTATGAAGTCTACATGTATCCATGTGTTCTCTACTTTGGGGTGTGGAGGGAAACCACTCACCTCTTGGGTAAAACGATGATCTCATCGGATGCGCTCGAGGAGATTTCCCGAGGGAGCGTCGCGTTTTAGCTTTCAATGTTTGCCCTTTCGGTTCACCTCCTCGAGCGTGTGTTCCCAAAGCCGCTCCCTAGCCTCATCCGTGCCGTAGTATCTCTTCTTCCCCATGTCATCGCCTTTGTTGTCCCGGCGAGAAGACCCCGGTGGGCTCTGCAGCAATGCATACAGCATGCGTTCGGCGCAAACGTCGGGCGTGGCGGAGACAGGGTAGAGCAGCACCTTGCCAATGCTGCCCATAAGTGGCGTACGTACGAGCCCAGGGAACGCGTGTACGAATGACATCCGTGGCTCTAGTTCTGCGAAGCTCTGCATCGTTATGAGGGCGTGTCGAGAGGCACACTTGTGTGGGTACTCACCTCGATCATGAGGTCGTTGTACGTCGCCGCGGACGTGAGAGCCTTTAGAGGATTGTATCTCTTCTTCAGCCCGAGGTCATCGAGATCCACCTTCCACCCCGAACCAGGACCCAGGATGGACATGACCCTCGCCTCCTCTCCGGCGTCCTTCGCCTTCTTCAGCAGAGGAAGGAGGTCGTAGATGAACTTCCATCGCGCGTAGTAGTTCAGCGCGAGCCTCTTGTCGATCCCTTCATCAGTCTCGTCGCGTCCTCTGAAGTCCATGAAGCCAGTAGAGAGCACTAGAAGGTTGACTTTCGGTAGAGACGACAGTAAGGAGGACGTCGTCTTCTGTACGTTCTTCATCTGGAAGATGTCGCTCTCCACGAAGGAATGAGAGCTCCTTAGACCGAGTGAGGTAGGCTTCGGGTAGGACTTGATGGTCTGTTCTGCAGCCGAGCGGTTGCGACCGCACAGAACGATGTTGCTGTTCCCTTGCGTGTAGCCGGCGAGTGCGCGAGACAAAGCTTGGCCTATACCAGAGGTTCCGCCCACGAAGACAGCAACAGGTGGTCGGCTGAAAGAGAACGCTGCGTTTGCCGTCCGTACTGCAGAAAGAGTCGGCATTTCTGTTGATTTCGAGCGATGACAAACTTGTGTTACGGGATCCGCTTGCGAGCGAGGGTACAGAGCTACTAAGGTGAGCAAATAAACTTCGTAGCAGGTTTCAGGTTGAGAATGTTGGTCACAGTGCGATGTCGTCGAGCAGAGGGAGGAGCGCGATGGCCGACGCTCCGCCACCCGCCTTGATGCGCCCTCGGAGAGAGCCGAAATGAACCTACCTGGTTCTATCTCGCACACTGATTGATTACCTCGACAAGACTTGCGGTCGACCACGACTCTTCCTGCTTTTCTGCGTCTAGCGGCCTCCATAGCCATACTCTTCGGCATCCTAGAGCTTGAGTCCTTGGCACGTATACACCATGAGCAATAATGATGATGTTAGCGCATTGTTGGAAGCAATGCAGCTTGACCCAGACATGAGTCCTATCGAGGCTCGTGAACTCATGTCGGCCTTCAGTGAATACATGCAAGCCAGGGAACCTGACGGTGTGTCATGGACGTGGCTACGATCGTATTTGACACTTAGACCTCCCGACAGAACGCCAGACGTCGCCAGAGTTGAAAGAAGCCAACAACCTGTTGGATCACAAAGTATACGACGAGGCGCATGCCCAGTACTTGCGGGTTATTGGCTCTATCCTTGGCGCCAACTTCTCCGTCCCGCTTCCTCAAGACCAGGATGGCGGAATGAGGTGCGATAAATATCTGCAACTATCGATGGATGAAAGAGTCGACCTCATGGAATGCTGCAATGGCGTCGCTAAATGTCTTTCTGAGGCGCACAAAGTCACAGAGGTTGGAATCGCATGCCGCCTACAGAATTAGAATGCTGCTGACCGACTACTTTCGCCTGACAGGCTTTGGATTGGTACGAAGAGGTGGACGCCTTGTACAAGAACGCCCGCTTTGCAGCACGTCCCGCGATGTATGGTATGTAACACACTCGTCCGATTGAATACTAGCCATTCATCAGACTACGAACAGATTGGGAATATTACAATCCGCAGCCGCCTCGACAGGACGTCTACGTGCAGCGTCTCAAAGGGCTGGTCGGTTCTTCAGATGCCTTCGTCACCCTGAGGAATACAGGCTCTGCCACGCATCGCAAGTGTGTCGCCGATGAACTCATCAAACACCTCCCTGCCGGTGTCAACACTCGCCCTTTGCGTGCCATCTGCCCTAGCGGCTCCGTGACCGTTCTCATGCAGTTCCGACACCCGGACCCGCAGCTGCTGAAGAACTGGGAGTTGTCAAACGACGATCTCCAAGTCCGCGGCTCGTGGCAGAAGATGAAGATCTCCAGGAGCATCCTTCCGCGCATGGGCTTTGCTAGCTTCATCTGGAAAAGTGCGTTGCTGACCTTTTAAGCCGCGGCGACTCTTATTAAGGTCCATTTCACAGGTCGACTGTACGTTTGCGGCGGGATGAAGGGCGGTACTATAGAGCCCTACCGGGACTTCTATTATATGGACCTTACGAGGCAGCCCGGGACGTGGCGCGAGCTTCAGCGTTTCCCCAGGCTGGTCTTCCTGAATGTACAACTGGCCGTGCACGACAATAAGGCGTACTCGTTCAGAGGCGCGCCTGAACTGGACTTCTTCGACCTCGTCACCGAACGCTGGGGGCAGGTCAAAACACGTTGGGTAGATCAGTCAGGCAAACCTATCCCATGGCCGATTCCCCGCGAGGATCTCACCGACTACGCCATGCATATTATACGGGACGGATGTACGTGTTTGGTGGGTCCGCGCACAAGGCCAAGATGGGGTGCAACCTGCTGGCCGTGCTCGACCTGTCCACGAAGAAGTGGCAGCACCTCTCGGGCGTCGCCGATATGCCGCGCGCAGGCTACGACGTGCCGGGCCCGAGGAAGTACTTCGCGAGCTGGGTGGACGGACCACAGGAGAACATCTACCTGCTGCAGGGTGTGGCGGACAGAGCCGCATCGGAGATGCACCACCAGCCGCAAGGGGCCCACGACTCACACGGATACGACGATTTCTGGAGCTGGAATATCGAGGCGCGCAGGTGGCGCAGGGAGAAGATGGTCGGCAACGTCCCCTGCCCGAGGTCGGAGATGGGCTGCACATATGTACGCCGTCTTACGCTGATCGTGGACCTCCTTTGCTGATTCCTTTGCCGTCCAGAACCCGAGCTTGAACTCTGCCATCGTCTATGGTGGCTACAGCCCCGAGATTCCGACGCTCTTCGCGAACTCGGGGAAATGCTACAGGTTTACGTACTACGCGGACACCTTCATCCTCGACCATTCTTCGCCGACGCCCCGATGGAGGCACGTCGTGCACCAAGGCTTTCCCACTTACCGCGCACAGAGTGTGCTGCTCACCGACCCCGACACCGGGAGGATGTACCTGTTCGGCGGGTACACGAACACGGACCAAGTCCCGTCGCCGAACCACGGGCACACGCGGAGCTTCGGCGACGTGTGGCAGCTCCGCTTGGACGTCCCTGGCGGGCACTTCGAAGAGGTGAACGTGACGGATGACGAACGCAATGCGCGGATGGGTCCGTGGCAGAGGTGCTTCAGCTGCGGCAACACGGGGATGTGGAGGAAATGCGGAGGTGAGTGCGGCATATGGCTGCCCCTCTTGTGAGCTAACGGCGGGATCGATGCTCACGACGAATCAGGAACTTGCAAGGGCCGAGCCTTCTTCTGTGACGACGCGTGCTTGAAGGATGGGTGGAGGGAACACAAAGAGCTTCATAAGTGCCGGAAGAAGTGAAGCCTTGTTCAGTGCACGCTTGGATGTCCCTTGCTCATGTCTGAAGACGTTGGAAGCAACTGCGGGGAGGCCTTGGCGACATACTGTGGTCCGTGAACATTGACTGTGGCCGGAAGTTCAGGTTTACGCACTAGTAAAGACGAAGACAATGTGAATGTAGGAAGATTTGCCCACCAGAACGCTCTGCTCTGGTCGATCCGGTCGACCATGAGGGCTGCTATCGGGTAAACGACGATCAGGCACCGTTGATTTGCTTTGGCCCTCTTATTGTCCCGTGCCACACGGAGACGTCGACTAACCGGACCACAAATTAGCTTCCGCTGACCATAGATGACGCCTTGTGAAGCTATGACCCATGCACAGGAAAGGACCGATCTATGCCTACAGCCTTCCACATCTCGCGAAAGCGTCACAAGCAGAGACAATGCAGTGCCAAGAAAGTCATATTTCGTTGCGACATCCAAGCTGCAAAACAGCCGCATGACGACATACACGCTTTGACCCTCTATCCTGGTCAGTCCATGGTGGCCACTTTGGCCCTGGGAAACACGGAGCATGTACGGTGAGTAGGCCAAACATATAAGAGTGACGTTCGGCATTGACGAAAGTCCCATCCTCGACTCCAACCCCCTCCCTTGCCTCCCCTTGTCGTCCTCCATCCTTCTAGACTCCAACATGGGGCGGAGGCGTAAAACCACTGGTTGGTATCCCAAGAAGAAGAGGACGACGGCATCGGCAAATCGAACCACAGCTGTCCAGCGACGCGCCCCTGGTCTGGACGCACAAGCCAAAGCGCGCCTCAAACGCGGATTTAGTATTTTCGGTTATCCGAGAAACCCATCCCCCGAGGAACTCGAAGAACTCACCGAACAGTGGCGGACGGTGAGACTGGAGTACATTGGGCAAGCCAAAAGGATACTACAAGACATGCAAGACATACGGCCTTTCCGTGTACAGAAGCTCATCCGCAATCTGTGGTGCCATACGGACATCTTGCAGGCGGCCCGGTTTGATTCGACGGTAACGCGGGACGACGCGCTCGCCGAGCCGGTTGCGGAAATTGCGAACGAGGTGGCCTCCGCTGGGACTGTAGAGAAACTGGCGATCGACATCACCCTGGCCTCCCAAGGCTGGCTCTCCGAAAGCACGTCGCGACCTCGCCATGTCATGATCCTGCAAGACGAGTTCCCTGAGCGGGGGTACAACCTACAGTGGAACAGCAAGGTGTTCCTACAGACGACCCACGTCGTAATCGAACCACTCCTGTACAAGTTCTACCACATGCTCCCCATGAAGGGTCTCAAGACGTTGTTCCCGCGGATGCGAGTTTGTTGCATCCAAATCCTTGTGACGGAGGATGTACCCCGGGCCCTCGCGTTCGTCCAGGATATGTTGTTTGTCGTGGAAAAGCTTGTGGTATCCATAAACGCAGTACGGGGTTGGTACTGCTGCCGCGATCAGCCTCTCTGGAGCGTACTCCGAGCATTAGCGAAGACCCAGCCTAAACTCGTTCTGGTTCCTCATAAACTCGACATGAAGCAAGAGTGGAGGAAGATCCTTACTGACCAGAAGAACATCTGGGACGCGGAGGTGGATGAGGACGAGTACGAGAAGCTTCCTACAATAGCCGAACGTGAGGAGTACTGGACGAGGATCGTCAGGAGCGGCATGTGGCACGACAAAGAGAAGGTCTACGTAGAGGAGGAGCTTCTGGCTCGCCACCCCGAGGAAGCGAATCCTGCAAATGCTTCTGCATGGATGGAAGAGGCCCAGAAGCACTTCGACGACATTGCTTTGCCGGGCGCACGTACACCCATTGACGATCTGGAAGCAATATGTGATCCGTATAGCATGATGGGTATTTCACTCCCTTGAATATCGTGGCAGTTTGCCTGACACCCACTCCTTATGTACGTAACTGTACCGTTGGACCTCTCATCGTTGACTGCGTTCTCGCTTTGTACGAATGTTTGTAGTGATTGCTCCAATCATATTATCCTGGACGAGAGACGTCCATCATTTTGAAGAGACGACCGAGTGACTGTGTCGCGGATGCGTCGCAGAGACGAGGACGTACCACAGCACATACCGCGAAGAGTGTCCTCCCAATTGCCTAGAGAATCAGAGGACGTCAGCTGTCTGACCGTCTGCGTCGTCATCGTGTGGACAATGCAAACCCCAGAAACACTGCTCTCCAAACCCGCAACAATGGAGCCACCCGGACTTGTGCGGCGGCAGCGGCGAGCTGTCTTTTGTCCACATCCAGTGGCGGTACCTCTGGCGAGGTATAAAAGGCCTGCTCTTCAGGGGACGGTGCTCCAGCATCTCCTCGTCGCCACACCAGACGATGTCTAGTCATCTACGCCCGCTACGACGAACGCCGCGGACGGCGAAGCTTCGCCCTATACCGTCCGCCGAACTCGGGACCTCCTCCAACTATACTATCCATGATCTACACCACTGCACCATCACGCAACCGCAACCAACGTATCGACCTTCCGCACCCTGGACCAACCGGTCAATCAACCCTTTGGCCTCGCCCGCCACGCCTCCGGGGACACTGTACGATGCCTCCGGGAACACCGTACAGCGCCTCGAAGGGTTCCAGCAGCCGACGACACCCTTTCAAGCGAACGCACAGATATCGCCCCAGCCACGCTGCCACTCCTCGAGCTCAACCGACACGAAAACACCGCTGCGGCCGACGGCGCCATCAATCCAATCGAGTGGCCGTGTCCGTCACTGCGAGACACGGTCTACCGGGTACTCCGCTACGAGGCTGAAGGCGCTGAGATATGCGGGAACGGGGGGGAGGAGCAATCGCCGCGACAACCCAGACTCGCGAACGCACGCTTACCCATAGGGCAGCAAGCGGCGAGAGCCGTCGCTCGTGCGTCACTCCCGGTTCGGTGGGATCGAGCGCTGATTTCTCCGCGTCGACGGACGTGTGCATCTTGTCGACCACCGTGTGCATCTTGCACGCACGCCGGCGTCAACGCCGGCCTGGTTGCCACTGCCAACAGTGCGGGCCCCCCATTCTGCAGCACCAGCACGAGTGTTATCGAAGAGGCGGCTCGTGGGAACTGGAACTGGGGGGGAAGGGTCCAGGTTCGTGGGATCAGAGCGGCGGGCGCATCTCGCGGTGTCTACCTCCCGCGGGTTCCAAGCCGACTCGATATGTTGATGGCGAGGTCTTGGAACACGGAGCGCGATATCCCCCTTCGCTCGGTGAAATTTAATCCTCGCATCACCGGGGATGCAAAGACGCCTGAAGAAAAGCGTTAAGTGCATTCGGGTCAGCGACAAGCAGCGTCCCTTCGTTCGAGCCACTCACCTGCCGCGACGCTCCGAGAAGCTAGTGGTGTGCACGCAGATCGCGCCAGGCCGGTCTACAGCCCATTGTGGCAAGACGTTCCAACGACTTGCTCGCTCTTTTACGTAGTCAGGATACAAGAGCAGAAGACGGACGGCGACATAGATCACCGTGCAGATGGCGTGCCGACGTCTGTGTCGGGGATCGAATCGACACCCAACAATGCCTCACAGCTCTCTCAGGTACGTGTTGTCCTTTCGCTTGTCGTCTGTATGACTGACGGGTTGACTTGCGCGTGTAGGTTCTACGCGACTTGACGCGATCCAACGTGCGAGGAGACGATTGGACCATCGCATTCTGATGGCTCCGTCAGTGAGGGAACCAGGCATCCGTATAACTGAGAACACACGGTCATGAGGACAGCGATGGTGACGACATCATATCCCTTCACGGATCGCGAAGGCGGTCGCGATAGTAAACAGGACTTGTAAGTGTCGAGATCGTATACCATCCGAGGACTGAACTGAAGGAACTCATCAGGCAAACATTCATATGCGTCCATCCGACATCCTGCCTATTGCTTCGACACGGACTGCATTGGGGAGAGCTCGTCGCTGAGCTACTACCCTTCCTTGGCTGGTCGGGGGCCATGATGCAGGTCGACATGCAAATACTGCAGCAGATGCAGGCATATCAGCACCTTCGAGGAAAGTAGGAGATTGTTGCTTACAATACATTGTCAATGGATATCACGACATTTCGGTGCGACGACTTACGAACGACGTCAATCCAACTTCGCTCCTTGATCTGTTCTGTGAGTCAGTCAGAGGGAGCGTCAGGTTCACTGCACTGGTGTGTGGCGAAGGATGTCGTGTATTACAAGCAGCGATCCCGGAGATTGTTGCTTACAATACAGTCCATCCTCGCGAAAGATGGCGGCTCGTCGATGCAGCCTACGAAACATTTCCTGCCAGGTTCCTGCCTGGTCATGACAAGCTTCTAATGAAGACATCAAGTGTAAAGGCAGGAACCGTACTCGATACGCCCCTCTCAGGCCAAGATATACGGTACTTTGTGACCTAGGCCTTCACTGGATGTAGAGTTGAATGTGGATGTCATTGCTCCGGTACATCGATGCGGGACAAAGTGTCGGCAGCTAGCGTTTTGTGGCCTTTGGCCATAGCTCGAGTAATTGAATCACTGAAGACAATTTCAGCCATCGAGAACGGTACACCAGAGAGGATTTATCCAACGAGATGTCGAGGTAAAGACGACGTAGGACCGAGTAGAGATGTGAGGAGGAGGAAAGGTCGACTTCATCCAAATCATCGCGGCATACGAGCGCTCACTCCAATTCCCACGTCCCTCCCGCTGCAGCTGGGTGCCTGCGGTCGTCACGACCTCCTCCTCACCATCGCCAGCGACCTCCGTTCACTCCAAGCCTCGCGCAAGTGCCGCAGCCTGCACCTGTACATTACCGACGCTGCTGGCCATGTCTCTACCGCGCTCGAACTACGACCCTCGACGGGTCTGCCTGAACCCCTTCCCCGCGCTCAACCTGGGCAAGCACCGGCGCACCATTGGGATCTACCTCGCAGGCGGCCTCGTGCGTCCCTCCTCTCCGTCTGCGTCCCCCTCTCACTGACATGTCGTGCATCGCAGTTCGCGCTAGCGAACTGGACGTTCCTGGACGCGGCGATCCTGTCCGCGCACGCGCACGACCCGCTGAACGACGAGGTCGACGCGCCTGTGCACGTCGCCTTCGTCGACTGGGTCCCCGGCATCTGCTCGCTCCTCGGCATGATCGTCATCAACCTCATCGACAAGGACCGCGTCCGCGGCGAAGAGGGCTACGGCGACGGCGGCGCCGTCTGGCGCGCTCGCCTCATCCTGTTCATCGGCTTTGCGCTCATGGCGGGTGGTCTCGCGGGGAGTGTGGTGCGTCGCGCTTTGGTCTCCATGCTCGGGCGAGGGCTTGTGCTGACTCATGTGTTTGTGCTGGAATGCAGACGGTGCTGGTGCTGAAGTACGCGCTGGAGGAGTACCCGGAGCAGTTCCTCTACTACGGCTACGCGAACGTCTCGCAGAACATCGCGCTCATGCTGTCCGCCATCGTCCTGTGGATATCCCAAAGCGTCGGCTCCGAGTACGAGTACAACCTTGCTATCTAGCAGTGTAACTATCTATTTGTCGCGCTCCTTGTCATTGGTGACGCTGTATTGCTTTTGCGCTCTGGCGTATATGCATGTGCTGATGGTAGTGTTTCAGAGCTGAGATGGTTCCAGTAGCACCCTGCGTCTTGTTGATCGCTTCTTGCAGGCTCTCCAGTGAAGTGGAAGACTTACAACAACTCAGCTCCAGTGGAGTGCAGGTTGCGACGCAATTCCGTAAACAGCACTACGGGCGCGGGACGGAGCACGCTAGTCGCAAGCCGTCTTTGTGAGTCCGTCAAGACGTTCGCCCTTGAGCTTGAAGCTTGAGCTCGAAGTTGCTGGTCAACCACACATTAATGCGCACCAGGTCGGTTGTCAGTGCTCATCACGGTCGGCCCGTGACCAATGTCGCATCCCGACGTCGTCATTCACTATTCATTACCGGCGAAGGAGAGGCCTGATCTCTTCATGAAAGCAACAGAAAGTGAAAAGGCATCCAGAGTCGGAGTAAGTAACTGGCTGCAGCCAACCAACAACTTCCGGACCGCAACCAAAGTACAGGCACCTCAGTGAAGTATTGGACGCGCTCGGACCTGATATTGATTCTCTACCCGCAGAATGAATGAACATGGAGAGCGTCATCGTCACACATCGTATGCACGGATTCGGTCAGCTTGCCGGTGGCGGAAGCTGCAGAAGAATACTTACCTAGTATGGAAGGTCGCCTTCCTCATTCGTCCGTGGTTTCCGGTGCGTCACCCAATCTTTGCTCTCCGGTACCTACTTCTCAATCAATATTCAGCTCTGACGTGCTGCAGTGTCGGCTGCGTTTCTTGCTGAACTTGAGGGAGCTGAGGCACCCGACCGACGAGGCCGACGCAAGGGTGACGTCAAACTCTGCGCTCCACGACGAGCACAGAAGGTCATTCATGGCGTCCTGTATGTACGTGTGCCACCCTGCCCCTCATATAAATCGTTAATCCTCCCCATCGCTCTCTTTAAACCATCCATTTTACCCTTCCTCGAGACCAGTACTTAAGCATCACACCAATATGTCGACAATGGCCCACGAAGGAACAACTCTAAAGCAGAAGGTTCCAGCGCAGGAGCAGGACCTACCCGGCCTCCAGAAAGCCATGTCGCCCGAGCCGTTCGACACCTCGCTCGAGACTGGTTCTGGGCCAAACCATACACCGGAGTGGCAAGCTGCGCGGAAAGAAGGCACTCATTACCGGCGGAGAGTAGTCTCTAACGTTCAGCCTCATGGACAAAGTCGTTTGACTGTTCGTTCTGCAGCTCAGGCATCGGGCGCGCAGTAGCGATCCTCTTCGCGCGTGAGGGGCGACGTGACGATCGTACACCTGCCCTCGGAGCAGAAGGACGCAGACGACACCGTCGCCGCGATCCAGCGCGAGGGGCGGCGCGCGCTCTCCGTCGCGTTCGACCTCGAGGACTTCCGCGGCGCGCACGTCGTCATCGACGCGCACCTCGCGCGTTCGGCCGGCTCGACGTCCTCGTCAACAACGCGTCCAAGCAGATCATCGAGCCCGACTTCGCGAGCATCGACCTCGACTCCGTCGAGAGCACGTTCCGCAGCAACATCCTGCAGATGTTCGCGGTCACGAAGTTCGCGCTCCCGCATTTGGAGCGGGGGAGCAGCATCATCAACACGACGAGCGTGACGACGTTCCGCGGCTCGCCGACCATGGTCGACTACGTCTCGACGAAGGGCGCCATCGTCGGCTTCACGCGTTCACTCGCGAAACAACTCGAGCCCAAGGGCATCGTGAGTATCTACACTGCCCTCCTGCCTACATCGAGGTAAATTTTGCGTCCTAGCGCGTCAACGCGGTCGCACCCGGCCCCGTGCACACACCCTTGCAGCCCGCGTCGCGCTCAGCAGAGCAAATGGAGGGCTTCGGCGAGAAGAGCAGCATCGGGCGCGTCGGCCAGCCCAGCGAGATCGCGCCGACGTACGTCTTCCTCGCATCCGCCGAGGCGGAGCTGTACTACGGCCAAATCATGCATCCGTACCCGTTGGGCGACTAGGCTGGTCATCGGGTGACCGCCACAGATTGAAGGGCACGCGGTTTACGCGTAAGGAACCGTATGCGAAGTCAGGCGCAGTGTACGATACGAGGCGTGCCGAAGTCAATTGCATCTGTTGAACTCTTGTGTATGACTGTAGGCGGACACGCACGGGGCGAGGCCCTCGCTTCTTCAGTGATGTGCGCGACATGCAGACACTCACAATGATATTGGGAACAAGCAGCGCAAGGCCGCGACCCACTCACGAAGCACGCATCATCATCTGAGACAGCGAATAAATTATCCCTACGACTCAGGCAATACATCTCGCATCGACTACGGCACTCAGCACTCAGAGCTCATCGGCCGCGCGCGCGACGGTCTCCTCGACCTTCTTGAATGCGCTAATGATGTTTGACTTGATCTTGAGCTCGTCAAGCTTCGCAGGCGCGAGCGTGCGCTTTTGGAGGAGGGTTGCCAGCCTAGAGATAGGTCACAACAATCAGTATCTGCATCAACCAAGGAGCCTCAGAAAACAGCGACACTCACCGCTTGCTCTCCTTCTCGACGTACTCCTCGCTTCCATTCACTACCTTCTCCATGACGCGCACGTAGTGGCTCGCCGCGGGGCCCACGCTCACCGCGAGCGCCGTCGCGTCCTTGTAGATCACGTCCCGCGCCGCACCCGTCGCAGCGAAGAACTGCGACGCGAGTGTGTCGAACTCGGGCAGACGACCAGCCTACAGGTTTCTTTAGCTACATTGCAGGAGGCTGCGAGGAATGGGAGAAACGTACAAGCTCAGTGAGACCACCGCCGACGGTGCGGTGGGTGCCGCACTTCTCGTTCAAGAACTCGACGAAGGCCTCCTCGCTGCGCGGGCCGTCGTACTCGACCGGTGCGTCTGTACGTCGGGGCCTTGATCAGCACTGATGAAGCGGGGAACGGGGACGCGATCATACCCTTGTGGCCCTTGGGGAAGAACTTGAGCGTCGGGAAGCTCTGCACGCCGTACTTCTCCCCGAGAGGCTTGTTCTGGACCGCGTCGGCATCCAGGTTCGCGACAACACACTGGGTCAGAAACCGGTCAGGAACTGAAACCTGCCGGAATACGCGATGAGTAGCACGTACATTCGACTCCGAGGCAAAGTCCTTAGCGACTGGACACAGCATGAAGATATCAACGAGATATATTGGAGTGGTAGAGTGTGGACGACATACCATCGTCCCAAGTCGGCTTCAGGCGCTTGCAGTGACCGCACCACGGCGCCGTGAACGATACCAGAACGTCCTTGTCCGAGTTCTAATGTGAATCGTCAGCGACACATCGAGAGGCCTATGGATGAACGCTACACACAATGACAACGTCGTCGAAGGTGGTGATGTCGAGGATCTCGTACGCAGGAGGCGGGGGAGGCTTGACGCTAGACTTTACTCCGGACTTTGTTGAGATGCTGGCAATGTATTGTCAGCGAATCGGAGATAGTGATCATGGGAAGTATGAGCATGACGAGACGAAGCATCAGAATCTGGTTTGTGTCCGCACGAGGAGAGCCGAAGACTCTCGACTTCGAAGATACATTATGAACATCATTTGCAACAAGAGCCTGGCGCACAGCTGCGGACCAGCTTTCGGGTGTCATCTGTGTCCATGCTACGCAGCACACACGGGCATGTCAAAAAGTCACAACTTCAGGCATGCGCGTCAGTCTAGCTCGCCCTTGTGCTGGCTTTCATGTTCAAGGTCGTACCATGGTCAGCAGCGGCGAGGGGAATGACCGAGGTCAGAACGTAGCCGCCTGCAATATGACCTGACGTCTACCTGCGTATGCTTGAAGCATAACAGAATGGGAGCTACGGACTCCCGAGAGGACCGGAGGAGGACAGCCGAAGCTTGGTTTCACAGGGATTGGTCACTCACAAGTTCACCAGATCGTCAAACTCCCGACCACCCTGGTAATCCTCTGGCTCTCCGCCTTCCGGGTTGAACCACTTCAGCGCTACGAATATGTCAGCTTCATATAACCCTGGACGTGAAGTGAACGCACTCGGGAAACCCTTCACGCCGTACTTCTGCCCAAGCGGCCTGCCAACGCCGTCCGCATCCACCTTGGCTACGACGACCTTGCTCTTCGCATGCGCAAACGCGTCAGCGACTTCCTCGTATATGGGTGCGAGTTTCTGGAGTTGAAACACGTCAGCTTGCAAGCACGCGTCTAAAGCACGCCGAACTGTACCTTGCAGTGGCCACACCAGGGCGCGAAGCTGCACGGGAACGTCAATAAACGATCCAAGTGATGCATTCCGCGTATCCGAACACTCACAACTCGACGAGAGCAGGCTTGCCCTGTCCGACAAACTTGTCGAAGTTGTCCGGATCAAGGTCAATCACGTTGGAGGCCAAGGCCCCGCTGAGAGATATCACGGCAGCAAAGAGAGAGAAGGCAAACTTCATGGTGGCAAAACCAAGAAGTCTAATTATATCGGAAAGGAAGAAAGGTGGAAGGAGGAGGAGGAGGAGGTTTTGAAAGGGAGACGTGGAGCTTCCGCTGCTTATGGTCGCGTTGTAGACGCCGCTGACTAATAAGTCATGTCCCGAGTTGGAATACCCGATCGAGGTCTCCCTGTTTTGCCCCTCGTTTATGCCAGTGGTGAGCAGAGACAAAGCAGAGAGGAGACAGCTAAATTCGCGTAGATCGGGCTTGGACTAAACGGTACGGCCGCGAGCGAGGGTCGAAAATGGTGTCATAAAAGTAAAGAACGCAATACTACAGGATACTGGCAGTACAATGGTCACGTGCCTACTGACGCAGTCGTGTTATGCATTGTGGCGGGCGCGAGGCTCTGAGTGACAGTGCATGTACTCAGCATGTACTACTTAGCACCGGTTTCCGAAACTGATTGTCATCGAGTCTTACCATGGTCTGCAACAACAATCGTCATATAGCGTGAAATAGAGTAACGTACCCGAGACCGAACATTATACACCAAACCTTTAGACACAATACTTATGTCCATATCGTGATGTGAACAACTGCCACGCGAGGCAGGGTGTACCGTCTTCGTCACTGGGGATCTTTACCTTCTCGGTCCGTTGAAGACTGGAAGAGGAAAGCGGCGAGTGACAGGCCCGGGTTGCCTGCCCAATCACGCATGGTAATTCGACCTCTGCATTACGAAAATTCACATTAGCGGCTGAGGCATCGACGCAGTGGATATTGCAATAAGAAGACTTACATGCAACAATGCGATTGGAACAGATCTCACAGTATTTCTGTGCATGGCCGGCCTGCTGCCGAAATCTCACTTGCGGTACAAGACTTCAGGTACTAACCGCAACTGAACGATCGTCAGTGTGCTGTTCAACCAAGACTAGCACTCAGCTATAGTCTGTATGAAAGCTATGAAGAAAATACATAAGCGTTTTCATATTGTACGGTGATAGTCGAGTTCGGATCAAGACCTACGACAGGATTTAGTGGACCAACACACCTACAGTACACTCGTGACGAGTTTGACTTGGGCAGATACAGGCGGCATCGTAGCACAGCAGCATGAAACTGCAATGGCAAACGTTCAGCGGTCGCCTCAGGGAGCCATGACCTGTCATCGTTCGTGTTACACGTTTACATGTCCTACATAATATTACGTGAGTAAGCGTCGGTTTGAGGACGCACCTGAAACACGATCGCAACCAGGAGTCGAGCGCTACACAAGTACCTAGACCACCGATCGGATCGTCACCGCCTAAGCCATGCCACTTCCTGCAGGGACGTCTCGATCGGTATCGCCGTCACGATGTGTGGTTAGAGTGGGGAATCTGCCTTACCGGGAATGGTACTAGTACTGTCGACAATGTCCTGCAATCTCCATATCACCGACTGTCGCTGCTGCCTGATGAAGGAGACGCCCAGGCCTCGAACGCCGGCCACAAAGCCGGCCACTGTAGGAAGCTAGCGGCAGAGAGGCACATGGCAATCCCGCGGAGCCTCAGTGATGGCAGAGCTTGGCCGATGCTTCCAGGGCGCTACATAATGTCTTCACCATTGAATTATGTCGGCAACAGCCAAAGTGACTGACAGTTTATGAGCGCGTAACAGAGTATCGCGTATGGCGCACAAACCTTAGCTGATGCTTAGAAAGAGCGGACAAAAGGGTGGACGATGATTCATGAGGTGCCGTGGTTGCTAAAAGGAGGGGTCAATGGTTAAGCGGAGGTAAAGTGACATGTTGGGCTCAGACGCACCCGGGGTCTATGGAAAGTCCTTCACACAGAATGTACATATAGAGACAATGACTCATGCAGAGAACAAGGCATACCGTACTGGATCCAACGCTCTGGAAAATGAGGGCACCATGAGATCTATGAACATTTCAGAAGCACATTGCACGCGCACCGAAGTCGAGGTCTCCTGTGGCGCCCTCGTTATGCATTCACGGAACCAGAACTAGATGAGTAGTTCCACCTCCTCGCTCTCGACCGAAACTCGTCATCCAGGTAGCATGGAGCGATGCATCAGCGCTAGTCTCGAGCTAGCACTTGCATAGTCATGTCGCGACAGCATATTCCATGTGCAAGGAGCATCAAATGGGCGCCTTCCGGTCATGAAAAGCTTCCGCACCACATCTACGGGCGTCGAGACCCTGTCTGAAAGCATTGAGCACATGATACCTCCTCTAAAGCAGCGGCATACTGAAGCTAACCTCGCTGACAAAGACGATAAAGTTCATGCTGACGAGTCAGTACGCCGCCGATGAGTGCAGAGTCATCCTGAGCCTTGGTGTGAGATCGCCCTTCTAGTGTTGCCGCGGGGTCTATCGCCGCCCCTTCGTTCATTTTCCCGACCAGCGACGGAGATGATCTGGCATTAGTGTTTACCTGCGCGCTACAAAAAACGGTATACAGGGCTGCTCACAAATCTGGCGGATGAACACAGGTAAAGCACTCCACGAGCAGAGCTTCAGCTAAGCCTTGCGTTGTGGCTTACGCAGATTCGGGGCACAGACTCCACGCTCAAGCCTTAGGACCCCGAGATCAGTAGGCGATGTCGGACCCTTCTTGCCAAATCGCTGACAGAGCGATTGCATGCGGCACCCGTGCGAGCCTTCCACAAAATGGAAGAGATGGACTGAATGTGGACACTTCCATGGGTCCGGGTCTGTACGGTCGCGATGTCCAGACCTAGATGCCACCATCATGTAGGGTTGGCACAGGCAGGTCAGCTCCCTTGTTAAGTGCGGCAGAGGCGGGCCACTACCTCTGCTCATCCCAAATGAACATGCGCGGCTGAGTGACTCCACCACCAAGCGGTGAGAGCCCGAACTAGGAGAGGAAGTAACTCACACACTCAAAGTGATGCTTGTGGAGAACGGCGCTTGCCTTGCGGTAGCTCCGAGATGAGCGAGGGAGAGAACCTCCTCACGGCGTACTCGGCGACATTCAGAGCTCGAGAAGACCGGGAACTCGCCTTGGCTTTGGGAGCGCTACCATCGGAACATAGACCAGGGGTGTAGCATGTGCAACGATGGCGCGGTTTCACCTACAGGAGCTCTAGAGAAAGGGGGCTAGCCAATCGCGTCTTCGCGTCTTGTAACGACCATTGAGTCTCGGCGGAATCGCCCACCAGAGCCGGCAGAAATCTCAGTGAATAGCACCTATGCCAGCCTTGAAAGTAACTCACGAACTCGTGGCTCGTTGTGCGTGAGGGATGTAGCACGCGTCGCACCGTGAATCCGAATTCTGCGCAGCGCGAACGCTCCCACATCTGCGGCGACTTTGTGCTCCTCGTCAGTAAGCCATCGGTTCGACCAACCTTGGGAGCCTATAGACGGAAGGACAGACCAGGGACAGACTGAGACGGCCGGGAGACTCACAGCGCCTTGATCAGCAATCAGCTGATAAACCCACGTGTGTCATTGAAGATAACGGAGTTCTGCTCTGCATGGAATTGGACGATCAGTGCCTAACTAGCGGAAGCAGATGAGAAAAAGGCACAAGAAAGCGCCTCCCAGATGGACCAGGCTCGCACTGTGGTCGGAAAGGCATCAACGGTTGACGTCAAATCGTGTGCCGTGACATTCGCGAAAGCCGTGCTACGTAAATCACATACATCTTTACTACAAATAAAATCGATATGGGCAAGGAATGAGCGACCAAGAACGAGGACAGAAATAGGACCACGTACCATGAGAGATATCCGGGTTACAGTTCGGGTACATAACGAGCGAGGTGTGGAAGGTTTGGATACAGGAGATCGATGTTCGAAACGGAAGACGGAGGGGGGGGAAGAAAGTCCCGGAGGATACCGCAGTCCGCGCTTCGGCCGGTGCATCAGGAGATGACGCGCTCGACACAGCGGACGGAGATCCTGTAGATGATACAAAAAGGAACAATAGAGAAAATACAGTCACTAAGGAAATGAAACATAACTGCGCCACGTTTGGGAGTTGAATCCTCAAACGGGGGCACGCGATACGAGAGTCCGATCGCCAGCCTCGAGACGGAAGAGTTGAATCTTCCCGATATCGTTCAAGAGCACCGTTCAGACGTTCCGGTCACCGAGCGTCCTTCGAAGCCGGTCGCCATCAAAACACATACGGACTGTTGCTTGGGTGACAGCCAATATTCTGCAGCGCTGCAGGATAATATTGCCCACCTTCGAGATCGCGTGTATTGTTCGGTGGATAGATCGAAAAGTCTTGGACCATCGATGCCCCAACAATGCCACGCCAATCGACGAATGTCGCGGCCTCGAACGTGTCCTTCATCATCACGCCGGCGCCCGCCGACGGCGGGAGAACGTAAGGGGGCGCCATAAGAGACAGGGGCTGATCCCCCTTCATGAACGCATCGCCAGCCCACCCGTTGAGCGATGAATAGGAAGAGTGGAAAGACGCGTGCTGGTATCCACCGAAGCCTGAGAACATCGGAAGGTCGAACGCATTGTTCCCTACCTGGGGACTGGATATATTGAACGCGACGGGACTCGATGGCTGAGCAGGGCTCATGGCACCGTCGACGTCCGGGGTGAAAGAGGGCAGAGTCGGGCTCCAGCACTCGGTTACAGCAGGGCTTGCAGCGGATGCCTAGACGGAAAAAATAAGTCTCGGATGAGTTCCTGCCTCAAGCACATAGCCTGGATGCGCACTCACCGCGTGCCACTGTGGACTGTCGCCGAAGGGAATGAACTCTCCGGCACCGTAGAAGTTCGGCACGGACTGCTGCGTGGCGGCCGTGCCATCCGGGGCCGTCTTGTCTATGCCGTCATTCAACGGATACGTGACAGAGTCTACACGTGTTGCCTCCTCGTGTTCGGGGGCAGGCGAGGCAATGTCGCGAGAAGTGGGCGACGCATAGACCATAGGGGGCGTTGCGGGCATCGCGCACCCGCTAGCCGTCTCAGCGCGACCCAGGTTATCGGTTTGACCGCTATTGTAACGGAAGTGTGAAGCAGGGGCGGACGACGACCGCTTAAACATGGAGGTCAGCGGAATCTTGAACCTCGCGTCGTAAGCAGCGTCTGGAGTCTTTGCGCGCGTTCCACTGCCTGGCATACGACCAGGGCGATCATCGAGAGTAAACTGCGGCGGCCGACCGACCACCTCTGTCGCATCGCTAGGCAGGCCACCGTCCTTTGCCTCCTCCTTCGGCGCCGCAGCCACGGCGGCCTCGATATTCACCTTCTCCGCCTTCGTATCGCCTTCTGCGGCACAATCGTACGCCTTCACCGCGGCCTCGAGCGCAGGCCCGGTCGTCCCAGCGACCAGTAAATCAGCGATTTTGGCGCACCTCTTCTCTCGACTTCGAACCTCCTTCTCCGCCTCTCCACGCCCTTTCCTGCTGCGCCTCTTCGGTCCATCCTTCACTTTGGCGAGTGCGTTCGCGCTGGGCCTGAACCGCCAATCCGGATACTTCATGCGGTGCTCGGCCTGCGCTACGATGGCCTTCGCCTCCCAGACCTCCCTCTCCTCGCGCGGAAGTGCCTTCCAGTATTTACCTGCAGACAAGAATTATTATAGTATACGTATCCCGAAAGACAGTTACCCAAAGCAACGTACCGATGATCTTCGAGAGCGCGCTGTGATTTCCCTCAATCTTGCCCGGGATGTGTTCGGCACGGATGAAGGAGCTCCTGAACAGAATGAAGGCGTTCGGGGGGCGCGGTATATAGGACGGGTCGCGTTTCTTCGCGTGCGACACGCGAATTGGGCCGAGAGCAGGCGATGCCGGGGGTGAGTAGATCGACATCTCGGGGACGCCACTTTCTGGAGGCAGCTCGTAGCCCGCCGCGTCGCTGCTGAAGGTGATGGGACTCATGTCCGTCGCGAACGTGAAGGTCATGGCTGGGTTGGGATTGTCTACAAGGGGGGGCATGCCGTCTACACGCCATGGTGGTGGTGGTCGGTGAGTACAACGCGTGGATCGCCAAAAGAGGCAAGAGAGGCCTACCGTCGTCGTCGGCCTCGGCGAAGACGACCTCGTTCTCGAGCGTTGCGGCCATCATACAGAGAAGAGAGCTGCAGGAGTGTCAAGTACCACGACGACACTCGGGGAGAGCAGAGTGGTTATGAGCAGAGATGCAATCGGAACTAAGTCACGGTAGCGCGCTTCCCATTTAACAGTTCGTTTATTCTGTTTCGGGAAGTCATGTCCACAAGATAAACTTCGAGCCGGCATCTATTTCTCCCAATCAAAGTTCACTCCGTCTCGACGCCGACGGCATGCACCTCCAGGACCACTCGAAGCCTGCGGACTGGCTCCCTCCGTACTAGCCGAGCCTGCTCGTCCAGATCCGCACTGCCTCCACTCGTCCTTGTCTCAGAATCCGCACTTTCGACAAGGACAACAACACTCATATCTGGTGGGTATCATATGCTGCTGAGGTCCCATGAACCTCAACAAGATCCGGTGCCAGGCGGCGCAGCGGGGAGAGATGAATTCCTGAACATATCAGCCGTCCTCACCGCCCACACCTACGCGACGGTTGCTCCTTCCTCTCGCGCCGCCCGACTGTGCTGCATGGCGGAGGAGCGATGCCTTCGATATGAGCGAATTCCGCCAACACCCGGGTCGCTGTACAGCCGCCCAGTACCGGTACGCCGCCGCATGAGGCGCGATAGGACAGCCTTGCGGAGTCGGCTGACCTGAGTCGTCCTGCAGATTCAGGCACTCTGTTGGCACAGCCAAAGCAACCTAAGATCCGGCACTACGACTGCCTCAATCACATCCTTGACCGGCCGTGTCTGAATGGTGCGATCACGTCGTCGTGGCGGGCCCGGCGCAGTGGAAGCCAGAGACAACACGGAGGTGAGTCCCCGAACACTGCATAGAATGGCTGCAGCCCAGCGTTGCATGTCCCTCCATAGAATCCTCGCCGTGCACGTTGAGTTTGTTCTTGCACGGCGGAGTCGTGAGCCTTGTGATGCCTGTACGCCATCTCCGTTGTTGCCCAGTGTCAGTGAGATCGGCCTGGCAATATAGACTTTCAGAGCGTTGCTGAATACGCTATCCATGAGACCTGCATTCTGATTTCTTACCGACCAGGAAACGGAAGCAAATGCTGGACTCGGAAGCAGCCCGCATGGCTGTCGCAAATCGATCGATAAACATGGGCTCTCGCGGAACCATACGGGGTCCTTGGCCCTGGCGCCTGTTCTGTTTCCGCCTCACAGTCCACCCGTCCCGCTCAGGAGCGATATCCATCGTGCAACTATTTCTTGCGAATCTTCAACTGACACGCGCTGTGGAGTCGGCAATGGCTACAGTGCAACCACTCCATCTCGTGCACAAAGAACGGGATACGGTAACGTACACAATCATGTTCAGATGGTCTGGTAGGCCGCTGACACGTGTCTAAAAAGAATTGACAAATGACCTGCAAAGTGCAGCGTGCGGGACACAGCTCGAGTCATTCAGCTGAACATGTCCTCCGCCATACCGCTTTGCTCGATACTTTGAACTGCGGTTGCCTCGAGGCTACTTTGCATCATGCAGACGCTGTCGTACCCGCCCTCGTGCTGCTACCTCTCCGCGTTCCCATGCGGAATGCCCTGATGGGACGGAACGACAAACCGGTCCGATTGGTATGCTCCCCGTTCTCCAACCGTTCTTTGACCCGTGTTGTAGGCTCACCGTCCTCCGCCGAGAGTCGTTGTATCTCCCTCCGCTGAGATCCATGCCCACGTAGATTCACTCTATCCTTTCCAGTCGCGCGCCTCGCGTCGAGCGGGCGTCGTATGTCAAAGTACGTTTCCCTCTCCACCGGTATGGCATTTCGAGCTGATCGGTGACCAGGTGGCCGCCCGACGCATCCCAGGCGTCCCTATTGAACACCATACAGCGACTCTCCGACTTGCATCCGGCTTCCAAGACCTAATTGACAGCGACCGGTGTCTTCCTCCATTGCTTCGGTCTTCTAGCTTGCGGACTTCTGACCCTTTCCAGTACTTCCACGCTACCGCGCACTCGTCGGTTGCATCTGCTACCCCGCATGCGATCGCCCCGAGTATTTCTCGGGTGCTCGCCTTCTCCTCTATCCGCTCTACGTTGGCATCCGACACAGGCGTCTGCTCACCCGTCCGCCCGAAAAGGAGCGCCCAGACGAGCGTTTCCCGACATACTACCGCACGCGCTGTGATTGCATGACATACCCGATTCCATGGGCTTGGGAACCCGCCGATGACATGGTGCGAACTGCCCACCGCCTTCTCTGTCGGCCTGTTCTCCATCCAGTCGCCGACTTCCCATTCGTCGTTCGGACGAGCGGACCGAAGGCCAGCGTGATCAGGTGCGCGGACGTCGCGCGTACTATGCCGTACAAAGCCCCGCGGTCGGCGCTGCTCGTCGGCGAACACAACGCGCGGTCCCCAAGCGGGGCATACGACTCCCCAGGTGACGAGCCCTTTCACGCGCCGTGCGGCGTGAGGGCTTCGGTATGACTCTCGGTCGCGCGCCTGCGACGTGCTTGCTTGACACTCAGAGACGTGCTTTGTGCATGCGCCCCCGGTACGCCCGAATACCAATTCAATGTGCCTGTTCGTCAAAATGGGAGGCGCGCGGCTCGCTGGGAGGCCCTAGGCGGCGCTCTACCCCAAGCGCCAGACTGTTGCTCGACCTTCCATTTCAACGCCACATATCTTATCATTCTCGGCCACAAACCCGAGGGCTCTACTCCGGCTTGCAAGGGTGCCCTGTCAACGACGTGTGCGGCGCCTCACGTTACCCCTTGACCTTTGAGCTCGGTTGTAGTTACGACATGCCGGACACTCTGGGCTCTTGATGTTATACATCGGAAAGCCTCTGCATTTGCTATCAGCGACACTCACGGGGTGAAGTTGAGGTAGAGCAGCCCTGCAAACATCGTCGCTGGATTCGCTGAGTCTTGAGGCATATTCTGTGTCTCTTGTGAGACCGAATTCCCTAATCTCTCCCGTGCGATTGAGCTAGGCTATTAGCGTCCGGCAACCTACCGCAATACAATCGGAGGCAGCCCAGACTTTCCGTTGTGCTTAGCATACGATGACCGCGGAAGCCTGGAGTAAGCAAGTACAACCGTGTGGAAAGAAGACCTGGTGCTACAAAACGCCATCATAGTGATGCATCCCAACAGAACCATGGTACAGTAAGAATGATATGGATACAGCGCCACCGACGCCCGACAACCCACCGTAACTCAGTGGGCCGGACCAACGAAGAGAACGAAGCCAACCCCATCCGGAGCGGGCTCCAGCCCTCTGAAGAAGACCCTGTCTCCGAGGTAATCAATCCGCCGCAGGCCGTCGTCATCACCCGGTATGCGCCCGCTAACCATCGTGCGCACGCGCTCCCAGTACGCCCGACACATGTGCTCCCGGCGCTGCTCCGACAGCGCCGCGACCTCTTCTGGTTTCAGGCGTTCTTCGAAATTCGCGATGAGCGCGTTCAGGACGTCCATGACCATGACCGGGAGTCGCGGATGGTGCGGTATGACCAATGTGGGCCAGGGGAACGGATCACAGTTATCGTCTGCTAGGGCGCTTATGTACAACTCGGACACTGGGGGATACGTCGCTGGTTGGGAACCATCCGGGCCGCGCGGGCAGAAGAGTATGTGCATTGGCTCCTCCCCGGGGATGGCGGGAGGCAGTTCCCCGAGCTCAACTCCCACCGTCTCGTTTCGCATGTCGAACAAAAGAGGAGGCCGTCCGAATAGGCGGTGCTTAAGATACGGATTGAGTTGTAGCGCGGTGGAAGGGAGATCAGCAGAGCTCGGTCGTGGTGTGTGCCATATTGCTGGCCGCGAGGGTAATGCCGGGTGCTCGACGCGAGCCACCCAATTTTCCGTGTGCCACTCGCCTCTTTCGTCCAGAAGGGACTGCATGATCTCCTCGATTTCTTCACGAGACAAGTCGCGAGGAGACTGCGGCGGTGCTAAAGTCGTGCGTGGCCCATGAGCGTTCACTGCATGCGGAGATAGCATGTATATGAGCGGACGTACTAGCATTATTGACGAGGACTGGGCCGATTCGCGGACGGGCCCAATAGCCATACGCTCTCCATTCAGTAGGTGTAATGACCCGCCGCTCTGCAGCGGTGTTCAATCGTTCCTCCGTACCCCGTCGATCGTGACTCGGGTCTTTCTTGCCTGCACAAAGATGACTTACGTCAGGCTAACTCTGAGCTTACGGTCGGAGACACGAGCATCGTGAAGCGCACGCACCAAATACGCGCTTACGAATAAATGAGAGCAATCCAATAGTGATCTTGGACGACTTGCGCTTAAACGGGTCGTCCTCGGCAGACCGTCTCCGCCTGCTCTCGCGCCTGTCGCTTCTGGCTTGCGGGCGCTGCACGTTAGGCACAACGGGTGGGGTGTTTTCATCAAAGGTCGGGAGGGGGAACGGCTCCGGCTCAGGCGAGGGTACCCACGGTCGCCGGCCAGCAGGATCACAACGATGATCCCAATTCGATACGTTGGCTGGCCACGTTGCCCATTGTGGCTCTAATCCGGAGGCGGGCATAGTGGCGAGGACAATGGGGAGTGGATGGGAAGGGGAGAAGCCTGGGAGGCAAGGTGGAACGGGATCCTTAGAGCTTACCCTGCGGTCCAGGGCCTTGCGGCGAGAACGTGCACGGAGCCACTCAACGGCCCTATCCGGCAATGTATCAGTGGCTTACCTGCCTTTACAGTACCCTGGAGATCTCCTCATTCTGAAATCAGATACTGCGTGGCTGGGGCATGGCCTCCGCAAACGCTGGTCGGTGCCACAGTACCAGAAGTGGCAGGTGTTGTGAGGTTGTTTGCACATGTGGGCGTCACCGCTTGCGTTAGGTACTGTGACACGAAAGTTGGCTTGAGGCTACAGGACACGACGCCGACAAACATACATACCTGTCTGTTGGTTAACTGTTTCGTTACGATATGAGAATATATGGATGACGACGGTGTGAGGGGCCCGTGTGCATGATGATCACTGCATACGCTGACACGATTCACAGCAGATCCACATCGAATAGGTCTCAGGAGGCTGGAGGCTGTATGCCGGCACGACAAAAGTAGGCAACACGGAGGATTAATGAAAGGATAAAGTCTGCGAAGCAACATCATAAGTATAAGGTGGATACGTCTAGACGCACTATCACTCACCTGTTTTGAAGTATTCGTGGCCGACATTTCACTAGTCAATCGGCCTCCTCTGCCTTCAAAACCAATTCGTCGAGCTCCTCATCCTTCACGCCCGTGTGCTCTTTCAACCAATTCTTGAGGACGCATTCACCCTTCCCTCGATTCCCACCTTTGCATCCCAAACACCGCCGACCATGCCCGACCATGAGGACATGCAACCCGTACTTCAGTCCGTTCGGTATCTTCAGGTCGAGATGCGCTTGGGCCGTGATTCTGTCCGCCTTGCTGGGTACCCAGCCCAACACTTGGACAGTCGGAAGACGTGAGTGTCAACCGGAAATGACGACCTGCCGAGGCAGAACAGGAGTACGCAGGATGCTGTCTTCGGGCCGACGCCGTCATAAGACACAAGCTCCTTCATCGCTTCTTCGTCCGACACACTATCTCCGCTCGCCTTCGCCTTGCCCTTGGCGCCAGGGTCAAGTACTCCTGCGAGATGCTGGAGCGAGTAGATCCCGTGCCTTTCTTCACTTCCTGCAGGATCTTCTGGATGACCCCCGCCTTCTTGTTCGCGAGCCCGCCAGTGCGGATGGCATCGACGACGTCCTGCTTCGGAGCCTGCGCGATCGCAGCGAAGTTGTTGCGACCGAACTTGCGATCAAGCCCGTGCTTAGCGGCGGTCGAGTTCTTGACGTCGTGTTCTGGCTGAGAATGGTACCTATGAGCGACTCGAGCACGTCCGGCACCTTCCCACAGGTACCAGCGGAGTCGTTAGCATCCATGGGTGCTGAGCGAGCAGGCGCTATATTTGAATGTGCTGACGCAAGCACATCGTGCACCTGCGCAGCCTCCGCGGGTGTCGGGTGAGTAAAGTCAGGAAACGGAGAGGATATTGTGTGCGAAGCGAGCAGTTTAAGCTTTTTGTCTTTATGAGGTGACAGCCCTTCAGCGGCGACGCCAACAGGGGTTGGCGAGCGAGAGCGTTTGACTTTCGGCGGCATCGGTCAGAGAAATGAGGCGGACTAGACGAGTGCAGAGCAGTGAAGCTGTCTGCGTGGTGGTTCGATAGAGTCGCGGTTGAACAGGTGGAACCGAGCAAGTTGACAAGTCAACCGTCGTGACCAAAATGGAAACAGACGCCTGTCGATCACGGTACCGGCGATCAGCCACTTGCCTCATCTCCGATCTGCCTCCGCCACCATCGCGGGATGACCGTCCCCATTTCGACAGAATGTTCAAGCGCAAGAGTTCAGTCAACGGAGCCAGATGACAGGATTAGAATCTCGGTGAGAGACGTGCAGGCTAGTCAGGGCACCAGGTCTTCCCGTCCGCGACCAACTTGGAATTGGCCACCTCTCGTCTTCCCCTCTGATGTCCGAGTACTGCAATCCGACCAAGCTGCCGATAATCAAAACCACGGTATGCTGGTGGCTCTCGGCGGAAATGGATAGCGGGGTACATTGTCTTGCATTTCATTTGCGCACTGGGTCAGCCGCTAGTACTATCGTCGACGATCAACGAGGCACCACGCACCGATCCGTGAAACGATATGCATCGCGCAGTCCTTGCCGTGGTCGATCACAGCGCGGGGAGAGACTCATCAGGTTCACTTAACTTTGATCCGTGGGCTCCTTGTGCACTCGCTGTCATCGGAGCATCCTGCTAGCTTGGACTCGGAGAGGCTCACTGATCCGTCGAGATAGAGACCGCCGCCTGCGACCACCGATTGTCGATGGATGCAGCCCTACGCGATCATACTCGGCGCAAAGCTTAACGGCAAAGACAGCGATGTTCGAGTTGAATCCCATCCCGTGGCACCGATCGCATGTTCGCTTTCCAGGCGGAAATGAGCTTCTGGTACATTCCTCTGCGCTGCCTCCGTTACGTGAAGGTCCTTCTCCGGCCGTCCGGCTGTACGATGGCGTCACAGAGACCTTGACGTACTGTGAAGAGATGCCTCCCACCATCTCCATATAATCACGGATTGCATGTGAACTGAGCAGGTGCGTTATGACAGAATTATCATAGATAGTCGCTCTGCTGCAGACGCGCATGCAGGGATTGCCGATGTCAGTCCACCTAAGGTCAAGGATCTCATGCGGCGCAAACGTACCGGACTTCACTTGAGAGCGATAAAATACTGATGATATCCTCATCGCCTCGGGAACGTGAACGCGGCGAGTGCGTCATGCCAGGACACGGCTGTGCACAACGATCGTGGACATTGACGGCGCCTTGCACGCCATGCGTTCGACCTCGTGTCTCTTCAGGATCATCCCCGAGTTCCTCCAGCGCATTCGCGACACCAGCGTAGCGTCGGCTGACCATCACCATGGCGTGCCGTCTGCGTCGACGTCGCCCGAAGTTCCGCAGCGAACAGCGCCGTGCCACTGCTAGCTTACTCCAGTCCCTTCACCATCGGATAGCGAATTTCTGCACGCACCGGGCAATCAATTTACGGCAACTCTGCCCGCTCCACCTCGCATGTAGCGCGTCGGCTGCGTCGGCGCTGCAGCGGAAGCATTTGCGTGCCAAAGGTTATCAAGAATCATCCGCGACGCTCGACCGAGCAACCCATGCACGGCGCAGGCACGCCACGCCATCGATGCTTCCGTCTCTGGTAAAGCCCAGTAGTACAGCGCGATATGGGCGCCGCGTCGGATGTGCCGTCTCCCGACACATGATATTCCTGCGCGCCGCGAGGCAACACAGGTTCGGCGGAGGGGCCTGCAGGTGTGATCCGTCCGTGGTTGCTAGGTGGATCACGGATGACCGCGTCACTGGCACTAGCTGCGCGAGCGAGAGGGGTGACACAGGGGCATAATCAGCTGCGGGCTCTTGCCTCGCGCCCCGACAGCGCGCCCAGTCATCTGTGTGCGCCGCGCTCACGACAGACCTGGTCTGTGGGCGTACGTGATGAATTCGAGACGGAAGTAGGTGTAGCAAATACCGTTTCGCCCGAGTGGAACGCGGCGCACGCGCATGCAGAACCATACAAGCTCTGACGTTTGTCAGGTCGTCAAGATAGACATTGGATAGATTGATATCCGGAGGGCCACGCAGGCCACAGGCGGAACTCAGGATCCGATATCGTGGTCAGGCGTAGCATGTCCGAGCAGTCTCCGGCCACTTTGTTCCAATTTTCCTTTTCTGGCCACAAAGCGCATGCCAAAGCAAAGGTCCCGCGACCTCCTCGAGCTCGATAGGCGGGGATCGCTATGAAGCGTGGACGCTTCCATATGATAGCCTACGCCGCCGAACTGCACGTCGTTCCGCGCGCCATGGCGCTGGGACGGACCGGGATTGCAGGACTCATCACGTTCATTTCCGCACAGGACCGTATGGACCGGAATATTGTCATCGGGCGGTGGGTCATGGGAGCGCTGCCCGCCTGTTTGGGAGCGGGTGGGACACCCTGGACAGCGAGAAACGCGTGTCGCGCCTGCAGGCAGAGCGGTGCCGACGCGTGTGGCCAGATATGGTCATCGCGACGCAGAGTCAATGCATGGGCGGGTGGAAGAGCCTTCTCGCAGAAACGTGGTGATCGCGGCGAGGGCGGGCGATCCCAAACGCAAAACGATCGGATCCACACGCTACTCAGACGTAGTCATTACAGCCAACCAAGGAACGAGCGAGCAGTTGCCGTTTGCGCGGGTGACGACGACTGAACTTTGACTACCCCGCGGTGACTGGGTGAGTCTTACCAGATAGAGCATGGCAGGAAGCGGCGGCGGTGAGTCGATCCCCAGATCATCCGATATGCTTAGGGATGTGTCATGCTGCGCTTTGACAAACGTAGACACGGTGGACTTTACGGCTCCTGACGACACGCGGTACGCAGGCTCGGAACGTCGGGGGAACGTGCGGACAAGGCAGCACGCGCAACCGCCCGGACGAGCCCAGGGGCAGCGTGCAGAGGGAGTCTGGTGGATAGAGCGATAATACGGCTTTCTGGAATGCGTGCATAGGCGCGACGGGACATGGGAAGGAGGGGGGAATTGGGGGCAGAGTACGCGCGAGAGCGTCAGCACGAGACTTTATCGCGCTTTGAACTTTGTGAGATAACGGCATATGCGAAGAGTTGAGAGACAATAGAGAGAGACCCGATATGTGCCGAGCGCTCATGCAGGGCCCACGGAAGGAGCGTAGACAATAAGACGAATCGGTGAACCAGATGGCTTGATGGACAGAAGAAAGGGCGAGCGTGTTTGCGGGTATTTGGCAACGTAATGGAGACAGGTCGCCGATTCAGGATAGGCGCTCTCACCCGTCTGCATTCGGTATGACAATGAAGGAGATCTCGGATTTGATCTCGCGGGAAGAGGAGAGGTGAGCACTCGGCAGCGAGGTCATATCACCTAGACTATAAAGACGCACGTCGTATTGTCTTGCGCTCGTCCTCCTCCCGTGCAATTGTTCTCCCTCGGGGCGTCCGAGCCACCCATCTTCTCCTCCTGCCGCAATCGGGAGCGTCTTTTGTCTTGCCTCGAGGGAGCTCGCCTCGCGTTCGCGAATAATACAGTGCTGCCTTCCGCGCCCACGAGAACAATCATGCCTGCATACCGCACTCGCGAGACATCCTCCAGACGTGAGTAAACTCAGTTCTGTTTGCACACCACGCACAATGGGGAGCTCACCGCACAATGCTTTCTCGACAGCCCTCGAAGTCGCGACGGACGCGCCACACCTTCCCCCGACGGTCGCTATTATTTCCCCGACGCCTCGCGCATTTTCCTTCCCTATCAACAACGACGTTCACTTCGCCTCCCCGTCCAGTTCGCCCTTCGAGCCCGATCTGAAGTCGGTATGCACGCCACCGCCCCTGCCTCGCGCCTTCTCCCCGACCTCCTCCATCGGCTCTGATGTATCTTCAATCCTCTCGACTCCTTCAGCCCGTTCCTCGCAGGCTTCGCATAAGCGGCGTAGATCGACCGCGAGCGATATCGTGGAACGGCGACCCAAGAAGGGCGACGAGGATTACATCAAGCGCCCCGAGAACGCGTTCATCCTCTTCCGGCGTAAGTGCTGCGAGGACCGTCAGGCGGCCGATGAGGCAGCGGAGGAGCCTGTCAAGAAGCAGCGTCAGGCGGACCTCTCCAAGGCGATCAGCCAACAGTGGAAGAGTCTCTCCACCGAGGAGCGGACGTACTGGGAGGATCAAGCGAAGGAGAAGAAGAAGGAGCACGAGGCGATGTATCCCAACTACGTCTATCGCCCACAGAGGATCAAGGAGAGGGCGAAGTCGAAGAAGGGTAAGGGGAGGAAGGGTGACGGCGAGCAGGAGACGGATGCGGAGAGCGGCATTTCGTTCGTGCTCCCAGTTCCGTCTCCTCCTCGCAGCCTTAGCCGCGACAGTCTCCCCGCGCCGGTGCGCGGTCAGACTCGGAGGGCGGTTTCAGCTCCTACGCCGCCGCCTGCGTATCAGACCATCCACCTTCCGAGCGTCTTCATGCCCTCATGTCCCACATCACCTTCCCTCCTTCCCCGCATCAGCAGACGCTCCCCTCGCATACCCCATCCCGACGACGACCATCTGACGCATTTCGAGTACTTACCTAACGACTCCCTCTACCCGCCGACATTCCAGCAACCCGCCGCCTTCGAGCCGAACGTCCAGGTACGTTCCCGATCGCTCCGATGTACTGATAGACAGCTGATCGCTCGATCGATCGCAGACGGACCAGCTCTTCCAGATGTTCCAAGCTGAGCAGTCCGCGCTCCAGCACCAGCAGCAACAAGGTGGCCCGCTTCTCCAGTCCTTGAGCATCCCGCGCGACTCGATGATGGGCTCCAGTCTCGTATCGCCCGCAGAGTCCATCGCGTCGAGCCAGTTCTTGTCGCCCGTCGACCACTTCACTTCCCCAGTCTCGCCCTCGTCGTCACACGGCGCCCCGTTCACACCGGCAGAGGCCATCTCGATGATGGCGCTGTCGCTTGGCAACACGGCCGACGGCGCCAGTCAGCAGCCAGACTCTGTCAACTCGAGCCAGGCCCCCGAGATGTCGTTCCCTTCGTTCTCGTGGCCGACCGACGGGAGCTTCTGGCCAGACGAGAGCATGATCCCGGACGACTTCGACCTCAGCGCCATCCCACCGATTGAGCTTGGTATCTCCAAGTTTGACGGCGAGATGCAGCAGCTCGCCGGGATGTCGGCCGACGTGCCACTAGGGTACGACTTCGAGAGCGGCGAGTTCCCACCCATGGACATGGCGCCAGAGCACGACCTTCACGACGCAGACCCTGGACAGGACCCGTACGGGATGTTCAGCGGCTACGACAACGGCAATATGCCCTGGTGATGACGCTGTCAACGTACGCGGGCGTGCGTTGACGACCCAAACGGACTTGTACAAAATCAATAGCTCGCTGCACCTTGGGATTCGTTGTTGTACTCACTTACTTTCCATCGTCGGAGAACGCTGGTCCGTGTATATTTGCACTTGGTCGCTGTACTGATATTCCTCCCTCCGTCATCACCTGTCATCACGGTCATCGTTGTACTCACTCACCTTGCTCCTGCATGCACTCGCACCATGTCCATAATCACCGGCAACCCCTCACTACTCCTACCCACCCATCACCCTTCCTTGCCCTTCCGTGTTTTGATACCCAGTCCCCCTCACTTATGACATTATTTGTAGTTACGACTTCTACTGGAGTGATCTCCATGTCAGTTCAGCACGAATACAAGGTTTTGGTAGAGCTTTCTGTGTTGCCTGTTCGAGGACGTCCGGTCGAGTGAAGGTCAGTTGTGAGAGTGTCATTGGTGAGATACAATGCCAGTCGACGCGCGGTGGAGACAAAGGCACAAACGTTGCCACCGCGCGGTGGCCACGACCAAAGTGCCCTCCTCCGCTTTCGGGGATCACCGAAGCCACGTGGTACGACCAGTCGATTCTGCCTTCGTCTGCGCCTTCCCGGTTTCCCGCTGCAACACGCATATAGGCACACTCTTCCTGCTATGTTCAACTTGTCTCGCTTCATATTTTCTATCATTGAAGACATACCACTTCCCAGAAGCTGGACCTGCCGTTCATGCAAGCGCTGATTTGAAGTGATGAGAAGACAGCACCGTGCCATTCACCCGGTTTGTGCTCGTTACAGACTCCTCTGGCAAGACTCAAGAGTAAGCTCAAACGGTTCCACAAAGACCGTAAGCTTGCTGCGCATACATGCGGTAGATTCGCACTAGATTGAGACATATGTCTTCAACTCTTCGGTGAATAGCGCGTACGCCACGGCTATTGCACGGTCTCACCCGGACACTTGAGCTCGGCATGTACGTCCAGTATGCTCGCTGGGTCGTCTTACGGTGTGCTTCGCTTGCAGCCCAACAGGCTGCACATTCAGGCTGCAGATCCAATGTTGGGGATGCGGACGATCCCTGGTCGCAACTGCAGGGCCATCATGGCAGATAGGTATCCCTATCAACAGTCCCGCACGCAGCACATGCTCGTCAGCTTTGGGCAGCGTGCTAGACTACCGCAGAACCCGCAGTCTGCCACACCCGAAGTTCCAATCTATATAAACACGCCTCGAGTATGCTTGCATGACAAGCTCCAACGGATGACCATTATTTCATGGCTCTTCGACTAGACAGTGCGAACCAGTGCGGCCTCGGTAAGGTACGTGACATTCCGCGCCGGATAAAGGTGGTACTAAGGATTTCACATCAGACTTTGCAATGGTCGACGGAAGAACTAACCTAATTCAGCGACGATATGGCGCACCATGGCGTGGAAGCCGCCACCGTGGAGATAAGTAGGTCGAGGTTACTTCGTCGCTACTTATATAAATCCCTATCTAGCATGACGGCCTCCGGTGAGACGTCTTCACTCCCCTAGTGTTCAGCCTGGTATTCGTCGGACAGCATGTCGCTGAAGGCGTTCAAGTCGAGGTTACCATCGCTCAGCGCTAGAAGACCCTCTCTGGAGCCTGTGGACGACTCGGAAGGCGCGAAGGATGTGGACGAGAAACACGCTGTCAAAGACGATGTCGTGTCGTTGAACGACAAGTTGGAGGATCCTGATCTCGCACCCGGGGAGCTCACGTACAATGAAGGTACGTGCAGTGCTTGGTCGTCATTCGAACTCATGAACGTATCCCGGATAGCTACCGCGGGAGGTATGGGTCGCCATCTGGGTGTTTTCACCTGCACAATGTTGATGTACGAGGTCGCGTCGTCAATGATAAGCTTCTTTGCTGAAGGCGACTGAGTAGTGTCGGCCATATCATCGGAACGGGGATCTTCTCCACGCCGTCCTCCATCCTAGGGTCCGTTGGATCCGTCGGCGCTTCCATGATGCTCTGGCTTCTGGGCTTCGCGCTCTCCTTTTGCGGATTGTTCATCTGGCTCGAGTTTGGCATGATGATTCCACGTTCAGGAGGAGAGAAGGTATATCTAGAGGCTGCTTTCAAGAGGCCGAGGCATCTGGCGACCATCATGTTTGCGGTAAACGCGATCGTATTGGGCTTCACGGCGTCGAACTGTATTGTGCGTACAACTTCACGAATCGATTGAAGCCGACGAGCTCACAATGCCCGCTTGTCACAGGTATTTGCGTCAAAGTATGTGGCCCATTGAATTGAGACGCTTGTTGGTGTGAATATTTCCCTTAGTATCCTCGAGTCAGCCGGAGCTACCCCTACTCGATGGAATGAACGAGGCATTGCATTAGCAGGCAAGCCTCCGTAGACTGTTCTCGTATCCATTCGTCAGCTCACAACTGCTTGCCACAGTGATAGTATTCGTGACGATCTTGCATGGGTTTACACCCCGAACCGGAATCCTACTGATGAATGTGAGTGCTGGACGGTCCTCATGGAAATTTCGGTCTGAACATCTCCAAAGCTCTTGAGTGTCTTCAAGATCGCCATCCTCCTCGTCATTGTTATTGCTGGTAAGTCGAATATCTTCTTCGAAAGACGCGCTCCTTACAGTGGACTAGGCTGGGTCGTGCTCTCTGGTCACACGGCCGTAGCGGATCCCCACACCAACTTCCGAAATGCATTCGCGGGAAGCTCACATAGTAGCTTCGATGTGCGTAGTACTCGGACAATCGCATTCCGTTTTATCAGCATTGATGCGAGGTTCCTGACGGTTCATAGTATGCCACGGCCACGTTCAAGGTCCTGTATGCCTATGGCGGCTGGTCGAGTGTCAATTACGTGATGAACAACGTCCGCGACCCTGTTCGCACCTTGAAGATCTCTGCCCCTCTGGGTTTGACTATCTGCGCTGTGCTCTATCTCCTTGCGAATGTCGCTTACTTTGCGTATGTGGCACGTACATTGTCTGGCGCAAACAATGCATTGCTAACGCAACTGGTAGTGCGGCGACGAAGGATGAGATTGCAACCTCTGGGGTCACAGTGGCGTCTCTCTTCTTCGTCAAAGTGTTCGGTCCTACAGCGCAGAAGGCGTTGACAGTATTCATCGCGCTGAGGTACGTGGTTTCCAAGTATGCTCTTGGCAAAAATCACTCATGAGTTTCGGTTAGTGCTCTCGGGTGCGTGGCAATCCTTGATTCGCAGGCAATCGACATTGACTCGTCGTTCGATGTACTTTGTCGGATTCAGGGTGAGTAGCACAATGCACTGCTCAAATTCAGGAATCTTATCTCCACGATAGAATGTAATCACCGTCGTAAGTATCATCAGTTTTTCTTCTCACTGTGCACTCAGTATCACGGCAACTAGACGTTTTCTGCAGCCCGCGTCAATCAGGGTCAGTACAGTTGATGTACCTCTTTACTAACTAAGTGCTAATCAAGCCGATTCAGAGCTTGCGAAGGAAGGCATCCCGCTTCCGTTTGGTAACCGCTTTTGGGCATCGAACTGGCCGACTGGCAAGACACCTCTGCCTGGGTTGATCGTCCATCTCATACCTTCGGTACGTTGAGTACCAGCTCTGAACGCATCTCGCATCTCTGAGGATGAATTTCACAGGTTATCGTGATCATCGCTCCTCCGCCCAACATCGCCTATCCCTTCATTCTCGATGTCGAGGGGTACCCAACGCAGATCATCAATCTCTTCGTCGTCATTGTACGTCACAGCTGCATTCCTGGGATACTATCTAGTGTTCATCACGCTTCTAGGGTCTCTTTTGGCTTCGATATCGCAAGCCGAATGCCCACCGACCATTCAAAGGTACGACGTTTACATACAATCGACGAGCAGCGTCAAATAGCTCGTTTGCCCGACAGTGTGGTGGCCGCTTGCCATATTCTATCTGGCAGCTGCCGTCTTCCGTAAGTCCCACCCCACTCAGTGAATCGATGAACAAATGACCTGTACACCCCTTTAGTCCTCGTTGCGCCCTTCATTCGCCCTCCGGGAGGTGTGGGCGATACGCCTCCGCTGCCCTACTATCTGTGAGTTTGACAACCATGCCATTTTGAATGCACACTGAAGATACCTTCCTGCAGATACTGCCTAGTGGGTATCGCTGTCATGTTCCTGGGTATCGTATGGTGGGCGGGCTGGCGGGTAGTTCCTCGCTGGTTCGGCTACAAGTTCGTGGCGAGGAAGGAAGCGCTGGAAGATGGAACCGTGGTATCACTGGCACGTATCCGTTCACTGCTACGGACGTGGTCATGGCTAACGACCGCTTGTAGTTCTCTCTCCAGAAGAGAAAGTGAGGGCGTCGGTGGTATGTGTTGCATGTAAGTTACTAGAAGACGATGATCATCTTGACAATAGCCACATCCCCCCACTAGCAGAATGCTTGTATACGGCCCGGTCGTGTCTAACGCGGATAGCACCTTGCTGCGATGCCGTCTCAGGCCGGCAGAGAGTCTATTTGACGACAAGTTGTGCAAGCCGCGTCGTCGTGATGAGCTTTGCCGCGTTTGTTATCCTCTCTGACATCACCTGGGTCATGTTAGGATCTAAGGCTGTTGCCAAACAGTGCTGTCGAATATGGCAATACTTATTCAACCCGTACGTGTGCACGGGCCACCACAAAAACAGCTCATCGTAGGCGACTCATGGCGCGATCGTGCTTTTGCTCGACGTTGAGTCGTCGACAGTTCCTGTCAGGCCCATCACTTATCAACGGAGGCGATGAGCACCACGAAGCGTGTCAAAGTCTCTGCTACGATCATGCTATGATCTACAACTGCGCATACGCGGTGTGCCCTGGTGTGCCTTAATGATCAGTAGATGTCTCGCTTCGTTGGTCGTTGCGCGACCGACTGAGCTGGGTGGATACCTACGTAGTGATCCATGTGACTCTGGGCGTCTTCAGCCATGATCAATTCCCGCTCAAGATGGCGCGCTATGGCGTGGAAGTGTCAACCGGAACACAGCTAAGCTCTCGTCAGGCTCTCGTATAAGAATCGCGGGAGCCGCACATGTTCTCAGGGTCTTCTAGTTCACCTCGTCGGCATGATCGGTAGCGGTTGGTCAAGCAAGATGTCCAAGTTCTTCTCAAGACCGTCATTCATGCGTGGAAACGAGCCGAAGGACTCGCCCTCTCCGGTAGAGAGTTCTGTAGATCCTGAAGGGTCTGCATTGAACGAAAAACTTCCGTCCAAGGACGACACTACTTCTACTTCCGAAAGCAACACGAGGGTTCATGAAGATCCAGCTCTAGCGCCGGGTGCGCTAACATACGATGAAGGTACGGAAGGGACATTCGTGGTTGGGAATGAAGACTGATTGTGACCCAGCTACGTCCGGCGGAATGGGACAGCATTTGGGTGTATTCACCTGTACCATGATGATGTCGGTGGGCTTCAGATTTGTTTTGTACCTGCGTTGCTAACATGCATTGGAACTATGAAGCATTGGTCGAATCATCGGCACAGGTATATTCTCGACGCCCTCCTCAATCCTCAATTCTGTTGGCTCCGTCGGCGCATCTATGATGCTGTGGTTGCTTGGATTCGTCCTTTCGTTCTGTGGACTGTTCATTTGGCTGGAGCTTGGTACCATGATTCCTCGGTCTGGCGGAGAGAAAGTATATCTTGAGGCTGCCTACAAGAGACCGCGGCACCTAGCAACCATTATCTTTGCAACGAACGCGATTCTCCTCGGGTTTACCGCGGCAAACTGTATTGTAAGTGGTCATGGTTGATATACTCGGGATGTGCTGATGAACGCTTCTCGTGTCAGGTTTTCGCCTCGTAGTGAGTATCAGTGCAACTTTTTAAGATGAATGGAAGCTCAGAAACCTTTGAACACAAGTATACTCGAGGCCGCCGGAGCTACTGTAACTCGCTGGAATGAGCGTGGCATCGCTCTCGGAGGTATTCGCACTCATTTCACTCACTTGCACTCTGACACGATGAACTGACCCATTTGTAGTTATCTTCTTCGTGACCCTCTTGCATGGGTTCACGCCACGGATTGGAGTGTACCTGATGAATGTAAGGATTGTGTCTACGATGCTTGATCATATCCTCATGCAGCTATCAGATATTAAGCGTGTTCAAAATTGTCATCCTGCTCTTCGTTGTCATCGCAGGTCAGTTCCGTCGAGTTTGTCTCTCGCATATTGCGCTTTTTGACCCGGACATCAAATCAAGGCTGGGTTGTGCTCTCCGGTCGCACACATGTCGCAGATCCGCATGCTAACTTCAGAGATGCTTTCGCCGGGAGTTCGCACAGCAGCTATAACGTCAGTGACGTCTCCCATGGGGGTAGACAACTAACTCACCTGCCTGGCCTTCTGATTGTTTACGCAGTACGCTACGGCCACGTTCAAAGTTCTGAACGCGTATACTGGATGGTCCAGTATCAACTACGTCATGAACAATGTGAAGAATCCAGTGCGCACGTTGAAGATTGCGGCGCCTCTAGGACTCGGCATTTGCGCGGTGCTGTATATCCTCGCTAATGTGGCTTACTTTGCGTGGGTACTTATATGCCAGATTTATGATAAGCTGAATGACTCCGTCTCCCCATAGTGCCGCGACGAAAGAGGAGATCCAGAAGTCGGGCATCACTGTCGCGGCATTGTTCTTCAAGAACGTCTTCGGGACACAAGCGCAGAAGGCACTGACTGTGTTTGTTGCACTGAGGTGCGTACCTTCCTCTGCATCGCTCCCATGACCCTTGTTGAATCCTTTTTGCAGTGCCATCGGGTGCGTCACTCATAGACATACTTCTGTGCCAGGTTGCTCATGCGGTCCTGTTCATTGCCTTCATGAATACAGAGTGCGTGCAGCGCTAGTGCCACTTTTGCCCTAAGCTCATGATTGCCCTAGAATGTCATCACCGTCGTGAGCCTGAAGAATGCCTTGTAAACTCATTCCGTCCATTGACTTGACAATTACTCAGACATTCGGCGCTGCCCGCGTCAATCAGGGTATGCATAGGCATCGATTGTCCGGTGCGAGTAATTAACGCTGAGCTATTGAACAGAGCTTGCAAAGGAGGGTATCCCTTTGCCCTTCGGAAATCGGTTCTGGGCATCGAATTGGCCGACGGGAAAGAGCCCTTTACCGGGTTTGATCATCCACCTTATCCCTTCAGTGCGTACAGCGTCACCTCTGTCCGCCTGCCTCTGATTGTCGGTCCGCAACTAGATCATCGTCATCATCGCACCACCACCATCTGTCGCCTACCCTTTCATTCTCGACGTGGAAGGATACCCTTCGCAGATCATCAACCTGTTCGTTGTTGTCGTACGTCCCGCCCGTTGCTATGAGGACCATTCACCATCTGAACACACAATGCAGGGACTATTCTGGTTGCGGTATAGGAAGCCCGATGCGCATCGACCGTTCAGAGGTGTGTTCTCTCTCGACGTGTTCAGATGCCTGTCTGCTGACGCTGGCGTAGTATGGTGGCCACTCGCCGTATTCTACCTGGCTGCTGCCGTGTTCCGTGAGTAACTGTTTTTCCTCCCATTACTCGACCCCTAACGCAAATTCTTCCTCATTAGTCCTCGTAGCCCCGTTCATCCGCCCTCCCGGCGGCATCGGAGACACGCCTCCGCTACCATACTACTTGTACGTTGTCAGCCATAGACCTGCTTTCAACGCACGGATAACTTGACACGTTCACTCTAGGTACCCCCTGGTTGGCATTGCTATCATGGTTGTAGGCGTGCTCTGGTGGACAGCCTGGCGTGTCGTTCCGAGGTGGTTTGGCTACAAGTTCATCGGGAGGAAAGAATCCCTAAAAGATGGCACCGTAGTTACTCAGGTGAGTAGCTTGATACTGGACAGGCATTGCGCTGACATGATGATCTTTAGTTCTCCTTGGAGAAAAGACAACACTGAATGGAATGCCGTGTTTCGCACCAGACGTTAACTTATATACCTGTGTCAATGTTAGCAATATCTATCTGAACGACGCGGACTGTTCTGCAGTATGGCAATGGATTTGACAATCGTTCATGACGAACAACACGATCTGCGCGCTCGAATGCGTCATATGTCACACCCGACAGCAGGATAGTACCGCATCTAGCTACCCGTCCATCCTTTTGGCTACAAAGTGAGGTGAGCGTCCGCTTCTCATTTATATCCGGTCAAGACGCACCTTGACTTCGTCTCCTGTTGTCCTCACATATACGCTAGGCCGCTCAGCCGTTTTCGCACCTTCTTCACCCTCTTCCCAAGTGTAGCTCACGCCCACGGCGAGCTTGGTGCCGTCACAGTTGAACGCCGCCGACGGGATGGCGGAGTGGTACTTCGGATACTGTCGCAGCCGCTTCTTCAACTTGTGATCCCATATCGAGAGAGTGCCGTCCGAGCCCGCAGATGCAAACGTGTTGTACCTGCATAGAGAATCACTCAAGACTCACGCGATGTAGAGGTGGATGCAACGTACACTGGATGGAATGCAAGAGAGTTGACTGGCCACACGTGGTCTACGTCGTCTATAGTTTGACGATGGCATTTGAATGCATACTTCCTGTCCTGGGCTTCGGGGCTAGGATCAAAGTACTCCACCGCTATTCGTCCCTCTACTGAGGCTGTCGCATACCCTGCAGGCTCAAGTCAAAAGCTGGTTCTCATTGACTGGGAAGTGTAATTACCTTGGCCATCTGTCATGCAGGCCAGTGCACGCGTCATGAACTTGAGACTACTGTCACGGATTTGAGCCGGCTCGTCCATCTTTCGGATATCATATATGTGGAATAGTCGGCTGGCCATAGCGACGACGAGCGTGTTGTTAACGAGGTCCATGAGGTACACCCGTTCAGGCAAATTGTGTGACAACTGTTGCGATGACGTCCGGGGATCCCAGAACCGCACAGTCCTATCCCAGGAGCCAGTGACCAGTACATCTGTGTGGATGCCCAGCTCAGCTAGCAAGACGAGCTCAGATATGTCTGGACCTACTTCGGTCGCGAGAGAAGTTCATGCCGGAGATTGAGTCCGAATGTTGTCCGAGGTGGTTGATTTTTTCCGTTCGAAGGTCAAATCTGGAGAAAAATCAGGACCTATTAACGTCCGGGTATGATGCCGGACGTACTCTCGTACTGATGTATCAAGACCACCACTGTATGCATGGGAGTCGTCGGAGAAACAGCACGCAAGTACAGCGGCGCGATGATCGAACTTCGCCTTCTGTTCGTTGGCTGCGATATCGTAGAAGCGAACCGTCTGAGAAGAGTAGTGAGTCCTCGTTGAACTCGATAATTTCGGGGAAATAGGAGTGCCACGCCATATCACCGTGAGGTAGATTCCAGAATTGACGACGAGTGTGAAGACATTCAAAATCAAATGACACACCGATGATCTCGCCCTTACGCATCGGCATCATTCCCCGCGCACAATCTCTCGCAACAACCTTCTAAGAGCGTAAGAAACGATGCGCCACGAAGGTTCTAGGTATGATCAATGAATATTGGCGATGGCGTTTCGTCAAAAACGGAGAATAGGGAAGATGGGACAAGCAAGAGAAGCAGCGCAAAAGCAATACGTGCGACGTGCGGTTGCACCATTCAACCAAGAGCGGGCACCCACACCGAGACTTCAAAGACAAGCAACTCACCGTATCCCAAGATGATACGAGCAGATGAGACGGATTGGTCGGTGAGAACCGCACGGAAGATACGCTATCGAATGGAGGAGACGAGAGTTCAATTTGTTCTGTGTGGAACTGTGAGTGACCAGTACAACGGACGCTGATATCCCAACGTACCTGACATAGCAACGCGCCTCCCTTGACTTGGCGTGTCAATTCAAAGCAGTTCAGCTAAGTGGCAAGAGATGGAATGGTCGCGCCCGAGGGAGGTCGCTTTCGGTGGGAGTGGCTGAGGCAGCCACAGGCGTTGAATGACTGTTTGGCGTTATTGTGTCTTATTAGGATCCAAAGCTTTTGCCAAACAACGCCTGCCAACAATGTTTCCCACAGACGCTGAGACTCCGCGTTCAAGTTCTCGGCTGTGGAATGGAGCTGGCAATCCTCTAGGTCTCCCTACGAGAATCACTAATTGCTATTTGAACGATGTGTACACCACTATCTGAAAGTTTTTGATGCATCTGACCTACCAGACTGGGAATATAGCACGTAGATCGCCTCGCAACTGACCCGGGCCACTGTCAATCCTATGGAATCCATTCAGGTGGCGCTTTCCAGTCATACCTGCACCGCTGGCGGAGCCGTCTCCGGCGAAGTCTTTCTGAACTATCATTGCTACAGCAAGAACAAATTGAAGAGGTCCACGTCAAGTTCAGAGGATCTGTATACACGTATGTCTGCATCTGACAACCCCTTTGGCTTGCATGTAACGAGCCAACAAACAGATTCATCAGCCCCGCCCGAACAGATTTGAACGAAACGCGGGAAATTGATATCGTCCGCGACCAAGTGTCCGTTTGGTCCAGGGGATCGGCTTATCCTCCGCCGGACTCACACAACCTCAGCATCCCATTCGTGTTCAATGTCTCGAGTAACATCCCACCTTCATACGAGTCCACTGCGCTAGAGTGTCGCGCGGTTGTACGCTATGGTGTAGAAGCAGTCGGTGTCCGCCCGGGAGCGCTGCGCTTGAACAGGCGTGTGTTTATCCCCGTCATTGGGCTGCCTGCGGATGCCCCCGGTGCTCCACTGAGAGCTATACTACAGTCCGGCTGGACAGGGGCGTGGAACGCGGAGATCAAGCACAAGCAAGTCCGACCAGGCTTCTGGGGAGAGCATGCTGATGTCTCCGTGGAAGTAAGTACGTCCCTTGTTCGCATCTCTTCGGTTCAGCCGGCTAAGCTGAGAACTGTCAGTTCAAGTATCCTGCCGTGAAGACAATGGTACTATTTGCGGCTGTGCCTTTCACTCTGACTGTTGTCACTACGAGCAAATCGTGTAAAAGAACACCCGAAAAGAAGCCAATGTGGCCCGCGCCTCCAGATAAACCTGAGGATGTCCGCGTGGAACTGAGGCGTACGGCATATGTGCGCACGAGCCATCTCACGTGGACACAGAACGATCGTCTTTCCTTACTGGGAAATCTGGGGGAGGCGGGAAAGGGCAAGGACGTCCAAACTGTGCTTGCCGAGAAGGAATGGTTGCCCATCAATGGGATGGACTTGAAAGGCAAATGGAGACAGCGCACGTCATTCTCATCCACATTCAGCCTCTCGTGCCCTCCGTCTTTCCATTTTCCCACTCTCAGCGTCGAAGTGCGTGTCTCGTCGCCACTTATCAGTCATCACGTATTCACAAGAGGTTTATCTCAGTACAATATCACTGTTGTTGTCCCCTTAAGCGGGTTGAACAACACTGTACGGCTCGACATTCCTATCACAGTGTCTTCTGGCATGGTTCCCAGACCCACTGTCGACGTTCCAGACTACACTGCCCCACCTCCTGGTGCACCGCCGGATGATGCGGACTATCTGGCCCCTCCGCCTACCCTTGACTTGCCCCCGTATGTATTCTCGCCCTTCATTGTATGGCTAGAACTCATTGCTCCCATACATAGGTCGTATTGGAACGCCGCGGAGTGACACCAACGACTGTTCGCTCATGATCATATTCACATTTCACTACAAGGTCGGACGCTGGTATCTGGTATGATATCTAGATGGTCTCGCAAGCTATTCAGAAGTTCGGGCATTTTGTCTCGATATGTCACGACCTGCCTAACGACTCGCGACAAGCTATGGTGTGTCTGTCGGTGAACGGTCATAGTCTTGACATTTAAGGTGTCGTGCATGTGTCTGTGAATCATCGACCTTCGCTAGAATGCATCGCAGTCAACTCAATAGTGGCATCGGTCGTTATGACGCATGATGTAAGTCCAGCATCCGCTGGGTTCTATGGCTCGCGTCGAGCAACCCCGTCGGCGAGCTACTGGAAGTCATCAGTCTTCTATGCACGACATGGAGCGTGGCTGCATATCTTGGATCAACCTTGACTTTTCGCGGATGTTCCCGATAGATCAGAGCCGCCGTGAGGATACCGCGCTCGTCCCAGTGAGTTCATCCAGGCTCTTTAACATTGTGTGGCCATGTTGATGCTGACTCCGGCGTTCAAGACCAATTCAAGACCACGGGCCTTGCATGCCAAGTGTATGCCCGAGATGATGCGCGTGGATTATGAAACGGAAGATGAGGAGGCCAGGGCGGCGCCCAGGTGATGGACTGGCAACGACCAAATCCGAGCGCACCTTGATCCAATGGCTGTGCTCTTGCTTCATGGGTAAGATGGGCCGCAGACAGCGGAGGTTACCGTTGATCTGCCTGGTGCTCGGTGAGTTGTGTCAGACTGCCGGGGAACCGCAGCTGATCATCGCTAGAACCAGATTTTGCCTACCAGGATTGAACCCAGTAACCCGCCCGGCTACGCAGCTATTGGGTCAGGGCACTTCACGCGTGGGCCTCCGAAAGGGCCATGGAAGCAGGATCGCGGGTCATATCGTTGGCGAATCGTAGTCTAGTCCCATAGGTTGTGTGTTTGCAAATCGCCGCATCATGATCGTCAGGATGCCTGTGGGCGCTACCGTGTCCACGTCCTCCTCCAGCCTCCTCCTCATTCTCCTCCGGCGCCGGCACCGGCCTCTAACAGACGCCCTGTTCTTTGCCCGATGATCGACCGTATCGTTAGCATTGACAGTTGATCCCCGTGCTTTCCGGTGAGTCAGGCTGTTGGACAACGTCGATTCCACCATTAGTACATATACGGCGCCTGACCCACTTGCTCGAAACTCAATGCTTTGCTACAGACCCTTCTAAAGGCGCCGGCGCTGATGCCGCATGTGGGCAACCAAGCGAACAGCTTCGTCACCAGCCTAGTCTAAGTAATGGTACGGTCGGGTATAAAGGTCAACGCCCGAACATAGGGAGCTTATCGGCATTCTCTATCAGGTGTCTATATCGATCCGGACTCGAACAGCTTACAACGACTATTCACATAGTATGTCTGACACGGAAAGCGAGGGGTCGAGCAGCGATCCCTACTCCTCTCGGCCACTTGCTGCGAGCAAGCCGTCAGTCATTGTTCTGTGCTGTATCTCATCTCGATTTTTGTACTGATGCATCATTTGTTCGTCGCAGAACCGGGGCATGTGCTAACTGCAAGGCATTCAAGGTATGTCCAGCACATGCTGCACGACAAGGCGACATTGATTCCTCGTAGATTCGCTGCGAGTGGATCATCGATGAGGGGATTTGTTTGAAGTGCAAGATGATTGGAGCAGACTGCGTTTCCAATGGACGCAAGAAGCACCGACCCGCCATGTGAGTGGTTTGCGTCTGCTCTAATCCTCCTCGGCTGACAGAGACTGACAACTGTGTAGGTCTCATGAACAACTAAAGAAGCGGTCGCTGGCTCAAGACGCCCATATCCAGTCGCTGCTGAACCAGCTAGATGGTCGGAAGCGGCTCTCTGAGATACGGCATTTCGTGGACGAAGCGCAGGCCGAAGCCACTGCCACCATGAGGGCAGCATCGAATAGCCTGACTTGTGAGCACCCTTCGTTGGCAGTGAGTCACTGTATTCATCCGCCCCGGCGCTTGATGCAGTCTACGTCGACGAGGATCCAGCCAGTGGCTCACGGTGCGAACCTGGTGGAGGTGAAGTCATCTCATCACGCGAGCCGTCCGCAGCAAAGGCAAGAGCGGCTGCATCGTTCTTCCTTCCGTACTACTCAGTCATAGGTCAGTGCGATTCATCGACGTGGCACGATGCAAAGGCCCGCAGTTGTTGATTCAAGACTAACTTATAGACTTTACTAAATTCACATGTCCACCAATCCTCAGATGTGGCCTCTTCGGACCCGCGGAGGTGACAGCCCTGTTCAAGCTGTGAGTAATCACTCTCAGAACTGCGTGGCAACACAACAGCTAACTTCGCTCCCGCGTCAGATACTTCGACAAACTACATGTAATGGTTTTCTCCGCTTTCAACCACTTACACGAGCTGAATGTTGACCGCCTACCCCCAGCCATCCTTCGCACTGCTAGATCCTGTATTGCACACCCCAGAATATGTCTTGTCAAGATCGTCTTTACTCTTTACGACCGGTCGGTACACCCCGTCGTCTAGGTCACGATGTTGCTGAATTCTCATGACCCAGTGCTGTACATCTCAACACGGTTGTGGACACATCGGCCCAAGCTGCACAGCCTTGCCCGGGCACATGCTGCAGAAAGTGTGAAAGCCGCCGTTACAGAGGGCGTCAGAACGATCGAGACATGTCAGGCTTTTACATTGATGCCTCTTTTCCCTGCTCCCCAGCAAAGCTACTGGAATGACTCGCGAGGTTGGATGCTCATGGGCATCGCCACTCGGTACGCTCAGTGTCCCTTTGACTCCCACACCCTCTTGGGCCCCGCTCACCGCAATCGTAGAATTGCTCAAGATCTCAAGTTGGACGAGCCACCACCTGCGGACCTTCCCGAGCGCGAGAAGCTCAACCGCCTCCGGACCTGGTTCCAGATCGTCACCGTCGACTCATCGAACGCCATCCAGAGAGGCCACGCAACAATGATCCAGAGGAACAACTTCACCGCCCAGATGATGGACATATGGTACAGGTGCTCGCCGCTCAACTTGCCGTACGACGTCTACTGCAGTGCCTGTGCGGACTTAATGTTATTTGTGTCAAACCTGTGGGGACCTATGGGACCCACGAGTATGAACTCGCAGGAGGTAAGCAGCTCCCCTCCTAGGCTTCGTTCGTTGGACTCACTTCTCACAGGATGACGAGGTCATCGAAACCGTACTCGCATATCATCACAGTGTATGCAATCGGATCGAAATGTGGCAAAATCGGATTGCTAAGCACCAGAGAGATGCCTCTGGTACGTTTCGGACAACCCGAGGTACTGTATGCCAAATGACGACTTTCTGAGCAGTCGCTGCGCATCGTGACCCCAAGTTGGCTTTGTATGTCGTGCCTATGTCTCGTAGAAGCATCTAACTTACAGCGTGCTGCAGTCTCGGACACGCCTTGCGATTGACAATTTTGGGCGTGGGCTTCCAGCATTCTGTAAAGCGCATGCTTCACCCCAATATGGAGCTGCTCAGTCTTGTTCGTCACTTCTTTCACCATCTATGTCTACCCTATGCTTACATGTGGGCAGGCGATCGATGCGGCACGCCATGTCCTGAAGCTTGACATCGAGCATATATACCCCACCGGTGCTTTGCGCTACGTGATTGAGGTATGTGGCTCGCCATGTGTGTCGACCCGGCTCTGAAGCTGTCTAGCCGCATCACATGTATGTGACGTATTCGTCAGCGTTCCTGATCAACGTAAGTACTCCTACTGTTCGTGTAAGTATCATCATAACTCACCTAGCGCAGCTACTACGCCCCTGCCTTGCTCTCCTGCTCTCCTGCTCTGTCCGTGTGGGCATCCTCCGCGAAGTCCGTTCCCTGATCGAGCTCTTCAATTCCAGAGACGTGGCAGTCGACAGGGCCCATCTCGCCGTCGTCTACGCAGCCTTTCTCGAGGCATTGTTGGACCAGATGACCGCAGGAGAAGCCCTTGCGGACGACCCCGCCGCCCATCCGTCGACACCCACCCAGAGCAACTTCCCCATGGCGCTGGTCGCCGCGTCGGAGGGCCATGGCAGCTCAAGCGGTGTCATAGACATACAGACGACGCAAGGCGCCGAGTTCACCTTCGACCGCTTTGTCGCGGACATCACCACACACCAAAAGACCGTCTATCCTGCGCCGCGCGCTGAGACTTGGCATGGATTCCCTGTGGACGAGGGTACCTGGTGAGGAGGAGGGAGTGCAGGAGGTCAGGATACAACGCGACCGATACGACAACTCAGAAGACTAAGAGGGCGCACGAGATATTCAACATATACATAGCCTTGGGTCGGCTCGGGGCCGTGCTTCGTCTGTTGCTCCATATGCATTAGTTCTCTATCTGTCGAAGTTTAATTAATTTTGGCATTAATCGAAGACAGTAGATTCGCAGTGCGGGTTCGGTACGCGTGGGGATGCCTGTTGGAGGTGCTCTCGATCGGGGTGACTGAGGACCCATGTTAGGCTGCAGGGTTTAAAGGTTCAATGCCGGCGATGGACTTTGTACTTCTCGAACACCATATGACTCCTCCAATCGCGCGGACGGCATTGGCGGTGCAGGCTTGATGTACACATGTCCACGACGTCCGGCTTTTTATGAGGATCAGATTCAGCACACGCTCGTCGCAAATGGGCAGATGCCGCGCTTTTCAGACTGATCCTCCTGGCGAAGATAAGTAAGTCCGCCTGGGGAACGAGTCTGACTCGTCAAGCCATGCATATGTTAGGACAGACATCGGTACGGCTGATACTTTCGGTGGTGTTACATATCATTTCGAAAGCGGTGCTCATGCTTTCTTCTACCAGTTGGACGCCTCCCCGCTCATATCACCATCAAACGACGCTCACAATGGCACGGTGGCTTGACTGTTCAGCATCTCGTCAGAGAACGGACTTCATCTCGACAAACTCAGGCTGGACACTCACGCGGAAGACGCGGTCTGGCCCGTATGTCCTGCAGCGCAGAGAAGGATGCGCGTCGTCGCCGGGACGTCGTGCTCGTCAGCGGTCGGTCTGGCATCGCGATAGCAAGGCAGGAGTCCAGCATCGACTGCGTCATCGTCATCAGGCCTTGGTCTGCAGCCAGGATTGGGCAGCTCTGCAACCGCCAAAGGATCGAGAGGAACTTGTATCGCTTCAAGAGGTAGATAAGCATGTCATAGTGTCGCGACGGAAAGGGCACGTACGTTGATGAGATCAGCGTTGAGAGCTTTCGGAAAAGGTATCTTGACCGGTACGAAGTATGGCTGCTCTTTGAGCCAGAGAAGAGTATCTCGCAGACTCGGTCGGGAGATCACATAAAAGTTGACATAGCAGGCTCGCATGATCACGTCTTTCTGGCCCTAGGTACCGGGGTCATGAGTATCTCGAGTCCACTATTTCGCTTGTCATACTCACCTCCGACTCGCTCGTCGGAACCCGACGTATATCCGATTCAGCAAGGGGGAGCATCGAAGTGTGGAACTGGAGACACCACGACACTAGGCACGGGAATTAGCATCGACACCTGTCCTGTATACTCAGCTCACTTACCCGCGAAAGCGAACGAAGTGAGTGGAGGTCGAAGCGTGGCGCTTGCTTTGGGTAAGAGCTCACGCCGCTTCGTCTCGTCCTCCACCAGCTCCGTTATCGCGTGCCTGGACAGCGCGGCGTTGGGGCCAGTGCAAGTCATCCTTGTGGCACGCAGGTATCCCTTCAGCATGGGAGGTATTTCGTAGCGACGTCCCCGCTTGACATGCTTCCTGACGGCTCGCGGCGTGGCGTGCTGCAGTAGGTGGGCGTACTTCAGGACATAGCGAAGGCAGGCCCATGCGTCTTTCGGTAGGCTGCAAGTGATGCGGCATCGGCGCTCAGCGCTCTGCATCCAAAGCTTGATTCGAAGGAGGATGTCGACATACCTCCCGCCAGGGTCCCTGCGAATGCCGAAGGCATCGTCCAGCACTTTGAACGCGAGCTCTCTATATTGGTGCGACACGCGCAGGAGCGCGGGAAATGGATTGGTGGACAGTCGCTCCTCTATCTCGTCATCACCTTGGATCTCGGAAGAGAACAGGAAGTATAGGTAGCAAGAGGCGACTCCGAACAAGATGTCGATCAAGAGCTCGGGAGGAAGAAGCAGAGGATATCTGGGCCGAGGGATCGGACGATGGCGTGGACAGACAAAGTAGCTGTATCGCGGGTCATTTTCAGCTAGACTCGCACTGTGGCCGACGATTTTTGCGTCTGCACCACAAACTGCTCAGCACATACTCGGGAAAGGAGGACGCGAGAGTGCTTGCCTTGCGTAACGTTTACCATTGACATCGTTTCTGAAGCGAACATGCAACTTGTGTTGACGCGATCTCGCCAGCACTAGCCTGAGCGTCGACGTCAAAGAACAATGGGTGTGAGTAGTCGATGAGCAATGTATGAGCAGTTGCCAGTACCAGGATACCTCACCTTCCGAGTCGAGGCTTGCAGGAAGAGAGGGAGAGAGAAACGGATGGATCATCTTAAGAATGGGCGACGTGGCCGCTATAAGTACATACAGCGAGGGCGAAGGACGTTCTGAAACGGCGATAACGATGAAAAAGTAGAAGCGAGCAATAAGTTCGAAAAGAGAAAGCGACGCGTGAGTTGCGAACAACCGTTTGACAGATCGGGAAGGGAACATGCCAAAAAAGGCAATTATTGATCAACAGGCGAGTGAGCATCCGTCAGTGTGGCGGACATCCGTTGAGTCGCTTTCCGGCCTTGGGCTTTGACAGTCTCGGCGCAAAGTAGGAAGCTCTGAGGCTCGCGAGCGGTGTCGTCCACAGCCGCGACCCTAGCCCGGCGGCGCTCTTCTCGGTCGGTCCACCGCATCGCCATCATCGAGCTCGTCGCAGGCACTGCGCCGGTAGGAGGAGGAGGAGGAGGAGGAGGAGGGAATTACATTTAGTCACCCCAGCTACATACTACCTACGACTAGTAGGTAAGGAAAGCCTGAGTAAGAGAAAGCCGGCGGTTTAATTGTAATAGCTAGGATTCTGCGTCCGCTTTCTCCATACCCTTCAATTCATTCGTTAATACATCTGGCAGCGCCTGACAGTGAAGGCACGATCATTGTGGTGATTGCGAGTCCCTCACTGCAGGCCTCAGCGCTCAGCCCAGAACGGATGTATCAAGCTCAAAAAATCTCGAACCTAGTAGGGTCAAACGACGTCCCCTCGTCCGTATTAGGCCCACAAACGATCAGCACAGGTAAAGCTACTAGAAAGACATACTCTTCTGCCTTGAGCTAGTAGCTCGCCAGCATCGCAATAAAGTCCACGCAGGCACAGGCGTCGATATATACCCGAGTCGACGCTTCAACATAAGGATCACGGCTCTGGAAATGATAATACATTATTCATTCAATGTAGATGATCAACGCACTGTATGTACAATCTATTCCGCCTTCGGCGCATGAACACATCCGTTAGCAATGCAGCAGCCAAGTCTCGTAGTCTATCGCAGCATGTCCTCTAGGTCGTCTTCAGGAGACGGTATGCCCGGCGTCGTTGGGTCGTCAAATTGAGCGCGCGCAATTTCTGTCCAAGGGGTCCCTCCGCGCTCCACTAGGGCGGCCGCACGGGAACCGAGAACCGCGTCGTCGAAGCTAACCACCGATTCCGCCTTGTAACGCTTCTGAGCAAAGTATTTCTCGTGCCAATCACCGTCCTGAAGGGCGACAGTCGTTAATTTTTCTTCCATTTCTTCCTCGGTCACGTTGAATACGGTGCTGCGACCAGCGACCATCGCCTCCCATTCCCCGTTCACGCCGCAGCCGTGCGGAAGGACGCAGAGCTTCTCTTCGACCGATGCGACATCCTTGAGGGCGGTCCAAACAGGAGCGTCGCGAGCGCAATACACGGTCGGCCCAGCCCACATGCATACGACTAATTTCTCCAGACGCCGAAGTTTGAGCATCTCGCGGACAAGGCCCACGGCCTCGTCGATGTCGTGTAAGGCGTTCAGCTGGATGCAGCAGTATTGCATCTTGGGGAAGAGTGCGCGAAGACCGTTCGGTGGAAGTTGCTGCCGCTGGTAATGCCACAGCGGTTCGAAGACCACGTGTGTGGCTCTCTCGAAGACCTTGGGACACGCCGAGAGCTTGGACGCCCGAGCCGGCGAGGCTGCATCCGCCAACAGCAAGACGTGCGTAGGCCTTGCCGCGCTATCCGTGAGCCACCCCTCCGATACCAAGGTCACGTCGATAGCGAGGCATACGAGTTTCCCCGCCGTCGTCAGCGAGGTCGCTACGCCCTTCGCCCCATCCCCCAAGACATCGTCCCTTGACAGCGGCGGGTTCCAAGACTTGATGTCCTCTAGGACGGTGTGCGCCCGCAAGTTACGGACGAACGACGGGATGTGAACGCCCAAGGGCTGCGTTAAGGCCTCCGCGATGGCCTCGGCTTGCCTGTCGTGCCGAATGTCGACGGTTGTCCACCGGTTGGATAGGTCAGAATCTTCTTCTGCATACAACCATCTTCTGGTCGCCGGACGCCTCTCCTTAATTGCAGTCTGCTTGATGCGTCCCTCGGAGGCGACAGAGGGGGTAGAAGCCCGCGACATGCGGCTGCGAGATCGATGTGGCTTCGTCTTCGCAGCACTAGATGTTGCCTTCGGAATCGTCCGGCGTTTCTTGGTCGTCCATCTCCGCTTGGGGGCCATGATCGTCCGAGAGAGGAGAGGGTGGTGATAGATGTAGTTGAAAGCCGTTCAAGGAGTTGGGAGTGAAGGTGTGAGAGACTGAGCGCCGAGGCAAGGAGTTGAGCGTCGCCTTTATGCTTGCGGGAGGGCGGCCGGTCTTTGAAAGGCAAGATGCGCCGTTTCCCATGGCAACGCGCGTCCTGTGGCCACAATCGGTGACCATCCTGATTTGGCTTTGGCCTTGTACTTTGCCGCATCGTGGCGCCACGATCTCGGCATGGACCAATCCGCACAGAACAATGGCTCGTATCGATCGTTTGGGATTCGTGGCCATGACCTGATAGGCTGGGATGGATTCCCGATCCATGCAATGCGTAACGAGGGGTGCGCGTCCGTGCGTCCGTGTCGTGGACGGGGTTGTCATCCGCGTCGAAGCGCGCTTCATGTGGCGGTAAAAATGTCTGTGACATCGACGAAATTACTGTCTGCATATGTACACACGAGAACTAACGCACCATATGCAAATATAGTCCGATATGCTACAAATTGAACCACCATCAGTCTCCTGCAAATAAATGACTAGTCGCTGTGGCGATCAGCCTGCACATCTTGCATCGGAAGGAGGGACGAACGCTTGTCCCTTCACACGAGTATACACAAAGTATACATCTCATCTGACAGGATGTGGGGCACCGGGGTAAATGGACGACAGGGCGTGCGAGACGTGTATTGACCTGGTATGCATATCCATGTTCGGAGAGGATACACGTATGGGCTACAATGTCCGCTGTGCAGATCTTGCCAGACTGACCTATCGTGTCCGTTGGTCTTGCCATGGCCATCATTACCTGACCATGAACGATGCGCGAACCACATGAAGAGAACGTAGAGGACCTCCCGAACCATACAGTCCAACCGTGCCACGATCTACTCCGTTTTCTGTGTCTGTTCAGGTGCTGTACGTGTTTCCCCGACCTTCGCCTTCCTCTCCTTCTTCCAAGCAAGCACCTCTCGGATGATAGAGGCCAACAGCGGGGCCGTGACAGACGCGAACAGCGGCGCGTACACCGCCCATTTGTGCTCTGCGGGGAAGTACAATAATGCGAGCATCCCTGGGTTGAAGAACGCGCGTGACGCCACGGACTGGGCCTTGCTCGCGAAGGTCAACGCCTCATTTGCGGATGACGATGCGGCCGAATATGTCTGAAGTCGACCGGTGAGCTTATGTCGACAGCGCGATACACTCAGCTGGACGCGAGACGTACTTGATCGAGAGCAGCTAGGGCACCCTGTACGTCACCCCTGACATCCTCGCCGACGGGCATGTCTTCGATCTGCGCGACTAGCCGTACGATGCTTTGCAGCGTCTCCTGTGCACTGGCGGCGTTCTCCACTGCACGTCGGCGCACAAGCGCGTCCAGCTGCCAGTCGGTCACTCCTGCGGAGCCTTGAGTTTGAGCATGGACGTGCGGCGCCAACTCTGGCACACCAAGCAAGGCTGAGAGCTGTTGGCGGAATGTCGCAAATATAGCGTCTAGCGGACGCCCAGCGAGGGTCCGGGTGACGCCGGCCGGGTTGGGATTGCAGAGTACGACGCCGCCCCATTGCGGTAGTATAAAAGCACTTGACGATGTCGGTCTGTCTGCTTCAGATGTGAACAATAGACAAGATAGCTGGGACGCATCGCATACCATCGTTGCCCAGTATGCGTAGTGGACTGTGTTTTGAAGATGGGATGAAGGCAACGAAGTGCAGCACTGGATCATTCGAAACGCTCGACGCTAAGGGGGGTTAGCGCCGGTTGATATGAGGAGGCGAAAGGCCCATACAAAATGTCCACTCCGCTGAGTTGACGAAGACGGTGAGGTCCTCAGGCGTTAATCCATACTCGTCCCCTTGCAATGCGCGAGGATCAAAGGCAAGAGGCCCGTGGTACTGCACTTGACTCTCAACCGTGAAGTTGTGCAGCACAGACAGACGCTCGAGTAAGGGTGAGACCTGCGCTAAACAACAGTTCATCGATTCGTACTCTCATGCTTAGAGAAACGTACCAGTCATGGCTCCATGCACATCCCAAGATAATGCAGCATTGCCTGAAGCAGCGTCTTCGTTCAGAAGGGTGAATGCCAATCGGTACCGTGGCGAATATGACACGACGCGCTCAGTCTGGGAGCTCCGGAGACTGGTGTAAGGAGTAAGCAACGTCGCCAATGTATCGGCAAGTTGCATCGCTGCCACGCCTGCGTGCTCAGGCGGAATCTCCATCGTAACCTTACGGCCGTCGACTGTGGGATCCCGCGTCCCTCGACGAAGAACGACCTGATAGCCATTCGCACTTAGGAGTGGTTTGAACTTGACACAGGATGGCGCACTTGCACGAAGACTCACGTTGCCGCCTCAGACGAGATTTGCACAGACAAACCATTCTGCTTGAACTCTTCGCTGCTTGCAATGTGGCGCCGTACCTCCTGCGTGAACGCATCTGTGCCGATCTCATAATCCCTGGTGTCAAGGGCAACGCGGATGGGAAACGCGAGCTCTCTTCCCGCCTGCGCAGTGACGCGTGACACAGGCAGAGCTTGCCGTTCAATACTGGTTGTATTCCACCAGAGAGGCAAAGCGAGGATAATGACGAGGAAGTACGATGCGATGATACTTCTGCGCGTCAAGGGCGATTCGAATGCGAGAGCGGACTTGGATGCAGCATCCATGGCGAAGTGCGCCTGTGTCGAATGAATTCCTGCGTTTGTGGGTGCGTTGTATAGATCTAGATCCCTTCGTTGTAAAGCATGGATCCAGCGATTTCTCGACAGGTTCTGTCAACGAAGAACAGTCATGAAGGTGAGGAGCGGTGAGTAGCGGTGGCTGAGCTATCCTGATGCGGCTCTCACGGGCTGTGCCGGTGACATTCGGGCGGAGATTCAACGGATGGCACCAAGTCCAATTGCGGAAGGCGACAGCTTGCAGGCAAACCTCTCAACCCAAGACCAACTCATCGAAACTACTCACATTCGTTACAGATACTGCCTCACGGCGGGGGAAACTTAACTTACTCTCGTGTTCTCTTCATGCTATACTGCCGCTGACGGCTCGACTTTGGCTCGACTTGCCATCGGTACCTTCTTCGTGCACCTGCTTCCCGCCCGGCACGTTTGTACAGGCGTCTGATCGCTACTGTGGGTCATGTCTCCGACGAACCAACGACGGCGCCGTCGCGGCGGCGGAAAAAACAACGGGCCACCTCCGTACAATGTCAGCGAGCATGTTTGTGGAAGTTGTTGCACTAGAAACTTACATTGATATACCCCTAGCGACCACCAATCCATGACGGCAGGTATGGACCCTCGCCCGGCCCGCCGACCGCGTATCCTGGCCACGATATCTATAATCCTGGTATTGGAGGCGCGCCGTATGCAGCCGACTATTCTAATGACTATGGTTCTCAATCAGAGTTATGGCGTTCCGAAGCTTCGTTCTATCCTAGACCTCCTTCTCCGGATCCGTATGGCTATCAGCCAGGTCCGTCTACAGGTGGCTGGGCGCCGCAGAGCTGGGATCACCCTACACCTCCCCAGTGGCCTGACAGAGCTGAACCAAGTCCTCGTTTTGATGGTGATCCATGGACCTATGACCGTCCAGATGCTATGACCATGGCGCAACCTATGTTCGAGCCGAACGATTCTTGGAAGCAGCATCATATAGGTCCGCCAAATACGCAAGTATCTTCATTATGCGTATGAGGGTTCAAGTGCATTGCTTATAATATGGCACCAGATCACGGAACGATGTGGCTCCTGAGCCGTATTCACCAACAAGACGTCTTCCGCCCCGGTTTGCCAGGGATCACTATTCTCCTCCTCGACCACTGGCCAGCGATCACTACACAGTTCCTACACCTGGCCCTCCTCCATTTGACCAGTATCCTTCAGGTCCCGGACTAGTTGGCCAACCACCACCAACGGATCACTACTTCCCAGGACCAAGCCTAAATGCGCCTCCACCTCCAGGTGATCATTATCCACCCGGAACAAATGGGCTCCCTTACCCTGGGGATCATTACTCTCCGGGACCTAGTATGAGCGCACCTCCATTTTCTGGTGATCATTACTCTCCCCCTGGCCTGAGCGGCCCCCCTCCCTTTTCTGGTGATCATTACTCACCTGGACGTAGTCTGAACGCTCCTGGATACTCCGGAGATCGTTATAGGCCAGAGACACCTCCCATATACCCGTATATGAACCCTGGCACAGACAGCTACCGTCCTCGGTACGACGATATCCCAGAGCCCAGGGCGGCTCACCCGCCGAATCCCCGTGTCCATCCCAGATGGCGACTTCCTTCTCCAGAGCGTGCACCGTCAATACGAGGTAGGGCGTCTCCCGAAAGCCCCAACGCCACGAAGCGGGTCTGGGAACCCCGGAGGACGCCACCGCGCGAACTGAACAGCGTAGACCGTCTGTCGCCAACGCGATGGTCACCATCTGACCCTCGCCGAGAGCCGAGACGGATCCCCAGCCGTGGACGGTCCCTCACTCGCAGCCCTAGCCCAAGTCGCGGCCGGAGTCCTTTGTATAGCCCTCGCGCCAGTCGGAGCCCCGTCCGCCGGCAGACTCGTAGCCCTAGTCGCAACCGAAGCCCGCTCTACAGCCCTCGCGCCTCACGAAGTCCCATTCGCGGTCGCACTCGCAGTCCTATAGCTCTGAGGTCACCAGTTGGCAGAAAAAGACGTCTCAGAAGTCCGACTCTCAGCTACAGTCCCAGACGATCGAGATCTCGAAGCCCTCTACCACCGCGGATCGCTCGCCGTTACAGCCGCCGTTCATATACTCGCAGTCCATCGAGTTCCTATGACAGCTATCGAGCTAGCCGTGCTCGTCGCAGTCGTGGTCGCCGAAGGTCAGAAAGCCGCGAGTCTGTCGTTGACAGTCGGAGCAAAGCACGCAGCCGTAGCCGCGGTAGGTCGCGCAGCAGAGCTTCTACTCTATACTCTCCGACAACTACTCGCTTGTACTCGCCTATCTTGACTCGAAGACGAGTCTCTCCTGCACGCGGGAGAGGTCGTTCCGGTGGGCCGACCAGCAGACGCGCTAAGCCTTCTGGTGCTGCTCGGCGAGCGCGCCCTTCATCACCGTCGCGGAAGCCACCTTCCAGCAAGAGAACGAGCTCCACAGAGTCTACGGGATCGATCTATGGTCCGGAGATCCCCCCAGAACTTCGTGTGAAGAAGATAGACGCTGTAGCTGTGGCTCAGGGGAGCAGGGCTTCTTCTCTGTCCTCGTACAAGTCGGACGGCGCTACGTCAACGTTGCAGGGTGGCTCCATCCCTGGTCTGTCGAATGTTGGGAATACAGTACCTGCTGTCGGTTTGCAGTCGACTCAAGAGCCGCACGTTTCCTCATCTCAAGGTGCACAAGGCGCATCACAAGAAACAGATCCTCTTCACCAAGGTAGCCTTATGGATCATTCATTTTCCGACACGACTGACTGTGTTTTAGCTCCTGCTACGAACGACGAACTACGTGCCGCTGTTGCAAAGCTCGTCAGCGAGCGTCCGGTATCTATCGTCCTAGATACCGCAGACAAGCCGAACGAGGAGTCTCTGCGTCCTTCATTGAACGTCAATGGTATCTCGAGGCCCCCCAGCGTGCAGATCCCTCCTCTCGATCGTGATGCGTTACAAAGGAAAGCGGAGCGTGAGGAGGGCGAGTCTGACATGGATATGTCCTTGCCAGCAACCCCCACTGACGAAGTAGCGGAACCTGTCGAAGCCCCTGTGCCAGAAGTTTCGAGCGTGGTAGAGCCGAGAAGCGTACCGAGCACAGATATGTAAGTTGCCTCATTTTATCGGGCTAGGTGGAGTACTGAATTCGTTCTGGCGTCATACAGTGACACTGCCGAAGAATCGGACATGGATATGGAAATGGAAATGGACGTGGACATGGACATGTCCGCGCCTCCTTCGCCTATCATACAACCTAGCTCTGCTCTGGTGGACCAAAAGGAAGAATCCGCAGTCCAGCGTGAAGACGATTTCGTGATGCCTAGCTTGAACACTGCCACGGAGCGGACTGTCGAAGCATCGCAATCCGCTTCCGTTGGTCCAGACATTCCCTCCGGACTGTCGCCGGTTCCTGGCGACCACTCTGCAGACACTGCTCTGGCTTCTGCTTCTAGCGATGATTCTGTCATCCCTGGGCTGAGTTTTGGTCAGGAGGATGTGCCTGCTGCTACTCCCTCGAACGACGCACCGATGCTCAAGGACAGTTCTGTGGATGACAAAGCAGACGACCTCGCGATCCCTGGGCTGACGATTGTGCCTCCTGTCGTCGCACAGAATGACGAACCATCAGAGACAGTTGAGACACGCGCATCGGGAGATGTTGTGCAGGCCCGTGAACCGTCCATGCAGATTCCAGTAGAGGAGGACGAGTGCGATATGGACATGTCTCCGCCTCCGTCGCCGGGGCCCACGCCTCAATCGCCTAGACTGGATGACATTAGCTCAGTCGGCTCCTTACAGCCTGAACCCGATGCTGTGCCGGTCCTATCTATAGGAGAGCCATTAGCAGGCCAGATTTCACCCGCACCTGCTATCGAGGAACCTTCAGAGGCGCACGAAGAATCTTCGCCCGTCGCAGATGAAGCCTCAACTGCTTCAGCACGCACGTCGCCTGTTGCAGTACAAGCCTCCCTTCCGACCGAGGTACCTGCCGTCCCAGACCAAGCTCCCGTCGCAGTCTCGTCCAATTCTACTGAGACAATTCTTCCGACCGAGGCATCTCCTTCCCCTTCTTCGTCAAATGATGCGCCGCAAGAGGAGTCGCCTGCCTCACGAGATCGCTCGCCCATGATGGTAGAGTCCTTACTTGGTTTGACTGAACCGCCTCCCGCAGCAGAGTCGTCTGTCGTAGCGGACGATTCGCACCTAGTTGAAGCTTCGCCGACGGCTGTCGAGTCATCGCCTACCAGCCCAATAACCGAGAAAGTGGTCCCATCAGAACGAGAGGAGGTAACTTCGCAGGATGCCAAGCAAGCTGCACCCGTAGAGGTGACGCCAGATAGGCCGTCTGATGTCGAGGCCGAGGATGCTGTCCAGGTATGTCAACAATTGTTGTTGCGACTCCATGCTGACAAGAGGAAAGGAGCGACCAGCCGTCCCTGCCGAGTTTCCCGTCTCGCAGAAAGTCGCAGAGGTTCGCACTGGTAGAGGAAAGAAGGCCGCAACTTCTGGATCTCATCATGGCGAGCCGGCTCGACAAGCACCGAGTGAGAGCCCTACTCCAGAAGTTGACCCACTCACAGAAGGTCTCCGTGTAGTGGTCAGGGCCAGGTTGCGCTACGATCGGCAGACAAAGGCAGAACGCGTTGCTCCAGTGCTTATGGCTAACATGACCATAGCGGAGCCTCACGATCGTCATGATCCTTCTGCAGATAGGCTCTGTGCGGAAGTCTTACAAGGCAAGCGCAAGCGCGAGAGAGAAGATAGCTTCGTCCGTGTGCGACCGTCGCTGCAGGTCCTCTTTGCTCAGCGACAAGCTTCGCTAACAGAGAAGGTGAAAAAGTTACGGGAGGACTACTTGACACTGCACGACCGCTGGATGGCGCACTGCGGCAAGCTAGACGAGGTTGCGAAGGCTGCCGCACTCGAAGAAGCTGCTGCCACTGCAGGTAGAACCACTCGACGCTCCGCTGCCCTGGGAGATGCCGTACGGACGGACCTGGAGATGGAGCAGATCATCGCGAGCTTGGGCAACGAAGAGCTCACTGATGCCGATCACCTTTCTTCGCGGAACGCAGCAACGATCCCAGACATGATCTCGGTGACGAAGGGGTCGGTCGACTACCGCTACGACGATACTAATAATGTCGTCGAGGATCTAGTCAACTTTTACACGCCAAACACATGTCTCGAGGACTGGACTGAAGAAGAGAAGGAGATCTTCCTCGAGAAGTATATGCTCTACCCCAAGCAATTCGGCATCATCGCCGACTTTCTTCCCAACAAGACCACGGCGGAATGCGTTACTTATTACTATTTGCACAAGAAGACGCTTATCGACTTCCGGAAGGTCCTCGCACGAACTACGGCTGGCAAGCGGAAACGCGGGGGCGGACGCGGGGGCAAGAAGAAGGGCAATGCGTTGTTGGAAGACATCCGGAAGCACGATGCTGAAGTCTCGCGGAACTCCACTGCGAGCGGTTCTACAACTCGTCGGAGACGAGGAGCTCAGACGGCTGAGAACGGAGAGCCCGTGCCTCGCCGCGCCTCAACGCGGAAGAGTGCTATTCAAGCTGAGAACTCGCCCGGGACCACGCCAACACCCGATCCCGATCCTGAGCCACGCAAAAGACGGCGTACAGCGAAACCTACTGCGCGTGCTGCGGCAGCGGCAGAGCAAGAGGTGGACGAGGACGCTACGGTATGAAATTAGTCCGGATCTACCAATGCCGTCAACAGCTGTTCTAACGGGCAATTGCTTTCAGGAGGCGGAACCGAAGCCAGCCAAACGAACTCGTCGTTCACGTAAGATCAAGTCGGCGGAGACGGTTGAATCGCCAGTCATGTCAGAAGCGCCCCTTTTGTTCAACGAGACACGGTTCATAGACCAGACAGAACTGACAGCTCGGAAGAGGACACCGACGGGTAGTTCCCCGTGGACGGAGGAAGACAAAGGTGAGATTGTAAATGTGGACGTGGTGCCCACTGGGCACTGACGAAGACAACGCAGAACTATTCGTTAAATTGTTGGCACATCATGGCGACGACTTCAAGCGGATATCTGCGTCGATGCCCAACAAGGTGTGTATAGCTATATTAGTAGAGGTTGCCGTTGACTCATTGCATGCAGACTGCCATCCAATTGAGCGCATACTACAAGGCGAATAATGCAGAGCTCAAACTCGGAAAAGTGGCAGCCCAGGGTCGAAGGCGGTCTCCGTCACTTGAGCCCCCAGCCTCTGACGGTTACAGGGAGATGTCACTCCCAGGTTCGGGCGTCATCACACCGAGCACGAGGGCGTCAACTCCGAGCGTCGTCCAAAATTCCACGTCGTCCGCGAACTTCGAGGCACAATTCAGGCTTGATGATCCGTCCGCGGTGTACAAGTCAAAGCTCCGAGCATCCGCTCCCAACAGTGCAGATACAGAGCAGAGGCCAATAAGCCGTCCTGGCTCGAGCCTCGCTGCTCCTTCCTCCGCTTCTTCAGGGAACCTGCAGTTCCGCCCTACGTCCTTGGAGACGATGCGAGCGCAGTATGGCACGTCATCCGATGCCCTGCCACGGCACTTTCCCCTCCAATCCCGTCCCTCGCCCTTCGCATCCGTTATTCCACCCCCGCTCACCATGAATGGCTCGCCTTTCGTCGACACCGGGCGACCGATCCGCCCTGCGCCCCGGACGGCTGGACCCGGGTCGAGCTCAGGTTCGGGCTCGGGCTCAGGCTCAGGGCCGCTGACGATGACCTTCCCGTCGAGCTTCGCGTATTCGAACCTGTCGCCGTCGCACTTCTCCGGAGAACAGCGCCTGCCGCCGCGCGGATACACGATGCGCGGCGCGAGCCCGGGGAGCGCGCCCGCGAGCGCGACGATGATGTTCGAGGCGTCGGTGTTTGCGCCGCCAGGCCCGGTGCCGATGATCAGGGTGGCGTCGCCGTTCACGTTCCGCGCAGATGCGGCGGGCGTCGAAGAGTCCCCGGTGATGCCGGCGACGCTGCAGACGACGGAGGACTTGGTGGCGTATTTGGAGCACCGGTCGAGGTTTGCGGAGCCGAGGGAGTCGGATTTCATGTGAGGCGGCGGTGGGTGAGGTTGCTCGGTCTCGTGGATCTTGTGTCTTGGCCTGCAGTCGGTTTGGGTTGGCTGCTTTGACACTGTTTATGTTTTGGAAGGTTTGCTTAATGTGTTGGTGAGATGGTCACTGGTAGCGTATATGCACCCCCTTGTTCTGCACTGTTGTGTTCGTATTCTACATGGCGAGATAGTACATAATACATGTTCCGTTGTTGTCGACTCCGAAGGCTTCATTGCGGGATTTCCGGGGGATGCGGCTGAACGCTATCGGCGCCCCTCCACCATGATGATGTGGTAACCGAAGTTCGTCTTCACGAGCGGCGAGAGGAGCGGTTTGTCGACCGTGGACGGCTGCAATGCGAAGGCCGCGTCCTGGAACGAGCCCTTCGTTGATGGACGTGGATACTCAGATGTGTGGTATAAGGATGGGTGCATGTGCAGGGGAAACGTACCACCATGGATCCCCTCGTCATCCAGCCGAGACTGCCACCAGCTACAGCGTCGCGAGCGCCGCGTACACAAGGGGTTCTGGGAGAAGGAGTGAGTGAACGTACCTTTCGCCTTGTCCTCGGAGTATTCTTGCGCGACCTTGTCGAATCGCTGGCCCTCCTGGCGATCGCACAGACAAGCGAATCAGTATCGGTAGAATCGCAAGGGGGACTAAGACGTGGAGAGGAAGGACGAGAGACACACCTGGATCTTCTGCAGTGCCTCCGACGCTTTGGAGTGCTTCTCGCAGAGGATGTGCCGCACGTTGACGGCGGTCGCGGGCTTCAAGCCGCCCTTTCCCTGCGGATTCGTTGCCGTTCCACGTTCAGTAGCGATCTCTCGCAACACTATGCGGATCGCACGTACCTTGCCCTTGTCGTCTGCATCCTCCGAGCCCTTCGATGCGCCTTTACTGCCCTTCTTGTTGTCCGCCGGTTTCTTCTCTGCTGCTGCACCCTTCTTGGCCATAGCTCGTGGTCGCTCTAGTAGGAATGAAGTAAATAGATGCTGATAGGAAACCCAGGGAGTCTGAAGGTGTCCTAGTAGAGCGGCGTACGCGCCTCCCACACCGCCACAAGCGCGGTGAGCTTGTCCCCGCCCTTTTCCCCTTTTGGTAGGGCAGCGCCGCGTTTCCGCATGGTCACGTGCATGGCGTGTCGCGTGGGCTTCGCTCCGCCACCTGCCGAACTCGGACTGTTTATGACGGCGTGTGGCTCGGCCTGGCCGTGATATTGCAACTCGACTGCCCGTACGACGACAAACTCTTCCTCAACGCCCATCTACACCTATTGTTACACGAACTTCACGCCCATAGGTCTCGTTACACGTGAAGCGGAACAGCGAGCTTGACCACCCGTACCCGTACTTTGTTTCCAGACAACTTCAGTTGAAGACGTGACGTCACAATGAGTTCGCGAGCTCGCAGCAAGCCCTTGGTACGTCGGTTTTCCACAGGCTGAAACGCACACATCGCTCATTTGGGCATCCAACCGTGCAGGCTATTGCGGTCGTCGTCGGCTCAGTCGCGACACTAGGCTACATGTACGTCGCGGGCACGCAGATGAAGAGGGAGGAAGGACAGTCGTCCATCTACAGTGCGTCTGCTCTTCGTGGCATCTCGAAATCTTGCTGACTAGAACTACGCGTGCTGCAGAGGAGAGCAAGGGGGCTAGCAGTCTTGGCAGCAGCGACTCGAACGACTCGCGGCTCGGCTCTGCGGGTGTTCGCGCGGCCGTGCAAGGGGACAGGAAGTCGTGACCCCCTTCAATGCGACCAAACACAACTCGAGGCACATGCAAGCTCAAGGGCGTGCATATGGGCACTCTGTACTACTAGCACGAACATACCGACCCCACCGGCTCGGTATTTTCTGACGAACGCAATGTCATTCGTCCCCATGTCGTCCCCCTTGCGCTCCTGCTCAATCCCCGGTCCTCGCAGCGGTTTGGGCCCTCGAATTGGCTTAGCACAGCTGATAGGTCTCAGAATGACTACGAGGCTGGTCAGCGACTCGGCCCCTTTCGGCGTATGCTAGTATGGGTGGGCTGACTCGTCACTTGAACAAGGGTGGAGCGTCTTACCTGTTTGACGTTCGTGAATTGCCGTACCCGTGGCTCTGTGACGCGGCAATCCGGACTTCTCGCCAGAAACATCCATATGGTTTTGGGGCTTTGGCTATGGTGTGGTCCGGCTTGGGTCAAGCGGTGCTACGTCCGGCGAACAAACTCCAACAGACAAAGTATCCGCGCGACGAGGCCGCCGCGCAGCCGTAGGCCATACGCGCAGCGACAAACGAAACAGTCAGACGCGACCCGAGCGAGAAGGACGGTGGTCCTCCATGATGAGATGGGCATCCAACAAAGAGAAGTCTGACCGGGGCGATTTCGCCCCCGGACCCCGTTTCTGTGTTGAGGTCTGCACTGGGAGGTCTGGGCTGTGGGCGATCGGCGGCCATGGACGATGGTCGTGCTGTGGCGAGGAGTCGTGGGTCGCGTGGGCACACTTGGTTGCGACTCGTGGGTTGCGAGGCTTCCCACTGGCACAGAACGGACATGGGGAGGACGGCGGAGGAGGTTCCTCGTCATACGCGGTGTGCGTACTTAGAGTTCGTTTCACGTTCACGTTGCGCTGACCGACGAGATCGACAGCCGCCTCTGCCCCCTCAGCTCAGTCAGTGAGTCAGCCACCTGCCGGGGACAAAGCCAGATACGGTCAGAATGCATACCAGAAACGATGTGACTAACTTGACTTGCGGCTAGCGTACACGCGCAAAACAGGGGGTGAATGTAGTCCGGAGCCATGGTGCGCCGCCATTCAATTGGAACTGTGTCGGGCAGTATCACGCCTTTGTTGTTTCCGCGTACGACCAGTGGCAGTGTCGCCGAGATAGCGGTACGCGTCTGTGTGCTTTCCCTCCTCTCTTTTCGGGGTCAATGGAACCTCCCGCCAGCTTACGGTCGCCGGTTTCGCGATCCTTCTGCGCAGTCAAGTCGCGTCGCATTCGTGACCGATGTCTATCTAGCATTTTGTTCCCCTGTCTTTTTTTTTTTTTTTGAATCCCTTTATTGTCCGCGAGGGCCGAGCCCTATGTAGACAAAACTCTAACTCTAAAGATAAGTACGCGTGTGCTCTGTTAGGATCAGGCTGAGCATAAGCTTCCCCTGTCTTGATGAGTCGATGTTCTGTACCGCCGTCATTCCCGCGGAGGTTAGGCGCGGCCTCCTAAGCGGCTCGCTTTTGTCAAGCCAGCGGTCTTCATGGCCCGCAGTGGGCCATTGGAATCGTGTTTGGAGAGGCGATTGGCCCCGTTGCGAGCCTGAGGCGTCGCCGCCGGCTTGTACGTACGCCATGCGCTCCTCCGCTACGAATCTGCGACATTGACGGGTCTCTGCATTGTCTCTTGCAGAATCAAGTCGTTCACCGGTTCTCGGAACCACGCAGATCGCGGTGCGGCGGTGCACCGCGCACTAGTCGCTGATCGTCCGCATACGCGCAGCCAGAGCCAGACGGCTGTCGGCGAGTGTCCGAGCGAACCCCGAACGAGCTGGCGGTGCTGCTGTGGCGGATCCGGCGTCTCAGTGTTCCGGCGGACGAACGAGCGAGGAGAGGTGACGACGTGCGTCAGAGATCTGGAAGGATGGTGTTCCTGGCGCGATGCGAACGACGAGCCTGTGTGCTGCGAGGCACTAGTAGTAACTGACTGGTGTTTATCCGACTCCGGGACCAGCATCGCGATTTGCTATGCTGTGTGTATTGACATCCCCGTCTAGTCTCCGTTGCAGACCATAGTTGCCGACAAGCGTCCTCCCCGTCACATCAGTACGCCAAGTCGTCGCCGATGACCACGCACCGTGTATCGCGGATTTGGGCCGTATCTGGCAGTAGGTTTGTGCCGGGGCAGCCTGCACGACTTTCCGCTGCCCAACAAATCTCGCAACAACAACGTCGACAAAGTTGTTGACGCGTAGGCGTAGGACTGTAAGCTACATTGAACTTCATACGATCAACATTGGAAAGCAGTCATGGCGCACGTGGAATAACAGGGAATAACCTTCACGGCGGCGTTGTGAGTAACACGATCCTGTCAGATCCTGTCACGGAATCGGCGATCGCGATCGCGCCACTGACGGGGATCTTGATTCATGTGGCGACACGGGGGAGGCGCGCACAGCGGCGGCAGTGGCTGCCATGGATGACGGCCTGCAAGTCCACCGAGCCCCGGGCCTGGCCTCCGAGATCCGTCCTGCTAAGCGCGACGCGGGGCCATCGCCTGTCGAGGCCGCCGCGAAGATTGTTAAAAAACGAGACAAGTTGCAGCACGGCCTCTGGGCATCATCATTGCACACGTTTCCTTTTTTTGGTTCCCTTTATTGTCCGCGAGGGCCGGGCCTTATGTAGACAATGATCTGGCACTACAAGGAGGTACGTGTAAGTGGCCTGTCGGAGTCAGGCTGAGCATGCGCTCGTCGCCGGAGCGAGAGCGTCATGCACACGTTCAATGACCGGCGTGTCGCGCTTGTCGTGGGGAGGCCGGATGTACATACAGCAGAGAGGCCGGAATGTGCTCCGGGAATGCCGGTGCAAAGACTTCCGGAGGGAATCCGTGCTTCGCGGATTGCGTTCACTTGCAATGGCTGTGCTGCGATGGCACATCACTGCAAGCAGCTGCAAGCCCACGCGAAGCTGCGCTTCCCAGACGCCTCTGCGGCCTGAATCTGACTGTCACGCGCCTATACCACCCACACGACGTTCCGCGGAGCATGTCCCAAGGGAAGCGACCAGAGGTGCGTACTGCGCCAGACTGATCGCGGACACTAACAGAGTCTGCAGTGCGTGAGACACACACTCCAGACGCGGACGGGGTGCGGCGAGCGTGGAAGGGCCGCCGGTGCTGCGAAATGGGGCAAGCTTGAGGCGGGAAGGCGCCCGTCGGCGGACGATGACTTAGCGGCGTCGGCGACTTATTGTCTCGGCGGATGAATGGGTTTCAGATCGCGGACCCTCCGCCGGGCGCCTGTGCTGTCGAGCGGTCAAGACAGAAGACGCGACGAGGAGGACGCCTGCTAGTTCTGAGTCCGACAAAATCTCCTCGCTGGGCGGGCTGCACATCCTCGCTACGCTGCCTGCTGCCCCCGTTGGCCACTCCATCATTATCTCCGCGAATCGGAATAGGGCTTGTCTGGCTTTCCCCGAGAAGCACGGGCCGATCTAGATCACATACGCTCACCACCCAGCGCGCGCGAACATAAAGCCACCCATCCAAACTGCACATCTACATACGCAACACCGACACACCCCAGCACCGCTCTCATGTCAAACAACGAGAGTGACAGCAGCACCAGCCAGGCTTCGGGCTCGAAGACGAAACCCCGGGCCCCTGCGAGACCGTAAGTGCCGGTCGTGGTCAGATTGACTCAACTCTCACTCTTTCGCCACTCCCCCACAGTCGCGGTGCCTGCATGCACTGCAAATCGCTCAAGGTCCGCCATAAGTTCGGTGGCCACAGTCCTTCACTTGACATGTCTTAGATCCGCTGCGACATCATTCCAGACGAAGATATCTGCGTCCGATGCAAAGCCAACGACTTTGACTGTGTCTCCTACGGCCGCAAGAAGCGGCGTCCAGCACCGTCAGTTTCCCTCCCGTTCCACGTACAGCAACACTAACCCGTTCGCTCAACACAGAGCACACGAAGAGCTGCAACAACGCGCGTGCTCGCAAGATGTCCAGATACAGGCACTCCTCCGCAAGCTCGACGAGATAAAGTCGCTCACCAAGATCCGCTATTGGATCGCGCAGGCGCAGCAGGAGACGGAGGCTCTCCAGACAGGGGCGCGAGGGTGTCTGTCTCCGAAAGTGAGTGGGTGGGTGGCGAGTGGGGACTGCGAGCCCAAGGTGAACGGGTGGGTGCCGCGCGCAGAGAAGGACATACCCATGAGCGTACCGAGGCCGTTGACCCCTGTGCCGTCGGGTGAGTAGTGGCTCCTCCCGAGGGAGAAACGACGCTGACGGCGAGCGTTTGGTAGCCACAAATCCGAAGTGGCCACCCATCCTGAGGTGTGGGCTGTTTGGCCCGCAAGAGGTCACAGACCTGTTCAAACTGTGAGTCGTGGCTTCTTACTGGACGGCGTGTACCTGATCAGTGCTACCCGACTAGGTTCTACTGCAAGCTCCATGTACGTGTCGCGTGTTGGACGAAGCGTCAAGTGTACTAATGCTCTCCCTCCGACAGCCATCCTTCACTGTCCTGGATCCCGCCCTCCATACGCCCCAATACCTCATCTCCACATCCACCCTTCTCTTCACCAAAGGTGCGCGTTCTCGTCGTATCTGCCGCCCAGCCCGCTTATCCTTTCCTGTCTCCGCCAGTACTCTCCATCACCTCCCGCTATTGGACGCACCGCCCAAAGCTCCACCAGCTCGCAGCGACGTACGCACATGAAGCAGCGACGGAGGCCATCCGCGAAGGCCACTACACCATCGAGACCTGCCAAGCGTTCACCCTCTCCACCGGCTTCCCCGCGCCCCGCCAGCGCTTCTCAGAACACCGCGCATGGCTGCTAACGGGGATATCCATCCAGTGCGCCTGCCCGCCTCTCAGCTCCCCGCTGCCGTACTGACTCGCCCCGCAGGATCCTGCAGGCCCTGAAGCTGAACGCGCCCCCGCCGGCGGACCTCCCCGAGCGCGAGCGGCTGAACCGCATCCGGACGTGGTTCCAGGTGGTGTGCATCGACGCGTCGTCGTCCGTGCAGCAGGGCAAGGCGCCGGTGCTGCAGGGCTCGGACTACGTCGCGCGCGCGCTCCCGGCGTGGTACCGCTGCTCGCCGCTGAACTCGCCGTACGACGTGTACCTGTGCGCGTTCACGGACCTCGCGCTCCTCGTCGCGAAGCTCTGGAAGGCGATCGGCGCGGACAGCTGCGACCCGGATCTCGTCCAGGTGAGTCGGCGGCCGCGTGCGCGTGCGTTCGGGGCGGGTGCTGATGACGGTGTGTGGTTGTGGAGGACGTCGATGTGATCGCGACCGTGCTGGAGTACCACCAGAGGATCGTCGTGAAGTTTGCGGAGTGGAGGGAGAGGGAGGCGGAGCGCTCGCAGGATCCGTCGGGTGCGTCTTCCTGCGCCTTCGCCGCGACGCGCGCGACTGACTGGTGCCCGTGCAGCTACTGCGCAGCCTCAGCATGAAATGCGGTTGAAACTGTGAGTAGCGGGTGGTGCGGATGCGCTGGGAAGCTGACGGGATGTTGCAGGATCGCGAACGCGATGAAGCTCATCGTCCTCGGCGCTGGCTTCCACTATTCTGTCAGGCACGGGCAGGAGCCCCATCCTGAGATCCTGCGCCTGGTGAGTATGCTGTGCACTGCGCCCGTAGCACGAAGCTCATCTTTTGTCTAGTCAATCGAGACCGCGCTGACGTGTGTGCGCGTACACATCGAAGAACTGTATCCCGCGGGTGTCCTCGGGACCCTCATCGAGGTGAGGCTCCCGCACCTGCAGCGAAGGCCCCGTCTAACAACGTAACGTAGCCGCACTTCCTCTACGTGACATACGCCGCAGCCTTCCTCGTCAACGTGTGTAGCTCGCCTCTTCGTCTAGCGCCCTGACGAACTTACCCCAGCTTGCCCAGCTCCTCAAGGCAAACTACACCCCCCTGCTCGACCCCGTAACTCGTACAACCATCCTCAAGGAAGTGCGCGCGCTCATCGGGGTCTATCTCTCCAAGGATGTCGCGCTCGACCGCGCGCACCCGCCCGCCGTCTACGGGCGCTTCCTCGCCGCGCACCTCGACCGCATTGTCGACGGGCAGGAGCTCGCGCGCACGCCGCAGCTGGGGCCCGAGGACATCCCGCTCCCGCCGGACATGTGGGACCTCCCCGGGATGCCGCTCGAGCTGGGCGGCGGCGCGCAGCACCCGATGCCCCTCGTGGACGGCGGCGCGGGCGGCGACCTCTGGCAGGGCGCGGACTTCTGCTTCGAGAACTTCGTGACGGACGTGAACGCGCTGGGCCCTGTGCCGGAGGCGTGCGGCGAGCCGGGCGGGCTTGGGCTTGGGCTCGTGCCGGCGCTGGCGGGGAACCCGCTCGACGAGCAGACGTGGTGGGCCTCCTCCGCCCCGTGCCCGCCCCTGTTCGACCAGTCCGCGCTCGACTTGGCGACGTTTGCGATGGACGAGGCGTATTTGCAGATGGGGTGGTGATGCGGATGTGCTGTGTGGAACTTACTCGCGTGTATTTGTTAATGTGTAGCATACTAATCTTCGTTGTCGTCGGGCTCGCTGTATTACGCTACTCCATCCCGAGTCTATAGCCATAATATTGCCTGAAACAGCGCTGGGGCTGATTAGCTCGTGCCAGTCATAGAAGTCCGAATAATTAGTACGTACCCCACTCTCATAAGTATATCGTCGGTTGATCGTCGGTATCGATTTGGTCGTTCAAGCTCTCTAGGACTCGCCTCACTGTACTCATGTACGTACGCAAAGCAGCCTTGCCTAAATGGCAATTCGATAGTTGCGTCTGCCGCCCATAGCGTCGCCCGCACGATTGGACGAACCGTATGCGGTCCGAGTAAGTGGTATGGAGCACAGCGTCGGCGACGCTGCAGCCTGTGAGCCCTCAGCCAGCCCGATATCGAGAGCACCTCCACCAGACACCCACACGCGTACCGAATTCGCGCCGCGGACCTGCAGCTACCTGCAGTCCTCGAGGAATGCCAGGGTTAGTCAAAATTTGACAGATGGGTCGAATGCATATGGAGCAGATGATGAGACACAGCCCGGAGTGGATCCAAGGCTATACATATGTTCGTGCGTTCTCCGAGTCATCACTGCAATATCGGTCGCGCTGAATCGTGGCCTCCTGCACCCCCCTCCTTCTCACCAGGTACCCTCGTCCACAGGGAATCCGTGCCAAGTCGCAGCGGGCGGCGCAGGATAGGCGCTCTCCTGATGTGTGGTGATGTCCACGACAAACCGGTCGAAGGTGAACTCGGCGCCTTGCGACGTCTCTATGTCTATGACATGACTGGAGCTGCCATGGTTCGCTGATGCGGCGGCCGGCATCCTCGAAACGTTGCTCTGGGTCGGCGTTGATGGGTGAGCGGCGGGGTCGTCCGCGAGGCCTTCCCCTGCGGTCATTTGGTCCAACAACGCCTCGAGAAAGGCAGCATAGACGGCAGCGAGATGGGCCCTGTCGACTGCCACGTCTCTGGAGTTGAAAAGCTCGATCAGGGAGCGGACTTCGCGGAGGATGTCCACACGGACAGAGCTTTGAAGCAGAGGAGCCAGGCAGGGGCGCAGTAGCTGCGATGGGTGAGCTGTGAGGATATTTGCACGAACGGCTGCACTTACGTTGATGAGGAACGCTGCCGAGTACGTCACGTACATGTGATGCGGCTGGAATGCGGCTTCAGCGCTGGGTCGATCTAAGTAGTTGACGTGCCACAAACCTCGATCACGTAGCGCAAGGTACCCGTGGGGTATATGTGCTCGATGTCAAGCTTCAGGACGTGGCGTGCCGCATCGATTGCCTGTGTCCACATATGAGCACAGGGTAGGCATAGACAGGGAGCAAAGTGACGAACAAGACTGAGAAGCTCCATGTTGGGGTGGAGCATGCGCTTCACAGAATGCTGGAAGCCCACGCCCAAAACTGTCAAGCGTAAGGCGTGTCCGAGACTGCAGCACACTGTGAGTTCCATGCTTCTACGACACATAGACACGACATACAAAGCCAACTTGGGGTCGCGATGTGCAGCGACTGCATAGAGATCGTCAGTTGGCGACGCAATAACACTGGTTGTCCGAGACATACCAGAGGCATCTCTCTGATGCTCAGCAATGCGATTTTTCCACACCTCGATCTGGTTGCATACACTGCGATGATATCCCAGTACGGTTTCGATGACCTCATCATCCTGCAGTGAAAACTGAAATCTTGGACGAAGCCGGGCGAGGAGCGGAGCTGCCTACCTCCTGGGAGTTCATGCTCGTGTGCCCCATAGGTCCCCACAAGTTCGACACAAACAGCATCAGGTCCGCATAGGCACTGCAGTAGACGTCGTACGGCGAGTTGAGCGGCGAGCACTTATACCATATGTCCATCATCTGGGCGGTGAAGTTGTTCCTCTGGATCATTGTTGCTTGGCCTTTCTGGATGGCATGCGCTGCGTCGACGGAGACGATCTGGAACCACGTCCGGAGGCGGTTGAGCTTCTCACGCTCGGGAAGGTCTGCAGGTGGTGGGTCGTCCAGCTTGAGATCCTGAGCGATTCTACGGTTGCAGTGAGCAAAGCAGACGATGATGCGGGAGTCAAAGAGACACCGAGCGTACCGAGTGGCGACCCCCATGAGCATCCGGCCCCGTGAGTCATTCCAGTACCTTTGCTGAGGGGCAGGGAAGAGACACATCAATGTGAAAGCCTGACATGTCTCGATCGTTCTGGAGCCCTCTGTGACAGCCGCTTTCACGCTTTCAGCTACGTGTGCCCAGGCAAGGTTGAAAAGCTTGGGCCGATGTGTCCATAACCGCGCCGCAATATACAGCACTGGGTCATGGATTCAGACAACGTCGTGACCTAGAAGACAGGGTGTACTGACCGGTCGTAAAGAGTAGAGACGATCTTGACAAGACATATTCCGGGGTGTGCAATACAGGATCTAGCAGTGCGAAGGATGGCTGGGGGTAGGCGGTCAACTCGTGTAAGTGGTTGAAAGCGGAGAAAACCATCACATGTAGTTTATCGAAGTATCTGACGTGGCAGCGAAGTTAGATGTTGTGTTGCCGCGCGGTTCCGAGAGTGAGCACTCACAATTTGAATAGGGCTGTCACCTCCGCGGGTCCGAAAAGGCCACATTTGAGTATTGGCGGACATTTGAATGTCTCAAAATCTACAAGCCAGTCTTCAATCAACAATTGCCCTGCGCATTGTGCCACCGCACTGACCTATGACTGAGTAGTACGGAAGGAAGAACGAGGCAGTCGCCCTTGCCTTTGCTGCGGACGGCTCGCATGAAGGGATAGCTTCACCTCCACCAGGTTCGCACCGTGAGCCACCGGTCGGATCCTCGTCGAGGTAGACTACGTCAAGCGCCGGGGCCGATCAGTACCGGCAGCAGCGATTCACTAACCAAAGGTGCTCACCAGTCAGGCCATTTGGTGTTGCCCTCATGGTGGTCGCTTCCGCCTGCGCTTCGTCGACGAAATTCCGTATGCCGGATTGCCGCTTCAGCCCATCTAGCTGGCTCAACAGCGACTGAATGTGGGCGTCTTGAGCCAGCGAGCGCTTCCTTAGCTGTTCATGAGACCTACACAGCTACTTATCAGTCTCTGTCGGCCGAGGAGGATTAAGGCTCGGAGTACTAACATGGCGGGTCGGCGCTTCTTGCGTCCACGGGGAACGCAGTCTGCTCCAGTCGTCTTGCACTTCATGCAGATCCCCTCATCAATGATCCACTCGCAGCGATGCTACCAGAGTCAGTATAGCCTTGTCGTGCAATGTGGTGAGCATACCTTGAGTGCCTTGCAGCCAATGCATGCCCCGGTCCTGCGATGACCGAATGATGCATCAGTGCAAGGTTTGAGAGGATACAATGCGGAATGAATGACTAACAGCCTACTCGTAGCGGGTGGCCGAGAGGAGTAGGGATCGCTGCTCGACCCTTCGCTTTCCGTGTCGGACATACTACGTGGATGATAGTCGTTGTAAGCTGTATGGGCCCGGTTCGATATAGATTCCTGGTAGAGAATGCCGATAAGCTCCCCATGTTCGGCCGTTGACCTTTATATCCGACCGTGTCATGACTGGGCCGGTGACGAAGCTGTTCGCTTGGTTGCCCGCATGCGGCATCAACGCCGGCGCCTTCAGAAGAGCTGGTACAACAAAGCATTGAGTTTCGAATTAGTGAGGTGGGCCTCGGGCACGTACTAGTGGTGGCCGAAGTCGACGCCGCGCTGTCCAACGTCCTGACCCACCTGTGCTCCCGATTGCCAGTAAATGTCCAAAGTCCGGAAGACACGGAAAGCACGGGGATCAACGTCAACTGTCAATGTGAACGATGGTCGATCATCGGGCAAAAGACAGGGAGGATCTTCGAGGCCGCCGGCGGAGGAGGAGGTACTTAGCGCCCACCGGCATCTTACGGTCCTCCTCCTCCTCCTCTACTTAGCTCCCTCTACTTACCCACTAGTCAAAATCTGGCAAAACCCTCCAAAACCTAGTCATGATCAGCTGTGGTCCCCCGACAGTCTGACGCGACTTGACGAGCACCAGGCAGATTAGCGATGAACATCCGCTGTCCGCGGCTACCTTACGGATGTCTTATTCAATTGGCGAAACGTAGGTAAGTACCGGCGTACTTACTTGTGCGGCTATGCTGCTACTTGCGAATCCGATCGCCGGCCGTCACTGTACGCACCTGATATTTTGTCTGAGACCTGCACCGATGCCCGAGCCAAGTTCGTGGTTGTCATCAGCCTTCAATGTTACATCCCTGCATACAGACTCTGGCGCTGATTTCAGCGGTACCGACTCGGAGGCAAGCAGTGCCACTTCCAGTTCAAGGACAACCTGAACCCAAGAATCGACGATAGGACCGGACGTTACCAGAACTTGAATACGGGCTGGTCTTGAAGGTTTCAAGCGACAATATTGAATCCACAAACAGCTGGAGTAAAGTGAGTTGTCGTTGGTCCTGCCGTTCTGAGCAGGTCTTGATCAGTGACTTGAAGGCAGGCGGAATCAGAGTCGGACCATGTGCACCCTGTCACGGTCCTCAGGCCTCAAGCTTCCGGCTCCACATGCGAGACAAGTTGACGTTTTGGTTGTCGGCTTTTCTGTTCCAGCTACGTTGGGCCTCGCGGTCGCGAAACGCCGAGTCCAGCGGAATTGAGATGGGATCACTCCGGACGCAGCAGACTTGGAGTCGGCGAACGGATTCGCGCGCTGATCCAGAACCTATCAGATACGGTGTGCCCACGTATGGAGCGCGCGTGGGTCTACCTCTGGCGTTCAAACGTTCAAGAACAAGGACTTCGCCGCATGGGCTGTGCATGCCAAGCAAGTACCTGCTCGAGATGATGCACCCATATGTAGTGGACTCATCACGGCGGCCGCCACTCTACGCGCTGACTGCGCGCGGTTCTACTTATTGGAGATAAATAGCATTACCGCAGCACAGGTATGTCATCGAATGCATCATACTGGTCAACACCCGTGCACCGCATTGGATGCGGCTTAAGAGTATCTCTTTTTGGTCAGCAACGGAGACTAGATGCAGCTCACGGTTCACGGTACAGGGCTCGGGTGGTCGATTTTGAGGAGGCCCCGGCGACTGGCTGGCAACAACGGGCCCGGCACTCGATCGCACCAACAGGCTAGTTCCCTCTACTTCCAGCTAATTCCATATTGTTAGACCCCTTGCCGAACGATCGTGCACAGGCGGAGGTCGTTGGGCTCTGATCTGACCAGTGTCTGACCTTCTCGTCGAGCGATCCGCATCCGCTGTCACTTGCTGTCGTGCTTCCGACCCACCTCATGTTCCAGGCGTTAAAACGATGTTTGGTAGACATTGTTGTACCGTGGTGCGTTCGCTGCCTGTAGGACTTCGGCAAGGTAAAGGTACGTTTGAATTCCAACAGTGCAGTGCTTCGCTTTGACATGGCTTGCTAACGAGCAGAAGGCAGGAAGTGATCATGAATAATGGTCGAAGCTCGCCTTTAGTCACCACATTTCCCACCCCCAGTCACCAAGCTTCCCATTGTGCTGATTGAAAGGTCTCAGAAGGCCGTTTGAGAAAGCGGAACTGTAAATGAAAAAGGAACGACAATATGAGCCATGCTGATAGGTCATGCTACACCGCAACCAGTTTGTCAAATGATCGCGGTCCCACCTTCTAGTACTCATTCATGTGCAATTTGAAGTTCTCCCACGCAGACGTGCATTATAAAGAAGGTTCCAGAATTTTTGTGAAGTACATGGCAAGTGGTTCGTGGTTCGTTTACTTAGTGGTTCGCAAGACTGTCACTGCTGACCCATGAAGTTCGGTTGAAAAGCCTTGGAAGAGCGAGATACGCCGACCTGTTGTCTAGTATTTTCGCTCCTCAGTCAGTCTCGTTTTACATGTCAAGGACTTGTATGGATACTAGGCGAAGTGAGTGGATTACATCAATTCGAAGTACGCTCGTAGAGTCAGTAAGGTAGAGAGCTAGATAAATGTACGGGAGACAATCGCATAGGTTATCCTGACAGTACAGTGTACTCATACAACGTCTTGCTTACGGCGGAATGGTCCCAAGGTGCAAATGCGCGTCGCCGCCCCACGGAGCCGATATCCAAGCCTGCTGGAGCTCAGCTGGCGGCGAGGGCACTGGCGACACCTGCCATCCAGATTGAGCAGTTTTGACGTTCGTCACAAAATTCTGGAATGCGAATGCACCCCCTCCATGCGAGGCCTCTACGAATTGTGCGGGGTTCGCGTCGAAGACCGTCTGATACCCCGTCGGACCCGCATCGTAATCCGCAGAACGAGGTTCTGGTGCCCACGAACGAGCTGGAAGCACATGAGACGGTCCATCGGGGCCGGTATCTCGTCCTTCCAGATAGTGGTCGAGAAGCGACAAGAGGAAGCGGGCGTAGATGAAGGGATAATGCAGCTTGTCTAGAGCGACATCCGCCGAAGACCAGATTCGGATGAGCGAGCGCACGTCATTCAGGATACTCTCACGGAGCGCGGGGTCCACGAGGGAGTCGAAGCACGGGTCCAAAAGCTGCGAAGGCGTGTCAGACTGCGGATGCACGCGGGGCCGGCCATGACATACATTCAATAGGAATGCGGCTGAGTACGTGGTATGCAGATATTGTGGCTGACGACGTTTGGTTAGCACAGCCTAGATCAACGACGTTGTACCCTCACCTCAATGGCATAACGCAAGTGCCCAATGGGATACAGCTGTTCAACGTGTATACTTAGGATCGCTCGTGCAATCTGGACGGACTAAGGAAATGTGAGGATGCCGTAGAATGCGGCAAACACTTCTACTTACTGAGTGGAAGATATCCGGGGCAAGAGTGATCCCTTTCATCAGAGACCAGTGAACACCCGCGCCCAGAACTGTGAGTCTTTGACAGTACGTGACTCTGCCGACTCCATAATGAGCGCCGTCCCAGTAGTGGACATCAGATAAATGCTTACAACGTCAGCCTGGTATCGCGTTCAGCCCTCACTGCGTACTATTAGTCACATTCAGTGTAGCAGGCCGAACTCTTACCTGCCCAATTCGCCGACGTGTGGTGCTCCATGATACGCTGCTGCCAGTGAGAGACCCGTTCCGAAATTTTGTGGTCACACTCCCTCACAAGAGCAAGGACGTCGGGCTCCTCAAGGTAGTGGTGTGAGCTAGCTCATACAAACATGGAAATACAGGCACATACCTGCCATATATCGGGATTAGACATGTCCACCCGAATGTCATCCAGCAGCGGCGAAACGAGCTGCATAATGTCCAAATACGCCGCAGAGTAGATGTCATACGGTGAGTTCAGAGAAGAGCACCTGTACCAGATATCAAATATTTGGTCTACATAGTCCTTCCGCGGCTTCACGGGTGTTTTCCCTCGCTGAATGCAATGTGAAGTGTCGGCGGTCATGATGTGAAACCAGGTCCTTATGCGATTGAGTCTCTCTCGCTCAGGAAGCTCCGGCGGTGGCGGGAAGTCGAGCCGTAGATAGTGCGATATCCTGCCGCAATGTAAACATGAGGGTTGGCAAGATCACAGGCACAGATATGTCTCACCGGACAGCAGCCCCGATAAGTAACCAGTTTCGGTTCTCAGACCATCGCTGGAACGGGGCTGGGTATACCGTCATGAGAATGTACGCCTGGCAGGTTTCAATACAGTGGCAGCTATCAATAAGGGTCTGTGCCACGGCCTCACAGGCGTATGCCATCGCCAGTTGATGCAGCTTTGGTCGACACTGCCAGTGGCGTGATGCGACCGCGAGTACTATGGAACCTTATGAGCAATCATGTCGCAGAGAAGGATGTGCTCAATTACTCATTGTAAACAGAAGTGGTGACTTTGACATCAAGTACTGCGGCGTGTGCAGCCTTGGATCCAGGATCGCGAAGCACGTCTGCCAGAAAGATATGGCTCAACAATCACCAGTTCAAAAGTCATGCATCTAACGTGTAGTCTGTCATAATACCTGAAGTGTGAAAGTGAGCTATACGCGTGAAAGCTATGCACTTTCACAGTACTCACAGATCGAACAAAGCGGCAACATCTCGAGAACTGAACAAGCCGCTTTGGAGGATAGCAGGTTGACTGGTTCTGTTCGCATGATTTGCGGCTTTGTCAATCGCAAATCGACGTCAGTAGTTGCTCCATCGGTCAGGGCGTCACCGTAGCACAGAATTTACCATATTCATCCGCATAATTTGCGGGTCTCAGTAACCCGGGGTTTGACGGCGCTCCGAACGCTGATGACGACCCGGAGATTGATCCGGGGTACGCAGCAGACCGACCCCTCGGTACGCTGACTAATCAGTGTCCGTGAGTGTGAGTCCATCAATGAAATCAGGGTGACACTGCATCGCATTCCGCCGACCTACCAAACATATCGCCTGCGTGTCTTCCAAGAGAGGCAGCTTCCGCTTGTGCTTGAGCAAGACAATGGTGCATTTTAGAGCGCGCTTTCGTCTCGTCGAGCCGTTGCAGCAGCGACTGAATTTGCAAGTTCTGAGACTGCGACCGCTGTTGAAGCTCGTCCTGTGTTCTACGCGGGACAATCAGCAGATAATTCATGACGTTTTGAGGAGTACAACTCACGGCGCTGGTCTTCGTTTCTTGCGACCTCGGAAAACACATTCGGTGCCACTAGCTCTGCACCTCACACACGTGTCCTCTTCAGGGATGAATTCGCAACGGATCTGCCACGCCTTAGAATGCTGTCGATTTGAACCACCTGCAACGATATAGCTTACTTTGAGCGCTTTACATTGTATGCAAGCCCCAGGCCTGTCAAGAATTCGTGGATCAGCTTTCGAGAATCTCGGAGTTAAGGTTGACAGATGTGCTTACGGTCTCCTAGGAGGAACTGATGAGCTGGATGAAGAGTTTTCCAGCTCTGCTGACCCTTGACGCTGGCTCTTTGGTTCCTGTGGCTGGGACATCGCGTTTGTGGTTCACTGATTTCGATGTGCTGCGCGAGTCGGACGACGGACGGAGCAGATTCAATGCGCTGAGACCAATGGATTATATACCTTTGGATGGGATAGTTCCTGAGATCCTGGTCGAACCACGATAGGCGGTCTCAGTTCATCAATTCGAATTGGTTGAAAGACCTACTTTCTTGGTCGAAAATGCGCCACTCAACTCAATGGAACGCGGTCCCTCTGCGTCCGGTGAGTACAGTACACGCCGTATCAGGAAGATGGAGCACGAGGGAACCAGATCTCGATGTCGAGTCGTGTTCACCAGTGCCAGTCGCGCAGTGTGATGTTCGGTCGTGAAGGAACGTAGCAGTGGCACGTCGAGACCGTCGATTCGGAATCGCAGAGGCTGTGATTTAGCGTCGGAACCAAATGAGGGAGCATCCTCAGGAATTCCAGGTCTTGCGTCACTAGATCTGGGCCAACACGGCACACTCGGCAAACAAGAGCTGTCTGGACTAGTACATAATGCGTGTGTCATTGTCATTGTACTGTGGCATGCAGTGCTGTAGCGACTACGCATGATAGGCGCTCAGGTCCCCCGACCTCGCAGCAAACTTGTAGAAACCCGATTTGGTGCACCGTCTTCCCCGGAGTGAGTTGAACAATCGACTGCGCACGCGTTACGCGTGCACAGCACAGTGCGCAGTGATGGACCTGCGATGAGTACAGATATGGGCGCCTCTGTGCGTTGCGCAGTAGTAGATCCAAAGTAGATCCCTTTGAAAAGACTCATCACATAATAGGGTGTTTGCAGGCCCAGGTCGATACGCCGAAGACGTGACTGAACACCTGAGTGAATGAGGCTATACATACCGCGGACACGCTTGCTAGACGGCTCGCTCCGCGGATGTAGACGTCGGGGAAGCCCCGAGGCTGAGGAGAACGTCCAAGCAACGCGCAGAACTGTCTAGCCGCGTCCTCTTCCCCGACTCCGCGGGGATTCCTCGCCATAACTGCACGACGTCGGCGGATGAAGTGCATCGACGGTTGTAATCTTCGCAAACTGGCAGCGCTGCCACATCAGCGATCTGAAACACGCAGTGCGCCGTCGCCCTGCAACCGAACCGATCAAGGTCAACTCCGCGCATGTCATCATTGTGCAACTCAGACAACGTACAATCTCTGGCTTTGCGGCGGAGCTAATAGCGCAGGGCCGTCCAGTAAAAAAGACTGCCACTCAGGGCAAGCCGCCGGGGGCGGAGGATAATTGCAGCCAAGCTTATCGACCAGTTACTGATCCGAGTTCCGAGTCGAAGCGACAGCGACGGGCCTCCGAAGGCCGGAATCCCTGAAGCGCAGTAAACATCGCGGGACTTCGTGGATGAGTCTACGCCACTGACCTAGGCTGGACGCTCGAGCGCTCAGGGATCGTCCCAGGAACGTTCACCTAAAGCATGCAGGGCTGCGGACAAACACGGCCAAAATACAATTCGGGGCGTCCGTTCGCGCATGCAGTCGAAGGAAGGCGAAAGTGCGACTGGATCGGTGCACTGATTGCGATACACGCTCTGCGAAGTTAGGCCACGATTTACTACAGAGAATCGTCTTCACATCACTCATCACTTCCTGTGTCTGCTCCGTTCGGTTGTCCACTCACATGTCGACTGACTTTCCGAGTCATGGTTATCTCATACAGAGCATCTCCGCCGGGGGGCGGTTCAATGTAGTACACAGATGCCTAAACTGAGTAGAAGGCCAAGAAATGCATAGCTTTCGCAGATACTCCTGGAGATGAGCTCATCAGCAAAAAGACAAGAGAATACATATGGAGGGCTTACAGCACACGCCGCGAGCAACATACAAATGACCCGAATACCGAACAACAAGCCGTGACGTTGTTCTCCCGGAGGCGGCCTTGACAACGGAAGCCAGAGGGTATGCAATCTAGTCGCCGAGACATATTCATTTTTGAGGGCGATCACACGAAGCCCTTCGGAGTGCCGGCGAGCAGTGGAAAGCGTGGGTCCGAGTTCCCACCTATGAGAAACATTCATGGGTGAGACCAACGCCCATAGGCATCGCTCGACCGTGTCGACCGTCGCTTGTCTAGCCGAGGATGGCCCTGCGTGCGCAAGAAATGACATATGTAGGTTTTCAGCTGCGTGGCAAGTCGTCTTCCAAGCTTTTGTACTTACCCTGCATGGTCGCATCGGGTCTTCTCGATGGTTCCATCAAAGCCAGACGCGATGGGGAATGGAGGCTCGGAAATTAATGCCCCCTATGGAGCGGCAGACAAAGGGTGGACGGATTTTTATTGAAACCAAGACGCGGAGGCGACGAATCTTGGATATTGTCTCACCTTCAAGATTTACACCTGCCTCCGTATGATCAGTTCCACAAACTCTGCAGCCCTTGCAGTGTCCTACGGCTCATTCGAACATATATTCGACCGGAAATTAGTACCGGATGAATTAACGTGATCCGTGTGGCGACGTTTCCCTAGCGGCAGCTCTTCTACCAGGAAGCTATCACACGTTTGGCGCATGCACGCATAGTCTGCAGGAGAAGCCACGCTTACCAGGCTGGTCCCTGGAAGAACATCATCTACCTTCGAAGCACGTTGTGATCGGCAGATAATGCACTCACCCTCGGCATTGTAAAGTGGCCCGACGAGTCGTTAACATGGCGTTGAGTCGGCAGGTAACACAGCGGCATTGAACGTAGAGGTGAAAGACTGCAGCCAATTTGGTGGTCGCCAAGGTTCCACGCGCAAATCCACAATCAACGAAGTGGGCTTATCCATCATTTGGGCGCAACATATACGTACGCGCCAGCTTTCCGCCGTCGACCAGTACTCCCAGCCCGCAATCCTGACAACAAGCATGTAGTAAGTGCCGGTACTAAAGGCGCGACTATTACTTGGACGCGGAGAAGCCATCGTCAGAACGACCAGGATAAATGCAACAAGGGAGGGTGTGCTTAACGAGGAAAAAAGTGCCACCAAGGTCATTCCATCGTAAGTACAAAGGCGCGCTATCCTGTGCCGGAAGCGAAGCGCCCCTTAAATCATCTTGAATAGGAGGTAAAACATATCAGCAAATTCGGTCGTCCCCTTTACTGACGCTGAACCGGTAATGCAAACGCGTTTGCATTACTGTCCCGACTGCTCAAACAGAATGATCATGTCAATCTTTTGTTATAGAATCATATTTATACATCTTGAGAGCACACATGAATATTTCTGGACGTTCCGCGGTAGGGGAAAGTGCTTTCGGCAGTTCTGCAAACGAGAGACCCATTTGCCCGCCAAAGCATCGAGGTGCAGCATTTGGCGCCCACTCGAGATTAGGAGTCCGCCTGCTTGCCGTTATGCCGAATGCGCGTCTACTGCAGATGCTGAACCAGTAATGCAAACCGGCGCCGGCGGCTGCATCGAGTGCGAGTGCAAAGTGTGTATTACGGTACAGTGCAACAGCAACTAGAAGAGCATACAACATACTATAAATGTGACTATTAGCTACCGAGTAGACAGTATTAGTCGGATACTACGGTGTGATATTGGCTGCTAACGAAAGGCCGACACTGGCTTCAAAGGGAGTTGCCACCCGCCACTGCTTCCCAAGCGGAGATTGTTTCGGCATGGGGAGACGCCGCCGGTCACATTGCACTTCCCAACTCCAGTGCAATGTGCAGTGCAAACGAGCATCTTCCACTCGTACACACACCTCAGAAAATTTTAGGAAGCATATCTGGAAGGTATTTTATGTGCCTGAAGTCTCAAATTTGTGTTCCGAAGGAAGGATTGTAGTACCCGGTGCAGCAACTTCTCGTTACACCTGTATTCAGCCACCCGAAAACAGATCTTTGATTTTCTCCCGCGGCGTACAATACACCCAGCTACTTCTGCTTCATATATGATATTAAGGTAGCATGTAGCAGTCGTATACGATTTTTTGGCCCAGTAAACGGCTCGGTATGAGGGGAGAAATGCGGCTGTTTGCATTACTGTGCCCGTTTGCATTACCGGTTCCGCGTCAGTAGACGTGATATGATCAACCGTTGGTCCGAACATCAGCGGCATTGGATGCCTTTCCGCAGGATTTACGGGCGCTGGTAAAGCTAGAGCGGACGTCGAACATCGCCTGTGGCGCAAGAATAGCGAGGGTCGCTAAACCGCAGCGACGACCTATAACATGTGATGTAAATGCATAACAGGACGTCGGAGGCAACCGCAGTGATGGGACAGATGGTGAGAGCCAACGAGAGAGCGAGAATTCGAACACCGACGGTATGTTTATGCTTTTCAACCTAGAAGGGGGGGTCTGACCCCCCTTCCAGATTAAGGTTTAGAACGGGGTGCCGGAGTTCGAGAGGACGACAAGCGAGAAGGGCCGACGTGCCGGGGAGGTTTAGAGCGTGAATCTAGGATAGAACGCGCTGTAAACCTCTGCGGGAAGGCATCCATTCATGCCCTTGTTATGCCTTGCCACGCCGATTTCGTCACGCATACTGCTCATTTTCAGACTGCAATAGTCTGTCCTTTCGCACAGGCGGCCACCAGCCGAATACGGGGACTTGCATTGCAGATACATGTGGAGCTTCCAGCTTGTGAAAGAGTCCTGTCATGGTGGTGTCAGCAAAAAGATCGTGGGGTAAAGGCCGAATGGCCACCAAGTTGTAGTGACCACAGACGAACGGGGCACCGCACAATCGGCAGTGGTTGAAGAAGCGCACCGGCGGCAGAGCACATTTTTACTGGCTGATCTACGATCTCTTCGCTCGCTGTGGGCTCCTCGACTCGGGGCTATTGCATGGAGCCCAACGTAGCGGTTCTCATTGCCGGCGGCCGCGTCTATCGTTCTGTGAGCACCGTGGCTCAGCACTGACAGCACATACCTTCAGTTCTCGGAGTGTTGCGTTCGCCGTCCGACAACTACGGACCGGCCTTGGGACAAGCAGTCTGATGAGTCGAGGCGGAAAATTAAAGTGAGATATTGACGGATTCGGAGACATCAAGATCCGCCAACCGCGGAGCGACTTACAGTCAAGGTGTTAGCTTGTGAGGTCGCGTAAGAGATGTTCATGAAACACCGGGATGGTCGGCGCTGTAAAGCAATACGCCTGAGTCGAGCCCCAATGCGCACATGACACCCGAGCCAATAAGCTAGGGGTAACATAAACAATGGATGTCTGGGCCCGTAACCGGCATAGTATCGTTTTCAGAATCAGCTTTCCTTACACTCAAAGAGGTCTCGTTTAGAGTCTGCCGACGGGAGACCAAGCTTTCCTGGAGCTCTCGGAGTCAAATTCTGTGCAATTCACGTTGCGCCCGGGCCTCCGAGTTGTGCGCCGCGACTCGGATGCGATCTTTGTTTCCTTCGCTGGCACTCCAAGCCCCATAGCTTTCGGCTCGCTGCAGGCCTGCAACATACTCGTCCCCTCGGGGATAACTTGAGGCTTAGAAATGGGCTCATAATCATACGACTCGGAGGTAGGACGTCACTGTGTTGCTTACATGAATTCCGATCGCTTGCAGAGCTGTGGCGGTAGCATGGTCACCACGGTGCCAGTCATGTTCCAAGCATGGTCCTACATCCATTGTTCGTCACAGAGGTCAGTGCGTATCGTTCCCTGAGGAGTGTACGTTTGATCAGTACTGATCAATGGGTACCGGGTGGGATTATTTCTAGAATTGGACAGGCACGGGGATACTGTACGTGTCACGGTGGGCTACCATATGGGGCTATTCCATATCACACACCCATCCTGAATGTACGTTGGCATGCCAGCAATACCGACCTGAGGGTCAGTGGACCACTGACGGGACCATCCATTGCCAGTGGCAGCTGTACTTTGGTTGTACTCGATAGGTCCTGCGTCAAATGATGGTTTTACAGTGAGCGGGTGAGTACGCATTCGCATCTGTATAAGCCACCTTAAGTCCTGTATTGCCATCGTGCTACTTACGTATACATCGCAGAGTACTCAAGTCAGCGCATCAGCACTTACAAAACCATCGTTAGTAACGACGGTGTCGCCAACATCCAGGTTCACGTCCGTCTACTATGAGCACGACTTCCGCGACATACCGACCTGCAAACGTCCTATCGAGCAAGCGGTACAACCCAGAGTACCGCTGGGAAGTGATTGCTGCAGGTTGTACGTAGCACACTTTGCTTGATAGCTTTCTCTATGTTGATATACCTACCCCAGGGCTAAAAGGCAAGCCGAGCACAGCACAATGCATCCTCCAGCCACTCTCTTCGCAGCTCTGCCAGCGCATCCCGCTCGACATTTACGAGCATATCATGGACCACATGGATCAGGCAAGCCTATACCGCGCCGCCCTCGTCTGTCAGGCCTGGCACCACCAGAGCATCCGCCTCCTCTACCGGACCATCGAGATCCGGCAGCGCGCCGCGTTCAGCACCATCTCGCGCCCGAGTCCCGCCGCCCGAGCGCGCCTCGCGACGAGCAAGGAACTGCGCGTTATGCATCGCAGTGGCCCGCTCTTCTGCCACGCTGTCCCCCTCACCCTCGGGCGCGCAATGCCCGCAGTCGAGCGCCTCGCGTTCCATGCTTGCCTCCAGCCGCTCATGCATCCGACCTTCGCGCGTTACCTCTCAGCTTTCACGGGCGTATCGCGGCTCGAGATCGGCGGCTTCAGGTTCTCGAACGTTGTGGAGCTGCGGAGGGTGCTGTGTGCGTTCCCGCGGCTGATATACTTGTCGCTCTCGCGTGGGGAGTTCACGCAGAGCGTCAAGGGACAGGACGAAGAGAAGAAGAGCGGGTTTATGCCCGGGGCTGGGCCACAGAGCCTGCGAATACAGACACTGGTGCTTGGTATACAACTGAGCTCCCCGGTACTGGAGGCCCTCATCGACTGGCTCGTTATGTCATCCACGTGTCGGTCCATAGCTCATCTGGAGTTCTGGCGAGACTCACTCGAGAGCGTTACCTCGGTTAATCGGCTGCTTGAAGCCATCGGTGGGGCGTTGCTCGACTTCCACGAACATCAGGGCCGCTTCGGTATGCCGCTGTCTTGTCGCTGTAGTTGCGCACACGCTGATAGCAGTGTGTCAGAGAAACGTAGCCACGTCGACCTTGCACACAACTACCGTCTTCGCTCCTTGGAGATGACTATGTCCAGGCGACTGACTGAAACGAGTGGCATTGTGTGGCCAGGCATCATAGAGGAACTGCTCTCCGTGCTTTCTAGCGTCCGGAGTTTGGACATGCAGCGAATCCTGATCCACCTCGTCTGCAGAACCACGACGGCTGTAGGGCAGATGCTTCCGCTAGCGGCCTCCGACAGCGGTCGACCCCCTCTCCATGATGTACTCGAGCGCTCAAACTTCGACTTGCTGCGGGAAGTACAAGCAACGGTGGAATTAGACTCAACGGACATGGTGTCTATAGAAGATAACAAGGCTGCCGCGGAGATGAGAGCGCACAAGATTGTTCCGTATGTACGCGTCCTACTGGCGCCATGGCACAAGCGAGGCATCCTCACTGTCACCCCAATCTACTGGAACTTGAGCCCTACATATGGAGAAGTAGACCCAAGGTGCGTCCACAGGTGGTGCGAACTCTTTGTGCGCGTGCTGATTTCAATGTGGGATGCGTCTAGCTCCTCATCAGGGTTGTTATACGCGCATCAGAAAGCGTTCTATAACCCTACCTATCTCCCTCTTGGCCTACTCGAACCACGATAGCTTCATCTGACGCGACTACGCGCGAGAATGAGCTGTGAAGATATGGCAGCCCGAAATCGTCTCAAGAGTTGGCTCTGGACAGTAAGGCTCAGCGCCGCCGCAGGGTAGGGCTCGAAGCCGCTCCAGGAGGTACTTCTGATGTTACGCAGATGATCCAAGTTCCGACTAGAAATGCGAATCCGTAGGTGATGGTGTCGAACTCCCTCGAATGAATTTCCGCAGCGCGTTTCTCTTTCAGTAGGTCATATACGAGTAGAAGATAGATAGAAATACTGTAAAAATATCCCGTTGTCTCCAAGTTGGTCGAGCCTGAGGTCACTCAGGAAGCCGCACATGTCGTTCATGCATGCCTTCGGCGTGTTCCCGGTCTACTGCTCACGCACTCACGGCCTAGGTGACAATAGTCCTCCTCCTTCCTAGTGTAATATAATGGTGAAAATTGGTGAAGATGGTGGATCCGCGACGAAATATTTGCGGAGGTAAGGTGCTCATAGAATATTTGGCTGTGGCTGCGCTGCAGGCGGTCGACGGTCCGGCGCCTTGATTTCTGATCGGCAGCGTGTGATTGGCCCGCGCGAAGGCCGCCAAAAATCTCTGGTCGGAGACCAGAGGCAGCTCAGCTTGACGCTGCCTCAGCAGCCATTCACATTCTCTCGTCCTCCTTCCATCTCTTCCACGCCTGGCTGAGGGCAGCTCTAGCACATCATGTCCTCCGACAAAATCACCCGTATCGCTATCGTCGACTCTAACCGCTGCAAGCCCAAGCGGTGCGCGCAGGAGTGCAAGAAGGTATGCCAAATCGACCATCGCGGATTGAGGAAATGACTGAATAGAGGCAAGTCATGTCCAGTAGTGAAAATGGGTACGTGGTTATCCGGATGTGCTGCGATGGTCATACTCATGCAGCGCAGGCAAGCTCTGTATAGAGGTTAAGCCCACAGACAAGATCGCATTTATCTCCGAGTTCCTCTGCATAGGTTGTGGTATTTGTGTCAAAAAGTACGTGCTGCTCCACTAGCAGAACCTACCGCTCACCTACGCACAGATGTCCGTTCGAAGCGATCGCCATCATCAACCTGCCCACGAACCTCGACTCACAGGTCACCCATCGTTATACCGCCAACTCGTTCAAGCTGCACCGGCTACCGACACCGCGACCGGGCCAAGTTCTTGGGCTCGTGGGCACGAACGGTATCGGGAAGAGCACCGCGCTGAAGATCCTCGCGGGGAAGCTGAAGCCGAATTTGGGTCGCTACGATGTCCGTCGAGCCGGCTGCCTCTATCCGTGGCTGTGCGCTGACCTCCCCGCAGGACCCGCCCGACTGGCAAGAGATCCTCAAGTACTTCCGCGGCTCAGAGCTACAGAACTACTTCACGAAGGTGCTCGAGGATAATCTGAAGGCGTTGATTAAGCCGCAATACGTCGACCACATTCCCCGCGCGATCAAGGGCGTGCTCTCGGTGTCGCAGATGCTGGACTCGAAGCTGGAGCGGGACAACAAGCAGAAGATGTGCGACGATCTGGAGCTGAACGAAGTGCTTACGCGGGAGGTGTCGCAACTGTCGGGTGGAGAGCTTCAGCGGTTCGCGATCGCGATGTCGTGCATTCAGAGGGCGGACGTGTGCGTGGCGCAGATCTTGTTTTTGAGGTCTATTGACATCTGCGCTTAGATACATGTTTGACGAGCCGTCGAGTTACCTGGATATCAGGCAGCGACTCAAGGCGGCCGAAGTCATCCGCGAACTGCTCACGCCAGACAACTATGTTGTCGCGGTCGAGCACGACCTGTCCGTGCTGGACTACCTCTCCGACTTCATCTGCTGTCTCTACGGCAAGCCCTCGATGTACGGTGTCGTCACGATGCCCTACTCCGTGCGTGAAGGTGAGTCGCCCCAACTTTCACCCTACTACGCCCTCACACCGCACAGGCATCAACATCTTCCTGGACGGCTTCATCCCGACGGAGAACCTACGCTTCCGTGAAGAGTCGCTCTCATTCAAGATGGTCGAGACGGCGGAGGAGCTGATTGTGGACAAGACGCGGCACTACTCGTACCCGGCGATGTCGAAGACGCTCGGCGGGTTCAAGCTGACCGTTGAGTCGGGCACGTTCACGGACTCGGAGATCATCGTCATGCTCGGCGAGAACGGGACGGGCAAGACCACGTTCGTGCGCCTGCTCGCGGGCGAGACGCCCGACGAGGAGACGGCGAAGCAGTCGCTCAGCGTGTCGCTGAAGCCCCAGACGATCTCGCCGAGCTTCCCGGGCACGGTTAGGATGCTGCTGCTGAAGCGCATCAAGGTCGCGTTTATGCACCCGCAGTTCAATACGGATGTCATGAAGCCGATGAACCTGGAGCCATCCTGGATCAGGAAGTGAAGACGCTTTCTGGTGGTGAGCTCCAGCGTGTCGCGATCGTTCTCGCGCTCGGCAAGCCGAACGTGTCGGTGTACCTCATCGATGAGCCCAGCTCGTAAGTTGTTCTTGCTAGGCTGGGATGCTTGAAGCTGAGTACGGGTGGTGCAGGTTCTTGGACTCCGAACAGCGTATCATCGCGAGCAAGGTCATCAAGCGGTTTATCCTCCACGCGAAGAAGACGGCGTTCATCATTGAGCACGACTTCATCATGGCGACCTACCTCGCGGACCGCGTCATCGTCTTCGAGGGCAGGCCCGCCGTTTCGGCGACCGCTACTCCGTACGTTTCTCCATTTTCCCTGATTCTCTCGCGGTGGCTAATCGTGTGGTGGTGTGTATAGGCCACAGTCGCTTCTGACGGGCATGAACAAGTTCCTGGCCTCGCTCGAGATCACGTTCCGCCGCGACCCGACCAACTTCCGGCCGCGCGTGAACAAGATGCACAGTGTCAAGGACAAGGAGCAGAAAGGTCCGTTCTACGTTCCACCCCATCTCTCCGTCCGTTTGACCGCATTGCCTGTGTAGTTTCTGGTAATTATTTCTTCCTCGAGGAATAAACTCCTCTCAGCGGGTGTATACTGCGCTGCTCGCGCCGCGACGGGAGGAGGCGAGCACGAGCACGGGACCGAGGACGAAGACGAGGACGAGGACGACGCCGAAATCGCCATGGGTCTCCGAGGTGTAAAACAGCTATGTAGCCTACTGGGATGTGGTACACACTGTAGCCGTAACGCGGGGTAAGTAGACTTTGATAAGTAGGGGCTGATGTGATGGCGCTGCTGTTGTAGAATACTGCTGTAGAATGAGGGAGATGCATGTGTTGCCCTGCGATGGGCTAGGCGCAATGAATGGATATGTATGCTGTTCGATGCCGTTCCCTAGTCTGTGCCGCAAGTCGAACTGACGCTACCGTGCAACAGATTAACGTACAGCATGGTAGGTACATTTGTGTCGCGTGCTCTTCTCCTGGTCAAGGTTTACGTGACAACATCGCCAACTTGCTCGCTCACTTGGCGTTCTCGCGGACGTCCCCAATGTTGTGTTGTGCAGTGGGATTCGCGTCGACTTTCTCTGCACGCCTGGGTCGGCACACCAAGCGTAATAGACAGGGGAGACGTACTGTCGCTAGACTTGAGGTCGTTTTGCGCCGCTGTCTTCGGGGCGAGGCCTGATGGCCGTGAGTAGTAGATCCCGGCTGCGCCGAGTGCTACCGCGCCCGCGACTGCGAGCATCTGTGCACAAATTTGGTTTCTCGTAGGTCAGCTCGAGCTTCGCGGAGACGAATTTGCAGACGATGTACCATGCGCTTTTGCTGTGGTGGTGCGCGTTCCATGGTGAGGTGACTGAAGTAGGTCGTGACTAGTTGTAGCGGATGAGTTCTGCAACGGACAGAGCATCCTGTATATGTAGTCTGTCTCTTCGAAGGCTCGGTTTAAATATAGGCGTACGCGTACGGGGTGGCCTGACGTTCTTCATGAAGTTATCCTTCAAGTGCCAGTGCCACCCGGCGGAGACGCGCCATATAGCCGTCACGTGGGCGCGATCCCCCTCGCGCCCAAGCGGGCCGGCCAGTGGCGACCTCCTCCAAGCGGCCACGCTCGACCATTTCCGTTGCTTTCTCCGTGAGCAACTCTTGAGTACTTGAGTACTCAAGTACTCAAATATTCAGTGCGGTTCTGTTCTATGCTTCTACTTCAGTCTCTCACCCAGCTTTTGTACGCAAACTGTCTCGGCCTCGTCGACAATTCATGACGTTGTAGTCACTTCATGCCACTAGCCGTATCAATGCCACGCCGACTCGGACATGGAATTCTCACTAGCAAGCTTGCTCCTCCCCAACGCGCTGTCTGTTCCACAGCAAGAGACGTATGGCTTTCAACGGGATGGGTGCGGACATTGATGCAGACGTCGAGCGACTCCGACTCAGAGCGAGTCGACGTACTTACTAGGTCGACGTCCGAGGGGCTGTGGTAAGATCTTCCGAAGTTTGCCCATTGGCACGCAACCCCTAACTTATACAAGGTACGCTCGGTATAGAACTCAAGGCGACATTGCGTTGATCACTATAACTCGGACCAGCGAGGGACCATTCTGTCGCCACATGACTCGTCGATCCTCAACGTCCTTGGTTCATTCTCGCCTTCTCAGGCGGTCGGCCTTCCTTACCCGGGCCCATGAAATCTTCCAATAAATATAGGATCAGTGAGAACTCTGCTCTCAAGTCTTGTCTCCGACGACGCTGTCCCCGGACCTCCCAGCACTAGTGCCAATGTCGAGGCACTGTCTGCTGCTCCTCTTGCTAACGACGACCTTGCTCGCGTTCGCGACACTAACAGCTGGAGCGAGCGCCCCGACCGTCGAGACCCTGAATGGGACATACGTCGGCCGCTATGTCCCCGATTACAATCAGGACTTCTTCCTGGGCGTGCCGTTTGCCCAGCCGCCCGTGGGCCCGCTGCGGTTTGCTAACCCTCGATCGCTGAACACATCCTTTGGCGGAACGCGTCAGGCGACAGAGTACAGTGTGGAGTGTGTAGGATACGGCGTGAGTGTTTTTTTTTCACTTTTTTGATGCGGGATGCTGAGGATGTCCGTTGAAGAGCGACCAATGGGGCTTCAATGTCAGCGAAGATTGCCTCTATCTGAACGTCGTCCGTCCTTCAAACTACGCGGATTACGACGAGCCTCTGCCAGTTGGCATTTGGATCTACGCAAGTCTTGTGTTGCCTGTCGGCATACATGCCAATTGAGATGTGTATATAGGGTGGCAGCTTCATTGAGGGCGGCTCCCCAGATCAGCGCTACAACCTTTCGTTCATCGTGCAGAACAGCGTGGAGATCGGGAAGCCGTTCATCGGCGTCTCATTCAACTACCGTCTTTCTGCTTGGTACGCTTTTCGATCACAACGTGAGACTGACGCAGGCACTGACCAGTACACGTAGGGGCTTTATGGCTTCCGGTCAGCTAGCCGGCGAGGGTAGCACAAACATGGGCCTCAGAGACCAGCGCCTGGCCTTGCATTGGATTCAAGAGAACATCGGTGCATTTGGCGGTATGTATTTCCACCTCTCTCGGATGTGGGATGCTATGCTGAACGCTCGCTAGGTGATCCAACCAAAGTCACAATATGGGGTACGTGCTTCGGACATCGTACGCATCTTCAGTTGTGTTTACTCGTCGCAGGCGAGAGCGCAGGCGGCATGTCCGTCGGCTTCCACCTCGTTGCTTACAACGGGCGAGACGACGGGCTCTTCCGCGCCGGGATCATGGAATCGGGCAACTCCATCCAATGGAACGGGATGTACACCGCGGACTACTTCGACGGCGCGTACCAGGTGCTCGTCGACAATGTCGGGTGCACGTCCGCGGCGGATGTGCTCGCGTGCCTCCGCATGACGCCGTTTGACACGATCAACGCCGCGGTGAACACGACGAACGCGAGCGTATGGTTCCCAGTCATCGACGGAGATTTCATTGCGAAGTTGGCGAGTTATCAGCTCGAGGCGGGTGATTACGTCCATGTGCCGATCATCTGCGGGACGAATACGGACGAGGGGACGGCGTTTGGCCCGATAGGCATCAACACGACGGCCCAGTTCTTGCAAGTGCTCGAAGGTGAGCAGTTTGCAGATAGCCGCGTAACGCATGGTCTGAGAGGACGGTCATACAGAGGGCAGTATTCATCCCTACACACCTCTTGCCCCCGCTCTCGCCGAGGAGATCATCGACGTCTATCCCGACGACCCGTGCGTTGGCATCCCAGAAGATCTTGGTTGTACGCGCCTCAACGACATCTTGGGTCTCCAGTGCGTTCATCTTCCCGTGGTTGTACAGTCTCTCTCAATGACACATGCCTGCACCACAGATGGCGCCGCACCTCCGCATATGCCGGCGATGCGACATTTATTGCTGGGCGGCGGTACCAATGTGAGGTCTTCGCCGCCGGCGGAAACACCGCGTACTGCTACCGCTTCAACACTCTGCCCAACGGCGTCCCAATCGAAGTTGGCGTGACGCACTTCCAGGAGGTCGCCTTCGTCTTTGACAACACGGACGGGTACGGGTACGACGTCTCGCCCGACCCGTTCGCGGGCGTGCCCGAAAGTTACTTCGCGCTGGCGAAGCTGATGAGCAGGTCGTGGGCGAGCTTCATACATGATCTGGACCCGAACAGCTTCAGGGCTAGTGGCGCGTATGTGGAGGAGGGGACGCCGTTGTGGCCAGCGTACGATGTGGGGAGCCCGCTGGATATTGTGTGGGACGCGAACGTGACTGGCCTTGCGTGGGTTGAGCCTGATACGTTCCGGGCTGAGGGGATTAACACGATTATATCGTACAATCGTGCGTTCAGGCGCTGATGTACTTCTGTGCCAGAAACATGATATAGGGCATCAGTCCCTGTGCCCTTTCCATCCTGAGCAAGTGGAACGCATCAGTACTTCGTAATACCTTTGGTGGCCACGCGTTGGTGGGAAGCGCTCAACCGCCGAACGACTGCAGCTGCCGTTTTGGTACTGAGCTTGCTTGACTCGAAGGGAGGACGTCTGCTTCTGACATTCGCCGGGCTGCCACGAGCTTTCCGCGTGCACCGAGCACGACTTCGCAGGCATTCGAGGTCAGTAGCGCTACTGGTGGGAAGGCACGATAGGCTTGTCAAACTTACTATTGCGAATAGTACTACTAGCCGGCCTCCGGCGAGTCCCTTATAGACTTGTAGTATCAGGTTGCGGAGCCTCAAGGTTTCAATGAGGCTTGCGTGAGGCAGCCGATAGACACAAGGTAGCGCTGATATACCCATCTGCTACTGACACTCATCATCCCCTCGACGAACAGGCTCTGGTCCCTACACTCCGCTCGCGGGATCGTGTCAGCATATCAAGTTGCATGATGGTCAAGCATAACACGATGACAATGGAAAATACTGTGCAAGGTGATCACTCGCTATTGTGCCACTATTCTCCGACTAGATACTGAATTATGTGCTGTACAGACATGAGAGACGTTCGCCACAGTGTGAATCTAGCCAGAAATGACCCGCGATACGACTACTTCATCTGTCCGCGCCATCGTCCGATCACTCGTCCCAGATATCCTCTGCTTCTTCCTCCCGAGCTCTGGATCGACATCTTCCTCGTAACCGCCTCTCGTTACTTGTATTTAATCTTTTCTTCCGAGACGCAAGATGATAACGAAATAGAGGAGCGACTGGCCGCCAACCCATTCCTGACGTTCCTGCGTGTGTCGCACCAATTCAGAAACCTCGCGTTCAAGATACTCGCAGATGCCTTTGGCATTCACAGAGATCCCTACGGGGGGTGCGTTATCATCCTCCGTCGACTGAGGTTGTCGAGGCTGAGTATCCATACGCAGCTTACCGAAGGGCGCCTGGTCCTGCCTTCGATATGTCCTGAAGTACACTCATCTGCTCCAGCGTGCCACGCCAGACGCCGTTGAGGCACACACTAAGCAAGGAAGCAGTTATGAAATACCTCCCATGTTGAAGGGCTACTTGCAGATTGCAAGATTGACTTGCGTTGGCCTCAACCAGGTGCTATCGATTGGAGCGACGAGGGAGCTGAAGGAGGAGGCGCAGCTTTGCGAAATCTGGGGATCCGACGCGAGCGCGACGCTTATGGAGCCTCTGATTCTTCATACTTTAGTATGTGAGTGAGCCAAATATACCGAATGCCGGTGAATGTCGACGCTGATTTCTGTTTCAAGTGACGTTGTCGCTCCAGTTTCGCACTGCAATGTTTTACTTTGCTCCCCTGCGTCGGGTTGCTGTGGATGACGTGGATGACGTACGTATCGCAGAAGGAAGTATTGATTCTGGAGACTGACGACTCTTATAGCATCAGAAAAACATGGTCATCCGTACGTGCTATTGCACCTTCTCCGTGTGGTCTGGTGTGCCAATCGCCATTCCCGAAAGAATACCTCGACTTGAAGGGGAGCGTCCACTCGTACCGGTCAAGATACCTATCCTGCAAGGTGTCAACGCCGATCTCATCATCGTACGTGCCTTCTCCGACGTGGCACCGAGTTGAGCTGAATCCTCCTTGAAGCGGTACAGATACCTGTTGATCCTTTGGCAGTTTCAGAAATACCCAATCGTGGCTGCAGACCAAGGCCTCATGAAGATAACACAGTTAATATTGGATTCCTGTCTCGCTATCGCAATGCCAGATCGACCACTTACGAGTAAGACGTCGCGGCAGCGGCGCGCGTCCTTCTCTGCATTACAAGACATACGGTCCAAGCCGCGTCTTCCCCGTAAGTGTACTGTTTCCGGGATGAGGTTCACTATCTGATGAGCCGCTGAACAGTCAAACCACCCTGTCATTGCGAGCGCCGCTTGATGATAATATGAGCAGCCAGGGAGTCTGAAGCCTGATGGAAGCCATTGAACTGGCATGTAACACCACCGAGATTGGTAGCCGTATCGAGGTTTATTCTGGTATCTCACATGTTGACGCCGACCTGATACATAGTCGCTTCATGTTCCTACAATGTGATCTCCTCGGAAACAGATTTTGCAGGATTCAGCTGGCAATGGACCCGTCGCTTAGCCGAGGCAGATGTTCCGCCGTGAGCTTCGCCTGAGCCAAACGGCTTCAGTTCGAACGTCTGTATACCCGCCAAATTATCTGCAGACCCCTTGAGCCTTGCCAATGGTACGATGGGCAGAGGTTTCTGCAAGTCGTCGCCATCGTGAGGGCGGTTTGCGTACTCCTGCGGGTCGAGCTCTTGATCTTCATTCGCTCAGCAGCGGAGTCAAGGCTGCTATCCACCGCGACTTCAGGCTGCTTCGTACGTAGAGCTACTAAGTCACGGAAGTAGGAAGAATTCGAGAGATACATATGGAATCGACATCTCCTCTGCTGTGTTCCATTGTCTTGTCTGATGTGGTCATTATCTACTAGCCTGGTACCTGAGGCGGGTAGACAAGCTTGTGTAAACGGCGCATTAGCTACTCGACGTAAAGCCACTCACCGGTAATCTTCGGCTACGTTGCTGCTGCAAGCTGAGCTGAGCTTGCTTGTTCATGCTCGAATGTGTTTTGCCCCAAGATTCATCGAGCGCCGGAGTGAATTCATGCCAAGATGGGCTTGGAGGACATGCCTCAGCCAGTGAGGCCCTTGGATATCAAATCCAATATGATGTCGAAGGATGCGCAGACAATAAGTATGTTGCGGCAGCATGTCTGCAGCAGAGCCTCAGTAACACTTCGATGCGATTAGGAGAGAAATCGCCTAGGGTTCCCTGAGTACGAGGGTGTGCTTGAGACAGGAAGGCGGACCCACAGGGACCCACGAACATATTCCCACGCTTTTACCGTCTCAGGCCGTTCGTTCGACGTAGTACATACATGGATATCGAGTCCTTGAAGTCCATGTCGTTATGATTCCCTAATAGGCTGCGCCAGCCGTAAGAATGCTGAATACAGAGCATGGTTCCGTGTATACACGACAGCGCAGTACAGCTTCAAGAATTCGACTGCCACAGTGACAAGACATCAGCGCACATAAGTAACTACGTAATAGAAACACAATATCTGAACGGTATGCTTACGAACGTACGAAGTGCTCTAGCCTATACAAGCCCCAGGAAAAGGAACCCCACCGCCATCACAAGCGTACAGTCCGTCAACCCGCCTACCACCACGGATGACAGTCGCCCCCATCCCACACCCACACCCGCTCCTCCACTCCGACGATCATCTTCTTGCGCTCCATCCCCCACCCATCATACACGTCACGCACCCACCAGCGCACGAGTCGGTGGCTCAGCACCCACTTGAACCACACATAGAACCGCCAGTCGTAGCTGGTGACGACGCGTGGGTTGACGAGCACGCGGTTGAGGCCGAACACGCGGCGGAAGTCGTACGGGAGGTTGAACGACTCGGACTCGAAGCACTCGCCCGCGGCGCGGTCGGACTTGCGGAAGCGCAACGCGGGCGTGAGCGCGGGCGACGGCCCGCGCTGCAACGGGTGCGAGCGCGGGAGCGGCCAGGGTAATGGATCTGGCGAGAGCGTGCGGTTCGGGCGGAGGTGGATGGGCAAGAGTGGCTCGGCGGTGAAGACGACCATGCCGTTCCAGCAGGTGAACGCGGGCACGGGCGCGTCTTGTCGCATGAGTTCGATGGAGGGCTTGTCGATAAAATATGGCCAGCTGCGGAGTGGTTAGCACGCGGGTAGGCGCACTGGCGTGGGGATGGAACGTACATCGTACTGGTAAGGTGACCAAGCCTGTCACGCAGCACCCAAGAATCGTATGCGCTGCAAGTATCATGAGTACGACGCGAGTCCATTAAGAGTTGAGTGGACGCACCCGAAGTGGTTGAAGTCCATCGCACACGCAAAGTCGTACTCCCCGTCCGCCGTCTCGATCAACTCGACGATGCTCTCCGGCTCGATAAAGACGTCGTTCGAGAAGAGAACTTTATCGTATCCTCCGTGCTCCACAAGCGGCTCCATTGCGCGGTTGCGCACTGCTGCAAGGAACTCAATACGGCGATCGAACGAGAGGTCCTCCGGCTTCTCGATTGCGGCGTCCTGAATGATGATGCGGCGCGGAACGTGCATCTTCGCGAGAGAGGCGTCGAAATCACGTAAGAGCTCGGGCGTGTCGTCGGACGAGTGCGACTCGACGATGGAGACGAAGACGTTCTCGGGCCCTAGGTAGGCGATGGCCGACAGCATGGACTGTTTCCAGTAGGGGAGCACGACATGGTTGTTGTAGAACGCAGCAGCGATGAAGATCTTTTCTGTGCGACAGCAAGGGGGTTAGCTAGTGACAGCGCGTAGATTCGTGGTACTCACCACCCTTCCCGTAGCCTTCAGGCGTAGGAGCTCGCGAAGCACGCTCGACTGCATGTCGGAACCGAACGTCGTTCGGGTGGGCGTAGTGGATCGCCTGCCAAGCACCTGCAAGCGCGATTGAGGCATAGAGGGCAACCTGCGCCCACCACCAGACCGCTGGAAGGCGAAGATTTCTGCGTCGGCCGTATGACGTTGTTGGGCTCGACGGCTGCCGCTCGTGTCCTGGATGTGCGGATTCAGTGTCGGAGATCAACAAGTATTCGTCTTCGCTTGCTCGCAGGACTGGGCTGCCGTTTTGCGCGAGGTGAACGGACCGACGCGCCTTCATATAGCCCACCCCCCAACACGCTGCCCTCCAAGACAGCAACCCTCCCAACCAAAGCGCGGCGTTCAAGGGTGCGGCGACCAGGAAGAGGGCCCACACGATCCATGAATATGGGAACGCGGGTTGCCAGAGACCATCCCAATCATAAAGGGCACACCAATAGGTCTCTGCGACGTGGAAAAGGATGTAGAAGGTGATGGTTGGGAGGACGAAGGGCACGCGGACGAGGCGGAGAAGGAAGCGGAAGGTGGCTGCGAGTGCCGGCTTTACGTTGAGCGAGAGCGGCCTCCCATGGCCTGGGAAGCGGAACATTCAGCTGGCTGAGGTCGGCGTCGTCGTCGTCGTCGTCGTGGGTCGTGTGGGCATGGGTGGGACGGCGTCGGCGAGGACGAGGTTTAAAGCAAGGTACACTCCAACCCGCCCCCGGCGGCACGGCTGAGAAAATACTATGCGCAGTGCCGCGCCGAATGCCCAGCCATTGACACACTTCCAACAGTCGGTCACATCTGCTCACCACCCAAGGCTGCCAGTTTCTACGGAGGTCGATGCCAAGGCACCGTCCGGGCTGTAGACGGTAGCGGAAGGCAAATCCACCCACGGCGAGAGGGCGTCTATGTGAGTGTACGAGTACCTACATAGCAGCATGCACATTGCGTATATTCAACGTCGGTCTCATGCAGCGAGTTGCACTCTGACCAACGCACGTATAATCAGGCTACATACATGTTATCTCACGGCGCACTGGCGAACGCTGGATGGATAGGCTGCCAACATGTCACACTGCATAGCCATGACAGCATCGCCTTTGTATACGGAGGCACGACCAGATGCCGGTGTGCGTGGTATCGATGTCGCGATGTCGACAACACCTGTACTTCCGAGTCCGGAATCCGGACCCAAAGAGGACGGCTTGCCGCGCAGCGGACACGCAAGGCGAGTTCCGCCTTCCGGTTGACAGTAGGTTTGTGGATTGTGCCGGGATCGTTCCAAGAGCTTGAGGCCGAGATAATAATGACCTTTACTTTGTAGGCTCGACGTGCCAAGCAGCGCCTCGGACGTTTGCTAAACCGTGTCATCAAAACCCAATTCTACAGGAAGCACGTCTGGTACATCTGTCGATACACCATGGATCGAAGAGGAGAACCAAGCCAATGTCAAAGTCTTCAAGCTCAAGTCATGCAGGACGACTGAACATCGGCACAACTACTACTACGTAGTGCTCTCAGTGGTGTTACACATAATAATCTAATGGCGTCTCACATGCTTTACTTGCTCATAAGAATAAACGACGCTCGCAATGACATGGTGGCTTGACTGTTCAGCGGCTGATCAGAAAACGAACTTCGCCCAACGACTGGGAGCTCAGGCTTACGAGGAGAACGCGGCTTGGCTCGCATGTCATGCAATGCAGACAAGGACGCGCGCCGCCGCGGCGACGTCTTGCTTGTCAGCGGTCGCTTTGGCATCACGACGGCAAGGCAGTAGTCCACAACTGACTGTGACATCTGCATCAGGCCCCGGTCGGCAGCCATGATTGGGCAGCTCTGGAAGTGCCAAATAAGCGAGAGAAATTTGAATCGCTTCAGGAGGTAGATGAGCATGTCTCGATACCATGTCGAAAGGGTACATACGTTGATGAGTTCGGCATTGACACTCTGTGGGATGGATATTTTGACAGGTACGAGATGTTGCCACCCTTCGAGTAGGAGTGTGTTCCCGGGATCAGTGTACTGCACGCCAGACATTATGTAAAATATGCTATAGCAGCTGCGTAATAGAAGGTCTTTCTCATCCTAAGGAGCCATTAGTCTCCCGAGTCAGTGTGTCTAACTGAGATACGCACGTAATCCACCGGGATCCGCCGCATCCCAGGGCGATGAACAGGAAGCATCGAAAAGCGAAACTTGAGGGACCACAGCACTAACATGACAGTCACAATCAACATCAGCCGATCTCACGTTGTACTTACACGGTTCACTGACCTCCGTAAGCAAAATTAAACAAAGGAGCCTGAAGAATCGCGCTCGTCTTGAGCTCCAAGAATCCGCGCCACTGCGTATCATCCTCCATTATCTGTGTCAGCGCTCCTTCGAGCTGCCCGCGGTCCCGGGCAGTGCAAGCCAGTGTTGCAATATACAGGTAGTCCTTCAGTATTGGAGGTACTTCGTAGCTGCTTCCCTGCTTGACGTGCTCCTCGACGGCATCCTGTGTGGAGTGCTGCAGCAGGTGCGCGTACTTCATTACATATCGAAGGCATGACCATGCGTCTTTCGGTAGGCTGCCAGGGAACCCGTCAGCGCAGCCTCCTTAAGTGTTCCGATCGAAGGAATATGGGTACATACCTCCCGTCAGGGTCCCTGTCAATGCCGAAGACATCCTCCACCACCTTGAACGCGAGCTCTCTGAACTGATGGGAAACATGCAAAAACACAAGAAATGGATTAACGGCCAAACATTCCTCTATCTCGTCATCATCTTGGCTCTCGAAAGCGAAGAGGAAATATAGGTAACCAGAGGCAATCCTCGCGAAGATGTCGAGCAGGAGCTCAGGAGGGAGAAGCAGAGGGTGCCTGGGACGGACGATAGGGCTATGGCGCGGACAGACAAAGTACTTGTATCGCCGGTTATCCGCAGCTAGGTTGATGTTCCTATGGCGGTGAACTTGAATGGCCTCAGGGTTCATGCACATGTCTGCCACATAGCCATGATATCAGCACATCGGGTAACGAGAGAGTAAGGTGTTCATCACCTTGCGTAGTGTCTGCCTTTGATAACATATGCCGAGTGGTCATTGTTGAAGGAAGGCTCGAGTGAGTGGCGATGATGATAGCAGTTTGCAGGTCATGAACTCGACAATGAAAGGATGTTGAATGACGGTGGCCTCAACAGTATAGGGTTAATGCCACCTTGTACTGTTGACTGCCTCACGGACGTCTCATTGAGAGAGTTTGAGATGAGTCTTCGTGACCTATTGCAGCTTTGGAGCAGGCTGGCCTCGCCGGTAACCTTCTGTATAAGTACCTTGCGCGATAGCAAAAGATAAGCCTAGAGTAATTTAGATCTGAGTTGACTATTCCTGCGTAGTCGTGCTTGTGCTTGACGTACGTGAAGGTTATGTGTATACGACTCGGACTACACAGATGAGGCGAGGAGCTACATCGTATCATACATAAGTAGTACTTACTAGCCACCGCCGCGCCGTGGCTCTCTTGAGCGCTTATCCAATCGTCACGATCACATGCCCGGCTAATGCCCAAGCGAAGACACCTGGCCAACGCGTACGCTGGCCTCCTATATCCAGTCTTCGGACCATCTCAAGGGCTGACTTACTCTTAACCTGCATCAAAACATCTGAAGTTCGTTATTTCGTCTCTGCATAAACTGTCACTGGCGGGACTGACCATATTCACGTACTGTAGATGGCGGCGAAGCCACTCGTCCTCGTTTTCTCTTTTTCAGACTTCCAAATGAGCGAAATGGATGCGCATCTCTTGCTACATCTGAGAGCTAAAAGCGAAGTCGAAGTTGTCACGTCTCGGGTTACCGCTCTGCGGTGGCTGTCGGGGACTTCACGCCCTCAGGCCATCCTCCTTGCCGATGAAGTCGTCACCGAGCGAAAACAGGAAGCACTACTACGGAAGCTTGTAGAGTACGCGAGGTTGGGGGGTACGATTGTCTTTGGCTGCAGGTTCTCGACGTTCGTCAAGCCCAAGAACATGGAGGCACTGTTTCAAAGGACACTGGGATTGCCATGGGCTAGGGGCAATTATCACCGGTCTACGTTCTCTCTCAACAGAAGAGTTGAGAACATTAGTCTCGAGAACCTTTCTCCGTCATACAGCATGAAAGCTTCGCACCTTCGAAACGTCGCGCCCACGGCAGCTGTGTATGTGCCCACCGACAAATCTAGGATCGAATCACACGTGTTTGCCCCTGCTCCCGTCGGAAATCTCGACGAGACCCCTGCCGCATTCACCAAGCTTGGCCTCGGCTACGTCGGCTATGTGGGAGACGTCAACTCCGAAGAAGAGACAACACATCTACTCGTCAATATGTTGCTCGCATCTGCGCGGGGGCGGGAGGCGACGTCGACCGTGAGTCTCAAGGTGTATCACCTTCATTGTGAGCTGACGCCCCTTTTATCGCAATAGGCCCAACCGAGTGTGCAACGATCCTCGGTCTTGATTCTTTCGCTACACAAGGACGCTGCCTTCGATGCGCACAACGCTGATGTGTATGCTGTTTTGCGTAGTAGGGCTGAAGTCGTAGAAGTTTCCACGAAATCTCATGCCCTGCGATGTCTTACGACGACACCACTCCCATCCACAGTACTGGTCACGGACGCTGGTCTCTGGGACGAAGAGAACAGCTCCCTGTTGTCAAGACTCGTTGCGTATAGTCAACGACGCGAAAGCACTGTTGTCTTTGCGTGCCAGTTCAGTAGCTTTGTGCGCTGGCCAGACCTTGACGCTCTCTTCGTGCGACTGGAGCTCTCCTGGCGCTCGGGCTCTCACACGAAGATGGATGTGACAATCACGAGGGCTGTCGACGATCTCGACTTCGATTCACTCACGGAGACCTATAAGTACCCGAAAGCCTTGTTCCTTCAACATGTCCCATGGGAGGAGTCCGTCTACGTCCCTACTCTGCAATACCGCAGTCAGGAGACAATGGCAGCGCTGGGTCAGACGCTGCACGGAGGCCATATCGGATACGTTGGAGACGTCAACCCATCGGAGCATACAACGAAGCTCGTCCTCGCGCTCTGCTTCCCAAAACCAGCGCCAGCGCCAGCGAACGAGGCAAGCCCGGAATCTCTTCCGGCAGCCGCTTCGCAGACGGTGAGTGCACTGTTACGTTTGTGACATCCATATGAAACTTATCACCCGGATAAGCCTGCCCCTCAGTCGGAATACCGCGAGCAGGCTAGCGAACAAGCTGCGAAGCCCCAGATTCTGCTCGTCTCCTTCGACAAGTTATATTTCTTCGACGGCATCGAACAGCAGCTACTTTCGGCCCTCAAACAGAATGCAGCAGTTGAGGAGGCACTCGACGCCAAGGCTGCCTTGAAGCGCTTAGCAGCAAAACCGAGCCCGGCTGCGGTCGTCTTCACTCACCCCGCCGTCATTCGCGACGACAAGGTCATTCACCGCGTCATTGAGTATGCTCGTGGAGGTGGTAGGGTGATCGTCGGCTCTCAATTTTCCAACAACCTCCCGCTCGACCAGTTGAAACCGTTCTTCCAGAAATGGGAGGTCCCCTGGGCTGCTGGCGCATATCACCGCACGACAGTCGCTCTGAACCTGGACGGTGTACCTCCTCCGTTGCGCTCGAGCAAACTGTTCCCTGCATACAGCCAGAAGGCCGTTCATCTGAAGCACGTGAAGAAGGAACACAAGGTTTACGTGCCAACGGCGGCGTCATGCGTAGAGAACCAGTTTGGCCAGCCCGGCGAGGCGTTGACTGGGTCCCTTCTGGACGAGTGTTCCGTAGCCTGGGCTCCTATCGGCAAAGGCTATCTAGGGTACATCGGCGACATCAACTCGGAAGAGGAGAGCACCAGACTGGTTCTCGAGATGTGTGGCATCACGGTCAAGCCTGGGGATCTTGGCTCCCGGAAGTGCGATGTGGGCATGTACATCGAGGGCGACGATGTCAAGCCCATCACAGAGACATACGCCGAGCGACTACTTCTGCTGCGTCAGGAGCTGTCGCAGCCTCGGCCTCGAGAGAAGGAAGTAGCCTTCCGATCGGTGAAGCGTGCCAACATGTCGCGGCGCAAACGTTTGACGGCCGAGGTGCTGAAGGAAGAGGTAAAGCTCTCGCACTGTTTCCTCGGACCGGAACTCACGTGCGGATCATGCAATTTAGGGTAACAAATTGTTCAAGGAGGGCAAAGCAGCACAGGCGGCGAGCAAGTATCGTCAGGCTGCTGTCGTCTACGGTCCCAAACCGGTCTACATGAGTAACCTCGCCGCAGCTCTACTCAAGATGGAACGGTATGTGGCTTAAGTATGAGCATGTTTGCTCACGGCTGACCAAATGTTCAAGCTACGTAGCAGCTGAGGATGCTGCAAGCCGCGCGCTCTTCTACGAGCCGAAGAACATCAAAGCGCGATACCGCCGAGGGATGGCAAACAAGGAGTTGCGCATGTATGCTTATGCCATAGAAGGTGCGTTTGCTCTGCGATCATCGTTATTCTATGCAGGTGCATTGATAATCTCGCATGGTGCAGACTTCCGCAGCGTTCTGAGACAGGATCCGTCGTCGGCGCTTGCGCGGACCGCTCTAGTGGACACGATCCGTTTGAATAATGAGCGAACACCACCTGAGGGACCACCGGAGGAGGCAGAAGGGAATGAGCCTCTGTGGGAGATAATGACCGAGTCGGATAGCAGCGAATATGGGCATGAGGGGAACGGTACGCCCTGTCGTTATCTGAACCACGACGGATGCAGGCATGGCTCGCAGTGCAAGTGGATGCACGCGCCCGACGACCAGAGCGTTCGTGACGAGCTGTGAGCGTTATAAGGCTATCTCTTCGACATATGATATTGACTGTTTGCAGAGGCCGTAACGTCTGTATCTTGTGGCTGCTCGGGAAGTGCACTTATACGCAGTGCTATTACGCGCACGACAAGACGTACCTTCCCCAGGGCGGCTGGTGGAACAAGCCCGACAAAGTCAAGCACTTATCACGCGGAGCCAGCATCCCCATCACAGGCCGGAAGAAGAGAGACAGAAACATGTTCTTGGTGTCGATTGCGTACTTACAGGACTGGCGCACTGACGAGTGGATGTCTGGGCGCTTCAGCGAATTGGACGACGATTCGATCGACATCGGGCAGCGGTCAGGCGTAACGGTCAACACGACCCAGCGCGATGGTCGGGTCCAGTGCAGCTACACCATGCCCACAGGCGACATTGGAGGCAGAGGCAGACACGATGAGTACGATGAAGATGACGACGAGGATGACGATGAAGATGATGACGGAGACGACGACGATGCTGCGTGGGAAGAGGAGGAAGAGAGGATCAATAATTTCGGCTTCACCAAGAGCGAGGTGAATGATTTGCTCTGCCAAGGTGTGAAGCCTTGGGATGAAGACGCTTGGGTGCGTGGTCTGTATACATGTACAGGTTATGGTTGCTCATGACATGCTACGGTCTGTCAGGACGTGCTGGATGCTCTGCGTGGCATGTAATGGCTCGTATATGTCTCTTATCAGTGTCCACTCGTGAGATTCGTGAATCGTTGTGTCGTGCCAGTCCTGCTTAGTTGTAGTGTTACTTTTTTGAATTGAATTGATGATAGCGGCGTAGCGTACTTGTAAAGTGCTAAGAAAAATTAGTGCTAATAATGATACTTGAAGCCGCGGAGTAACGATACATCATCTGTGTAATAGTTGAGCAAATAAAGTACTGTAGAGTAGTCCGAGCTTGGGTGAGAAGTAATGTCCGATTCATGATGTCCAGTCGCTCCGAATTAAATATTACATTACTTACGCGCTGAATATCGCATCCAGTTCAGACTTGAACATATCTTCAACGGCCCGTCGCCGGACGTTCCCCTTCGTCACTGTCCGGGGCAATGTACCTGTAGGGACGACCACGACCATCTTCGCGGAAGTGATCCGCTCGTGAAGATATCTCCTCGAGTGGAAGTGGCGCGTCCTGCGGATGATCTCCTTCTTCAGCCGCTCGCCGTCCATCTTCAGAGCCGGGCTCGCCTCGATGAAGAGCACGGGCGACGGCCGGGCGTTCCCCACGACGATGCACTGGGATATGAGCTCCTCGCACGTCGCGCGGACGTTGTCCTCGATGGCCTTGGTATCGCAGCGCAGCGCGTTCGAGCTCTTGATCCAGTCGTCGTTGCGCCCGCGCGAGACGTACGCGCCGGGCTCGACCTCGAGGAAGAGGTCGCCGGTGTGGTAGTGCCCGTCGGCGGCGCGGAGCGAGGGGTCGGGGCAGTCGGGGGACTCGGCGAGGATGACGAGCTCGACGAGCTGGCTGTTCAGGTTCTCGTACGCGGACTGCGACTGCGCGTTCGTGCCGGAGACCGGGAAGAACCCGTAGTGCGAGCCGGCGATGGGGCGCAGCGACGGGCACGGGCGCCCCCCGCCGCGGACGGACGTGAGCATGATGCCGCACTCGGTGTTCGCGAACACGTTGATGACGTTCATCCCGTTTTGGTACACCCACTCTTCGTCCTCCTGCGGCATGGCCTGGCCGGAGTAGAAGATCTCGTCGAGGGCGCGGAGCTGGGCGAGAAGCTTGGGGTTCTGGCGGGAGTTGCGCATGTGGATGCTGAGGAAGGCGGGGAACTGCTGCAGCCGGTTCAGGTGGCAGCGGACGATCATGTCCAGGAGCTCCTCAGAGCTGAAGTCGACTCTCGTAGGCTGTACGGTGCAGGCGCCGTTTTGGAGCGCGCCTAGAAGCATGAACGTCTGACCGATGTGGCATACACTCCCTCTAATGATAGGGTTCAGTTTGACTCCGGTGAGACTGGGAGTTCGAAGACTCACATAAAGTCCGTAACATCTTGACCATCACGTCGGAGCGGCCGCGAGAAGTGTTTCGCTTTATTGATGATGGTTGTGAGCCATACATAGTTGCATGGGATGAGCTTGGGGGAGCCCGAGGTCGACCCCGAGGTGTGAAATATCACAACGGTATCCGTGCCCTTGACCGCCGTGAGATCGATCATCGGCGGGATCGTTAGATTCGAAACATCGTGATGGCGAGCATCCACCGCCGCATGTGTGGGTACGTGGCAAGTGGACAGATCGGGAGTGTAGGTGGGTTCGAAGATGAGCGCTTTCGCGTTAGCTTTCCGAAGAAGCTCGTAGATGATGTCCGGGTTTGGAAGTCGGAGGGAGCAGAGTTGAGGGATGTAACCTGCCCGCGCAATGGCGTATACGTGACAATGTCGAGTATGTAAGCCCTCCGAGCCTATAACGGAGTCAGTGATCGATCGCACGGATATTCGCCAGTGGATTGGCTTACCATAGTCCAACGACTGATCGCGGCGCTACACCATCTCTTGAGAGAACGCCGTTCCAGTAGGTTGCGAAGTGCTCCACATCGGCGTGGAACTCGCGATAGTGACTGGCTGCCATGATTGCACGCTACCGGTCTCCTGGTTGAGGATGGGCACTGAAAGGCTGGCAGTGTTGGGTGCTTCGCCGCAGCCTCCGAAAGGACAGTGAGGTGGGTCTTGTAGTTGGCCATTACGTGCGTTGTACGATGACGAGGGGCTAAAATATAAGGTGATAGTCTGGAGATTAGAGTCCGGAACGTAAGGTACCAAGGAGAAGGATAGTCAGTCGGCTTGGAAAGTGAGGCTGAAAGTTGTGAGATGCTGAAGTCAAACAGGACGTATATATAATGAAAGGAGATCCCCGGGATTAGGCTTCGGTGGCAGGGCAGTCATCTGCTTCAGGACAAGCCATCGGTAGATGCGACAAAGTGCGCGCATGGAGTGTGGGCGGCAGCGGCACAGTCACTGTCAACGATAGCCAATGAGTCTGTGCCGCCGCCGTGACTCACCTTTACACGCCTCTTGGCCCATACAACATCGGGCTATGCGGACGGGACCACAACTTCTTGATGCGCAACAAGGCGGACAGGGCGCTACATTCCCAAGTAGCCAGGCCCACCGCGGATGCGGCCAGCTGTTGCATATACTGCAGACCTCCACCGCGGACATCCGTCGAGGTCGCAGGGGTGCTGCCGTCGCAAACTGATGGTGGGGGCCACGACACAGGACATACGCGCTGGCTGCCAGAATATACGCGCCTGCACAGCCAATGACCCGCGTCGCATCTGCGCGAGTCGTGACCGCGAGCAGGCCGAAGGGCGGAATGGTCGGTAGATAGTACACGCATCTTGACGCGCACGGAGGCTGTTGTACTCGGGCTTGACATGATCCCATCCTCCCCAGAGCGCAAGAGTTGCGGGCGGCGGCGGCGAGGTCGCCAAGGGTCCTCAGTTTCTCTCCCGCTGATGTCTTCATTTCATAATCCCTGTTCGCTCAAGCGTCCGTTCTTCCCGTGTGCGAGATGCTGTGCGACGAGTTCCAGACGTCAGTTGGGCCGACACTTCAGCGGAAGTGCCTTACCGTGCGCTTTGTATGGTAGTAATCCCCCAGCAAGCACGTAACCCGACGCGTCGGAGACTTACATACCATCCTCATCTCCAATCTTACCTCGAGGCAGTCTCAGGATAAGTCTACCCGCCCCGTCGTATTTCGCTGGCAGATGTGCATTCGGAGTTGCGGTGCATGGTACGGGAGATCGCTATGCATCATGATCGATACGGAGCAAGTGTGAGGTGGCCCCGGGCGCCAGTGCGCGCTAGCTACGAACTTAAGTTGGACGGCGGCCATCTCCTTGATTGAGCCTCTGAGCTGCGTCAGGCGAAGATTTCCCCTGCAGAGCGCGCAAGGACCGGGAGACTATGTCGAAGCCGACTGTCTTTGCTGGGGAGGGGCGGTGTCGCGCGAGCAAATGCGGTTGAGGCCTCGAGGTGAAACTGCTGACTCCAGAGCGATCTTGCGTTCCAAAATACAAGAGGGACTGACTCGTACGACCTCGTCTTCGATGCGTCGACGCCGCGGGAGTGATGAGCGTGCACCGCAAGGGGGGGTACCAGGTCAGCCTGTTGCCATATGCATCGTTCGGGGCCGTATTGCGATAGTCTTGCAAAGCATTTAATTAAGACCACTCGGAAGCGATCGAACTTCCAGCGAAGACTACCATAACGGTACGCATAGTCGTGGAAGCTATGAAGATAAACCGCACGAAGACGTCGACAGATCATGTCGGGCGAGACACGAGGACAAACAGAAGCATGGTTAAGTTCGACTGACTCTGTCACCCAAGTTCACCCAGTCACGCTGGTGGGAGAGTATCTGCCATGGCGGCGGCCACCTCGAGATGGGCAGTTGAGATTCTGGGCACCGCACCTTCATTCGGAAACAGTCCTAGGATTGTTCAGCAGAGCAGTGCCCCCTGAAGTGAGCTGATTCTTGGACGAATTGCTTAGATGAGTCGGATACGGCGTCCACATGGTTCCTGAGCAGCCTCCTGCCCATCCCGCCATTGGCGCGAAGGTGGATAATTGTCCCTTACGCGTCCCAGATCTGCGCCACTCATCATTGACTGGTATCGCGCAGGTGGCGGAGGCTGCGTCGTCACGAACGGAGACATTGTACTAGTCGTGTCAATGCAAGACACAACGTCTGTCAACCATCCAGCAGCGGCAAGGAACGCCGGTGGCGGATTGAGCGCTGCAGCACAGGTATGAGTCCAATGTTTGTTGACCGGGTTCTGCCCATGACCATCCGCTACCTATCACATACGCAGTGGTTCTGTCACGTTTCGGGTCTTCTGTGCCTTCTTTGCGACGAGTATGGGTCCAGGTATGCGTTACATTTGACCCTCTACGACGAGCGCTAATGGCCATTGCTGCACAGGTAGTTTGAACCTCACCGCGGCTCAATCGATTTGAGCGTAGAGAGTATGTACACTTCAGTGCTGTTCGAAGAAATCTCTGTGGAATGCTTTGTCCCGCAGATGTCAGGTCAGGAGGCAAAGATAGGACGCGCGGAGGCACTCACCGCCTGGGATCACCGCACTGGAGTACATGACGAGCGTGATAGGTACCAATGAAGCGGGCGTGTGCGTGGACCCACGCTCGATGTCTGGTTCCCATGTCGAGAGGATCTTTTCCGAGTAGGCCTCCCAGTCCTCTTGTTCCTCGTCCGACAGTTCCTTTTGCCGCGTTTCAGTGTGGCATCGCATGCCCAGACCGGTGCCGAACTCGCGGAACGCGAGGCGGTAGGCTCTGGACTGGTCGTAGTAGCCGTCCTCGAAAAGGACACCTGATGCAAGCGGTGTTTCAATCAACCACTCGCACTCGGCCCTCGATCCCAATGTACGCACGAGTGCAGATCGCAGCGCGGTTGGTGAGCTGCGTCGCCCACTCCTCTTCCCCTTCGAGCCAATGCGCGGTCCACAGCGTCATACCGAGGTCGAGCGGGTCGTCCGAGAGAGACTGCCTCCACTTCGTGTCCACTATCTTCTTATACTCTCTGACCTCCTGCGCAAGCACGCTCGGGTCCGCCTTGTTCGTGCGCTGGAGCAGGCCATACACCACGTATCCGTCGATGGGGTCGAGGTTCCCCTCCGAACGCACCACGGGCCTACTAAGGTCGACGCTCATCTTCCAGCACATCCGCGGGCGCTCCGCGTCCCTGTCGCGCACGAACCGTGGGTGGACCGCCTGCGCGAGCTCGACCGCGAGGGCGTTGTATCGCGGGTCGCGCGCCGCGAGCGACATGCGGTTCAGCGCGAACATCCAGAGGGTGAGGTAGTGGTAGTACTGCCCGTCGCCGTCCCCGCTCGGGTCGTCCTCGTCGCTTGCCTTGCCGATGCGGAGGCCGCCCCGGAGCGGGTGCGCGTCCGTCGCGCCGGGGAGGCGCCGCGTGCCGTCGCGCGTGCGTCCGAGGACGTCGTGCACGCGGGCGATGAGCCGGGCGGCTAGGGTCGTGTACGTCGGATTGTGAGCGAGCGTGCCGAGGGTGATGAGGTTGAGGACGCCGAAGGCGTCAGTCCAGAGGTATCGCCCGCGGTGTCCCTCCGCCATCGGCGGAGGAATCCATGAAGATGCTTGTGCGGGGGAGAGCTGGGCAAACGGCCCGTAGACCGTCTGCATTGCCTTCATGCATTTGGGGATCGAGTCTGCCAAGCGGCGGGTAGCTGCAGCAGACATTTGACGGGTGTGGCGGTTCGAGGTGGTTGACTCGGGGTAGTTATGGCAATCTACAGAAATGCGTAGGCAGTACTGCTATGTGTGGTGTCAAATTACAACGGTGTGTTCATCTATGACATACTTACCTGTCTGGTGGTATGAGTAGCTCAACAAACTCAGACTCTAATTGACCCGCGAAGCGCTGGACCCACTCTTCCTCATGACGTCGATGGTTTGAGCACCCTACTTATGACATGTAAGGACCCACTTGCTCGCTGACATTTCCATAATTTATGTTTGCATCTGATTGAATGAGTTCATTTGTGCCCCTGGTCCGCCTCCGGATGCTTCTAGGCCGCAATTGCTGCATCGTCGAGATGCCAGGACGAGCCTGAGCGATACCCAACCTAAGAGAGCGAAAACATCTCAACATCAGAATAGTTCTGTAAGAGAGAATTGAACGCTTACAAGCTTTCTCATGCTCTCGGGATATTCAATCGGTGCGCAGGCTTGGGGGTGCCTACGTTCAGTACACTCAGTACACTCGGGACTGACTCCAGCGACCCGGACAGTGCTCCGTAGTCCAAGTCCATACATATCAACTGCGCACGCGCCGACCGTGTCAATCATGATACCCAAGTCTTGCGCCCAAGCACATGAGACGCAGCGCGATGTATAATGTAGCACCCAGCAGATGTATTGTCCAGTCACAGAGCAATACCACGGTAGGTTAACAGGTAGCACAGACCGTGATTCGGATGGCACTCACGTGATTAGCTGCTCTACCCAACACTCAAGCGTCAAGCCGCTGCTCAGTCTCGCTGCCGACTCTCATTGTCAGTTATACAACGGATTCAATTCGACCGCCTTAAAACCTCTGTGGTCACAAAAGTCTTCCTTGTAGTCTCTACTCGACCGTTCCTTTGCATCTGAAACAAAAGCTCTATCTGAGGTCCCTCCGCAAATATGGTAAGGTCGTATTCTTCGGAAAGCCGGGACATGCTGACGCGCCTCCACACCACAGGCACGTAATGAAGAGAAGGCGCAGTCCATGCTGTATCGGTTTCGCGAGGCCCAAGCCGCAGAGCTGGGTCTCGGGACGCGGGCGGACCGACGACCGCGAATGGCGAGCGCGTGCAAGAGTCTGCGGGAGTGCGAGCGGTGGCGAGGAGAGATTCTGCGGGAAATTAGTCGCAAGGTGTCAAAAATCCAGGATGGTGAGTATCGTTGTGTATGCTGCCTTTAGAGAGGTTAATCAGAGTTGGCATGCAGCTGGTCTGACGGACTACGAGGTCCGCGACCTGAATGACGAGATCAACAAGTTGATGAGGGAGAAGCGGCATTGGGAGAACCAGATTGTCGCGCTTGGTGGTGCGAATTACAGGCGAAATGTGGCCATGGTGGATGACGATGGGAAGGAGGTGCCCGGGACAAAGGGATACAAGTGCGTCTCAATGTGGTTCCCACATTGAGACGTCGCTAAAGGACACGCTTTCTCTTCAGGTACTTCGGACGGGCGAAGGAACTCCCCGGAGTGAAGGAGCTCTTCACGAGCAAAAAGAAGGAAGAGGATGAAGAGAACCAGGCACAAAGCTACTACAAGAAGTTCACGAATCAGGGGCCGTCATACTTCGGTGACCTGGATGAGCAGGATGGCAATCTGCTAGAGTATGAGATGCACGCGGAGGAGGAGGGTGAGCTGTCTCTATTCCCCTGGCATAGCGCAGCGGTTGACTCTCCTGTCCTGCAGAATGGGAAGATGCATATCAACATCTACGAACAGTACTAGGGCTATCAGCAGACGAGCCGATACCCAAAATCCCGCGTTCGTCCAACAAGGTCGCGACAATAGCCATCTCAGATGACTCAGCAACACCAGCACCACACCATCCGACACTAAACGAAAAGCTCCAGACGAGGATGTCGAGATGGCTGCGAACGGCGACGCGGACGAGCCCGCAAAGAGGGCACGGACAGATGGTCAAGCACAAGAGGGAGCAGATGCTTCAGCGGTCGATCCGCGAGAGGCCGCGGCCGCGTTTGCGCGTGCTACAGCAGCGTTCATCCCCTTCCTCTCACAGGAGGAGCTGCTTCCGCCGAAGATGCCCACAAGGGAGGAAATGGAGACGTTCCTTCTTGGCCTCCGGAAAAAGGCCCTGGTAGAGGAGTATTTCGGCTAACTATCGGTGCTTTGGTGCGATCGTGTACGATAGGGTGTGTTCGTTCCCCTTTCAATACTCCGTCCGATAGGAGATTTCCTGTAAGCGGGTCGTGCGAGCTGTACGATGAGGGCAAGGGGCATGCCTAAGGCTCGACTGTCCGAGGATCATAGACTCGCAGCTATATTCGACTTCCCGACACAGCAAATGAGCATCACCACATCCTGTGTTTCATCGTCCTGTTCTCGATCGCGTGACTGAGGGTTTGCAATGCATGCTAAGAGGTCCGGCGCAGAGATAACCAGGATAAGGAGACTTTCGACTTTGAGCACGATTCAAGCGGATGGTTCGACGTTGTCAATCATACGCCCGAGTTGCGTTGCTCTTGTGGTGATCACCAGGGAGACAAGCTCTTGTCGAGGATGACAATAAGATCGCGCCTGAGACGAGGTTACTTATAAAATTAAGAACAATAAGTTAAAAAGCAACCTTATCAAGCTTGTAAGCTCTATAAGCCGTTGGTAAGGAGAGTCAGTACAAAAGGGCCTTGTATGGTCGCGCTTACAAAATATTCCGTTTATCAGACGGGGGCTGTTCGAGTAAGCAGACCAAACAGAGCCATAACAGCCAAACAAGCCGCAATCGCTCCGGTACGCATCCTTACCTCCATCCACCATCTCGCAGTCACCCTTTACATTGTGAGTTCTCTTCATCCTCATCGTCGTCGAGAGTGTCCGCTAACGGTCTTGCAATCGCTTTCCTACGTGGTATTGTTGTCTTTGCCGTCGTCCGTCGCGTCGCCGGACGTCTCTCGTCATCGCACCCCATCTCGCACGATCTGGCCGATCTTGCTCTCTTCCACAGTTTTACGACCCCCTCTCACCCTAGAGACTGTCTATAATGGCCCTCAAGCGCATTAACAAGGTGGGTATTGGTCGTGTGGCCCCAGGCGTATCCGATGAAATGCGCGTCAACGCAGCCTGGTGGCGCGCAGTGGATGTGCCTCGGGCGGTGTTCGAGACACACGATGACTGATGTATCGCGTCCATTCTAGGAATTGATTGACCTCGGGCGTGACCCACCCTCGTCGTGCAGTGCTGGCCCGACTGGCGACAACATGTTCCAATGGCAAGCAACTATCATGGGCCCTGTGAGTGCCTCCCTGCATACATCGCTCCATGCGTGTCTGCGGTGCTATCGGATCGATGCTGACCATCCATGAAACATCAGGGCGATTCGCCGTACGCGGGCGGCGTGTTCTTCCTCTCCATCACCTTCCCTACCGACTACCCCTTCAAGCCGCCCAAGGTCAGCTTCACGACGAAGATCTACCACCCGAACATCAACGCGAACGGCTCGATCTGTCTGGATATCCTCAGGGACCAGTGGAGTCCAGCGTTGACCATTTCGAAAGTGCTCCTTTCGATTTGCTCGATGCTCACGGACCCCAACCCGGATGACCCGCTCGTGCCTGACATCGCACATCTGTACAAGACGGATCGGGCGCGCTACGAGGCCACCGCTCGGGAGTGGACACGGAAGTGAGTGGTGTGCGAGCTTACCGTGTGATCATGTTCTGATGGGTGCTTGCAGGTATGCCATGTAACAGCGTCGGGTCTTTCAGAGCCAGGGATATTGATGACGAGCATGTGTGGTTGTACGATGCCTTGACTGTTTAGCTCTGTGTATAATCAACAAGTCCGATGCATGACTGAATCACGACGACATCTGGGTCTCTATTTACTGTCTTGTGTGCAATCTTGTGAATACTTGCATCCGTTGGAATCAATGCTGGAGTGTAAGTAAGGCTCGGTTGATCCTATCCGAGTCGAAATGCCGGTTCGAGAGCTCGGCGACCGGTTACCCGGGATCAGCGATACATATGCATCTACTGATGCTTTTGTTTCTGGTCGTGCTTACCGACTGTTACTCGCCTCTACTGTGCATTGTATGCCGACTTCATAGTGTTGGTAACCAATCGCAAGGCGACCATTTTCGCCGTCGGGTTTACTCGGTGCTCCCACGTGAAACCGTCACCTACATCATCGCCGTTGGCTCTGGTAGCGTCTCACTCTCCTTTCTCATCGACCTCCTTCTCTTCTCCAAAGCGTCTCTCTAGAAGATGCTGTCAAGACAGATTATTGCTCTCGCTCGCGGGCGGGCTCTCCGCGCCGATGCAGCGGCCGTTTCCAGAGGATGGTGCGTATGTCCGTTGCGCGCGCGCGGTGCTCGTGGTGACAAGTGTACCTATTCCGCAGGAAAGTCGCGACGGCGTACTCAAGACGCGCGCAGTTCCACTCGACGAAACTCGTTGAAGGTGAGCGGGTCACGGTGTTGTGCGACGCGTCGATCGTGCTCATACATCGCCTGCAGCCGAGACGGTCAAGGTGCCCCAGATGGCCGAGTCCATCTCGGAGGGCACCCTCAAGACGTGGTTGAAGCAGGTGGGGGACAGCGTAGCGCAGGACGAGGAGGTTGCGACCATTGAGACTGACAAGGTATGTTGTCGTACTCCGTCCTGCGTCCTGCTTTGTGCTGCGGTCTGTCCGTCTGCCCTCGTTGGCGACGCGGGTGTACGTCTCTTACGATGCCGGTGACGCCATGGCGTGGAGGTGTGCGAGGGTCACTACGATCCAGCTTTGATCCCCCACGGGGTGTATGCGAGTCCAACATGATCTGCAAAGAGCATGGTCACTGCTACTCTACACCCTTCCAAGGCTCTCGTGCTCTCCAGACGGGAATCGATGGAAGTGCTTCCTGGTGGAGTGGTCTCTCGCGGCTTACCTGTGCATGTCCGACGGTCACCGGGGAACTGGTATATGGTTGCGGACGGCGAGAACGGGAGCTATGAGGTGTGCAGAAGGTGCTCGGTTAGCTTACCTCACGGGGGCCAAGCACACTGCATTAATCTCGGCTGCCGGCGCCCGTTCTCTCTTTCGGGAGTTCGGTGCGTTGCACGCTGTTCGTGGTACAGCGTATGTTGACCTCCGGTTATACGCGGAGAAGCCTCAGTCGCATCTGGACACATTGGTCGTCTGGAGAGTTACAGCGATCGAGGCCGGCTGGGACCGCCTATGCCTTAGGCAAATTCCCAGATAACGTACCCTTGAGGGCTAAGGGACATGCGCACGTTGGCCTCTCAGTCTGGCTCAGCGAGCTCGTACAACGCACGAAGCCAATGACTGCTCCAAAGAGGTTACTGTTGGCACGCAGTCGGACCCTGCATCCGATACGACCTGCAAATGCCAGGTAGCGTCGCATTGAGATCCGATGTCCAGCTTTAATGAAAACAACTGGCTGTCTCGGATACGCATTGTTTGCGAATGACACATGCCCGTCTGATCTAACCTGATCTATTTGCTCGCAGATCGACGTGTCCGTGAACGCACCCACAGCGGGTACCATCACGGAACACCTTGCAAACGAGGAGGACACGGTGGCTGTTGGCCAGGATCTGTTCAAGATCGAACCCGGTGAGGGTGGTGCGGCGCCGCAGGGTAAGAAGCCGGAGGAGCCGGAGGCTGCTCCGCCGAAAGAGAAGGAGGACAAGGCGGAGCCCAAGGACCAGCAGGTCGAGAAGAGCCTGCCAGAGCCGCCAGAACCGGCGCCGTCCGACGTGCGTGCGAAGGACACAGCTGGCGTGCAGGAGGGCCATGAGAAGAAGGACGTGAAGGAGACGTCGAAACCCGCGCCGCCGGCGAAGGGCAAGGGGGAGAAGGAGAAGCCCGCGCCAGCACCGCGGGTCGCGGGGGCACGGACGGAGACGCGGGTGAAGATGAGCCGGATGCGGCAGCGCATTGCGGAGCGGCTGAAGGAGTCGCAGAACGCGGCGGCGTCGCTGACGACGTTCAACGAGATCGACATGCACAGCCTGATGGAGATGCGGAAGAAGTACAAGGACGAGGTGATGAAGACGCACGACGTGAAGCTTGGGTTCATGAGCGCGTTCGCGCGCGCGTCGTGCCTCGCGCTGAAGGAGATCCCGAACGCGAACGCGGCCATCGAGGGCGACGAGATCGTGTACCGCGACTACGTTGACCTCAGCGTCGCGGTCGCGACCCCCAAGGGCCTCGTCACGCCCGTCGTGCGGAATGCGGAGAACATGAACTTCGTCGAGATCGAGAAGGAGATTGCTTCGTTGGGCAAGAAGGTGCGTAGTCTGCGTATGTTCGATGTATGAGTGGCGACTGAGGATGGTTGTGCAGGCCCGCGACGGCAAGCTCACGCTCGAGGACATGTCGGGCGGCACCTTCACTATGTAAGACACTTACTCATCCATCTGGTTGCTTACTGACCCCCGGCTCAGCTCTAATGGCGGAGTCTTCGGCTCCCTCTATGGTACACCCATCATCAACTTGCCGCAAGCTGCTGTGCTTGGTAAGTCGCCGTTCCCGCATCCTCGCCTTGGCGATCGCGGGGGGGCAAGCCGCCCCGGATCGACTGGTCTGAGTTGATTGGATGTGGCTGACCGGATGCACGCAGGCATGCACACGATCAAGGAGCGCCCGGTCGTGGTCGACGGCCAGATTGTGATCCGCCCGATCATGGTCGTCGCGTTGACGTACGACCACCGGCTGCTCGACGGGCGGGAAGCGGTCACCTTCCTCGGTGCGTGTCTACCGACCACCCTTCCGGTGCCTAACTGACTTCGCGTGTTTCTGCGCTTCGCTTGTTTGCTTGTTCTCCAACCACTGTGTTCTGGCATGGTACAGTCAAGGTGCGGGACTATCTCGAGGATCCCCGCAAGATGCTCCTCGCCTAGAGCCCGGGACTCCAGCGCACACCGCTCTAGGCCGTGTGTGTCTCATCCGAGACTCACGCACGCACGGCCGGTGTGGTGTACGACGCTCTGTTTCTCGCTCTGGCCGTGAGACGGGAACGCCTCCTACGGACCTATCCTATTCTGCGCATCCGATGTTCACAAGCGTGCTGTAATGTTCCCAACGCCTGCGACTTCGCTATACAATACTTTATTACCTTTGGCTCTGTCGCTCGCTGGAGCGCGGGGGCTATGGTCCAGGTGAGTGCGATGGCGATGGCGATTGCGGGATCCGGGGACCACGAGTGCTGCGACTTATTGAGGCCTGACTGCGAGGGTAAGGCTGCAAACCTACCGCAAGTAGGCGTCCTGTGGCCGTGCGCCGGGTGCAGATAAGCTACAGCCTACGGTGCGAGGCGAGCGCTATCGCGAGGTGCGTGTCCTTGTCTGCGTTGGGATGGTCACGATCCGGGCGCGGGGACGTGCCTATCAGTCGATGACGATGAGGGTCCCTCGCGGGGCGGAAGGTTTTCATTTCGCAGGGTGAAACCGTCGGAACGAGATTCCAGGTCCGAGATTCGTGGGCGATCGCCGTCTTGCTTGAACCCCTGGTGAGACTCGCAGCGGTGTGGTGTGGGCGGGCCTTGAGGCTAGCGGACGACCTGCCGCAGTCGCGAACTCCTCTTCGGCAGTATCACAGTGATAGTGGTGGACTCGGATTCGGGGGGCGATGATCCCAGTCTGCCAGAGGCACGCCTTGTCATCCTGTCATTGCGTTACCGTAATGCGATGCCCGCGTCCACCTGCGCGGTGGATCTTCCCGGCACAGCGGTGGGAACTCGGACGGTCCGGGCAATTGAGTTCGGGGCCTGCCAGAAACTCTGATGGACCTGCGGTATGGGGAGTGGTCGGCCGGGGATGGCAGCTGCTGGCCTCTGGTAGATTCGTGATGGTTCCCCGAGTGGAGTGGGAGGGCCTATGGGAGGAGTTGCGGTGGATTGGCTCCGCGTCGGGATGTGGTGAAGATGAGATAGGGCGGAGCGGGTTGAGTATGTAGCTGCTCCTGGGGAGTGGTGGCCTGTAGCTTGCATGTAGCTGTGAGTGTCGTTTTCTGCGATGCGAATCTTGCGCGGAGCTTTGTGCAGCTCGGGACTGAAGCAGATCAGGCTAAAGCCGGCGCTTCGGGATTGAATTCATCTCGAATTGTGCTTTGCGATGGGCTGCGAAGTTGGCAAGCGTTGCAGGAGTGCTATTTATCCACTTAAGCCTTTCACTTTGTACGCCATTCAAGGCGAGCGGGCACACTCTGTTGCGGGAACTTTGAGGACCCCGGGCAAGGCGCTTATAGGTCCGATCCGAAAACCCCGGATTTTGGGCCCTTATGTCCGCACGATTTTGACCCCTGTTATGTCCGCATCAGGATAGGACCTACCTGTAGGGGTGCTTTATGGCCGCATGACGGATCGGACCTCTCAAAAATGCGGTAAAATCGGAGAAAATGCCCAAAAAATCGCTGCATGCCCTACACATTGCGTCGGAGTAGACTACCAAGGAAAACGCCCACATTTGTCCCCCTTTATCGTCAAAACGGTTGCATGAGTAGCACATACGCATAAGCGCCGAGTACCATATCTCGAGCGCCCAACATTCGTAAGTACGAATGTACTCTAGGTGGCACGTCACAAGAGTAGTCGCTAATTGACACGGATGGTGAGAGACAATCAAGCGGGCAAGCCAGTCGGTTGCGAGATGATAGCGAACATGGGAGGTCAGGAGTACTGATATGGTCCTTCATGACTTGGTTGGTACTCGAGGTCGACGAAGAACCTGGCGCATCTTTAGAATGAGGTCGACTGTGAGATTGTTTGTAGCTGGTCACTGCCAGTGGCCCTAAGGCTCGTGACCGATGGCTTGCTTGACCGCGGCGATGGCAGTCGCATATTTGAAGCTCGCGAACAATGGCGTGTAGCCGACCGAGACGAATGCGAATGCGAGAAAACGCTCTCGGTAGAGTACGAGAAATGCGCCCCTGCGAGTCAAACACTTGGCCAGTATGCCTGGGTAGCCAACATCCTACGGGCCAGTTGCTCTGGCTGAACCTGGCCCAAGCGGTACCACTACGACCACATCGCGTCTCAATGAGACGTGCAGCGTCGGATGCCCTTTCCCAGCTACTGAAGCACTCACCAGTGGTGTTCTGGTGTTCTGTCACGATCGCCTTGCTCACGTTCTCACGTCCGCGCATATCGCGCTGTGTTTGTTGTCTCCGCCGGCTTGTCCATGCCGCCGTAGCCAAGCATGTCAGGCACAATGATTGAGTGGCCCCCGCCTTGAAGAACGCGTACGTGTCTCCGGACGAGTGGTAGCCTTCGAAGAACGAGATGCTTTAGTCTCCTGTATCTTGGTCAGCCAAACCAGGTCGAACGCACCCTACTAGCAATCTTCATGTGTCCGTGTCGAGCCATCGGCGCGTGATCTGCGAGAGAGGCTAATGAGACGCGTTGTGCGCGTAAATCCTACACTGCGGTGCATGAATTCAGCGTGAATACAGCTATGTATAGTATTCTGTAAACAGGAGGCGAGACTCACATTGTAGTACAATACAAGCTTGGCCAGTCTACCAAGTCCCACATGACGGACGCATTCAGAGAATCTGCAATTCCGGGGTCCCAATCATAACAAGCAGCTGCATGCGATCATCGTAGCGAATCAGTAAGTTATCTTCCAGGCCCGAGCAGATACCATCACCCGCGATGCCATCCACAGAAGTTAGTAGCATTGCTTAGCTGAGAGATCCACGACGTGAAGTATGCTACGTACCAATCTCGCGATACTGGCTTCGCCGTCAAAGGCGACCACGAGGTCAATTTATGGCCGCATACGGATAGGACATGCGAACGTGACAGCATCTATGGCCGCATATGGATCGGACATGGCGCGAGCTCTGGCAGGTCTATGGCCGCACCAGGATCGGACATGAGCGCCCTATTTGGGCTGGTTATGGCCGCACCAGGATCGGACGTATAAGCGCCTTGCCCGGGGTCCTGAACTTTGACTTGTTCCACCAAAGAAGCGTGAGCGCTACCGCACCTGTACGCGGGAGGACAATAGACATAGACGTCGACGGGATCTTCGACGCCCCAACTCGGACAATGCGCTGCGCCTCACGCCGACAGCGACCACCCAGTGATTCATCCATCCGATCCTCGTACAGGCTGTGTCGGTCATCGTTCCACGCGATAAGGTGGGCGACATGGAGGCCAAGTGCTCAGGCGAAGGCGCTGTTGGGAACACATGATGATGCGAGTCTGAGTTCCGCCGCTGGCGTGACCTCTGCGCAGTGCTAACCTTCTGCCAGTTTGTTGAACGAGATATCTATCTTGCGCGCTACGCTCGCCGTCCTAAAGAGCACAAGTGTGCTGAAGTGCGCAAGACTCGGGGGAGAGGAAGTGACGTCGGGAAGCGCGCGGCGGACACCATGGCATGGTATGAGCGCGCACGCGCGCAGAGCCGACGAGCACCGACGAGAAGTTTTCGCGACAGCAAGAACAATGGAGAGCACAGAAGGCCATTGTCCAACTCGGGGTGACATTGACACTGACAAGCGAGAACAAAGAAGTCGCGTACTCGCAGCAACGGACGGAGCAACTGGCGCAGAGTCCGACCACAGAATCCACGCAAGGACGAGCGTAGAACGGGACTGTCAGTGCGTGCGACAGGCTCACGGAGGCTGTGAGGTGGAAGGTGGTCTCGAGCGCGATAACGGGAGCTGGAGTAGTTTGGAGGAGACATGCTGGACAAGGACCGAGAAGGAGGAGAAGCCGCGCGGAGGATGGCGTGGAAGAGATCAAGGGTAGGAGCATGCCCATTGCAAGCGCATCTTCCGCGTCTGCTGCCCGCTACACACTGGCCTCGTGGCTCGCGGAGTGGCCGCAGGAGGCAAGGGAGGATCGCGCGAGCGGGCCTGCCTCCTCTGCCTGGGGCCCGCCTCGAGCCCGCTGACCGGCACAGGCTCGACAGGGGCGAGACTGCTAGGCGCCCACGGCAGGTGGCTACCATCCGCCACCGGCACGCCCCGGCTGTCAATTTGCGGCGGTGCCCGATATGGGCACGCTTGCGGAGACGCGGGATGGGTTTGAACTCCGACCGAACGCCGGATTGATTACAAGAGCAGGTGACGGCGCCGGGTCGCCCCATACCCCCTGCCTCGTTTTTCATCGCCAGCCATTCCGTCCCCGTCGTCGCGCACGTCGCCCTCCTCCCCGTCCCCCTCCTCCTCGCCGCCATGCTCGCCGTCCACAAGCCGCTACCAGCCCACTTCGCCCCGCCGCTCTTCCGTCCGACCCACAGCCGCCACCCGACCGCGCCCGTCGTCATCAAGCCTACGCACACGCCGGGCCTCTTGTCGCTCTCCAAGCCCACGCAGCCGGCCGCGCGCCCGCAGTCAACTCACCAGCGAGATCGCCAGGCCAGGTCGTCGCCCAGAGGCAAGAAGACACCGCCTGCGCAACAGGCGCCGGTGCACACGTCCGCTGTCGAGGACAGCAAGCCGTTGGGCTCACCCGCAAAGGCGGATGGCGCAGCGCCAGACAAGGCCAAAGTGCAGTCTGGTCCGGCCGCTGCGGCTGACAAGTCCACTAGGGGCCGTCAGCCCAGCAAACCCGCCAAAGATAAGGCACAGCGAAGGTATGTGCAGCTCATCCTCCACGTCCCCTCCGTATCCAGTCGTAGTAATGTCTCGCGGTCACACCAGGAGCGTATCATCTTGTTCCCGTCTCCCTGCGCGACGACCCGCACACCAACCTTCCCCTCCCCCCGCCGACAGGATACCCTCGCAGGCAGAGGCTCCCGTTCAACGCCCGACCAAGTCCCACCCTATTCTAAGCACTTCGGTATCGGAGCTCAACGATCCTTTTGCCATTATTGAGTCTTCTACCGGGGCAGCCCCGAAGGAGCCAGCAAAGGCTGGCTCGAAGGGCCCTGCTTTCCATCCGCTTCCACCGCTTGCCCAGCCGTCTGGCAAGCTCGCTCGCCGCCGTCAGCTCAACTCCCGAGCCTCGCCTTCGCCGATCACTGCCAAGACCCACCAGCAGCGCAAGGACCGCGTTGCCGCCCTCGTCGGCTCCGTTCCTGAGGACCTCTCTCAGCTCGCGATCCACGACGATGTCTCCGCGACGCCCGTCCGACGGAGCAAAGTCCATCGTGCTGCAGCCGAAAACAGACCTATCTTCCCCGTCTGTGACGACTCGAGCGAGGCTGACGACAGTGACGACACTCCGCCGACAACGCCCCTCCGAGAATCTGCCAGCGTGCCTATCAAGAAGCATCTGCGTCACTGGCCCGCCACGGGGAGCGCCAACAGTGCCCCGCGTACGGCTCCTCTGGCGTCGACGTTCGTCTTCCCGTTTATCCCGAGTCCGAGTCCTTCCCCGACGCCCGCTCAACGCCGCCGTAACCACCGCCGCGTTCCTAGCGAGGGCGTTTTCCACATGTCTATGGATGACGATTCGTCGTCGTCGTCCTCGGAGTTCCCTTCGACGAACAAGGCGTTGCACCCCCGATCGAGGCGTCCCGCTTCGCAGTCTCGCGAGTCAGTCGCAGGCGAAACGTCCACTTCTGCTCCCCAAGTGGGCTTTTTCGCGGGCTCAGCATTCCAGAACTCGCCCAGTCCTGAGGACCTGCCGCCGCCATCGTTTTGATTGTATTTGTACATCGTTTAGAATTCATCAAGTGTAGAGGTGAGTACTTCTGCTTATTTATCCGGCACCTACTCATCGTGTTTTTTCTCAGTCCAAGTTCATCGGGTCCATAGAAGCTCTTATATTTCTAATCGCTGATCTTCAAGTCTAATACCCAATACTCCGAAGCCCTTCGTCGACAACATAATGTGTCCTATACTTTCCCCACCATCACCACTGCCGCCATCTACCCTCATCCACCCCGACGTCTCCGATTCTTCCGGGCTTCGGAGCTGTATCGCTCACCATCAGCATATCATTATCAACTCGACGCATCGCATCATCGTTATTGGGTTCAGCGGTCTCTGGGTCCTCGGTCCATTTGGGCTTCTTCACACTTGCATGACATTCACTGGCGCAAACATCGGTCACACCCTCGGTCAACGGTTACTCGCTCAGGACGCTTCGCTTCGATCTATCTCCGCTTCACACTAGATACCCCGCCTCTCGCTGGGTCCGTCGTCGGCAAGGCATTCATACCCCTCGCCGCGACACTGGGACTCGTTGGCACTCTGCATGCACGCATGCTGGGCTGCGAGCGAGACTCGTCTTCACCTTCAAGTGTAAATATCATCCATCTCGCCTCGTCTCCCGGCTTCTCTCGCACACCCCATTGTACCACCCGGCTCACATGTGCATGCTCTCGCATTCCTGCATCCTCGCATCGCATTCCCCTGCTCACGCCGGCCTGCCGCTCGCTCGTGCGGGCCTACGTTGTACCACCAAGATATCGATAGACAGCAAGTAGTATAACTTACGCAAGAAAACCCAAGAAAATGAAGACTCGCAAAATCCTCGCTCGGTCGCCAAAGGGCGGCTGCCGCGAAGCCTAACTTATACGACTCTGGCGTCGGTGGCTACCGATGCCGGGGGCTATTATCTGTCGTCGTCGAATTTTTCGTCGTCTTGGCTGGCTCCCCGGGTGCGCACGCAGGCGCTCTACCACGTCGTGTGTCTTGGATTTTGGGACTTTGCTCGCATCATCGTATCTGGTCTCCCCCTGTCGTGTCGATCACCTCCCCCTACTCCATTTCTATCATACCGTGTCCCCGCTGCCGTTTCTGCTTTTGTTGGCCGGGGACGTATTACGCTCGCCGAGGTACTTCGTTTGCCCCCCTTCCTTCGCTCCGCTCCCCCCTCCCCTTCCTCCACACGCCTCTACCCTCGGCGAGCTGCTCAGGTGTATCAATAACCACAATGTCGATTACCTCGTCGTCTCCTCTTCGGTTCTACAGTTGTACCCTATTTACTCCGTCCGGCAGCGTTGTGAGGTAGCTCGCGGCGCCGCCGGCGGGGGCCCGTATTGTTACGATAGACCTTGTCTACTATTTACGCCTCTTCCTTCCGAGTTTATTTTTTCTTCCTCGAGACCCGTTCTCCCCTTCCGCTATCTGTGCATGACTTATTGTGGGCGTCTTGCCGGTGTACGCTGTTGGACTGCTGTGAGTGTCATTCCGAGCCCAGAGTCCGTGAGTGCTGTAACTGACCTGCGCTTCCTCACCAGCCCCGTCTATATTATACAACATATCGCGCATACCCAACACTACTCCCCAATACTGTCCACCCGCCGGGCCCTCGTCACTGGCGCTCCCTCGCGAGCGTCAGGCTGTACATACAAGATATCTGGCGACACCCGGTGGTCTTGGGTCTCACACCACACTCCAACAACACTACCACGCTCCTTAAATCCAATGGAATCCTCTTGTTGTCCTAGTTCGCCGAATACGTATATATACAACAACGACTTAGACCTGTGTCTCGATCGCCGTGGATCGCCCCTCCCGACGTGGAGGGTGCGATGTGTCCCTCAGCTACGTGTTTCCGGTTCTGGTTCCCGTGTCTCCTATTCCCTTCCCAGTGTCCGTATTCCTACCCGACTCCTTCGCCTCGTGGTCGACATTTGACCCTCGCTCTGCATCGCGCCTCCGCACGGCGCAGCGGTACACCGGCACTCACCCACTTGTATCAGTACGGCCGTCGTCATCTGTACCGCTAGCCGCATCCATACCCGCACTCGTATCCACTCTCCGCTGTATCTGGCTCTCGCTCTCGCATCGCTGCATCTCACCCCCTCACGCATGCCTTTTACGCCATGTCACGATTATGCGGAGTGCGTTGGGTCGGTCGGCGGAGCAGGCGGCGGTGTCGCGACGGGAGTCGACGTCGATCGGTGGAGGGGCAGGCGTCGTCGTCTCGGTCTTGTCCCGATTTCTCTATGATATGGCGAAGCAGGTGCGGCTGCGGTAGGCCGTCGCACGGACGTGGTTCGTGTTTCGCGTTTTTCTTTTACGTATGTCAAGAACTCGATGATACTTGTATGCCGTGTACGAACTGTTACTCCTAGTGATGTATGAGGAGTGGTCGAATGAAGATTTCTTTTTCTCTATGCATCTGATTTGTGTGATGTCTGCATTGCAGCGAGTTCCTCGCTGCTGTCGAGTTTGCGAGACACGGCGCTCAAAGCGTTGTTGACGGGTCAAAGGAGAGGCTGAATCGACGAGGACTGGATACATTCAGACACGGGCTATGCTACATCCATACACATACAAAACGAAGAACCGAAAGACAGTGAGGTAGTAATGCTATAATCGTCAAACAAACCCATCCACCCCGCCTACGGGAACGTGAGGATGTACTCCTTCATCTCCGCGGCCCAGCTACACCTCGCCAGGTTCTCCACGCTGGTCCCGCTCCCGTCGTCGCCGCACATCTGGCCGAGGATCTCACCTGCCTGCGCGAGGACTGCCTGCAGCTGCTCCTTGATCGTCTCCTCCGAGTCCGCACCTGAGGTACGCGCGAGGACGGGGATGAAGATGTGGTCGTCCGGGGCGAAGTCCGAGGCGGGGGCGGTAGCGGTCTCCGAGACGGTGCACTTGAAGTGGTGGTGGTGGTGTGGAGGCCTTGGGGGCGCGCGGGATCAACTTGCCAGCGCGATTGGCTGAACTCGGAGAGCGGGTCGAAGTCGCCTGGGCTGAGGTCGTCCATGATGCCGGTGCGCGCGAAGACAGTCTTGGTGCTAGTGGTCTCATGTTGATGGGACACGCGGGAGGAGCTGGCTAGATCCTACCGGGTTAACTCAGAGAGCTGGCTGAGGTCCCCTGAGCTGAGGTCGTCCAAGAGTTCAGCCCGAGCGAAGACGGGGACGAAGATGTGGTCGTCAGGAGCGGCTTCGGCGCGGCCTCAGGGCAGAGCTAGCACTAGCACAGCAGGGAACCAGAGCGGCAGGACCAGAGCTAGAGCCGGGAGACACAGGTGCGGTCCTGTACCCATAACCTTCGGAGTCGCCGAGACCTTCGCGCCAGTCTTCGCCTTCGCTTTGGTGTTCGTCTTGCTCGGCATGCGGGGCGAGATCCTCCCGAGGCGCATCTTGAGCTTGTGGTCGTTCGCCGCGTCCAGCACGTTCTGCTCCACCTGCTTGTAGGCGTCGCCGCCGGGATCCGCGGCGGCCTCGATCCTCGCGCGGGTCTCGTTGTACGCGAGGTAGCGGAGCGTCGGGAAGAAGTGCACCATGGAGCCGGGCGTGCCACAGACGACGGGGCAGTCGGGGTTGGGGCACCCGGGCGGGTCGGCGCCGTGCTGCGCGCACTTGCCATGGAAGAAGCTCGGGAAGATCGCCGTCTCCATGCCGGTGTAGGCGGCGGCATCGTAGGCGGAGAGGAGCGGGGCGAGGTAGGAGGCTGCGGTGGGGATGTCGGGATGCGAGGGGAGGAGCGAGGCGACGTGCCCGGCCTGTAGGGGTCAGTTGGCGTGCTCGCGGGAAGGAGAAGGGGGAGGACGTACGAGGGTGCGCATGACGGCGTCGACGGGGGTGGTGTAGTTGCCGACGTAGGCGTTGGTGATCTTGACGATGCATTCGCCCTCGCAGGCAGAGACAGTGACCGGCACCGACAGCGCGAGCAGCGCGATAACTGACTTGCGGCGCATCTTGTGTCCCCAGTCTACTCCGAAAGATTGAGTTGCTGTGCTGCCAGAGACCACGTCTTGAATCGTCTTGAGTTGTCTTGCCAGAGACAGTCTGCGAGATGGGAGTTACGGTCAACGTTGAACGGGTTCAACCGAGCGCGTCGCGCGTTGCGAGTGCCGCCGCCGCACAAACAAGCGGTAAACAACACGTCCCTTCAGAAATCACATCTCACGTGTAATGTGAAGAGACATTGGCGGCAGGCCGCCGTACGACCAAACGCTACTTACTTAGATGATACGATGTATACCGCCTCGTCGTAACATATATCCTTCACGTACGTCAGTACAAGCACGACCAGGAATATCAACTCAAACCCGGAGTCACTCTAGGCTTTATCCTTTGCTATCGCGCGAGATATAGAAGGCTACAACTATATGTAAAGGTAGCCAGCCTCCGACGAGTCCAGGCTCCGAAGCTGCAATAGGTCACAAAGACTCGTCTCAAGCTCTTGATGAGGTTTCGGTGCATGAGACAATAGACCAGTGCAAGGTGGCATTCACCCCAGCTTTTGACGCCCCCGTCATTCAACATCCTTTCACTGTCAAGTTTATGACCTGCAGGCTGCTATCATCATCGCCACTCGCTCGAGCCTTCCTTCAACAAGGACCACTCGAGATATAATGTCAAAGGCAAACACTACACAAGGTGATCGATCCCCTTACTCTCTCGTTACCCGATGTGCTGATATATATGCTATGTGGCAGATGCGAACTCTAAGGCCATTCACCGCCATACGAACTTCAACCTAGCTGCGGATAACCGGCGATACAAGTACTTCGTCTGTCCGCGCCATAGCCCTATCGTCCGTCCCAGGCGCCCTCTGCTTCTTCCTCCTGAGCTTTTGCTCGACATCTTCGTGGGGCTTGCCTCTGACTACCTATATTTCCTCTTCTCTTTCGAGAAACAAGATGATGACGAGATAGAGAAGTGTTTGGCCACTAATCCATTTGTTGTTTTTCTGCAAGTGTCCCATCAGTTCAGAGAGGTTGCATTCAAAGTGCTGGAGGATGTGTTCGGAATTCACAGGGACCCTGATGGGAGGTACGTACCCATATTCCTTCGATTTGAACACTTAAGGCTGCGTTGACGGTTTCCCTTGTAGCCTACCGAAGGATGCATGGTCATGCCTTCGATATGCGATGATGTGCGCACACCTGCAGCACGCCACACCGGAAGCCGTCGATGAGCACGCCAAGCAGGGAAGCAGCTACGAATTATCTCCCATACTGAAGAAATACGTGTACATCGCAACACTGGCTGGCACTGCTCCCGACCGCGGGCAGCTCGAGGGAGCGCTGAGAAAGACAATGAATGATATGCAGTGGCACGGATTCTTGGAGCTCAAACTAAGCGCAATTCTTCGGGCTCCTTTGTGTACTCTTGCTTATGGAGGTCAGTAACCCGTGTATGTGAGAGATCGGCTGTAAATTCTGATTGTCATGCCAGCGTTGTGGTCCCTCAAGTTTCGCTGTTCGATGTTTCCTCTTCATCGGCCTTTGTTGCGGCGGATCCCGGCGAATTACGTGCGTGTCTCAGTTAGACACGCAGACTTGATAGACTAATGTCTCTTTAGGTCGGGAAAGACACTCTATTACGCAGCTGCTATAGCGTATTCTATATGATATCTGATGTACAGATCACGGATCCCGAGACAACACTCCCACTCGAAGGGCAACAGAAACTCGTGCCTATCAAGATACCCATCCCACAGAGCGTCAATGCCGATCTCATCAACGTACGCACTCTTTCTACGTGGCACCGAGACATGCTAATCTACCTCCCGAAGCGATACCGATTCCTCTCGTCTCTTTGGCACTTCCAGAGTTGCCCAGTTATGGCCGCCGACGAGGGCCTGATGCAGATGTCACAGTCAGTTGTGGACTACTGCCTTGCCGTCGTGATGCCAAAGCGACCGCTGACAAGCAAGACGTCGCGGCGACGGCGCGCATCCTTGTCAGCATTGCACGACATGCGCCTCGAAGCCAAGCCGCGTTTTCCTCGTAAGCTCCCAGTCGTTGGGATGGTGTTCGTTCTCTGATCAGCCGCTGAACAGTCAAGCCACCGTGTCATTGCGAGCGTCGTTTATTCGTATGAGCAAGTAGTCATTGGAATAAAGCATGCGAGTATGTAACACCACTGAGCACTACGTAGTAGTAGTTGGGCCGATGTTTGTTCTGTTGTCCTGCACGACTTGTTTGACGCACGTTTGGTTCTCCGCTTCGATCCATGGTTCGTAAGTTAGTTGACAATACCTTGTACCTGCTCTCTGGAGCTCAGGGGAGCCGTAAGGTGCGTTTTTGGCAGCCGCAGCGCCAGTTTTCTCGGACGGGCGAAACCATTTGCAGGCGTACAGACAGCATATTCAAGTTCCCGCCGTCCGTTTGAGCTCAAGATCTTCACGGGTGTGCTCAAGACGTATAAACTGGGTCTAGCAAGTTTAAACCCGAAAGAATGGGTGGAGGACAGTACTGCAAATGTGTTTGCGTTACTGGGTCAGCCACAATACACAGCCAGCGAAATACAGCCAACTGTCTTGCCCTGCGGGTGGGTAGCACAAGCGCGGGCAGGCGAGGCATCAGACCACAGAACTGTATCAGAACATCCATGCCGTGAGGCCATGGCCACCATGCATTCTGTGATATCGTACAACACCATCAGTTCCACGCATGTCTAGAGCACAGCCTGCTATTCGTATTGAAGGTACAAGGTTTAGTCGTAGTCGTATCCTGGGACGAGACTTCCGTCAGGGCCCGGAACATGGAGAAGACAAACAGATACGTACCGCCTCCGCCTCCGCCTCCACCTAAGCCTTCGTCAACGCCTCCTCCGTCGCCGAGGCCGTCAGCTTCATCGCCTTCGCCATTGTCGAAGTAGTTGTCGGCGTAGTCGTTGTCGTACTCTTCGTCGACATCATAGTCTTCTTCCGCCGCCTGCGAACCGATCTCGGAGCGCTCCTCGTCTTCCTTTTCCTGTGGTCCCAACGTGCCATAGCGTAAGCGATGAGATAGCAGCTGATAGATATGAATGGAGGATGACGAACCGCGTCTTCGGCGTCCTCGCCCAATGCGTCGAGGTTGATCTTCTTCCTTGGACCCTTCCTTTCAGCTGCCCGGAGCATGTCAGCTCGTTCTGCCAGCATGACGCGATGAGACGAGCGGGGATACTCACTGATTTTACGCTTCTTGGGATTGAAGTAGCCCTCGAATATCTCTTGCGGGAAGAATGGCTGGTGCAGGTCTTGCCTGCGTAGTGTAGGCTGTTTTGCGGCTGACGGTCGATACTTGTCAGAATACCGAGGTAATTCTACACTTCGGCTCTATCAGTTACATTGTAAGCTGGGGTTCGAGGGCGACTCACCTGTGTTTTGGTGGGCTCTACGACATAGTAGGCAGACTGGCGCAGGCGGGTGGCAAAGCCGATCTGCAGCTCGGCGATGCGCCTTTCGTCCTCGCTGTACTCTGACAGCACCGGCAGAGGATCATATGTCTACAATAGACGTCAGGAATTTAGACGAAAATTCGTTTGGGCCACGCACCGGATACAAAGCGGTCTCCTCTCTAGACAAAGACTGTATATCCGCAAAAGTCAAGCCCATCGGGGGCAGGTTACTCTGGCCAAACCCGCCGCGACCGCCCCCTCGTCCCCCACCGCGGCCACCTCTTCCGCCTCTCGACATAGCAGAAATACAATGCGCGAAGCCAGAAGGGCGAACAATGGGAGAGCCCAGGACAAAGCAGGCTGTTTCCGTAAGTATAAGGTTGCGGATGGGTCGCGCACCGCCATTTGGGCTCCGCCACAATTTGCCAAAAAGGCGAGCGCGCGTCGCGCCGCCCCTTGCCACCCGCCACCACCTTCTCCTCACCCAGCCACTTCAATCCCCTCAACGCCCCCGCCCCTATTCACCACTCGATCCCAGTCTTGCCCAGCAAACGTTAAGACAATGGACAAAAGTCTCGACGAGGTCAGTCGCTGTCCTCGACAACGCCACATCCGCGACTGACGATGCTGCGCTGTCACAGATCATCTCGACCCGCCCGAAGGGCATCCGCCGCTCTGCCCCCCGTCGTGGCGGAGCCAAGATTGCAGTTCTGGGCAGCCCGACAGCCCCTGCTGCGCGTGCGCGCGCCGCCGCAAGTGGCGCGAAGGCTGGCCCCCCTACGTCCCAGCAGCCCGCAGACAAAATCATCGTCTCGAACCTCCCCACGGACGTCAACGAGACGCAAGTCAAGGTTGGTCTCGCTGTTCGCTAGCGACGAAGCAGTGAAGCTGACATGATCATACAGGAACTCTTCCACACGACGGTGGGCCCGCTGCGGACCGTGACGTTGCACTACGACGCGCAGGGCCGCTCGAAGGGCGTCGCTGCGGTGCACTTCCAGAAGCTTGGCGACGGCACGAAGGCGTTCCAGCAGTACAACAATCGCTTGATTGACGGAAGTCAGTATTCGGTGCTTTACCCTCTCCTTTCGTTCCTCCCCCTCTCCCCATAGCTTGGCTCTCTGCTCCCTCCTATTGTCGGCGTTTACCATTCTGGTGCGGCGGTCTTCAAAGTTCGAAGTGCTGAGGTCGTCGTCCCCGGTGGTGTCACCGGTCCCGTTGGTCGCAATGCCTGCTCGTCGCCATAGACAAGTCCTGATGGCGCGCAAAGCTCGTCAGTCCACAGTCGAGCCATCCGGCTCGACTGCTCCCGCATGCTGTGTTGAGTCACTCGGTACCAGCAAGTCCTACATGTGGTGATGGTGGTGGGGTCTGATCAGCCCTGCTACTTAACCGGTGTCTGGGCCTGCCTGAACTGCCACTCTGTCATACCGGGACCGCGGTGTGAGCCCTCCAGAGTACGCACAGCAAGAAGCAGCAGCACGGAGGGGTCGACCATTCGTCAGCTTCGATGGTGGGGATGCCGGTTGGGTCACTGTCCAGACAGGTCGATGTTGGGTCGTGTCTTTGGCATGGACCTGGTGGTCGGTGCGACCACCGGACCCTGGCGAGAAGCGCATGGGCAGTCGTGGCCGGACTTGGATAGACAGCAAGTATGGCGGCCAATGGTGACGGCGCGGAGAGAGGAGACGACCGGATGTTGCGACGACTGAAGTACCTCAATGTTCGGAGCTTGTGCCTGATGCCTCCAGTACCGCTTCAATTTTGCTTGCTTGCTCTGCATCTGCTGAACAGCCAACTGATGAAACCTCTGCTTTGTCTTTGCCGCCCTCCCCTTCCCCAATACGAATCCGACATTCGTCGTCATCACCCACTCGACATCCTTCCGACACAATAGAACGACCCATGAAGATCGAGATCGTCGTCGACCCGTCGCGACCTGCTCCCCCGGCGTCCCTCGCTGCTCGCGTTGCTCCGGCTCCCGCTGCGGCACAAACCGACGGCGCTAGGTTTGTCAATTATCTTGGCAGGCGGCGACAAGGTTGCTGATTGTCTTCAAGGGGCGGACGTCCCAGGCGCGCTCGCGGTACACCACGCCGCACCAAGAACGAGAGGCCGAACAAGAGTGTGGCGGATCTCGACGCGGAGATGGAGGTGCGTCGACTCGTTGTCCTTGGTATCACACAATGGTCTGATTCGCATGTATTACGTAGGATTACACCGCCAGCAACGGCCCGGCTGCTTAGATCGTCTGCTCGCAGTACTCCTGCTGATGTGCCGTGTCCCGACTCTTCGCGGACTTTTTGTGTTCAATGTACTATGATACGCCAGCTCTCCCCGGTCTGAATGGTTGTAAATACGTCCTCCTGACTCGCGCACCGCTCGTCCTTATTGTCCTGTCCAATATACCTCTGCATCGTTGTGCACGCAAACAACAGTGTGAAAGCCAATCCAGGAGCTGAGCGCTGATCGTCGGGGTGTTCGAATTCGACGATGTCAGTGAATCTTTCGATGATCTCGCCGCAGGTTCTGCGTCTCTTTCAAGTCTTATGCGCCACTGTCTGTAAGTATAGGGCTTCCATGAAGGTAGTGGGATACCGTTTCGCGGGCGGTCCCGCATTGTGGACAATATGAAGGGGAGTCGGACTAGTTGTGGATCTTACGGTGTACATGTCGCTGCAGCGGGACATGTTCGGTTCGTATTGTAGCAATTCACTCGCCTGTTTTCTGGGTAACCTTTCGGCCATCTTGCTATACGCCGTCTCGACGGTATGTCCGAGTCATTGCGGACCATCTTTGTCGCCCTCGGCGATTACAGACAGTAGTGCATGTCCTCCAGTGTCCACACTAGCGCCGTGCGGGTCTTGGTGGGAGACTACATAGGTGCATCTTGCTCTGCACCACCATGACCGCCGAGTTCGAAGAGATCGCTTTGTACGCTGAACGACCGGAGTGGGCAGACGTCGTCCCGCTGCCGCAATACCAGGGCGTGGATGCGCTCGCCCCGATCAACTACTCGGCGGAATGTCTGTAGACGGTCTGCGACGCGCTCATCCCGTTCCTCGCTCTGACGGCCTCTGCAGACCAGGATGCGACGGACTACTTCCGGGGCGTCGTCAAGATGGGCGAGACGGCCAGAGGGTGCTCGGCCTGACGTGGGACATCATTAACATGAACCCGGCACATTACTCGGCGTGGTGAGCATCGTGCCCAGTTGTCCAGAGTCCCTGCGCTGACGAGGGACGGCGCAGGCAGTACCGCTACAAGACGCTCCAGGCGACGGGGGCCGACTCGAGGGGAGCTGCGGCTGATGGACGACTTCGCAGTCACGAACATGAAGACATACCAGGTCTGGCACCACCGCCGGCTCCTGCTCACCGCCCTGCGCTCACCCCCCGCCGGCGCCGCGGAGCTCGCGTTCACCGCGCGCGTGCTCGGTGCGGACGCGAAGAACTACCACACGTGGAGCTATCGCCAGTGGCTGCTCGCCCACTTCAACGACGAGGCGGAGCTGTGGGCGGGCGAGCGCGCGTGGATTGAGGCGCTGCTGGAGAAGGACGTGCGGAACAACTCGGCGTGGCACCATCGATTCTTCGTGGTGTGGGCGAGCGGGGTGCGGAGGGGGACGAGGACCGGGAGGCGGTGTGTCGGAGGGAGCTTGCGTGAGTGTTGTTCGTCTGTGTTCGAGGGCGTGTGTTGAGCGCGGGTGGGCCGGAATAGGTTCGCCAAGGAGAAGATTGCGCTTGCGCCGAACAATGCGTCGGCGTGGAACTACCTCCGCGGCGTGCTGGAGCACACGAAGACACCGCTCTCTGGTCTTACTACGTTTGTGCAGCTCTACACTGTCTCGAGCGCGTCCCCTGCCTCGGACGTTCTGGATCTGGACAATCCTGCGCCGACGGAGGGCGCGGAGCTGCCGTGTGTAAATGCACTAGAGTTCCTCGCGGATATATACGAGGAAGAGGGCGGACAACAGATCTCTCAGGCGGTCGAGGTCAGTGAGAGTGTACGCCTGCTTGTCGTACTAGGTCTCACGCACAGCTGCAGATCTGGAAGTCCTTGGCTAACGAACACGATACGATGCGCAAGAAGTGAGACATCTCTTGGGTACATGACCTGTATGCTGACCCACATACGTAGATACTGGGAATATAGGATCAAGGAAGGACTCCAGAAGGTGTAGCGAGTGTGAAGACAGAAGACAATCATTGTATCATTGAGTACTGTTGCAATTTCAGGTCCAAAGCAAATAACATCTGCACTGCTGCACACTTCCGACGACCTATTGGCCCTATCCTGTCGATCGAACGTCATCTCTGCAGATGAGCAACGCGGTCCTCGGAAGCAAGCTGCATTCGTACAAGATATGATACAACACATATTTCTGCCGTCTTCCCCAGAAGTTTCGATCGTTGCTAGCCCATACCACCCATGAGCCAGGTACTCCGCATCCCAGACACGGATCACGGACCCATGGTGCGCTGCTTCGCCTGGTCGGTCAGAGGGACGTACTGTATGGAGTGTAAGCCAGCGAGCATCGTTGACAATGCAGCGGCATACCATGACGTCGAAGAGCTCCTTCTGTGTGACATTTCCATCGAGATCCTTGTCGACCTATGCCCAGATACTAGATTAGTGATGCTTTCCAGATGGTATGACCGGTTGCAGCATACTTGGATGATCGCCTGCGTATCCTCACCCACAGGGATGAACATGCGTCCTGGGCGGGCGAGTTGGTCGACAAGTGCCTGAGGCATGGTGGGTGCCGCAGCACCGACGTGGATTGCGTGGTATGGCCCTGTGGGCCCATCAGTAGGTATCGTCATGTCGCGAAGTCTGGCACCCACCAGCTTCTGCAAGGCCTGCGAAAGCTCAGTCACGGTTATGAGCAGCAATCGACGGGACCGGCATACCTTGTCTCCCATCCCCCGCAATCATCTTGATATTCCCGCTATCCAGTGCAGCGCCGAGCCCGTCCCTGCGCAGGTTCCCCTCGGACCACTCCACGAGCTCGGGGATGTGCTCGATCCCGACGACGGTCCCGGTCACGCCGGAGTCGAGGTCCGTGACGAGATAGTGGAGGACGCCGCAGAGGTACCCCGAGCCGGAACCGACGTCGAGGACGCGCGAGCCTGGACGGAGAAAGGGGAGGAGGTACTCGACGGCGTGAGCGTGCTGTGGGCAGTGCGGTGTCCGCGTTAATCGTAGGTTAGCCTAGCGAGGTGGTAGGTGACGAACCATGTGCGGTGCTGAGATGGTTGCACCGTGCCCGATGCGCCTGGAGATGATGAAGTTTCGTATGTGCAAATGGGAGGCGTAGCGGGAAGAGCGCACTGAGGCGAATCCTCATACGCTTCGTGCGGGTTGCGCACGTAGTGCGCGCGGTCTACCCTCTTCATGGCCTGAGCATCGGTCAAGATCACTGATTTTGGAGGATATGATGCAAGAACATACGGCCTGAACACGGTCAGAGCTGATGAGCCCGTGCTTGCCATGTTGGCGATCAACTCGACGTTGGTCGCGCCTGTGCATCTCCACGCCATCCTGGCTTCAAGTGATCCTAGGTTTGGTACCAAAACAATAGGAGTTCAAGTTCACTAAGACTTGGGGAATGCTAGACAGCAGTGTTGTGATGTTGGGATTGCGGACTTGAAGAAGAGACGGTGGTATATGTACGCAGAGCGTGGTGGCTGATACAGCGGCAGTACGACAACATAATGACATCACGCTCAATCGAGACTATCGCGGTCACATGGTTCGCGACAGCACGTACTACTACAGTGTACGCGTATAGTCACAATACGTCTATAGATTAATAATTACGTCTACAGTCCTGCATACAGTGCTAAGGCAACATCACAGAGCTCTACGGATACTATGCTTATCCAAGATGGTATGACACGGAAATACCGACTCGAACAGACATGAGGCCGTTGCCGTCTGCCTCATACCCTGAGTCCTGATACGTATATCACTAGATCAAGCAATTTATCCAGTCGGAAACGCACGAGTCTATGCCTCAAACTCTTTCTAGCACCCTCAGGAGGACGTTGAAGCGTTCTTGCCGGTAGCTAACGCGAGCAAATGTTCCTTGTCTGCGCTCTCATTGATCAAGGAGCGCAGCAATCCGTCTTCGATCTTCAGCAGCTCACTCGGTGGGCCGTACTCAACCTAGAAGAGATGAGACGTCGTCGTAAGAGAGATGTACACCGAGAACTCACGATACGACCAGCATCGAGAACCATCTACGCAGCGATTGGTTGTCAGCACACTAGGTCGTCGCGGAAGACCCGCGATTACTTACGATCTTGTCGCTGTCCATAATCGTTTGGAGGCGGTGCGCAATCGTGAGCAGAGTGATATCTTTTCTTAGTTCACCGCGTAATGAGGCTTGAATCACTGTGTCGGTCTCGTAGTCTAGATAGGAAGCCGCTCAGCAAACGTCCACGATGCAATCGCACGGAAGTATGTCTCACCTATCGCAGAGGTGGCTACAGCGGCCCGCGTCAGCAAGATCACCTCTATATGATGTGAATACGCGTACCTTCGTCCAAAATCAGAAGCTTGCTCTGACGCACGATGGCTCTCGCCAACGCAAGGATTTGTCGCTGGCCTACTGAAAGGTTGCCTCCACCACTTGCAATCTGGCTGTCCAGCGTAATCTTTCCATCATCGCTTTCTTTCTGCAAAGAGAACAGCCCCGCTGCACGCAGCGCGTCGTTCAGCACAGCGTCGTCGTGTTCATGGAACGGATCGAGATTCTCTCGTAAGGTGCCGCTCAAAAGCTCGGGCTGAACACCAGGTAAGCGTCGAATGCGGGAAGTGCACAGAAGACTGCAGCGACTCACTGATTGCGGGATGATCGTGATCTTTGAGCGAAGTGCATCCAAGTTCAGCGTGTCGGTGGCTACCCCGTCGTAGAAAACTTTCCCTTCCGTGAGAATGCATCGGAGTAGGGCTAATGTCAGGGAGCTCTGCGGGATGATCAGGTAAAGCTTCTTCGAATTTGCCACATGTCGACTCTACCTTCCCGCTGCCAGTTCGGCCCACTTTTGAGGTTATTAGTCAAAGACCAAACGACTCGGGAGTCTGCACTCACCAATCCCTACGCGTTCGCCAGACCTCACTTCAAACGATATCGCATGCAGCACACGAGGACCATCCTGAGACATAGATACGTCAGTTACGTCCGACGAGAACTTGAGACCACATACGGGTGAGTACCGAGCAGATAGTTTCTCCACCCTCAATGTGCCGCTCGCTGGCCAATAAGCAGGAGGCACCCCTGTCGTGGTGGCCTTTGGCTCCTGCTCGACTGACAAGTATTGTTGTATCCGTTCCAAGCTTCACACATGCCATATTACTTGAACATACTGGCCCCCAGTCTCGTCATCGGCTACTCACCTGTTGCCTGATGAAGTAAGACGATCAACATACCGTCGCCGATTCTTGTGAGGTTAGAACACGTACCACTGATCTGAAGCTCGTTGGAAAGCTTGATCCACCATATGATCAGACTGCTAAATTGCACTGGGTCGCCACCTCATCAATCACCATCCTATGTCATATATAGCGGTCAGACGAACCTGCCATGTTGAGGGAGAAACCGATGGCAGAAGGGTTCTGTGGTGGGCCGTAGATGAGGTAGATCCCTAGGCCTGTTGTGAACAGTGCTGCCAATGCGTCGACACGGATTGCTATCCACCTAGACCAAATGAGCATATGCGGTCCGTCAAAATTTACGCCCACTCACTGATACAAGACATAGAAGGACCGAGCAGCCCTAGTAAACTTGTCGATGCGCGTGTAGGATTCTTGTCTAACATGTCTTGTGCGCCGTATGCGCGAATAGAAACTGGCATGGGCATAGTGTTAGTTCCATCACCCCCGACGTACTAGCCGTCACGTACCCAGTCCTGCCATAGCAGCCCCGAAATGACCGAGGACTGGTGCCTGAGCCAGGCTCATTTCGCGTTTAGTACTGAGCTGAGTATTGATGTACAGATAGCCGCAAAGTGCAGCGAGGATGAAGATGGTCGAACCGGGTATAAGCATGAGCGGCGACATGATGACCACAGCTCCTAGCCTCGTAATCATAGTCCCGCTTTGCTCCAACCACCAGAAGAAGTAGTCCACGACTTGGTTGTCAACTGAAGAGTAATGTGAGCACATTTGACAGATACTATCGCAAAATATCGCTTGAAACGTACTGGCTTGGATGTCTTGTGTGCAACGTGTTATGATGCGAGATGCGGGCGTCATGTCTAGCCACCTGCAATAGTCATCAGCGTCGAATTCCGGCTGCGCATCGAAAAGCCCACCTCAAGGTTGTACCGAGCACAGAGGACACCAACGCGGAGTGGATCACTCTCGACGCCCTCAGGGATCCAATGATGTAGATGATATACGAAGTAGAGAAGAGTGCGATGGTCAACGCTTGGATGAGTGCGTATGAGGTCACGTAGCTGCGGATCAATGGTGTCAATACGAGGACAGAAGAGGGTAGTGTGAACACTTACAAGGCCACAGATACCTTCTCAGGAGGCATCTCCTCATACTGACGTGTCCACATGCCGAGGAACCAAACCTGGAATGTGCTGACGATCTCGCAGGTTACGTAGCAGCCCAGGCAAGCGAACCAGAATATTAGTGGATGACGGCCGCCCAACGCACCAAGAACAGCTTGACTGAGAGGCGGTCAGCGATTAGACAAATCGTAACCTATTTGCACTCACACGCAGACCAGCCAACCTGACCCACTGAAACTTCTTCCTCCAGACAAGCTTTCCTTTCTTCTCTTTCTCGCCATTGTCGGGAGTAGGGGCGTCAACCTCTTCTTCGACTTGACCTTGCATTGCCTTCGCCTGTTCTGCTGCGAGTTCGTCGACAGCTTGCAGCGCGGAGGAAAGCGAGCCCTGACTGTGAACACGACCATCTGTGCCGAGGGACACGACAAAGTCTGCTATCGGTCGAGTGATCGCAACGTTGTGTGTCTGTTTCGTCGTCAGGTGAGTGCAGACGTGTCAACATATCCGTAACATACCACCAGGATAATTGTACGTCCACGAACAAGATCCCCTTGAAGCATTTGCTGACAATCCACTGGGAAGTGTGAACGTCGAGAGCGGCTAGGACGTCGTCCAAAAGTAATATCTCGGCCGAAGAGTAGATCGCACGAGCTAGCGTGATGCGCGCCTGCCCCAATGTTTGAGCAAAAATGTTATATGTCAACGCTTTGACAGTACCTTTTGTCCACCACTGTATACGGTCACTATGAGTAACATGCGACGAAAAAACCTGACAGGCATACCTAAGAGTCAAGCCCTTTTCTCCGACTTCAGTGAGATCCCCAGCATCCAGAAGCTCCAAATCGCGGGTCAACCGCACTGCTCGATCACTTATGAGTGGTATGTTAATATGTGTAATGTCGTGAAGAGAGGCAGCCATACCCTTGTTGTATCGCTCCTCATCATAGGGTGACCCGAACAAATATTGTCCTACTACCCGATCAGCTTCACAGAGCCTCGTCGAACGCGCGAGAATATACAGACCCTGACAGTCTCGTTCTGCACCCAGGATTCCTGGGCAGAGTATGCAACACCGTCCGTCCGCGGAAGGTTCACGTACGAATCCGGGCCATTCGGGATGTAATGCATCTCGCCTGCACATGCAGTAAGAATAAAGTCTATAAAACGTCGCCCTCGGTTCTCGGACTTACCGAGTAATGCCATCAACATGGAAGTCTTCCCGAGCCTGTGGGCCCAAGAATCAAGTTGACACAACCACGTTTGAACACGAGCTCGTCTTCGATGAGCAGCCTGAACACACGTCTCTGCGGCGTCGGCGTCATTTCCCTTGTTTTGAGGCTGTCCAAGTGAAGAAGCATTTCGGAAGCCGATCACATCGTCGTCCGCGGGCCCGCTGCCTAGGACCTCGAAGCTTCATCATCCTTGGTCGAGAAATCATCTAGTATTCGGTCTAGTGGCGTGTTAGTGAGGGCTGTTGGACTCCTGATCGCACTTGCCTCGTTGAGAAATTTGTCAATCCGATCGACGGACACCTTGGCTGCAGATTCCGTGAGAAGTAGATCATGAGGCGTATAAGTTCACCAACCTTGTATGATGAATGGGATCATCCCAAATGTCTGGTACATCTCGTTACGGAGCGTTTCGAAGACTGGCATATGGATTAGCGTAATCCTTATGCATTGCAGTGATTCCGGTGCTTACGCGTTATGGAGGAGAATACAACAGAAGCTGGGTTGCGTCAGCGGGGCCCACAGAACACTCACAAGAAGCACATACCCGTCAACGTCTGCTTCATGACGATCGTCTTCTCAAAGAATCAGCACCACTAGTCCACATATAGCCAGCCCAGACTCACATAGATCGCGTAGGTAACGAGCATGGTCACTAACGGGATCAGTGGCTGCCGAGGGAGGACTTCAGTCGTGAGCACCACAACATGACAGGAGCTGACTGACTTCATGTAATTCATCAGGAACTCGCGCATCCGCAGACTTCTGATGACGCCCAATTCTTCTTCCCTCTTCTCTGCGACCTGTTCAGCCATGCGGGGCTCCCATCCGAAGAGTTTGATCATCCGGACCACGCCGAGCGCTGTAGACGATCATTGACCATCAGTAACATGAGATCAGCAAAGTCAGAGAGCAGATACCAACATTCGGTGACGGTTTGCACGCGGGCGTCCGTCTAAAGTGTGAAAATAAACCTATCAGCTCTGACGCGCATGTTTACACCGAGTATGTACCTTTGCCATCTTCTTCTCTTGCAAGCCGTGGACAAAGCTGGCGATGTAACCCGGGATCGGGAGCATTAAGCCCATGACCGCCATCCCGACCAGAGCACTACGATGGCATCATCAACGGACGACATGTCTCATTGAAGATGCTTGGACGCACCTCCAGCCTAGGACAACATATAAAAACCAGGTGCACAGAGCGAGCTGTGTCGGAACCTCGACGACTGTTCAAACGTTCACGTACGGCAGAGTCATGATCAGCCCGGCATACACGAAAGGATGCCAATCGGAAGCGGGATTTCGACCTACACACGAAGATGAAGTCCCGCCCTTGGTCAATCGTTTGCATATCCGTCGTGACGAGGTTGTTGATCCGCCCAACCAGGTTCGACGCACCGCCAGACGACTCCTTGCTCGTACTCTCATCACCCTTCTTGGTGCTGGCAGCGGACCCGGCGGTGCTCGAACCGCGTAGGGTAGTTTCCTCGCTGTCGCTGTCCGGCTCAGCTGTGCCCGCCGCGGACACAGGCTCCGCGAGCGAGGCGGTATCCGGCGTCTTCCCCGGCGTCGATGGGGCACTAGCAGACTTCGCGTCCGCCGTCTCGGCCTTCATCCGGACACGCAGCGCGTGCTCGAATACGAGCTGGGTGATCAGCGCCTTCGCGCGCACCGTCACTCTTGTCTGCGGAGCAGTTAGGTTGGCGCTCCAAGGTGCGTAGCGACACGACGGAGACTCACCACGGTGTAGACGTACCACTGGAAGGCAAACGTGCCCACCGTCGGCCCGATGAAGAGCAGAGCAATCCACACCCAGGGTCGCACGGTCAGACCCTCGCCGCCTTGTTCGAGATAGCTGTGGGTGGTTAGTCAGAGACGGGTGACATGCGTAATTGCCTGTTACGCACTTGAGCAGACGATTCACGCCGACGGGGCTCGCAAGGTACGCCACGGACTGGACTCCGTCAGCTGACAATACAGTCCACAGACATAGATTTACGCACTCGCGATGCCAACATCAGACCGAGGACCGCGTATTCCTTCCCTGTTTCACCGGTCTAAACGATAGCGGGACTTCGGATGCGGTGAGCTCACTCACTGAAAACGCGCATTAATCCCCAGAAGAAGTGTCGTCTCTTAGGCGTCTGGAAGGGGTCCAAATGCTGACGGTCACTGTCAGTGAGAACAGTTAGTGAACCGGAGAGAAAGTGATTACCGGGAAGGCCCTGTTGACGAGGTTTTTGGCGTGGTCGTAGTCTGCGAGCGGGGGAAGGTCATCGAGCTTCGTGTGAGACTGCCGATACGCCTTCCATACAGTCGCATCCATCCATCCGTACAGTATCAGGGACAGGATCGACGCCGTCTGCTCCGGGTGTGGGGTCATCGGCTCCTGTATCATAGGGATCAGTGAGATGCCGCCCGACCAGCACAATGCCACCTACTTCTGGATCGAGGGGGACATACAAACGCGGGATGCATAACGGCACGACCACCGCAGACACAGTCAGCAGGCGACTCTTGCCCAGAGGATGGGCCTTCTGCGCTGTCTTGCGGCGTCAAGGTGAACGTCGCGAGCGGCCAGACGTCTCGGTAGACATAGAGACCCCAGCTAATCAACAAAAACACAGTCAGATGGCGTGACGCGTTCGTGCTGAGCGAGCCTTGTCTGGTCACAGTGAGAAGCGCCAGGAGCGACGCGTAGGCCTGTCAAAGCAAGGAGCGACGCGTCAGCTGGGCAGGATACCATAGAAGTGATGGAGACATACGTAGGCCGCGAATATGCGGATTTCGAACCAAGGAAGCGGGGTTGCGTTCGTGTTTGTCTCGGTAGGCGCACCGAGAATCAGTTGGTATGCGGCCAACCCAAGGAGGGCGAGCACGCAAAGAAGTCTATACCTTTGAAAGCGAGGATGATCGGTCCGCCCTGTCGTTCTACATAGCGTGCTACTTTGGGCCGCTCTCTGTCGCATTCAAGAACATATGTCCGAGCGTCAGAGGTGCAGATCGACATTGTAACACGAAGGTCAAGACAGAAGCGATGGCAGCGAGCACGGGGATATTCAGTGGATTATTCCATTGATCACTGCTCATGAGTGTGAACATTTGCGACGAAAGAAAGACGGATGATACACACCTGACCAAGCCCAACATTGTCGGGAAAGCAGCGTCCATGGTGGCTGCGATGGAGTGGTAGCAGAACACCCTCTGCGCCTATCGCTTTATAGCAGCGACAACCGCTCGCACCGCACCCGATAAGCTGATTCAGGGCTTACGCAGACCTTCGCAGTTGTGTGACAGCGAAGTGTGAACGAATCAAGAAGCAAATGAGCGACTTACGGAGAGGCCCAGTACTAGGGGCAGACTGTTTCTCCGCCGATCTCGGGGCCGCCAATTTGCGTACGCAAATTGACTCGGATGCAAGAGCGCTCGAGATATGATAGCAATTGGGTCAGCGGGACGACTGCAAGTATGGTTCATAGAAGGCCTGACGGGACCCTGCGCCTGCCGTCGTTGATAACAAGAACTTGAAGAAGGATGCCCGAGTCTTCGCGAGTAAGTATCATACGCTGATTCGCATGCTATTCCATCAATTCCAACTACAGCTGACACCGTTCTAATAGCAGAACTGAGGGCGCGACGACGAGCACAAGCAACTCAAGCTAAGGTCTGAAACTGAAGCTGAAGATCTGCAGAGCAGGGAGCAGGCCTTGCGAGTCGATGTCTGTGTTCCTCAGGCTCAGACAGTCACGGTGCACACTGCAATAAATTGTGCGGACCACCGCCGTGCCGGGCCGGCCGACGCCACTGGCGTCCGGCGATGTATCCGAATGTGGCAATCGTGCCACAGACATGTTGTTCGGGCGTCTCTCTACTTTGGGCAGCGACTACTTCCATGCAGAGCTCCTCAATCTTCCGACTACCACACAAACCTGCATGCTTGGTGTGATACAAGCGGGTCTCATCTGCAGCCCTTGACGAGGGGACCTGCTATACTCGTTACCTGCGACGTCGACCAACATCGTCTCGCAGTTGCCTTCGCTCGATGAGTGTGTTTGTTGCGAACGTATTCGCGGTGATGCATTTTGATTCTATCTGCGGTCGTCCCCAATACCTGTCTAAACATGGCTGAATTTGCTACTAGGCTGCGCGACTGCTGTTCTCGTTGTCCAGTACGTCCACTGCTGTGCCGTCAAACGAGGTGCCGTGCCACAGCTCCGTCCACTGACCTGTGAACCAACTGTGAACTGAAGACATTGCTCGTGTTTTATAGTACTCGGCGACATCACAGCTTCGTCTCTGACGTTGTACAGTGTTGTTGCAAGTACTCTTGGACACACCAGCAACAGCGACTCGCTCGCATGCGAAGCGCAAGACCAATGTCAACGTAATTTATATTTTAGACCTCCAAACAGCCATTGATCAATCGATCAACATCCCACCCAACGCTAACATCAACGATGGAAGGCACGATTCAGCGACAAGATAGTGTTAATCCCGTCAGCACGGTATGTGTCCGCCTCCACCCATGCAAGTGCCGTTACATTCGCGTCCCAGACAATGTCCTGAGGATTACTGTTGTCATAAACCGGCCAGAGGGCGTTCGGTATCCCCGAGCCTGAAGCTGTTTGGATCTAAGTCGTTGATGAAGCTCGCCCAGGAACTGCTCATCAGCTTCGCGAGGCTGTAGTAGCTCTCCGGGACGCCGCCGAAGGGGTCGGGCGTCACGTCGTAGCCATAGCCTCCTGTGTTGTCGAAGACGAACGAGACCTCCTGGAAGTGGTTCACACCGGAGTAGATGGTGTTCCCGTTTGGTCGCGTGTTGAAGCGGTAGCAGTATGCTGCATTCCCCCCGGCCGTCCAGGTCTGACACTGGTAGCGCCGGGCGGCGATGAAGGTTGCGTCGCCTTTGCGATATGGGTGAGTTGAGCCTCCACTGATAAGTCTTGTAAACTCTCACCTGCATACGCAGACGTCCGTCTATACCTGAAGAAGGGTGAGCAATAGTTCTTCACAAAATGTATGTGATATCACGCCTACTCTAGCCCGTACTTGCCACTGAGGCGGGTGCATCCGAGATCCACAGGAATCCCTTCGCAGGGGTCGTCAGGATAGGCGTTAAGAATCAGATCTCCAAGAGCGGGCGCCAATCCAATGAACGGATGAAGTGTTCCAGCTATGTAGGAGAGCGTCAACACGCACCAAACCAACAAACTGGAACAGACCTCACACGCAAGGACATCCAAAAACTGCTCGGAGGTGTTGACGCCTGTCGGCCCAAACGACGTGCCCTCGTCCGTGTTCGCGCCCGAGATGATCGGCACGTGGACGAACTCGCCCGCCTCGAGCTGGTAGCTCGCGAGCTTCGTGAACATGTCCCCGTCAAGCACGACGAACCACTGCGTCGCGTTCGTCGTGTTGAGCGCCGCGTTGATCGTGTCGAAGGGCGTCGCGCGGAGGCACCCGAGCACGTCGATCGACTCCGTGCACCCGACGTTGTCCACGACCGCCTGGTACATCGGCGTGTAGTAGTCCGCGGTGAACATCGCGTTGGCTTGTAGGGAGTTGCCAGACTCCATGATCGCGCCGCGGAAGAGGTTGTCGTCTCGTCCGTTGTAGGCGACGAGGTGGAAGCCGACCGACTGTGCGCCCGCGCTTTCGCCTGTGTGTGTGGAATCAGCGCAGAATTATGTGCACTGTAAGAGCTCACTTACCCCAGATCGTGACTTTCGTTGGATCACCTGTGGAAGCGTTAACTGGGCAGACCCCGTAGGATCATCAAGCCTACACACCGCCGAAAGACGCGATGTTTTCCTGGAGCCAGTGCAAGGCCAACCTCTGATCTCTCAATCCCATGTTGTTCGTGCCCTCCCCCGCAAGCTGACCCGATGCCAAGAATCCCCTGCGATCATTGTTGAGTGCGAGATTGACTCATACTCTGCAATTATACTTACCAAGCTGAGAGACGATAGGCAATGGATACACCGATGAAGGGCTTATCCACCTCTACTCCGTTATTGACAATGAAGGAGAGGTTGTACCGTTGGTCGGGCGTGCCACCCTCGTAGAAGCCGCCGCCCTGAAGACAATACGCGAGTCAATTGCATCCTCCAGAAATGCAAGCAAAGCAAGAACGTACGTGAATCCAAACCCCAACAGGCAACGGCTCGTCATAATCTGAGTAGTTTGCGGGCCGAATCACGTTGAGGTACAGGCAGTCTTCGCTGATCGCATATCCCCACTGATCACTCTGTGCGTGCGCTTTATTGAATAAGGCCGCAATCTATTCAGGTTCCCATGCGGATGGACTCACGCCGTATCCCACGCATTCAGGACTATACGTAGTCGCATTTCGGACGCCAGTGAAGGACGAGTTCAACGCCTCAGGATTCGCGAAGCGTAGGTCACCGAGGGGAGGCTGAGCGTATGGAATCCCAAGGAAGAAATCCTGGTTGTACTCCGGGACGTATCTGCCAGAGTAGGTTCCATTCAGCGTGTTGCGGTCGGCGGGTTCGCACTCGAGCTCTGAGCGCTGCCCGGAGCAGCCACGAAGGCCGCGACTGCCAAGAGCCACCAAGGAGACGAGAAACGCGGAAGCATCGTGGCGCAGTCAGCAACGTACCTCAGGCTGTCGTCCGTGGCTTCCAGTCCTCCAGGGCAATTGCACTTATAGCCACGACGCGACCCTCACCGAGCTCGGAAATGATCATGAGTCCAAGCTCGGGACAAGCTCGGCCTTGGATGTGGCTCACATTGCAGTGCAGGCGGTCATGGTCGCATCGTCTGGGAAGGAGAGCAGCACGGAGACGATGCGCGTAGGTCATGCGAAGGCGGTTCTGACAATCTCGGGCACCCGTGGGTCGCAGCGCAGTGGGCAATTGCAAGCTTATTTTAAATGTGGCGGCGTGCATGGTGATCGCGTGCGGGAGATTACATGCCTGTCGGGCCGTTGAAGAAGCACCATTGAGGGGATGTAAGTAGGACGGAGCTCTTACGGCCCGCTACGCACACAGAAACTGGGAACCCTTGTAATCAGGTGGTCCGACCCTCACATCGTGCAGACTGTCCCAAGTAACCATGACTCAAGCCAACGAGCAACCTTTGAAGGCGGTTGCTTGTGTACCAGTAGGCCCAATGAACGTTGTGTGGTCCACTGACAGTCGTGGTGTAAGCTGCGCGCAGCTTCCCTTCATCAGCGAAGTACATCGTGAGACACAACTGAGGATTGAAGAAACTGAAGGGACTGTGGACTCTGCCTGTGAGACTCTGTTTGAAGTCTCTGTGGGGCCCTCCTCTTTCTATCGGGTTGAGATTACTAGAGCCGATGAAAGAACCTTCGTCTCTAAGCCAAGGGTCGATACGATCCTGATGATTCAGGCTCTTTAGTAGTACTGTTGAAATTGCAGAACCTACGCCGACAGAGAAGGCTAAACTACCATCGTCAGTTAACTGCACGATGCTAGCGACGGGAATAATAGTGCCAGTGCCGACTATTCAGTACCTTGTCGTCATTGCGCTGGATGAGAGATTGATCGTAACTTACGGTCCTACGCACGTAGTAGTCTGCCGCACGCAGACCCCAAGTAAACGTGGCGGGGGAGGAATGCCGTGTAAGGCCACGCATACGAATGTGTGATTGCTGAGCCAGCCGCAAAACGTACAGGATCATTCAACGATAAAGGAATGCGACAGTTGGCAGAGCGCCAAGTATTCACCGATCCAGGCCAGTAAAAGTATCCTGTCTTATTTGTACGCCATAACGCATGCGTATCACATCTGCGCGTACTCTAGAAGAAGGGCAAACTATGAGCGACGCTACAGATATCATGAAAGGTGTGAGTACCCACGTCAAAATACGCAAGGCTTTCAACCTCTGGAACACGTGTCTTACTTGCTCAGCTCGCCATCGCGCCTCTAGGAATGCCAATTCCCTGGAGAGAGGATCTCTGGACGAAAAGTAGTAATCATTTGCCGAGATTTTGAACGTAACATGCTCCAGGCGACGAAACCTCGGAGATGACAGTATTTCATCTAGTCGGGAGGTTGCAACGAGTGGCAGCCAGCTGTCATGCAGCCGATAGTACTTGGTTGGGATGATGCTTATGAGCTGAATATCTAACGATATGTTTCGCAGTGTTTCCGGATTGACGTTCGACAGCACGATTCCGAGCCAAGACAGGCTGGTCTCGTTCTCGATGTAAGGGATCGTTATTTCAAGAGACTCCAAGTTTGGATTGCTGTAAGCGAGTTTGAGATGTTCCTCTGTTGATAGGTCGCACGATTATTGGAGTATAAATATCGCCAAGACAGCGTAGTGAACTCACCGACAGCGCCAGTCATCTCTTTCTCCTCCACACGACTATATCGCCAACCAGTGAGCTGCAGGCGGAGGCTTCGTAGTGCCGTTCCGGCGTGTCGTAGCAATTGGCTGATGCCTGATCCTCCGAGGTCATGGATAGTAAAAGTATGGCGAGTATTGAGATGGTTTGGATCGGAACATTCATGCAGTTTGTATTCACGAAAGGACCGCAGGTTGGCTGCAAGCTCCGTGATTTGTCCGTCAGGAGTGATGAGGGTGAGTACCCTTGTTATATCCTTGATGAAGGCGTACATGCTTCCCTCCCCATCGAGCTTGACCGGTGCGTAAGAATTGATATGGAGGGTTCGTAAGGTCGGATGACGGGCTTGGATATCAGCAGGGCCAATGACGCCTACTTTCTTCCAGAATATGGTCTGGCATTCGAGCCGAGTGAGACAGGCGATCGCGAGAATGATTTCCTTGAATTCGTGTGCGGATGGAAGGATTAAGTTGCGCAGGACAAGTGTCGATAGAGAGTTGAAGGTTGATAGGCCCTGATACAAGGCATTACCGAGGGGAAGAGGTCGATTTGTCTTCCATTCGCCGCGCGTGATGCAAAGACGCTCCAAGCCTTTCAGCTTTCGCGCGAACATAAGGACGAAAGTAAGCAGGCTGTCCAATGGCCACGCTCGCTTTTCGAAGGCTTCCGCAACCGCAGGTATCTCGAACTGTGATCCGCACAGTACGACGTTCTTGACCATCGTGAAGAGTGCTGGTCGTGCGGTCGCTGCACGAAAGAACCTCTGGATGATAATCCTATGGAGGAATATGTGATCGGTGAACAGTTGTGTCTGAGCTTTGCGTCGCCAAGCCCGACATGTGAGGGAGCACGCCCGCAGTGTCCTCTCGCAGTCATTGAGCCACATAACGTCCTCGTCCACCGGCACGCATTCAATGATGTGTTCGCAGACCTCGAGCGGCACACGAGGTAGACCAGCAGCCCTTCTTGCAGCCGCGGATACTAGGCATGCAGTCGCCCCGGATCCGGACTGATTCACAAGGTTTGAGAGCAGTTAGTGCAGGAAGAGGCGGTCTACTTACTTCGTTCCAGTTGTTGTTGCTCCAGTGCACACCTTCGCTATGGTTATCGTGAACTACTGACATGAGATCAGCGTAAACCTCCTCATTACGAGGATAATAGAGGTCCTGTAAGATACCGTCAAACACCAGGGAAGCATGCACGACGGAGTAAGTAGTATACATACCACTGGCATGAACCGTAGATCGCTGGTGAGGATTGTTAAAGTCATGACTTTGCCCGAGTCGTGGGGGAGGCGGTGCTATGTTGAAGTCGCTACTCCTGTATATCAGACAAGTCGCTCAAAGTACCGTGACGGCTTCCCGAACAAGGTCAAAGGTCCATGTGCATGCAGCGCACTATCGATGAACTGCCTTGTTCAGATGTAGACACCAGAGACCGAGAAACTGGGGCTTTCGAACGGCAGAAGGTAGTTCAATTGGTCATGCTCCGGAGGCAACGAGAACCTGTACACACCTCGATACGGTGATCCGGCCGATTGTGTTCATCGTCTATTCAACCTTACTTGATAAGACTACGACGAGTCATTTCACCCTACAAGGAGGTTGCTCATCTACCGCACAGACTATCAGAAATTACCGGTTTTGAAATTGCAACTAGTGCTCACCTTACGAACCGTCAAGCTTGTCACTTGAGGGCTCGGCCTTGACATGCACCACGATGGACGAGATAGCGTGTGTGCATCCAGAACGTACCCAGAACGTATCGTGTGAGCCATCAGCATACTAAGAAGTGACCAATGCATCGCATTCGACGGACGGAACCTCCGCCGCAAATATCTCAGCAAACAACACCGACATGGCTTCGATACGCAGCGATGACTTCTCCGAAGATTTCACCTCCGAAATGGATTTGTTCTGGTAAGGCGCGTAATCATTCCTCATCAAACGACGCTGCAGTGCCAGGAAGGTGATCCTAATTCCATGCAGAGGAAATGGTGAGTTCTTTGTAGCGTCTGGGTTACTTGTCCCTGACTTCGTTCTCCAGCCAGTCCCACAGGCGTGCGCAAGCCTGGTCATCGTACGCCTCGGATCGAGCGCGGTCGGCTATGCGTGCCCATGGAACGACGTACTATATAGCCAGAGGACGTCATTAACGCGAACCGCAGCGCCGGTGGTGAAAGACTGACCTCGCCGTTGTGGTCGAGTGCCTCCGGCATGGTCCCCGCCCAGAGCTGGGTGAGCGCACCATACTCTACTGGGTATCTCTTCAAGAAGAGGTTCTGTGGGTGGCCGTTCTCAGGTACTGCAGAGCGGCTCCCTACAAGGTTCGTTTGCCCACAGTGAAGGCGAGGTTGAACTTCGAGGCGTGACGCAGGATGCCCGTATAGATGTTGCCTGTTGCGTTCAGCTGATGATGCTCGCCGAGTTAGAAATACTCACCGGGGTTCACAGACAGGGAAACAATACCCTGATCGCCATAGCGCTTCGCATATTCGCGAGCGAGCATGACGCAGGCCTGAATTGAGTACGATCATGAAGTATGCAGCGCAATAGAGGAGAGAACACGTCGCCCCTACCAGTTTGCTTTGAAAATACATGACGTCACTGCCAGCCTTCCTTCGCTGCGGTGTATCCTTGAATACGTCGAAGCTGAGCGGCGAGAGATATTGTGCAAATGATGACAACCAGATGATGCGAGCATGATGGTCTGGGGATGTGTCCTTCACGGCCTGGAGAGCAGGCATAAGCAATTGCGTCAGAAGGAAGTGGCCTGATGATATGGCGTGTCATCAGAAGAGGTGCAGGCTCTGGGTGTCATAATGGCCCACCGACTACATTCGTTCCGAAAGTCATGTCGTATCCATCATCGGTGAGCCAGTCGATGGGTATATTGGAAACACCGCTATGGGGAAACAAAAAAAAAGTTGAGAGCTGTGCACCGTGTTCTAGCACGTCATACGTACGCATTGTTGTATAAGATATGCAGTTCCTTCTCAATGCTATGCTCGAGGTCAGTCAACGACACTACGGAGAGTTGACATCGAACTCGCCTAAGAAACTTGTGTGCAGTTTGACGTACGGACGCCAGGTTGGCCAGGTTGAGCTCCAAGAAGAGCGCTTCTTTCCCTGTCTTCGCTTTCAGCTCCTCGATAGCGTCTTGCGCCTTCTTCTCATCTCGTGCCGCCATGTACACCTTGGCGTTGTGCTCCAGCAAAACCTGGGCGTTCAACGGCAATCAACCTCAAGTCCAACGTCCACGACTGAAAGAACCCACTCTCACGGTCTCCTTGCCTATCCCGTTGTTGCCACCTGTCGATGGAGCGTAAGTACTAAGGAATACTCTGCGAACTGCTTGAGACGAGGGATACCTGTCACTAGAATCACCCGCCCGCTGAGGTCCGTAATGTGATCCGCGCTGAACACGGGTTCCGGGGGGCGGGATTGCCTATGTATAGCCCCGCCATACTTGACGAAAGACCACAAAGCATCCATAGCGAAATGTTTCGTAAAGTCAATACCGTCGTAGTGCGACTCGAAAGTAGATGGGAGAGGGATTGCGGTTTATCCAGTGATCGCATGCGCAGTGCGCACGCGTCCTGCCCATGAACCCATAGAGTCTATGTAGTGTTGCATTCGAAGTCTTTGATGGGCCGTTCGTGACACCGTGACGCCTATAGATCCGATCGTGGGACCAGTACCCAACCAGTACCAGTGCACAAAAGACTGCCCATGCCTGAGTACGCCGTTTGGTCTTCTGTCGTGGGAGATGTAGAGTCGTAGACAAAACGCAGTTGATAACAGCACATCAAAGTGAAGACGGTCGACTCATCGGACTCGTAACCTCGTGTTGTTCCTGCAGTCGGCGGGTCTCACTTATGGCGTCGGCGTTTCCCGGCAGTGAGTACCTACTTACTGTTAAGTACCGTGTTTGTATCCTTGAAGTACAGTAGCGTTACTGACACTGACACTGGTAGAGTATTGTACCGGCCGGCGTAGGCAACATGCATCATTGCAGCTGGCCTGCAGATCTAGACGTACTTGCCCTTGCAAGCAGACCGCAACAAACTGCTCCATGATTCGCGTAGTACTGAAGGATGTTTATTGCGGCTCTGATTCGAGTACTAAGTACAAGTAGTCCAAGAGCTAATGCTATGCACCGGCCGGCAGCTACAATACGTACATCCATCCATCCTACCAGAAGCGGACAGTCTTCGCGTTACGCAGAGTCTGGATATATATGCACGAAGCCATTTAACACGTATCTATGGTATGGTATGTACTGATGTAGAGCATGCAAAACCGCACAGGATATACTATATGTGAGACACGCCATATTCCAGAATGCCCAGGACCCTTCATGACTTTTGCACAGATGCCTTTGAATCTACACTTGCCCCCTACATCCCAGCCAGAACTTAGCAATAAATCAGCAGCATCACCTCGCTGCGGCCTGTTCCCCCATGCTCAACGGCACAGCCGTACCGGCGGACTCGCCTTGCCGCACGCTGACAGGATCGCTTCCTGACCGCGTGAATGGTGGCGGGTGCGCCGCAGCTCTTGCTTGTGTCGAGTACGCACGCGGCTTCGTATGCTCACCACCGTTGACCCGTTCGGCCGCGTCTTCGTCAGCGACCGCCAGAGCATCAAGCTCCTTGCTGAGCGCGCCCATCCCCGGGTCCTCCGAGTCGACGTCCGTGCGCCAACTCGTCCCTTGCGAGCTCGTCGGCCTCGACCCAGTACCCGTCACATCCGTAGCGGCAGTCCCTGTCGTCGCCTCGCTGTTCCCCGATCCCGCCCGACCATTTTCCAACTTCGTCGACCCGTCGGCGCCCAAACTACTGCTGCCAGCGCTGCCTGCAGGATCACTCCCACTATCACCCCGGCCCAGCTCGTTCGCCAATCCGCTCGGGCGCGAGCCCGACGTCGGTACCTGCGGGAAGTAGCTCTCCTCAATCGGCGGCGACTGCGTAGGTACGGGCGGGAAGTATCCCTGCTCCTCTACCGGCCCTACCCTCGGCGGCCAGAAGTACCCCGGGCTACCGTGCACGGGGGCGCCCACCGCGGGGTTAATGAACGGGTTGACCGCACCGCCCCCGGGGCGGCCCCAGAACGCGCCGGGGGACATCGTCACGCCCGGCGAGAATGGCTGGAACGGCGTCATTACGTGACCGTGCGCATGCGCATGCGCCATATGTCGCGAGGAGTCGTACGGCGGCTGCATGGGCGCGCCGCCGCTTGGTACTGCGTTCGGTACGTTTGGGTCTTGAGGCGCGGGCGAAAGCTGCGGGATGAAAGAAAATGAGGCATGCTTGGTGTTATTGGAGGTAGTCCGTGTGGTGTCATTGCTACGCTCATGGCCATCGCCATGGCAGGATGATGATAAGGGCTCTGCGGGTGTCCAGGGTGCATGATAGGGGAGTAATACTGCGGCGAGAGCGTGTGCAGGGGTGGTACAGGGAAGGCAGTCACAGGCGGTGGCGGAGGAATGGCGATCGGTCCAGGGTGCGCAGGATGCTGATGTTGGTGTGGCGTTGAGTGCGCCTGCGATCCAGATTGCGACTGCGCCTGCGACGCTGACTGTCCGTGCGCCTGCGCCTGTTCTGACGTCGACGCCTGCTCTTGGGACGACGTCTTTGACGCATGCGAATGCGCCAACGCCAATGGCGGTGGCCTCGGCGGCTGCCCATCCTCCCTCGACTGGCCTATCCTCGACTGCTCCTGCATTACCGCAGCCTCCACAGCCGAGCCCGTAGCCAGCCCCGAGAGCCCGTCTCCACTGCCCGATGCGTCTGCTCTCGTGCTGAGTCCCGAGACCGACGGCTGCAAGGCCTGCGCCTGCTCAGCGCTCGGGCCGAAGCGCATCCCGTTCTGGTCACCGTACCACTCGTACGGTGTGCTCGGGCCTGAGCTGAGGAACTCGAACCGGTATGACGGCGGTATATGCGCAAGCGGGCCCTCTGACAAGCTCTGGTCGTGTTGCGCTGCGCCATAGGGGTCCATGCCCCGCTGTTCCTCGTACTGGTTATACGGGAACGAGTCGGGGCTCTGTTGTGGCAACGACAAGGGTGGCTGCTGGCTGTGTTGTCGTGACAGGAGTTGCTGAGCAAACGACCCATTTTGCGCGAACATCTGTGCTTGGTACGGATGTGTTTGCTGCGGCCCAAACCCGATCGACGACGGTGAGTGCGGTGAGGACGTCGATATTGGCGGGACAGCAAGCTGCGCCGTCGACGCGGGCGCCGAGAACTTGTCAAAGTGCACTTTCACGCACGCCCGTTGTACTCGTACCTTCACCGCGAAACATCAGGACGCTTGCGACTGAGTGTCCGCACGAAGCGCGAAGACAGATACAAGCCACGTACCCGTTGAACATCCGCACCGCCCTCTCCGCATCCTGCTCGTTCGAGAAGCTGACCGTGCCAAACCCTCTTGACCGGCCGTCGGCTCCAAGTGCAACGTCTGCGCGTGTGACCCCGCCAGCTTGACGGAAGAGGTCTTTCAGATCTTGCCACTGTATATGGAATGGCAGCTGCCATGATACGAGAGATTAGCCTTCGTCTCAGGACAGTCCCAAGCCATGATGGGAGAGAAGACAGAAAAGACGCAGCACCACGAGGGTCACGAGTCCCAACGCACCGCTACTGTGGTACTCTCTGTACCATGTACAGATCATAGCCACTAGAATTTCGGCAGCAACTCTGGGAGACCAGACACAGCTGTGACACGACCAATCTCCCCCTGGATCTAAAGTGGGAGACACTGGTCGACCAGCTCCACGCCGACCAGACCTCCACCTCGACCGTTCGATCTACCTCCGACAATTGTTGCCAAAATCTCTGCTGCAGCGAGGCAGGCGCATGCAGTGGCCCTCCCGGACACGCCAACTGTCGCCATGACACGGACCGTCAGGTGGCCGAGGACGACGCCCGTGAGGCGCCACGGACGGACGGACATACCCCGACCAAAGGAGAAGCGAGTCCCCCTCCTGGTTCAACTGCTGCCTGTCTTTGTGACATGCACAGGTACCATTCCAGTCGTGTGCATCTTCAATGATCCGTAGAATTGGTCACGGACAGCTCAAAACGGAGGGTCCATCGGCGACAGAGGGGAAGAGGCAAGTAAGAACACTGAGACACAGTACTCACGTTGCCCACAAACAGATTCCTGCTGACACTCGGCCCTGCGCCATTGCCCGTCCCAGGTCTTGACGCTCCCGCACTCAGCGGCGGCGCTAGCGGATCGTCGACCTCTGCAGTCGATACAGTCACGATTATACGGAAGTGAAGTAGAGGCGGGCATGACGAAATTGAGCACCGATCTCCCTCGAGTAGAACATGGCCACTCACCCAACCCCGATCCCGAGTTGAACCTACTCATCGGCGCCGGACTCGCCAGCCCGTTACCCATGCCCGCCCCAAACCCTCCTCCAGCACCCATGGACTCGGCAGCGCGCTCCCTACTCCAAGCGCAGTCCCTCCTCCCCAGTGATAACCCTGTCCTTCCTCACCTCCAGCACGCGCCCCTGCCAGCACCATCCCTGGAACATCCCGATCGCGCGTTCTGCATCCTCCTGCGACGCGAGCAGCACCGTGCCGTGCCCGCGCGAGCGGTTGTCGGGTCCGAGAGCGACGTCCGCGCGGAGGACCGTACCGGCACGGCGGAAGAGGTCCTTGAGATCTTGCCAACGGACGCGGTAAGGGAGCTGTGACGTTGGGTTAGTGAATGCTTCAAAATGGGGAAACGGGGCGAGGACAATCCAGAAAACATTTGCAGGTGTACACTCACGTTGCCTACGAACAACTGTGTTCTCGTGTCGCGCCCGCTCGCGCTGCCCGCTGGCGAGCTTGCCATCGCAAGCTGAATGACGGCCTCGATGTCGTCGTTGCTCGGCGTCCTCCTCCGCTCACGCTCAGCGCCGGGATCGCCTCGCTGAGGCTTGCTGCGGACGCGCCGGTGATGCTGGGTGCCTGAGGTGCGCGGAAGGCATGGTAGGTGATCGTGCTCCGGAGAGCGGCGACCTCGCGCCGGCGGGGATGCCATTTGAGAGGTGCGGCGAGATCGCACGCGAGGCCACGGAGAGGTGACGCCGGAGCCCTGCGCGAACGGCGAATAGCTGAGGGGTGGCTGGCCGAACGGAGATGATAGAGAGGAGGGCGGCTGGGCGAGGTCGACGGCGTGGAGAGGCGCGCCGAAGGGCGGGGGGCGGCCACCGAGGGCGGCGGGGATGTGCGACTGCATGTATCGGGCAATCGCACCGTATGGTGCCCGGGGTGTGGATGCGCGGGGCGGTGTCTGGCTAGCGAGTCACCGCACGCTCGGGGTCGTAGCGGTCGTCGTCGTGACGGTGCGCTCGACGATGCACGAGCCTGATGTGGGGTACGCGGCGTGGGTGGTCGTCGTCGTGTCGAGCGTCGCCGAGGTGTGCGCGGGCGACGTGATGGCAGGCGTTGGGGGCGAAGAGTCGGGAAAAGACTTGGAGCCAGGGAGGCGGCGCATGTCCTTGCGGGCGACTTGTGGGCGGGAATCGCTCCCCACTCGCCGCCCTCGGCTGCTGCCCACGTGGAGTGACGTCACCCGTCTTCGCCATGGCAGCGCTCCCCTGTCGCTGTCGGTCTCTCTTCTTTTCCTGCCTCCAGCGCCCGCCCCCGCGGCTGCCAATCGAGCGCGACCGTCGACGACCGCCGGGCGCCCGCCAGCCGTGCCCATCCCGCACCGCACGCCGACAGCACCCCAGAATGGGCTCTGACACAGCGATCGCCCTTCGGTGGCCTGCTGCATCGTGCGGAATCCAGAGCGTTCCTGCCTCCACGAGCGATCTCATGGGATCCTCCGCGGATGCTGCAGTGACGGTGCCATTGCGATGCCATGAGGGCTCTCGCGCGCAGTCCATGCGGCGGCGTCTGGCGGACAGCGAGTGACGTCACCGGCGCGCGCTCTGTCTGTGCAGCACGGAGCGAATGCACAAGACCGAGCGCATTTCGTGAGTAAGGGTTATACAGGTCTGAGTCGTGTTCCTGCTCTTAGCCGTGTTCCTGCGCCTGTGCAGGTCTGCGTCCCCTTCCAACAGGGCTCTTGCGCCCCGCGCGAGGATGTAGGTTACCCGCTTGTACAAGTCCATTTGTCGCTCACCACACCTCCCTCTGGCGCGCTGTGTGTCTCCGCATATATCGCGCTGCATTTCCTGCAGACGCCCCCGCAGCTGCCTCGTACTGTACTCGCTCAATTGGCTACCCCACGACACTCGACGCCCTCCGAGTCCCCATCACCCGCTCTGTCAACCTCCGCAGCTCTCGATCAGACTCGCCCCCGCAAATGCACCTCCCGCGGTCACACAGCCCTCCGTCGACGCATGTCCCCACACTCCTCCCGTGCGGCGAGGCTCGCTGTCGGCATGTATGTCAAGACGAAGCTGTATCCGGATCACAGTGAGCACTCACCTATTTCGAAGAATGGAGCAAGCTAGTTCTCTGACTGCGTCTCGCGCAGCTCGCTTGCAACGCGACGGTGCACAGGACCCAGCAGTCCCTCGCGGCGTCGGCGCACTTCTCCGCCAGTCGACTCGTCGCATGCTCACCGCGGCCCGAAGCGACCGCTTCCGCTGCGTCGGCGCAAGGGAAACGTGACCGTGCAGTCAATCGACTCCACCGCCCAACAGACCGAATGGAAGAGCGGTCAGCGGCAGACTCGATGGATACAGACGTCGGTGTCACGCCAACGGTCCGTCGCAGCAACCCAGTGGGAAGCAGACCGGGTTGACCCCCACCCTGTATCGCAGACCGCCCTCGGATTCATTTGCACTCCGTGCTCGGATAGTGACGAACGCACGAGGACTCGCCGCAAGGCCTGCGGGTGATGTAAGAGACGGGGCGTAGGCGACAGACGGGGCGAGAAGCCAGGTAAGTAGTGCTGCGACCGGGCTGATCACCGTGACCGAGGCTCGCGGCAGGCGAGACGGCCGGTCCTCGGATGCTGGACGATGGGGAGAAGATCCCGGAGAGGTGCACAAGTCATCTCGTGCGCACAAGCTCGAATGCGCTGCGCGACGCGCGCGCTAAGTCCTCTCGTCAAACTTGCTTGCTGACCAATCCCCGCGCGCCCCGCCGGTTCTGGTGAGGAGGTCGGTAGCGCCACGATGCCCGCGTACGATCGAGCGATGGCAAGACTTGAGACCAAGCCAAATACGCCATGGCGACACCTCCCGGGCAGGAGACTGAGCTCGCGGGAAAACAACCGGCGGCAGCTCGCGCGCAAGTCGTCTGCGCGTCCCGACTTCAGCATTGCCGACCGGTGCTCTGGCGGAGACGGTGTCAGCAACCATCCGCGGGAGGATCTGCGCGAGATACATCCCAATCGGTATCCTCGCGTGCGTGCGTTCGACGCGGTCCGGACGTCCCGAGCTGTAGATGTCCACCGTCTGCGTCGACGACCGGGCGGGCTTCTTGACGCGCTCCACCTGCACTGACCGGCGCGGATTGCGAGCCGTGCAGACAGTCGCAGAGAGGACGAACAGGCGGGCATGTCGACCAGGTGCGGGTGTCCGTGGCAACGTACCATCGTCGTGCTGACATGCAGTTGCGCGAGGTGCCATGCGTCCGGGGATCAGCGGCCGTCGAGAGCGGGAGATCGAGTCCCTGTCGTGGCGGCGAGAAGGGCGGGCGACAGAGAGCGGGCCGGGCGCGTTCCGGGTGACCGCCGTCGACGTGTTCTCGCACTGGCAGCTCCTGCCGCGTCGCCTTCGTGTCCGCCCGACGTCTGGTGCTGTCGACATACAGCGCGTGAGACCATGCGCCTCGAGCGGAGCAGGTGTGCAGCACGTACCTGGTCTCGGGGTCCATGCACAGGCTGGTGACCGAGAGGGAGTGGACGAGGTAAGCTTAATGAGGGTGATGCGGGCGAGAGGGAGATGACCAGCGAGGGGGAGATGACCAGCGAGGGGGAGATGACCAGCGAGAGAGGCGAGAACAGGTGTCCTGATACAGTGAGGACGACGAGAGAGAAGTGGTGAGGACTAGGTGCGGGGACGACGAGAGGTGGTGAGGGCATGATGGACGAGAGGTGGCGAAGAGCAAGGGGGAGTTACCTGCAAGGCAAGTGTTAGAGATGTAAAGGCACAAAACGGCAAGTGAGTGAGCGAAACGTGGCAGGCTCGGAGAAGGGATTCTCAGGCTGAGTGCGACGGCATCAGTGAGCAAGCGTGAAACAAAGGCAATCTGAATGAAGAGCGAGGCAATGCTTCGGGGATAGAAGCCTACAACCAGACATTGAATTTGATCTCTGATGTGACCGTACTAGGCCAGTGCTTCGCCGTCTCAAGACTGATTCACTAATCCCGATCAATCTACTCAGGCCTCGTTGCTCAGGTCTGTCTGCTGGGTCTGACGAAGCCAGCCTAACTCAAGTACTGTGAGTGGCAAGGTCTGTAGGCAGCAAGCCATACACCATTGAGTGACCCTCAATGCTGTATGCCCTGCTGCCCATAGCACGAGCCAAGGCATTTGCGAGTCTACGTAATGTGTTGATCTCGTTCAAAGTCCGAATCCCTACATCAATTCCGTAACCTAACCGAAGTAGCCTAAGTATCCCCATTTGATATCTGGTCCCATATCACTGTTACACACTATTATGCCCACTTTGGGTATCTCCGCATACACTGAATATGTCGGGTAGGTCATCCCAGGACGTCCCCGGTGGCACAATATGGAGATATGCGTGTTTGAGCATTCATCAAGGTTAGGCCAGCTTATGCTAGCTCTCATAACAGCCCATCTGCAGCTGTCTGACTGTAGACAAGTGCACCCAACATCGACTCGAACACACGCAATGCCATGCCCGTGTTCCCGGAACAGCATATGGACTGCTGGCAGGCTCATTCACCTCGCAGTTGTGAATCTCCAAGCCTAACCTAGGCTGCGATTACTGAGTTGGGACAGCGGCGACATGGCAAGACGAAGGCTGTCAACACGCTGTCAACGTCCGTATGGGCGACTCGGAGCCACGTGGCGCGGTCCAAATGAGGCGGGCGGGCTTAGCGCCCCGCGACGCGCTGTGGCGCGTCGCGTTTCACTCTTCCTTCCGCTCATCCCGATTCCCCACCGTCGCGTCGCCGGCATACAGTCGCGAAGCATCGTCATTTCAAGGCAATCAGAACATTCAGTCATCAAATCCGGACGCGCTCTCAATCTCCGACACCGCGTCGTCATCCACATCCGATCCGGCGCTCTCTATCTCCTCCTCCTCCTCCGAGTCCGTATCATACGCGTCGGAATCTTCAATATACTCCTCGCTTTTCGGCCCATGCAGACCCTCCGCGGCGGTCTCGACTTGCGCAACCAGGGTGGCACGCGTTGCTTGCCGTAGTCGCTCCGCTCAGCCCGGGGCGGGCGCGGAGTGTACTTTCCCGGTGCAGTGCTCTCTACGGTGAGTCCGGTTAGTTCGGCTTGCGAAAGCTTGGCGAACGCGAGCTCGCCGCGCCGCACACGACCGAGAAGATCGCGTATGGTGCGTATGCCGCCCGGGACGCGACTGAGATTCGCAAAGACGAGATGCTGAGGCCAGCCTACGAGCCGGACGTGGTACTTGGCGGCGATGCGGGTGTGAAAGTCCTCCGCATTCCAGCTCATCTTGGCTTCTGCATCCTTAGAAATGGCCCCTGTAGTGCAGGAACGACGTCAGTTGAGCTCGCAGACGTGCAAACATAATACGCACGCAGTCTTTTGGTGAGCAGCCGTCGCACTGCACTGCGCTCCCTCGTGAGACGCGTAGCGAACGTCTCGCGTCTTTTTTTCTTCTGCAGGACGAGCTTCGGCAAGAGCGGGCGTCGATTCGAGGCCTTGGTGGCGTGCTGCAGCCGCATGAACGACGAAGGTGACTAGTGGGCGAGCGAAGAGGGATGCGGGATTCGGTCCTGACCGAGGACTCTTACAGGAGTGCCGATATGATTGAACATCAGACATACACGGTCTATTTGTACTTCGCGCGAGAGCGGTGACTGTTCCCGACACTCCTTGCGCATCGGCAGCCCAGGGCCGCATTGACCGTATGCGTCACTCGCCGTCGCTTCGTTGTTTGAATGCATCCCTGGACAGTACATTTTTCCCCTGATCCCTCTCGCTAATTAGACTTTCCTGCGCTGTTGTACCAAGCCTGGGTTGGTTCGGCTCAGTTGCACGTCTGGTTTCTTACCAGCCCTGCATCTCCGATCGACTTCCGAGCCTGGGTGTGCATCCACGATGTGACAAGCGGTCTGCCGCGCTGGCTCTACCGGCTAGGCCGGTGCAAGTAGCAAGCCGTGTCGAAGCGTCCTCTCACTGTACTGCGGCTAGGAGCCTTGTGTTCATCCTTGTACCACTGAGTGACAACCAAAATTACAGTAGAACACGAGACAGTGACCATGCGTGTATGCATATTTTGGCTGCAGCACGGCTCATGGGCTATCGACGCTCACTTCGTAGCGAGATTTTGGGTGTGAACACTCGGACAAACATCACCGACAGACAGCCCGTATGTCGCGCACGTCACACGAATATCGTATGGGCTCGCCTTGCGCATGGGATCCAGGCGTCTGCAGTACTCCATGTCAATGACTGGCCCTTGAGCTTGATCCGTCCTCGGTCACTCGGTTCAAAAGCCAATCTGGGAGTGGTCTGCAGTACGGGCAGTACACTCATTCAGAGCCACAATACGAAGCGACCACAAGCCTTGTTCGTTTGCTGCGCGGGCGACGATGGTTCAGGATATCATTCAAGGCCCGAATCCACCGCCCTCGACCCTTCACTAATAAATCCGCACGATGTTGTTGAGCAAGACTGCGACGAGCGATCAAGCGCGGTAGGTTCAAGCCTACAGTCGCATAGCCGGAAGCTCGCATTATTTCACTATTCACCAGTGCGTACTACCGGACTATCGGACGTACACCGACGGGAACGGTGAGCAGACTCGAACGCCGGAGCATTGGTTCATTCATGGCCATGTGCAGCCCATCTCGTCGTCACAAATTCGCACCGTGATATTCTTCCAATAGTATGCTCCTGACGAGTGCCGTGCCGTGCTTCGATGTTTCATCCGGAAGTCTGGTGAGTCGCTATGCTGCGGTTCATCTCTCCAGGGCTGACAAGTCTCGCACGTTGCTCGAGTCGACGTCTCTGCGGTAAAGAGAGCCGCACTGGACCGAACCGATCTCTGAGCTGTTCAAGGACCTATGTACCAGCTCACGAGTTCATTCTCCTGGCTTGGCGATCAGGGCGGACGATGGATGCCAGCTGCAAACGCATCGTACTCTACGTCGGGCGTGACTCATCAGTCGAGTGCTCACTGCCCAGTAACCACCGAGTGCTTGTCACGGTACGTCAATTGACCTGACTGTCTGACACTCCCGGAAATTCCGACTGACCCAATCTCTGCACACGAGAGTCAATTGCTCGTCTACAGATCCTCAGTGATTATGCACCACAGTGCGCTCGCGGCGGTTCGTGGATACTGTCGCAAATGATTCAGGGCAGCGGTGAAACATTCCCGGTCTCGAACTCTCACCGCGGTTGCCGTTCAATCAGTAGCGGATCGGTGGAACTTGGAGGTGTGAGAATAGCGTGACATCGAGCGTCGCCACGCTCGGATGAGTCTGCCGTTCAATGTTCAACCGTTGGCTCAGGAACTGCTGCGGTCCTCGTAGCATGATGCAACGGGTACGCCGCCAAACCCAGGTCAAGGACTTGATGCGCCGCTCGTGTCACAAATCCAGGCCGACGCGTTCGACGATCGAGCTTTCTTATACGCTAGCAGCATCTTACGTGGGGCAGTTAATGTGCGCATATTCCGGGGCTGCCGTTGATCTCACGAGACACTGACCGACGTCCGACGAGATCCACGCGAGGAGCAACGCAACGGTCCGGGATTCGTGAACCTCCCTCCAAGGCACTGACACCGCCCTTCAGCGGAAGCACGCACAGGGGACGGAATGGTGCCGTCTGCTTAGGGCGTAGAACGCCCCGCCGCGTATAGCGGGACATTGCGACGGTTCGCGTTTCACGACTCATCAGAACCGAGGTTTGTTCTAGTCGAGATCGCGATCCGGGGCGGCGGGAGAACGGGATGAGTCGTACGTGACGTCCGACAGCGGTTCTGTTAGATCGCGCACGTGTATAACGAGAGGTGAGTGTTGTTTCGACGTATGGATCAATCTAACTTCGTGTCTGTCTCAGTATGTACGTAGAGGTACGCAGAGCTGGCGACCTGTTCTACTAGCCTAGAGCTCCATGGTCAGAGCTGTGATTCGCGTTTGGTAGTGACCAGCTCAAGGCGCCAGTCACTCACTTCGACCAGAGTCCGCCATTTGCAGCTCGGAATCCAGTTCGTCGTGAACGACTGGACCCGCGTCGTACACCTCTCCTTTCCAGGAGAGCTCGCCGTCCGAGGCGGTCTTCGGGCTTGCTGTCCTGCAGTGACTCGTCTGACACGCCGACACGAGCGGGGCAGGACAGTCGTCAAGGACGCATCGCCGCGGGCTTCCACCGCCTGCTTCTGACATAGTGGTACTACTGTCGGGAAATCGGCGGCAGGCTAATTGCAGCGCCTTCCGCAATCGTACGCCACCGCGATGAGTCGTGCGTCTGATCTTGCCACGGATCGTCCGGACTCGGAGGATGCACACGTAGCACGTCGAGACGGTAGTGCCTCCCCGTCAGTCCTTCGATTCACGTCAGTTGCCCGGACGGTGTTGCGCTCAAGTCGCTGGGCATGGACGGGTGAGCATAGCGAATGCCTTTGGTGAGTAAGGGCCCAGTCTCTGGCATGTCTGACCGATTGACAGACGGCCGAGGTTCCCGAAGTATCGCGGCGGTCGCGTCACGTCGTGTTACGGGACTATGGATCAGAAAGGCAGCCGACATCGAACGGACGGCTGCTCTGCCGTAGCGATCTCGACGCAGGGTCCTGGAAGGATGGAGTTGAAGTCCGGTCAGCGGGATTACCTTGATCAGGTACGTCTGGAAATACCTCGCGTTTCGCAGAAACACCCGCAAATGAGTGGTCATAGCAATGCTCGACCTTCATGACGAAGCACAGCTCTGTGAGCTCTGTTCTGTCACTCGATGCTTGGCCGCTACCGGGGCCCTCTCTCAGACCCGCCTTATGGGTTTTAAGCCTGCCTTCCGCCGACCTCCAACCGTTTGGGATCGGCGAAACTTGAAGGCACCTGTGCACGAATGACGCGTAGAAGGCGCATCAAGAATCCACTAGCATCGGCGATCGAGCAGTGTACGTACGTTGCCGACAGTCGATCTCCGCGAACCGGGTTCCGCACACGCACCCACGCACCCTGACAACGATGAGCGCCGTGGAGAATCTTGCCCGGTTCAGGGCCGTCTCGGCTGGACTCTGGTCAGGTAGTACGCCGCCCGGGTGCCATAGCGGCGTGGTCCCTAGCGAGACGCACGAATGCGTCAGCACAACCGGCACCATGCAGCAATGCGTGGGAGCGTCGCCGTACGGTAGGGATAAAAGGCGACGTGTTGAGCAGCCAGTTAACTCAGTACTCTCCCTCCTACTCTCTCTCGTCTCCCCTCCCCTGCGACGACTATCGCAGTCTGCACAAGGTTTATTCGTTTTCCTCTGCGTTGTTCTGAGGCTGACGTGTGTGCCGTACTGCAGGTCTTGTCGTCGCCGCGCTGCTCTGACTCGTCGGTAAGCCCTTTCGCTCCTGTCTCCCGCTGTCCGTGACGTGACGGAGGTCGCCGTGCCGAATCTTGGGTTCGCTTGCGGATGTCGTCTCTCGCTGCTGGAGTGGTCGTCGAGGGTGACGGGGGATGTCAGGTTCGGTCAGTCCGTCCGTCCTGTCAGTCTGCACGTATACTCAGCGCTCAGCTCTTGCTCCGCGTACGCCAGCCGCCGACACGGACTGTACTTACGAAAGGCTGGGCATGGCCTATCGTTGAAACGCTTCGATGACCGTGTGGTCTTCGTTGGTATTCGTTGGGTGACGCGGGATTGCGGTACGTCGTCTCGTGTGTTGGTGCTCAGTTGAACTGTACTCACCACTCGTAGCAGGGTGTCCGGATTCGGCCCGTAGATGATCGACGGGTCGCTCAGCTCGAACGCTGTGCCGTGCGGTATGCTGTCAGCTCATCGTGGACGACTCGAAGGCCAGTTTACCGGCTACAGCATGCCTGCGTCGGTTCCTTGGGCAGTGGCAGCTTATGCGGGGGGCACCCGCGACCTTGGCCGTCCCGATTCGGGATGGTGTTCTCGTACTCCGTTCACAGCTGGCGTGGGTAAAACGTCATTACGGAAAGCTCGCGGCGAAGGGGGCGGATGATGTAGTGCCGGGTAGGATCACGAGCGCAGCTTGACTAGACACCGATGTAGTAGATGCCCAATATATTTCGGTTGAGCGTGTACAGCCGAGCCTGGTACCGCGAGTGCCGCGCGCGCAACTCGTCAGGATGCGTGCATGTTGTTTGCATTGAAGACTAAAGGATCGGACTAATGGGTCGGATCAGGTCGGGGTACGCACTGTAGGGGGGCGAAAGCTGTATAGTGACTCGAAGATGACAGTGAGTACTAACAAGAGGCAAAGAACAGGGCGAACGAGCTTGATTTCGGGGCACGGCGGATAGATGCTGCGAGATCGGCATCCCGAGATGTCGAGGACGGAGGGACCGTGTACTCGTGCAGCTCAACGGACGTCTTGTCCACAAGCTATCCATTGCCTGACGAGATGGGCTTCATGCATCTGCCGGTACAGGAATACTGTCCGTCCAGCATGACTGACCATACGCATGCCGGCCGGGTGCTCCAAGTTCATCATGTGTAATCGTAGAAATGGATTTCATTGAAGTAATGGTAGATACAAAACGGGGCCCGCGCTGTTAACATGACACAGCGTCCTTGTGTACATACGACTAACGAAGTGTCGCGAGTGCGCACCTGCACGAGGCGAGCCTCCAACTCTCGCAGTCCGATGATTATCACTCACCTCGTCGATCAGTCTAAAGCTCTCCAACAAGCTTCGGTCAGGTTGCGCTGCGCCGAAGTCCATGCTCCGCTGCGGCCCAAACCCGATCGACGACGGTGAGTGCGGTGAGGACGTCGATATTGGCGGGACAGCAAGCTGCGCCGTCGACGCGGGCGCCGAGAACTTGTCAAAGTGCACTTTCAGCGCACGCCCGTTGTACTCGTACCTTCACCGCGAAACATCAGGACGCTTGCGACTGAGTGTCCGCACGAAGCGCGAAGACAGATACAAGCCACGTACCCGTTGAACATCCGCACCGCCCTCTCCGCATCCTGCTCGTTCGAGAAGCTGACCGTGCCAAACCCTCTTGACCGGCCGTCGGCTCCCAACGCAACGTCTGCGCGTGTGACCCCGCCAGCTTGACGGAAGAGGTCCTTCAGATCTTGCCACTGTATATGGAATGGCAGCTGCCATGATACGAGAGATTAGCCTTCGTCTCAGGACAGTCCCAAGCCATGATGGGAGAGAAGACAGAAAAGACGCAGCACCACGAGGGTCACGAGTCCCAACGCACCGCTACTGTGGTACTCTCTGTACCATGTACAGATCATAGCCACTAGAATTTCGGCAGCAACTCTGGGAGACCAGACACAGCTGTGACACGACCAATCTCCCCCTGGATCTAAAGTGGGAGACACTGGTCGACCAGCTCCACGCCGACCAGACCTCCACCTCGACCGTTCGATCTACCTCCGACAATTGTTGCCAAAATCTCTGCTGCAGCGAGGCAGGCGCATGCAGTGGCCCTCCCGGACACGCCAACTGTCGCCATGACACGGACCGTCAGGTGGCCGAGGACGACGCCCGTGAGGCGCCACGGACGGACGGTACATACCCCGACCAAAGGAGAAGCGAGGTCCCCCTCCTGGTTCAACTGCTGCCTGTCTTTGTGACATGCAGAGGTACCATTCCAGTCGTGTGCATCTTCAATGATCCGTAGAATTGGTCACGGACAGCTCAAAACGGAGGGTCCATCGGCGACAGAGGGGAAGAGGCAAGTAAGAACACTGAGACACAGTACTCACGTTGCCCACAAACAGATTCCTGCTGACACTCGGCCCTGCGCCATTGCCCGTCCCAGGTCTTGACGCTCCCGCACTCAGCGGCGGCGCTAGCGGATCGTCGACCTCTGCAGTCGATACAGTCACGATTATACGGAAGTGAAGTAGAGGCGGGCATGACGAAATTGAGCACCGATCTCCCTCGAGTAGAACATGGCCACTCACCCAACCCCGATCCCGAGTTGAACCTACTCATCGGCGCCGGACTCGCCAGCCCGTTACCCATGCCCGCCCCAAACCCTCCTCCAGCACCCAATGGACTCGGCAGCGCGCTCCCTACTCCAAGCCCCAGTCCCTCCTCCCCAGTAATAACCCTGTCCTTCCTCACCTCCAGCACGCGCCCCTGCCAGCACCATCCCTGAAACATCCCAATCGCGCGCTCTGCATCCTCCTGCGACGCGAGCAGGACCGTGCCGTGCCCGCGCGAGCGGTTGTCGGGTCCGAGAGCGACGTCCGCGCGGAGGACCGTACCGGCACGGCGGAAGAGGTCCTTGAGATCTTGCCAACGGACGCGGTAAGGGAGCTGTGACGTTGGGTTAGTGAATGCTTCAAAATGGGGAAACGGGGCGAGGACAATCCAGAAAACATTTGCAGGTGTACACTCACGTTGCCTACGAACAACTGTGTTCTCGTGTCGCGCCCGCTCGCGCTGCCCGCTGGCGAGCTTGCCATCGCAAGCTGAATGACGGCCTCGATGTCGTCGTTGCTCGGCGTCCCTCCTCCGCTTACGCTCAGCGCCGGGATTGCGTCGCTGAGGCTGGCCGCGGAGCCGGTGATGCTGGGCGCCCTCAGGTGCGCGGAGGGCATGGTAGGTGACCGTGCTCCGGAGAGCGGCGACCTCGCGCCGGCGGGGATGCCATTTGAGAGGTGCGGCGAGATCGCACGCGAGGCCACGGAGGAGGTAACGCCGGAGCCCTGCGCAAACGGCGAATAGCTGAGGGGTGGCTGGCCGAACGGAGATGATAGAGAGGAGGGCGGCTGGGCGAGGTCGACGGCGTGGAGAGGCGCGCCGAAGGGCGGGGGGCGGCCACCGAGGGCGGCGGGGATGTGCGACTGCATGTATCGGGCAATCGCACCGTATGGTGCCCGGGGTGTGGATGCGCGGGGCGGTGTCTGGCTAGCGAGTCACCGCACGCTCGGGGTCGTAGCGGTCGTCGTCGTGACGGTGCGCTCGACGATGCACGAGCCTGATGTGGGGTACGCGGCGTGGGTGGTCGTCGTCGTGTCGAGCGTCGCCGAGGTGTGCGCGGGCGACGTGATGGCAGGCGTTGGGGGCGAAGAGTCGGGAAAAGACTTGGAGCCAGGGAGGCGGCGCATGTCCTTGCGGGCGACTTGTGGGCGGGAATCGCTCCCCACTCGCCGCCCTCGGCTGCCGCCCACGTGGAGTGACGTCACCCGTCTTCGCCATGGCAGCGCTCCCTGTCACTGTCGGTCTCTCTTCTTTTCCTGCCTCCAGCGCCGAGCGCCCCCCCGCGGCTGCCAATCGAGCGCGACCGTCGACGACCGCCGGGCGCCCGCCAGCCGTGCCCATCCCGCACCGCACCCCGACAGCACCCCAGAATGTGCTCTGACGTCACAGCGATCGCCCTTCTTTGGCATGCTGCATCCCCGCGCCCTCTGCGGACGGTGCGGAATCGAGAGCACGTCTCGCGGAAATCAATGCCATATTGTCCACGGAATACACTCAGAATACACGAGGTATGTTCTGTTGCTTCCAATTATCCTCGCATATGCTCCGTACCTCGCTTCTGCGGTGATCGTGTCTCCGTTCAGTCTTCCAGGTAAATCCTGCGAGATGAGACAGGTGTGCAGGCACTACGTAGAGTATGATCTCATGGCTGCAAGAGAAGCGTCTCTCAGGTGCATGTGTGAGTGACAGCCATCCGATATATCAACTACGATTCTCATACACTTTGCTCCGCTCGACAGGATCTATATCGTCTCGTAGCCAATCCGCACCCTCGCCTTAGGCGAGCATCGCGCGATGTCTACCTTCCGTTCTTGTGCAGCTGCTGGGTTGCCGTAATTCCGCAGTACTGCAATCCGTCTAGCAGCAGTCCGCCGGATCACGTCGATGCACACATCACGGTGAGAACCACGCCTTGAGAATTGAATCGGTGACGTTCATGCTGATCCGAGATTCGTGTGCAGTTTCCAAGATCTCTATTGCGGGGCGCCGTGGCAGCACGGAAGTCGAACCGTCGTCAAATGTTCGCACCCCACCAGCTGCGAAGTTCCTGCTGGGAGGCACTGGGCCGCCGCTATCGATTGACACAAGACTTCTCCATAACATTGTAGTATTCATTCGCTTTGTCTTGGCTCCTTGATGATGCGTTGTGCTCGGAAGACTCCACGGGATCCTCGTCGAAGATCTAATCCTCAGAACGTGCCAAAGACCATGAAGCAAGACCTCCCGTCGATACAGAGTAGCTCGTCAACGCGTGAAAGATCTAACTACCAACGTCGTTGTGCAGGCGATCCCTTAGCCGGTCCATTCTTTGTGAACGTCCAGCCGGGCGTATCACGGTGCGTCCCTGGACCCGATCCGGATGTGGACGCAGTGTGGCCTTACGGTTGAAGACGACATCACATCTAGTCGACATCACGCTGCCAGATCTAGAGCTGCAGTCCACACGGACTTGTAAACTCATAAGTATTAAAGCTTAAAGCACAAAGCGTGCGGGACACGACGATCCCGGCGCGGCGGACCTCGACGCGAGGCGAGGAAATGCATGTTCGGGGCAGTGAGACTGCCCTATGCGGTCTCGAAGCCACACACTTCGGCAGACGTTGTGGGAGGAGTGGCAATTGACCCGGGAAAATCACGGGCGAAACGGGGGACGATCACATTGCAGAAATCGACAACGGAGGTCTCGCTTTGCTAGGCTACAATGGTATGATTCACCGCTCATGTCCTGGATGATAAGTTTTAGTTTGATCCCGGGCCTCTGGACTCTGTGTTCAGTAGTCACTGTAGAATGACTGAGCGATCCAAGCAGTACCTTTAGGATCACTGCCTTAGAAAAGGTACGCCACCTAAGGGCGAAGCGAACACATCACGGTACACACTGAATGGTTCCGAGAGACTACTAGATGTCAGCCTGGTACATACGTCTCACCGATGGACTACACTGACCTGCGTGCACAGTGGCTGCCGCTCGTTGCGACCGCTCGGCTCGACGACACCCTGTCGTCTCCCAGGTTCCGCTACTTGGAGCTAGTCATTATTCGAGTCTCCAGTGAACCACTTCTACGCCAAGGAAGGAAATCCCCGTTCAAGACGGATGGCATTCGAGGAGGCACAATGGAGAGCCGAGAAGCTACTCACCGTATTGTCAAAGTTGACCTCTCGTGAGTTCCCAAGATTATGTTGGCAATGGTCGTCGCAGCGCTCATGCGATACTGTACGGCCAGTGCATACACTATGCAGCGTGTATGGGGACATCCTGCGTATGCGATACGATACCCGGATACATTCACCAGACTCACGTATATATATTGAACTTCGACCGGCGATAGGCCACAATGGCATCATTTACTGTGCATTTCCTGCATGGTAAGTTTCAGTTCGATCCTCTGGAGTCTGTGTTTAATACCCACCTTTCTCTTGGCCTACTACGGGCATATGTACTTACAGCACTTCAATATGGCGTTTGTGTAAAATGTCGACGGCGAACCGGATGTACTCACGGGATGTCTGCTACGTATTCCTCGCCCTCAATGTATGAGGGTTGCGAGAATAAGGGTCATTTGCTCCTGTTCGAGACTACGAAACTTGAAGTCAACGTCGGTGCCAAATGTGGGTGGCCAGGACAAACGTCACGCAAGTGACATGAACCAGTGAGGATTGAGTCACGCTAGATAAGCAACAGCAACGCGGCGAAGCCACCAGTTCACCTCTGCTTGCGACTGTCATCTCGGTGAACCCAGCCCTCCAGTGACTTGAGGCAGCATGGCACCGAAACCTGCATCCACCGCTGGCAAGGCCCCCGCGTCCACCGCGTCGAAGGCACCGGCCAAAACCACTTCGGAGGGTGTCAAGTCGGCGAAGAAGAGCACCAAGCCAGCCGCCGCATCTGGAGACGACACGAAGAAACGCAGACGCAAGGCGCGTAAGGAGACGTACTCGTCGTACATCTACAAGGGTGAGTATGTTAAGGGTAGCTTCTCAATCGTCACGCTCAATGAATCGTCTTGCTGTGCACTTCAGTGCTCAAGCAGGTGCACCCGGATACTGGTATCTCCAACAAGGCGATGGCTATCTTGAACTCCTTCGTGAATGATATATTCGAACGCATTGCCACTGAGGCGTCCAGTAAGTCGCGTTCCGTGATATACCTGTGGCGTTCTCAATGACCGTATTCGACAGAGCTTGCTTCTTACTCGAAGAAGTCGACCATCTCCTCTCGGGAGATCCAGACTTCGGTCCGTCTTATTCTCCCGGGTGAGTTGGCTAAACATGCTATCTCGGAGGGCACCAAGTCTGTGACCAAGGTACGTTGTCGGATGATGTGGCGTACCTAACGGCTGAGCTGAGCATTTCGTCAGTTCTCGAGTGCCGGCGCGAAGTAAAACAATACGCAGTCGGCAGTGTCAGAGTGGTGGGTTTTTACGTGTATAACATAGGCCGTCGTTGTTGTATTGTATGTGTATGTGTCTCTGTACTCGTTGTGTCGCCGTTTTGTCCCCCTGTCTGCAGACATAAGTACTGCAAGTGGGCCCAACAGGTCGTCGATGCCAGTGGCGCATCAGCTTCTTTGTGAGTCCCTGAACACGTTCCTGCGTCTCGTCGGTCTATGCCCATGAGCTTCCGTAGGGATGCCCCAAGTTTCGACTTGTTCAAGCTTTTGAATTCCATCTAATGATGGTCATTGCTTGGGGAGGGGTGGCTGCATCACCCAGGTGAGCGTAGAGGAGACCATATCTATATCCCGGTAGCTCTTGATATCCGTCTATGATGCCTCCGTGCTGAGCCTTAAGAATTCTGTGCATAAGGCATTGACATCAAGCGCGGTACGTGTTGCATTCGTCGGATCATCGTGTCAATGGGTTGTCATTCATTCCGCGAAGGTCAGGGCGCAATATGATCGTGCCTTGCGCGTGAAGCTCTCACACAAGATGTCGCCCACATATTTTCCGTTATACTGGACCGGTCATACATCTCAGGCCTCAGGTACCGGACCCATTGCCAAGAAACGTTTGCATACGCGCTCTCGACATAAAATGCTGGATACCCTATTGACACGACGCAGTCCTGCAATGACCTCTGAATCCGCGGTGATGGATGGACGTTGTATCAGGACTAGCCCCAAGCCCGCGTTGGCGCACACTTCAGTCTGGATCGAGTATACAGTCGCTGCAGCGCTCGGTGGCGGCGCCAGTATTATGAAGACCGCACCGCTCTATCATCATAGACTCTATGTGCCACAGCGAGCAACCTCCTTTACACCCGCGGTCCAGGTTCAAGATCCGGTGTGTGTCTGAGCACGTTCTTTGAATGCAGAGGACAAGTACTGACAGTGGCGCACTAAAAGTGCTGCCTGAGCTGTTGTGAATCACTAAGTGATCTGTGGTGCAGCGGGCGCGGTGAGGACCGAGTAAATCACTCGGTTGGCTATGTGTGGTTTGCTAACTGTAGGAGTGAAACGCCCTACTGTCAGTACAAGGTGACTCAGGTAAGCGTCAGGGTAGCGATCGCTACTAAAGATGTTCTCTGCTTTCCATTGATCTGTGGCGCTCAAGCTACACCATGCCTATGAGGCAATGCGCTGGATTTTACCAGTAATAATCCCCTTTCAGCACACCGTACGGCGGAGAAAACGGGTAACGAAGTGACTTCACGCGTTGTTCGCCTCCCAGACTTCCGTAATTATTGATACTACTGTTGTACAGCCATAGGACACCCAGAACGGTCTTGAAACGACTTCTAATAAAGCCGAACTATCCAAGCCGACGTGAGACACGTTCTCCGAGCGATATTTCTCATGCCTTGAGGAACAGGACTCATCTGCCTCGCAGGGTCTGTAATTAGGTGCGAGTCCGAATATCTCGTGCGCTTTCCACTCAGGCTGACGTCCCTTTTATGCTCAATTGACACTGGCATCCAAGGTCTTGGCCCGACAGGTGTGTGACGCCGCGTTTTTGGCTTCTGTCATCGGACATACGGGGACGGCGACAGTACACTTGACAGCGCTGGCCAGTGTCCAATTTGTGCCTGGCTTTCCCTGTGTAGTCGCGGTGCATGCTGATCGGCGTGGTCCTGGCGCATAACGACAATGTCGAGCGCGGTCTGGTGAACCGATGCCCTATTCAGTGCAGGGGTACAAAAGGGGACCATGTCGAGGACTCGAACGCCAGCATCCTCCCCTCCCTGGATCATTTCCTACACAGTTCATAATGTTCAAACATACCAGCCTCATCGCGCTCGCTGCCCTCGCGGTTGCTGCCTTTGCCTCCCCCGAGCCTTGGCACGGCATCGTGCCTCCTCTTCACCGCCGTCTGACCGGCCAGAACGTCGCGTTCTCCTGCTACGGCGGGGGTGGCGACTGCGAGTGTCCGACCGACCTGACCGGTGACAGCAATGGCGTCCTGATCAACGTCTACCCCGGCTACCAGTGCGCCTACGCCGGCGGTGCTTGCACCTGGGACGACAAGGTGGGCAGCATGCGAGATTTTCCTATGTGTCGCTGACGACGAACGCGGCTGTGCAGACCGGTGCCCTGCAGAATACCGCCCAGACTAATTGCCCGGCCTCCGCGCCCTGCAGCACCACCAGCGGCTGCCAGTGCCCCACCGACAACAACGGCGACGCCGGCGTCTTGATCAACCAGTTCACCGGCTACCAGTGCGCGTACGTCCATGGCGCCTGCACCTGGGACTACGTGAGTGCAGCCTCCTTGATTTGCTGTCGCCGTACTGAGACATTCTACCTAGACCGGCGCTCTGCAGAACACCGCCCAGACCAACTGCCCGACGACCGCACAGTGCGCGCAGTTGGCCGGAGATTCTTGAGCCATAGCAAGTCGTGACATGCTGATGCACGTCTCACGTTTTGTAGTTTGTTTCTTGGGTTCTGCGGGGCGATATGCTTGCTTGCTCATGGGTTGTATGTCGTGTAATCTGGGTAATGAGCGAAGTTAGACTCGATATCCTCGGGCTTTCCTTGTGATGTCAATGTTACTGTGAGGTGCACTATATATGATATCGTCATAGGACGTTCAAAAGGGGCAAGCTGCCTGCCAATATTCGCAAGTTTGGCCCGACCGTGACTGTCGTCTGTAAATTACCTTGCGACTAGCAAGGTCTCTTCGGGGGTCTGAATTCGTCGTGGGAAATTTCCGGTTTTTTTGGCCTTGTTTGTTCCACCTCCAAACCCGGACAGACAGCGCTTAGCCATGCTACTGCCCTCAGGCTGAGGCTCCCCATACCGAACTGTCGACGAAAAAAGGTGTACATGAGCTCTTTACTGCCCTATGAAGACGTAGACCATCGCGTAGACCATCGCGGGAGCCATTGGTCTAGTACCAGAGGAATAAGGTCTGCGTGAGCAGTGAGTAACCTTACATGAGTGCGACTCTCGCGATGGCCTAATATTAGCAACATAATACACTATTTTCATGCACAACGAACGCTGAACGCTACGCGAACAGATGTCCGCAACCACTGCAACACCGCCGCAGGCCCCTATCCCAGTAGAGCAAGAGACACGACCATGGCCCTACGACACGGCGCGCTCAACTGGGACCTCATGCACGCGGCTTCTCGCCGCCATCCTCGCCACAGGCACGCTCACCACGGTTGCCAGCGGGCCCGGCTCGAACTTCCGTGGCGTCGAGGAGCACATCTGCGGCGTCGAGAGGTGGCTGGACGCGGAGGACCGCACGCTCAAGAGCCTCGTGTTCTGGGTGTACCCTGAAGGCATATCGGGGCCATACCACGAGATGGAGGATGGACAGGTGAAGGAGCACGGGTTGTTGGTGACTATTGAGCGGGGGGTGAAGGTGGCGGATATGCTGAAGGCGGTGAAGGGCGCGTTTGTGGAGGAGGGCACGGTGCATGTGCACGTCCGAGTCCCTGCTGTTTGAAGAGTTGATGGTACACCGAATCAATACTCTGGGAACCCGATTTTCGAGTGCTGACATGTGCCTCGCTATTCTACAGATATTCAGTATCTTCAGTGCAATGACACCTCACCTAGCAGCTCTCTCTTCATCCTGACAGTGACGGCGAATGGACCTGCACTCATGGTTCGAGCGGAGGGCATGTAGGTTGTGCTTGGCAATGGAATAGAAGGTGAGCTCGTTAGTGTATGCGTATCCGAGGATCTCAGTCCGTCTTTCATGTCACTTTCGCTGCCATCCTCCATCAATCCGGCGATGTACACAAGACACGAACTTGAGTGTATGCTCCGGTGCAGGCTGCCGTATTCCCTCTTCTCCCTCTCGATGCATCCCTCCACCTTTTGATAATTGACTACTCTCACTTCTCGCGCACCTGATGTTCTCCATACATAATTTGTCATAGCTACTACTCTACTCTATGTGTTGTACACCACGAACATTTGCCCATGCATTTTTTGTCTCGCCTCCTCCTCTCCAACCGTTCGTCCTCCTGTTACCTGTAGTAGGTACCGGTACTCGTCATGAGCGCCTTGGAATACAGCGAGCACGGGAAGACATTCCTTAGTCGCAAGGTACACGACCGGCGCCCGCGCCGGCGCCACTCGCGTACCATTGACAGTACGATTACATAGTATATAGACTGCAAATATTCTTTTGTCAAGTACTTAGTCGCAATTCTAAATTATTTATCCTACTGTATTGCCATCAACAATGGTAACTTACGTGAGACAATAGACGATACCGACCAGTAAGTAATTACTTACGGCGAACACTATTGGCATACTGTAACTGAGCCGCCAAGTGTCGGTGTGCGTTCCGCGCTCGCACAGGCTCGCACTCATATAGCGCAGCTGACCGACGTGCAGGCCGGCCACGATGTCGGACAGCAGTCACCTCCTTGGCCCAAGCCCTCGACCATCTCTGGACAGTCAACGGTCCTCTTTCTCCCTTCTGCCAAATGGCACAAACGGCAACACAGACGGAGCAGGGCACGATGACGAGGAAGACCTCGATCCAATTCAACGGCTGCAGCGTGAGCTCGAGCGCACTAAGGAGGAGAAGGAAACGCTCGCAGGGCAGTACCGCAACCTCCTGTCGAAGCTGACGACGATGCGGACGACACTCGGGAACAAGCTCAAGCAGGATGCCGTACGTACCCTACCACCTCTCACACACCCGCACGGTTACGAGTCGCCCTTGCATAGGAAGAACTCGACCGGCAGAATGAGCTTGTGCAGCAGCTGACTGCGCAGACCGAAGACCTCACCATGACGGTTGAAACACTAAAGTCCGAGCTCGTTGCTTCGAACGAGGAGGTGGAGCGTGCGTCGCGAGAACTCGAGGCGATGCGCAGTCGGGCACTGCAGGACAACGCGCAGGAGGCGTACATGCGCGAGCGCGAGCTGCGAGAGACGCAGACAGAGCTCGAGCAATGTCGGATGGAGCGAGACGAGTGGGAGCAGAAAGCGCTGCAGGAGCATGTATCTGCGGATGAGGCCCGGACTATGCTGGCGAATCTACGAAGAGAGCTTGAGGTCGAGCGTACGACACGAGAGATGTCAGCTGCAGAGCTGGCTGTTGAGCGGGAGAAGTGCGTCAACTTGCAGTCGGTGTTGGAGGATTTCCAGGCGGGTAAGCTGATCAGGCTCCCAGTGTGGCTGCTATTGAACCTGAACAGCGAAGGATCATGACTTGAAGCAAGCAACCAAGGAATATGAAGCCCAGATAGATCATATTACACAGTCACTAGCCGAATACAAGAGCCGTGCACTGAACGCCGAGCTCCAGCTGCAGGAGTCGTCGACGAGCAATTCGCGGACACAAGAGTTGGAGAGGGAGGTGAAGGAAAAGCAACTGCTCATTGGAAAGCTTCGGCATGAAGGTAGGCACAACGCCTATTGCGCTAGCCTACGTCTGATCATTGAGATAGGTGTGATCATGAACGAGCATCTCATGGAAGCCCTTCGTCGCCTGCGGCAGTCTTCAACGGACACGAATGTGGACAGGAGACTGGTCACGAACGTGCTGTCATCCTTCCTTAATACTCCTAGAGGCGACCCAAAACGCTTCGAGATGCTCTCGCTCCTTGCGACTATTCTCTCTTGGACAGATGACGAGCGGGAACGAGCAGGTCTTCAGCGCAAAGGCGGGCCAGCGCCTGCTATGTCCGCGGTGGCAGGGTTCTTCAGCCGCGGGTCGCCCACAAGAACGAGGAACCTCGAGCTCGAAAAGACCGACGAGACAGAGGTAGGTCTGATGACCCTTTGTCTGCTATCGTACTGACCGTTCGTTTTAGTCATTTTCTCGCTTATGGGTCGAATTTCTCCTCACTGAAGCAACCTCGGGCGAAGAGGCGCGCTCCAGTTCCTCATCACCCATGAAATCCCCGCGAAACAACTCCCTCCCGAACTCGCCCACACGTAGCACACACCGCCAGCCAAGCCTCCTCTCCCCGCCTGAGCTCAGAGGTACGAAACGTCTACCGTCGTTTACGAGCGCGGCGATGGCGAGTAGCCCGAACTTGGTGCTGCAGCCCCCTCCACAAGGCAAGGGGAAGGAGAGAGCGGATTCTTGATTTGCTTTGGAGTTTTCACTTGGACATATTTATTTCTAGTCTGTACAGTCTTCAAGTTATAGCCGGTAATTACATGTTCCAGGAGCATTGCAGGAAACACACAAGTACGCATTTCTAATCCATCAACCGTCTTACTGCACCGTTACAGGTCGTTCAGTGAGTTTCATGCCGTTGTAGAGTATGACATGCGCGTTCTCTTCTCGTGACGGTGACTGTACACGGCGGTGCTCGCAGAACTCTACAGTACGCCAGCCTCAAGCCAGGTTAACTTTGGGCATCGAACATGCGTTCGGAAGAGGTTCTCCACCGGCGAATAGACTTTGCTCTTACAGTTCAGAATCTGATTCGCGTAAGTACATACTCATTGCACATGCCCGCGTACTGAGCAGCGCCGGCATAATCAAAGCATAAAACACCGCTGACCTATTGATACGCTGATCAACGGAAGTAAGTAGCGCCGCGCATCTAGTAAGTAAGTATGTGGCTCCATCAACTTGAAGGCTTCATTGCAGAAGCCGGATGTGATTCGTCTACGCAAAACAAAATAATCAGTCCGGAAAATGGCATGTTATCCCCGACATGAGGTTGCATCAGGCATGAGGCGTCCAGGCCGCGACCTGGCCGGTATCGCTGAAGTACCTCTGTGATAGCCGCCTTCAATGCGTTGAGCTTCCCTTCCCTTCCGGAAGGCGTACGGTCAGCACGATACCCGTCTCTTATACTAGGACCTTCGCCCCCCCCACTTCACTTTCCTCCGGGAACGACACTTGTACGACTTACACGACGACTCTGCGACGTTCGATTTTGCTCAGGTTGTCCACAAACGTTGCTTCATAAAACCGAGGCTGGCATATCTCTCCGAGAATAGTGATGAAGCATGGTGCGAGGTGAGCATCGCCGATATTGACCAACTGCAGGGTTGTCACCAGACTACGTGTATCCCATAGGCATACCGCACTCTATCGAAGCCGCCGCTCTTCCGAACGCAGACCCGCACGTCGATGCAGGTCACTCGAAGCGGAAACAGACTCTTTTGAGTTTGCTGGATGCATTGCATGAATTAACGAAGGATGACGATTTGGCGTCGCGTGAGTGATGGTCGTTGACGCGGGAACAAGTGGAGAGCTTATAAGTGCGCTATAACAGCTGTTTTGAACAATGACCGACCTAACTTTGAGGACGACCGAGATGTCCGTAAGTTGTGCTCGTGGCCGACGTATGGCCACACAAGTAATGCGTCGTTGCTTTACAGCCACCGTGGATGAGCATATCCAGAAAGTGGGTGCGGATGCCTTCAGCAAATTCGAGAGGTACGACTTCGTACGTACCGGATCAGAGATGTGCGAACTGACCCATACATCTCATTCAGGCGCATGACCAACCTGGACCGTGAGGTACGCATGCCAGAGGTGATCGATACCTGTCGACATTGACACGTACTCGCAGCTACGCAACTTCGCCAACGCTGCCCGTCAACTAGGAAGCTCTGTCGGTATCCTGTCGTCATCCGTGCACTTGCGAGAGCGATTGGCGCAGCTTCTCTGGCTCTTCCGCGAAAATGCGGCCGACCTCTTCCCACGCAAAGTCAAACGACAGTCTCGCGAATCCCTCGTGGATACTGCCTTACAAGCTGCACTCAAGCGCAGACGCCATAAGGCACCGTCGCACGCTGTAAATCCGACCGTAGAGGACCTCGATCCGGAGGACTTCCCGGATCAGTTGCAGAGTCTGGCACACGATGTGATGACTTTCTTGGACTGTTTGAACGAGTTCCCGGAGTTCAACGATGAGGCCGTCAATGCGTCCATCCAGTCCCTCGAGTGTGATCTGAAGGTAGGTTTGCTGAGCGGCTGATGAAGGCGGATGCTCACCGTGCTCTAGTACTGGGCGTCTTGCTTGAAAACATATGAAGGTAATTGTGCCGCCTTATCGGAAGATTAGTGGCTCCCAGGTACTGACGTCTCATATCCGCAGGCCAATTTAGGTATCCAGCGGTACAGAGGTATCTGCATGATCTGACCTCGGAGATGGGCGAGCACTTAGACAACATCACCGCTGCATTGTCTGTCTTCATTGAGATCGGTAAATCCGTCAGCTGCCCCACAGCATCTTCAATTCGACTGACGCCGCTTCCCAGGTGTGCCGACAATCCGTTTTGCGCAGGAACATGCAAGTCAGAATCTGCTTAACCTGAGTACCGTCGCCACATTCTTCAGCGCAGTCACCGCAACGACCATGCAGTTTTCATTCAATATGACTGAAGGAGCTCTCGCTAAGGCAGTGAACTGCTTCTGGTTTATTTCGCTTGTGTTCAGTATACAGGCAGCTGTTAACAGTCTTCTCGGGTTGACTTGGAAGCAAGCTATGTAGTGCGTGATGTGCTTTCTCCTACCACTAGCGTTGTCTCACTCAGGTATAGTCGTTCGCCTGGCCACCGTGTTCCCTGGTGGGTCCTCATCTGGATCAAGCGGTCACCATTGGTCTTTCTTGTTGCATCTGTCGCTTGCTTCTCCATGGGTCTGGTGCTCTTCGGATATTCGTCTGGGCAGGTGCGTGCGGTGTAAACGTCGTTCACCCGTAGTCTCACCAAGTATGCAGGATCGCGTTACAACGACTCTCACGTCCGTCTTCTCGGCGCTCAGCTGCATCGGCCTCGCCGCCGTGTCCACCTGGTTCATCTCCGAGCGGATGATCTTCACGAAGCACAAGGGCCAAAAATGGCTCGCGGACGTGCTCTCCGAAACGAGGATACAGATATTCTCTACCCCGGGAATCAAGTGGATCATCTACGAGCCCCGTGCTCTTGCCTGGCGGATCGGCAGGCATACCAGGGAAGCCAGTCAATGGATAACGCGCCACTGCCGCATTGCGAGCGACAGCATCTCGCGCATGAGTGCGCGAACGTTGCGGCGCGTTGACACGATGTCGTCGTCCATGGAGAAGGACCAAGAAGACGGGACGGCGGAGACGTTGCCCTCTGCGCACAGCCCGGAACCGATCTCGCCGCTGCGTATGCGCCAGTCTAACTCCACCGGGCCCCTGCTCCCCATCGCGGAAGTGCGATCGTCGAATTTCGGGTCCTCGGACAATCTGGAAGCGGCTACGACGATGAGCAACGCGAGCACTGCGGTGTTGAATGCTCCGCCTCCCTCGGGGAAGGCGCGCTTCGTGAGCGCTGTACATTCGGTCATGATGCTGCGCCAGGCGGCCTCGCCGATGCCCTTCGGACTAAGCCTCCCGCCACGGACCCCGACGAGAGGACGAACGGGCTCGACTGACGGCCCGATGGTGCGGAGTATGTCCGCAGAGCCGAATGGCATGATGCGGGCGTCGCGGGTCGCTGCACTGGTGCCGAAGCTGAAGGCGCTGGAGACTACGCAGGACTTCGCTGCGCACCAAGCACTCGTACGACATCTGCAGTTTTCGCCGAATGGAAAGTTTTTGGCGACATCGAGGTAGATGTCCGCGATATCTTTAGGTGAAAGCTGAGCTAAACTCAGGTTGCACTGCTAGCTGGGACAGGACTTCCGTGATCTTCAAAGTTGGCGTGCGTGCTCTGATCGCGATGCGCGGTGTATTCACGAACTAATCAAGATGTGTAGGACCCTTTCGCGGCGCACCGTATTCTTGCTCAGCCTCAAGGATTCGTTGGCCAGGTCGCTTGGTAATATTCTGCGGGCCTTCAAGTGACATCGATTCTGATGATATCACATCAGGTCTCCTAATGGTACTATATTACTCACAAAGCTGAACCGCGGCGTGAAGGTGTGGAATGAGGTGAGTCAAGGCTCGTTGCATTTGTTGGATTTCTGGACGTACGGTTGATCCATCCTCCAGGATGGTGTATGCAAGAAGACCATTGATCGTCGGAAGAACGTCCAGTCAATAGCTTGGCTACCTGGTGGCGAAGGTAGGCGACTAAGACACTAACTGTCTTGTAGTTGGTGAACACCTTTTGTCACTACTCAGGTTTCCTATCGGTGGAAGGCAGTGATGTTGTCAAGCTGGTAAGTCTGCGGACCGCTCCGCTTTCGGGTCCGTACTAAAAGTGATGCAAAGGATCTCAATGGTCAAGTATGTGATATATCTGACTTCAAGCGAAACGATAACTGATGAACGTGCAGGTACTAGACACGTATCACTTCGACCGTATGGTGCTGCACGACGTGGCAGTTACTCAAGACTGCCAGCGTATGTTATGCGTAGGGACCCTCATGGCATCGCGCGATGGATTGCATCCCAGTAAGTCTCGGGCGGAAAAACAGATTATAGGTACGGATGTCCATTGCGATCGTCACGACTGGCATGGCCTAACCACGCGACACGTGTAGCCTTCAACCTGGATAAAAAGGACATCGAGAAGTAAGCCTCAGTGGGATTATCCGCTAGTCTGAGGCTGATACGACATTGCAGTCGAGTACCTGTTCTGCATGATGTACGTGATATCACTCTGGCTCGTGACGACCAAGTTGCCCTTGTCAGCTACGAAAACAAGGTATGCTTGGTAGCCCCCGCTTAGTCCTCTGATCCTAATGGGCTCTGTAGGCACCCCCACAACTCTGGAAACTGGACTTGGTCAAAGACACTGCTCGGTTATCTCTGCGACACACGTACATGCCCAAGGTAACTGTCGACTTCGCCGGGCCTAGTTACTTCGGTGGCAAGAATGACCAGCTGGTGCTTTGTGCTGGAAAAGGTCCGAAATTAGTTGAGCTCACTCGTAGTTCCTCGCTCACGTTGGTTGCAGCGGGAGATATACACATCTGGGATCGTGAATCGGCGGCCTTACTCCATCACGTCCGTGCACAAGCCTTGGGAGGCGACTTGACCTGCATAGCCTGGAACGCCGCTGTGGAGCCCTTCATGTTCGCCACGGGAAGCCACGACGGAGGCGTGCGCATCTGGACCACTCCGCCGAATTACCCCACCATCAGCGTCACGGAAAGCACCCCTGGAAGCTACGCGAACTCTACCAATGGGAACACCCCACGGACTGGCACGCCCTCGCTTTATGACATCGAGCAGCAGACGGGCAGCCCTGACGCCGAGCAACCAAGTTTCATACCGGAACAGTTCTTACAGGCCGCCGTTCAAAATGGAGCTACGAGCACAAGATTGGGGGAACGAAAAGCAGTGACGTTTGAATGACCACGACGAACCCACGCTGCATCTACACGACTCGAATCATAGAGCTGCAATGCATCCTTGTACTTATACATATGTATTATATCACGCCCTCCACGCATTTTACTACTCACGCTCCATGTTCGCATGCACTTGCTGTCCCAGGTTGCTTTCTTCTCTCACCACGCACCAGCGGCTTTGATATTCAAATTCGTCAAATTCGTTATGACATCCAATCGGAGATCGATCTGACTTGACCCGATTTTGACTTGACCATCCGCTCCATTTCTTGTCCATGTATCAGCACTGTGTTGTGACTGGGCGGCGCGACAGACTGTAATTGATCTCACCAGAGTGCAGCCACAGCACGTCTACTCAACAGGTATCTTCTTATCTGTTATAATGCTTCCAACTGACCGGTACTAAGTGTCGTTCCGCAGAAAACACGATACACACTCGACCATGACGGTACAAGCGATTGTATCCTCCAGTCCGAAGGTGCTGCGCATCGCCGTAGTTGGCGTCGGTCTTGTCGGCGGGGAGTTCATCAACCAGCTTCTCAAGTTCCCCACCCCAAACCCCTTCCGGATCGTCGCCCTCACCTCCTCCAAAACCACGCTCTACTCCCCGGATGGCCTGAGCATCACGGCGAATGACTGGAAGCAAAGCCTCGCACAGTCCGGCCTGAAACCCGATTTACCGTTCCTCGTGCGCGAGCTGTCGGCGCTCGTGAAGCCCGGCCAGGACGTCGTGCTCGTTGACAACACCTCGTCGAACGCGGTGGCTGCGCTCTATCCGCAGTTCTTGCGGTCGGGCGTGCACGTCATCACGCCGAACAAGAAGGCGTTTTCTGCGGAGCTGTCGCTCTATGAGAGCATCCTCGCGGCGAGCTTGGAGAGCGGCGCGAAGTTCTTCAACGAGGCGACTGTCGGTGCTGGCCTGCCGATCATCTCTACTCTGAAGGACCTCGTGGCTACTGGTGACCAGGTGGGATTGAACTTAGATTGACTTGACAGCACGGGTATCATGAATGTGATGCTTTATCAGGTTCTCAAGATCGAAGGCGTATTCTCTGGCACCATGAGTTACATCTTTAACGAATTCTCGACCGGCCATGAGAGCGGCCCAAGCTTCTCGTCAGTCGTCAAGATTGCGAGGGAGAAGGGCTACACGGTAGGTCTGGAAGATGTTGAACAAAATTTGCGGCTAGACTGAAAGCCTGTTCAAGGAACCTCACCCTGCAGACGACCTCAACGGCGCTGATGTCGCCCGGAAATTGACCATTCTCTCCCGATACATTCCATCCTTGCGATCCGCACTGCCCGAGGGATACCAGTCCGTCAGCACAAAATCCCTCGTTCCTGCGGAGCTGGAGAGCATCGACACAGGGGACGAGTTCATGCGCCGGCTGCCCGAGTTCGACAACCACTTCAACAAGATGCGCGCCGACGCAGCGAAGGAGAACAAGGTGCTCCGGTTCGCAGGCGTGATTGACGTCGCCTCGGGGACTATCAAGGCAGATCTCGAAAAGTGCGGTTACCCCCGGACTACAGTCTCCTCTTTTTCGCTGACGTCTTCGTGCAGGTACCCGGTCACGCATCCGTTTGCAACAGCTCTGGGAGGCTCCGACAACATCGTCATGTTCTACACGGCGCGGTATGGGGCGAGGCCCTTGGTTGTCCAGGGCGCTGGTGCAGGAGCAGCGGTTACTGCCATGGGTGTCATGGGCGATCTACTGAGACTGGTGTAGGAGATTTGGTAACTGGGGCCATCAAAAGAAAGACACGAGAATTTAACGTCAATAACCTCGCGACTTATTGACACACGCGCACGGCGAGCACGACATAAGACATACTAGGCGGCCACTACTCCTGAATCAGCTTTAGCCAGGTCTTTTGATCTCTCTCGTTTCAGACATTCGCCGAGGACCCTAGAGTGCACGGACCGCTCCTGAAAACAGCCCCATGCGTGGGACCCTCCTCGACGCTCTAGCAGCGACCCGCCAGTACTTATACGTGCTCGTGCTCCCTATATCCTCATTACGTTGGGTAACAGGGCCCACAGAAAGAAAAGCCGAAAATGAACACAGTATCATGAAGTCGATGCCGCAACTTGAAGTCGTTGCGGAGGAGTAAACCGGCTGCGACACGCGCGGGACGTTACCATTACAAACGTACTTTCCTGTTCTTTGGCTCGTCTCCTCCCGGTCCGAATCTTCGCACACCATGTGCTCGTCTGTCTGTGCGATGGCCATCGCGCTTCTGTGACGTTCTGTCTCCGAGTCTTCGCGCGTTCGTCTCTCGTCCTCGTCCCATTGAGTAGTATCTCACGCCCGTCTTACTGCAAGTTATCGTCTTTGTTGACGAACTCTTGACTGGCAGATGTCGTACGAACCCCGACTTCACTTCAATTCCATGACGACCGACTCTACCGGTGCGCTGGCGATGACCTGGAAGGCCGCGACGTGGACCGGCAGGGCGAGACGAGCGCCGTGGAGCTTGTAGTGCTGCACCTGTTCGCGAGCTGTCAAACTTGTACGTACCGAGACAAGGGTACGTTGTTCGAACTTTCAAGCTCATTCTCCATCTGCTCAATGCGCTCCTTTTCGGTGACGTGCATTCCTTTCCTGTCAAACGATCGCTCGTCTTTCAGCATCAATTCAACCATCATTTGACTTCACGCCTTCTTTGGAAGCTTCACCTGTTTTCGTTTTCGAACGTCGCTCTCCACCTATCTTTTTCTCTGTCAATTTCTGAGAGTTCTCTCTCGTAGTTCCAGAACTTCTCGCATGTACTTATAGCGGACCTGGTCGCCTGTCTAGATCTGTATCAAATCCCTCCCTCCTCGACTTTCGTGCTCGCTCGACGCTTGGACGCAGGACCAACGCAGGTCTCCGGGCGAGTTCAGTCTGGGCGCTTAGCCGCCAAGAAGTTGCGCACGGCGGCGTGCACCGACTTGAACTTCGTGTGATATCGTGTCATCGATAAACGGTAAGTAATGAGTTACAGCTGGTTCCGAGTCAGTGTTGCGAGACCCTTCCAGAAGAAGTGTGCACAGGCAGATGTGGTCGGGTCCTGGGGCCCTAACATGATATTCTTCGTAAAAAGCCCCGTTTATTATTCAGGTTACCGAATGATTCCGATCATCTGGCACCTAACATTGGATGGTAGCCAATCAGAAGCCATGCTCTTCAATGTTAGGGGCCACAACATACGGAACTTTCGATACCCTTGATAGCGTCAACGCACCTTCCTTCGCAATTCCTTTGCGGTAGTGTCGACCTGATTAATATTGCTCGACTAGAACGACAAGCCCGCCGCGGGGAAGGCAATTGCCGCAATCAAGATCCCATTCGCAGAATTTGAATTGAGGTTAATTGAGCGCAATTGGGAATCTTGGCAAACATATGTAAGCCAGGAAAGGCAGACATCAAATTGGACTGATTTCTGCTGCCGTTCGCGACCTCTGTTCCAGTCAAACTCCCAACTGGCAACAAATATCGCGACACCGCTTTTCGACATTGCATTTGATTCATCTCGAGGCTGCTTTAAAGCCACCATCCTCTCATCGTCCGAGAGATCACTCGTTTTCACCGCCTCTCGTCCATGGCGACCCTCGTCCGTACCCAGACCGCCCCGCCGGCCTCCTCCTCCGACACGACAGAAATCGACTCGCGTCAGCGATATTGGGACGATCTGCAGAGGAGCGTTCCGGCTCCATTTCCTACCCTTGCTGAGAGGGAGCAGGAGCAACTCCTGCAAGAACTTGCGTCCGAATCACTACAACTGGATCCTTGGCAACCTGCCGTGCCACAAAATGTGGCTCCACAAGACGACAGCCTTGCGACTAACACGCGGACACAAGAGATGATGCAGGTGACGGGCCCATCGGTACTGGGCGAGGTGCGACATGGCGAATTTCTCTCCGTGAGTTCAATGTTAACGTTTGGCGTGCAGCTACTGACGCGTTGCAGGAGGACGTAATGCCCTCCATTTTTCATGTACAGAACTCATGTATAACGACCCTCAACGATCTACTTTCCAACACACCCCAATGGCGACCCATTATACCAGACCGCCGACATTCTATGCCCCCGCGCTCGCCAGCATCGCCCGGCCTCAGCGCCCAGCCCTCGTCTTCTCTACACACCCTTGTCATGAACGTTCGTGCCTTGGACTCGGAGGGGCACAATGCACCCTCGTCCTCTACGGCGACCGACGACACTGCACTCACTCGCGAGCTGCAAGCACGCGTCAGCCGATTGACAGACTCGGACGTCTTCTCCCCGCGGGATGCTGTCCTTGTCCGTAGGCTCGCATCGTTGATTGGACATTTCCACCACCTCGCCGCGACGCAGCCATCAAGTACCACACCTACGTTGACGCGCGTTGCCTCTTGGGGGCACGGTGCGCCATCCAGCGCTCCTGCAGACCCAATCGCCGCTCTGGGTCGCGAATTAAGTGATCTGCGGCTTGCCAGAGATGCCAGCGCCTCGACATCGCGCGTGGTATCTCCCGTACAGCAGGTTGAGGACACACTATTATGGGCCCAAGTAGACGAAGAACTCGAAGAAGTGCTGTCACTATGTCGCTCGAGAACCGCTCTTCCACCGGGAGAGCAGCCACCCGACTACGAAGCTGCGTGGTACGATGTCGACATGGAAGGCGAAGGTCTTCCGCAGTACGAAGCAGGGGCGTCCGCATTACGGGAACCATTACAAAAGGCGGCGGGCACTTCCAAAGCCTCCCTCGCAGCCATGGATACGGCGAGCATCCTCGAGCGCGGGAGCTCCGCAGCGCTCAACGAGAAGATGCGCATGGACCTCGAGGCGGTCACCCTCGCAATCGACCGATTGTACCTCGTCGCGCCGCAGCTGCATGACCAGCGCGTGGAGCTGAAGAAGAGCAAGGTGGAGGAGATGGAAAAGGCGAGTCGCGGCGGGGCATCGGCGCGCAAGGGGAAGCAGCGCGCCAAGGAGCCTAGCGATGCACAGGAGCTTGAGAGAATGGTGGACCTTATCGGGAGGGCATCCGAGCGCAAGATCCCAAACCAGTCGGTCGTGCTGGAGGGCGGGTTGCAGATGAGGCTCGAGCGGGCGAGACAGCGAGATGTGGAGAAGGTGCGGCATGCACAGCAATACAGCGGCTCAACTAACGTGTCGTGCGGGCTAGCGAGACGCATTCGTCGAACACCTCCTCAAGCATGCTGATGAAGGCAGACTGCATTCACAAGATGCCGTGCTGACACCGCCCGGGAGCACACCGAGGATGAAGGGTAAAGATCCTGAAGCACTCCTGTCACTGCCCGAGTTCATGCGCGAGGCTATCCCTGAGCCTGTCCAACTAAAGATGCAGATGGAGAACCCGACTGCGCTGCTTACCCTACCTGAGTTTGTCAAGGAGCCGATACCGAACGGGTTGGACCCCTCACCACCGCCTGCACCTCCGAGGCGAAAGAACTCGCTGAGCAAGAGTGTGCGGAGTAGGAGTATGTCTGCACCACCACTGGCGTGGCTGCTGTCTTCGTCGAGGTCGTCATCGCCTACGACCACCTCGCCCACAGAGTCGAAGAAGTCGAGAGCGTCCAGGATGCGGAGGGTCGGGTCCTCGGTTGCGATCGTGCCTGCGTTGCAGGGTGAGTGCTTTGCCACCATTGACTCTTGACAGTGTTTAAATGAGAGGTTCGTAGAAAATCTCCAAGTCACGTACGTCGCGGAGTACCACGAGAGCCTGCAGCATGTGCTGGTTTTTTTGAGCGTAGCGGGTCTCACTCCTGGCGTGAACCTGGAAGCAGAGGTCGTGCCTGCAGCCCAAGTCCCAGGGAAGGCGGGCGAGGGGTACGAGTATCTCCTGCTCAAATGCGGGCTTAGCACGTCACCGTTCCTCCGGCTTCCCGCACGGGTCGCTCCGGGCAAGAAGGACGTGCAACCCGCAGGTCAGCACTTCCAGGTCAAACTCTCCGTTTCGAGCGGACCTACGAATGGTGCCTCGACGTCCGTGCACAGCGCGCTGATGGATGCATCGCGCCTCTCCACAATGCGCCCGACGGGTTACGTCTGCGCGTCGTGCTCGCTCCCGCTCGTGCACGCATCCCAGGTGCAGGATTATCGCGACCTGCCCTCTGAGCACTGGGCGGAGCTCGTGGACGCGTGGATGTGCCATTCGGACCAAAAGCTCCATGAGCAAGTCACGAAGCACTCGACAGAGGGCTTCTGGCCGACTGAGGGACATGCGCTGGTCGGCGGAAGCTATATCCTGTTTGAGCAATCGGCGATGTATTCGCATAACCTATATTCTGTCGATCCCGTGGACGACACTAAGGTGAGTTTCTGCGCTTCTCAATATCCTGTGGCATCAGTTGGTTGGTGGAAGGACAGAAAGAAGGTCGACGTTGGGTCATCTACCAACGGTTGTCGTGCTCACGCGCTGATTGGCATGTCGTGCGCCAGTCGAAGCCCTTGCAGGTTTTGGCTGCGTCTCGGGGTATCTGGTCGGTGCGCGGGTCGGTGACAGGACACAGTCCTTTGGCTGATACAAAACGTCCGAGATGGACGGCGCGTTGCGCCGGTCGCTTGCTTAACAACTCTCGTGTTACTGAGGTCTACGTCTCGGGAGCTACATGCGAGAGCATATTTTCATTGATCTTGATCCTTTTGTCGCTGTTCTTTTTCCTGTTACCATCTTTAAACCTTGGAGCATTCTGTCTTCCCTCTTTTTTCTTTTTTTCTTAATTGCTGAAGAAAATCTCCTCACAGCATGGTGATGATTGGGTGCGGGTACGCTGCATATGCGGATCTCTCGTTGGACGTCGCAGGGAGCACCAACCTGTTGGTGGGGCGCCCTACATGGCATATAGGCTAGCCAAGTACGCTATCCGGCCACTCAGCCCATCGCAAGAGTAAGCTCACAAGATTTCGCTCACCAATATCCCCTAATATACATCTGTTCCAGACCTCTTAGGATACCACTGTCAGCATTTGTCGCAGAGGACATGAACGAGTTCGTACATGCCCACGCGACGTATCGATTCGTCATCCTTGACGAGGAAGAGGAGCGGCCGCGATTGCTGGTCTGGCTCTTCAAGCCGAGCATGCGCATGGCGTATGCGACACCCACGGAGTACGTCATGCCCAAGAACGCAACGATCCATGCAGCGAAGGTCCTTTTCAACATCCTTAGGCCGTCTGCGGTGTACTCCGATCTACAATCGTACGTCGTCTCCCGAAGCTATTGCTTATTACGTGGCGTGCCGACATTAACGGTGCATCGTGTAGTGTTTTGAATAAGTACCCGGGCTTCCCGCAGGCGGAGCACCTGTACTATCCGCGCGATATCTGCAGGCGGCTCGCGGGCGTGCTCAAGGAAAGCAACACAGCGTACCCAGAAGGCATGCGCACCATGACCGGCCTGGATGTCGGTTGGTTGCAGCGTGCATAGACGCGATACCCTCCACTTTGCTCTTGTATCCTGCACTCCGCGTAACAGAGGTTAGCCGTAGATGTGTGGACTGATTTGTTGTGATTCATGTCGGAGTTGTACTAGACCCTGGGAACGGCTAGACATTTCTCTGTCCGTCTGTACTGCATCTCCTTCATGTAGCGCCGCGTGGAGTATTGATTCAAGACTACTGGATGCATCCAAGTATCTCTTTAATGTGTTGGTGACCAGTTTGACTTTGGACACATAGACTCAGTCGACGCCATCACTTCAGCTTATGTATACCACGGCTTATATACCCCACCGCCCTCGTCTACGAGGCGACAACCGTATCATGCAACTAGGATGCGTCGAGTAGAACCACGAATAGAAAGAATAAGATAGGATGCAATACAATACAAGTGATACAACAGGAGGAACCCGAGACGTCTAAACCTCCTGGCTGTCCTTCTTGCCTTTCTGTGTCTTCGTAGGCAAGAGCTGTCGACAACGCATTAGCAATGTTTCCCAAACTTGACTGAAGACAATCTACCTCAGGGTTGATGTGTGGTACAACACCACCTTGCGAGATGATCACGTCACCAAGGAGCTTGTGCAGCCTGACACAGCTTGTCAGAGAAAAGTGAAAACTGGTGAGGTTCAAGTACTCACTCCTCGTCATTCCGGATAGCAAGTTGAAGGTGTCGAGGGATGATACGCTGCTTCTTGTTGTCCCGAGCCGCGTTTCCCGCAAGTTCGAGGATCTCGGCTGCAAGGTACTCGAGAACGGCGGCGAGGTATACTGAGAATCAAGTCAGCTATAAGATGCAATCCAGCAAAGTCAAGGCAGTTTACCAGGTGCGCCAGCTCCCACACGCTGTGCGTAGTTGCCCCGCTTAAGGAGACGATGCACACGACCGACGGGGAACTGAAGACCGGCCTTCGCAGAGCGCGACTGAGTCTTGCCAGTGGATTCGCCGGCGGCCTTGCCGGACTTGGACTTTCCGCTCGTCTTGCCAGACATTGTAAAAAGTAGTAAAGTTGGTTGATGGGAGAGTTTGGGGCTGAGTGGGCGCGAGCTTGAGGGTGGCGAGTTGCAGTGTTAGGGCGAGGCTGAACGGGGGGCGCCTGTATTTATACTCGGAGGCGCCTGCAGCCACAGACGCGGTGCGCGCCTGCACGTGATGGCTGTTGAACGCCGTTCAACAAAATAAGGTTCAGCGCGTCGACGCGTCTGACCAAACAAGGCCAACGCGTCCGTATAAATACCGCGCGCCGTCCTCCGCTCAGCATCCATATCTCTCGCTCTCACCACCACTCGCCCTCGCCACACCTCAACCGCCCTCATCACCTACACCTCTATCGCAATGGCCCCCAAGCCCGCTTCCACTGCCGGCAAGGCTCCTGCCTCCACCGCCTCCAAGGCGCCCGCTAAGCCCTCTGAGGGCGTGAAGTCGGCGAAGAAGAGCACCAAGCCTGCTGCCTCTGGTGATGACACCAAGAAGAAGCGGAGAAAGACCCGCAAGGAGACGTACTCCTCCTACATCTACAAGGGTGAGTTGCATAGATCGCGACTTACTAGTGGCTCTTGTTGACAACGATCCAGTCCTCAAGCAGGTCCACCCTGATACGGGTATCTCCAACAAGGCGATGGCCATTCTTAACTCCTTCGTCAACGATATCTTCGAGCGCATTGCTACTGAGGCTTCGAGTAAGTCTACTGTAAACATCAGTCGAGGAGATTGCCTGACTTGGTTGTCGTAGAGCTCGCATCCTACTCCAAGAAGTCGACAATCTCATCGCGTGAGATCCAGACTTCTGTCCGCCTTATCCTCCCTGGTGAACTCGCCAAGCACGCTATCTCTGAGGGCACGAAGTCGGTAACGAAAGTGAGTTTATCTGACCCTATCAACCGAGTTTCGCTGACCAATCGACTTGCAGTTCTCGAGCGCAGGGGCGAAGTAGACCGTCTCGTCTTTCGGGTTGTTGTTGTATTGTAGTATTGTACTTTCTATTTATCCCTACTTCTATCGCATCGTGTCTTAGACTCGCACCATATATTGAGTGATAAATGGCAACTAAGATTCTAAGGATCCCGTGGAAGCCAAGTGGGGTTGTGGGCATGGAGGGATATCGGTGAGCCGGTTTCTAGTACAGGAGATCTTGACAACTTCGCAGCATGGCTGATAGCAGTCATCTTCTCAGGCTCTTTGCCCTCATCATGATCACCTGCAACCCGAACACAGGATATTGCGAGTGATTGCAGTTCGTCTGGCCAAGGGAGGCGTGGCGAAGGTAGAGGTCGGCCTTCACCCAAGCCTACTGCCGAATCTAGGCGACCCAGAGAACGAATCCACTTCCCGACGGCAGCCAGGGAGACGCGAACCTCCCAGGAGCCTCCTTCCTGTGTAAGACAAACGCATCAGCTGAGGTGCCAATGTGCAGTACGTCTAGGACATACAGTGATGGTCTTGCAAAGGGCCGCGTTGATTCCGAAGGCGAGGAGATAACCAGCGGCGTGGTCGAGGGCTTGCATCGGTAGAGAGCGAGGCGTGGGTCTTGCGTCATCGCCAGAGAACGTGGCGTATGCCTCTCCTTCAGCGACGTTGAACCCGGAGGCAGTCTGCACCAGTGAGTCGAACTGTGTGCCACCCCGGTGCAACTATGTCAGTATCATCTGGCGTTGCATAGACTCGTGCGCATGCACTCACACCGCGGCGGTCCTTCCACGGGCCCTCCCACCCGTAAGCAGTCAAGCTTGCATACACGATCCCGGGCCGTGCTCCCGCGACATCCTCTGGTCCGAAGCCCTTGTCGCATAGGCCGCCTGGGCGGTACGCTTGCAGGAAGACGTCTGCGTCCTTGACAAGATTACTGAGCACCTCGCGATCGGCGGCGGCGGTGAGGTCGAGCTGGGTCGCGCGCTTTCCGCGGGAGGTATCCGTGTCGAGGAACGGTAGCGCAGGGAGCTTCGGAGAGCTGACGAGAAGAACGTCTGCCCCGTGCGCTACGACAAACCATAGTCAGCACGTAGTGCTAATACTCACTCAGGGGTACGCAACCCACCAGCGAGCGTCCTTCCGCACACAGGTCCCGCAAGCACCCTCGTGAAGTCCAACACGCGTATTCCCTCAAGTGGGCGCGTATACCCACCCTTGACCTCCCTTCTCGGTGCGTCGCCGATCCTGATGAGCTGCACGGGCGGTGTGTTTGCGAGCGCCTGGCCCTGTGGGTGCGCGTCCCATTCGTCGAAAGAGCGCAGCGCGGTGGCGACCATCTTCCGTGAGGACGCCTCTGTCTCGAAGTCGACGGCATTCCAGTGGAGCAGCGCCGCGGCGACGGCTTCGCGGGTGGGGGCGCATTGGAGGATGTCGAGGATGCCTTGGCGGTGGCTAACGTAGAGTCATAGTGGGCGCTCTTCTCAATGACGGGTTGAAGGAGGGAATCGTGCTCACTGAGGGAAGTTGGTGTGCAGCCGGACGTAGCTATCGTCTTTGGTCTTGTAGAGACCGGCGAGGGGATCGAAGAGCGTACCGGACGGCAGCGCGCCGTTGATCGTGTACCAGGACTCGCTCTCTACGGCGTGTTCAGCACTCACCGATGCGAAGGAAGGTTCAGCGCCACTGACTGAACTCTAGGACCGCGTGTCGAGCATCGACCGATACTTCCTGCTCGATGCCCGTCCGGAGCTGATGGAACTGGGCCGCTGCGAGTCCGGACAGGCCTGTGACCGTCTATCGTTGACAGCCGCATGGTCAGATCGCGGATTATCGCAGCGAGTCTGGCAAGTACGCAGTCATACCTGTGCAGCAGTACCAAGCCTGTAGGATGAATTGACTGCGGGGTCTGCGTCCGGGCTCAGCTTCAGAGAAGATAGTGCTTGCGGGGGCAGGCCGTTTGCTTCCCAGATCAACCGCGCAGGGGCGAGGGGATCGTCCATCTTCGAAGTCGAATGCAGTTTACGGGTATGGATGTGTATACGTGCGTTCGCTGCTGCTGTTAGTGCCGGATGAATACATCGCTAGGTCAGCAGTCGCCAGTATCGAAGCCCGACGCCAGACCGACCAAGACCAGCGTCTGCTTACGGTCGGACGAGACATCCTACGCACTGAAGCTTCCTAGGTCAGATGGCGAGTCAAGAAAGCCTCGATGGCGCAAGACGACTCGTGAGATGCGAGTTCTGAACATGAGAAGACCAGCTGGAGGGAGGCCACTTCAAGTTTTGGAATCGGGACACGGTAACGTGACCGCGCAACTACAGAATCGCAGGCGACTGTCGACAGTCGTGAGACAGTAAGCCAGCGAAATTTTTGGGTCAGTTTTCGGGCAGCCGCAGCGAGAACAACAATTCCAGCACTGTCAAAGAAGCGGGTGTGTAAGGATATAAGGCCATTCCGCAGATAAGTCAGAGCTTGAGTTGGGTAGCTTGAACGTCAGGCGCGGAGCATCGCCCTCCCTGGCCTCCGACTCATGGGCTGAGCGAACGTTACCGCGTACATATCGAACATCCGAGTCATATGATCAGAGAATATGTACACTGATAGAAATACGACATTGGGTTAAGCACCGGACTGGGGCTAACCGTCCGTTGAGGATTACATACTGTACATGCGGTTGATATGCCACCGAGACACCAGATAGTTGCTGCAGCTACGCTTCGAGCGGAAGAATGCTCGGGATCGGCCCAACGGGCACGACCTGCGTCGGGTTGTACTGCGGACGAATGCAACTCAGTAAGATCGCGCGTAGATCATGCCTGATCATACGCACAGCTTTCTGCCAGTGGTACCCCGTCTTGATATGGTCGAAGTTGCACGTCTCTCTGAATGCGGGGATGTTCCAGTACAGCTTGCGCAGCCAGAGGTGGATCGCCGGATATCCGTGGCGGATGGTCCGGAAGTTGCACTTGAAGTGGCTATAGTATGCGACGTCAAAGCGAATCTGCGCAGAGAAGCGTTGAGTATTGAACGATCCTCGCTAAGCGAAGAACACGACGAACGATGGTGACGAAGAGCCGAATGTCAGCCTCTGTTAGCTGACCGCCGACGAGGTAGTCCTTGCCCTCGAGCAGCTTCTCGAGCCGATCGAGCGAATCAAAGAGCGGGTAGACCGCTTTCTCGTATGCTGACTGCACTGCTGCAAAGCCGGCCTTGTATACACCATCTACATATACATCAGTTGACGCTCCAAAAGCTCAAGAGGGTAAGGAATTACGCACTGTTCACGGTATCATACACCCAAGCATTCAGCTCGTCGATCTCTTTCCTCAGGTGCTCCGGGTAGAAGTCAAGCTTCGCCTTCTCCTCGGGTAAGAATTGGTTGAACGCGCTGTTGAACATCCGGATGATCTCAGAGCTCTCGTTGTTCACGATAGTGTGCGTCTTCTTGTCCCAGAGGACGGGCACCGTGAAGCGGCCCTCGAAGTCCGGGGCCGCACGGAGGTAGACGTCCCTCATGTACTCGGCGTTATGGAGAGGATCGACATCGACGCCGGGGAACGGGTCGATGTTCGCGAAGGGCCAGCCGTTCTCGCTCATGCGAGGCGAGACCATTGTAACCGGGATTATTTCCTCGAGGCCCTTGAGCTTGCGCATGATCAGGGTGCGCGTTGCCCATGCTGCCAGTGGTAAGTCATCGAGGTCAGTGATGCTTCGAGAAGTCAGTAGAAACGGAGACTCACGGCAGCCGTACGAGGCATAGAGATGGTATCGACCTGCTTAGAACTTTCAGATAACAGAAGGATGAGTTTGACGAGAGAGACTACGCACCTTTCTCCGGCGCAAACTGCCCGCTTTGCTCAACCCAGTTTCTGAACTGGGAAACTGGGCGTTTGAAGGAGCCATCCGCGCTCGCATTCATCGAGGTGAGGTGCTTGAGTTGCGTTAGATTTTTCGTGGACATGGTTGCTGTGAATACTGTTGAGGTCAGGGTGTTTGACGGCTGAGTCACGACACGAGTGGTTTGCTCGATAGTTGTTGATCGACTATGAGTCGGGAAGCTGGGAGGTGGAGGAACGAACTCAGCTTCAGAGCGTTATATATACCAGCTGCATCCACATCAAACCCTACACTAGTAAGGGTCGCTGTATGAGGTCAGAAGGTCGGTACAGGATTACAAAGTCAACGCGTCAAAGTGTTCTGAGGGCGCCATTCAGAGGGCGGATTTCGAACAGTTGACTAAAGGGTGATGACTGGAGCATCACCAGGAGCAGAATTGCCAGGGCGAGAAGAGACCACTGACGCCGTCACCTTTGTATGGTAGCCTCAACCCTCAACGGGGTCAAATTGTGGCCTTCGTGCTGATCAACCTGTGAGCAAGTTCGTACATGACTGTGCACGATAGGGTGAGGGCTGACGCCTTGACTAATCACTTTCCGAACCCTTGAAGGGAGTCAAAAGTATCCCGGCGCGAGTATTTGTTAGTGGAGCAGCAGAGGAGGACTTTTAAGAATGTGCTGTACTGTGTTGCGACTGTCGTAAGTAGGCAAGATGGTCAACGTTTCAATGAAAGTTTCAACGTCCATTGAACGCGGCCTGACACTGCGATGGTGCACTCGACAGGTGATCTGGATCGATTCGGTCGCGCGAGGTGAGCTGTGACGGTGATGTTGGCTGTCCACGTGGCGTTACTGCATGCGTGCAGACGCGGTGTGCCTGTTCCTCCTGCTCTTCCCCACTCGACTCCTACAGACCCTGTGCCTACAGGCGACCTACGCACCACCTCTGATACCCCTTTGTCGTCTGCGCACGTCTCTCTCGACCTGCCTCGCAATTGGAACGGAACTATATCAGCTACACGTCGATCCGATACATCCTGTCCCCGACAGCTCTCCCGCACGGCCACATCTGCGAATACGCGTCCGGTATGGCTCCACGGAACCGAAAAGCGGAGAACGGCGAGTCGTCGTTGTCTGCAGGGGCAAGGTCGAAGGCAGCAGCCACACCAGAACCAAGCGTGGACGGCAACCTCGCCAGCGCACTGCTGCCATCGACGGAGGTGCGCGATGTGGTGAAGGTCAACAACGCGAGCGTGACAGAGATGAAGCATGCATGTGATGACGCGCTAAAAAGAGTGAGTTTCAACCTTTCTCCTGAGGCTCCGAGCCTGTAGTCGATAATCCTTCGCGCGTTGTGGGTCTGGTCGCGTGCGGGAAGATATCTGAACTTTGTCTCTGCGTAGTTCCTCTCACGACCCGAACTCTTCAATCAAATTTACACACATACGGACGTACGGCTAGGCCTCGGCTGGGCAAGTGTGTTCGTTGCGCTCGGGACAGGCCTGTACAGCTGGAAGGTCGACTTCGAAAAAAGCAAACCTGCAGTATGGGCAGGTGTAATCCTGTGCGTCATTTTCGTAATCTCATGCGTCTATCACACTGATATGAGCAATCTTCTCCGCGCATCGTATGCAGATATGTCCTCTTAACAACTATCCAAACACTGTATGCATACTTCATCGAGGGCGATATCGTCTTCGTCGGAAAGCGCAAGACATTTGACAAGCGCGTGCGTGCCTCATCCACTGATCTCTCATGCACGACACGCTGAAGCCGCCCTTACAGATTGTCACAGAGCGGATAACGCTCACATCCACCTCCACACCCTCCAAACCCACTTCTCCTCCCGCATACTCCCTCGGCCTCACCTACATGCGTTCGACGTCCGGCGGCAAGTCGCTGCTCGGCCGGGGGCGCGCGAAGGGCGACCGGGGGTATAACACATTCTTCGACGAGAAGGGCGTCATGGACCAGGAGGGCTTCGAGCGATGGGTCGGCGAGATGGTCGGGCGGGTGATGGAAGGCAAGAACGAATGATTCTATCTGGGTAACGCGCATGTGTGGGCATCTCGAGCGTATCGGCATGCGGATGGGTGTACTTATGTGTATGGGCTGCGAGCCTGGGATATTGGCACGGTAGGTACTATGTTATGTAAAGGAGCCTCTTCACGTCCTCTAGAGCCGGAATGGCTCCCTGACCGAAGTCACAGTCGTGTGCCTTAGGTGAGTGTGTCGTGTTGGGAAGTGTGCTGACCGATCTACTTATAGTTCGCGCTATGCTTGGAAAACGTACATCCCAATCTTCGACGAGGACATGCTCTCGACGGTATGCGACAGTGGGACTACTCGGCTAGCGTGCTAATCTAACTGCTCTTGGGAACAATGACATCCTGCGACGGCGGTGATACAACTAACCCATCACCCGCCACGCCGAAATGCAGTTCGTCGGCGGTCAAGTCATTGCTTCTGTCGTCTATACGAGCGTGTCATCGCTGTTGTGACATAACCAAAGGGTTGGCGAGCACTTACGCACGTCGCCCGGCGTCATTCCACCTGATCCAAACTGTATGTTTCCCGTCGACCTACGAAATAGCTTGTGGTCAGGTCTGGCATCACCGACAGCGTGTCTTCTCGGATGAGACATACCAAGGATCAAATTGGCGTTGAACAACGGTGCAACCGCTTCGAAGACAATCTTTGTGAGTGTACAGCACATCTTTGAGCATCGCTTTGTCTTACCCATTCGGTATGGGTATGGGAGCAGCAAAAATCTGGCTTGAACCTGCAAATGCGCAGGCGACAACGGCAAACAACGATATAAACAACATTGCGATGTCAAAGATGCGTGAATCGAAATGAAGGCGAAGGAAGGGCTGTATAATGAAAACGCTGTATTGTGTGGTCCGCCGTCAACGACAACTCCGAAGAACGCATGCGCAAAGACCACTCACTGCTCTACACCAGAATGAAATGTGGGCGACCGCTCAGCGGAATAGGATGCACTGACCTCGCTTGCCAGCGCATTAAATAGACTGGGCTTGTGGCTGGGACGACATTGCTGCAGCGGTGGTGTTGCTGTCCATTCGACACCTGTTCAACAGCCATTGTATCAAGGTATTGTTCGTCAGTTAAACAGTGCACACTCTTGTCAGTGGGCGGCGTTGATTCCTCCGAGGTCTGTGCAGGAGTACATATCAATCACGCGTGGCAGTACGATGTATTTGAAGGTCCAAGCCAGGATGCGTACCTATTCTGGATTGACGCAAGATCGGGTCTTCGTTCTACAGATTACAAGGTGTGTATTGTGTGTTATGATAGTTCAATGTTTGTTTAATCTTTCAACGTTCAATGGCGGCATAAGACCATGAGCGCTCATCTTGAGGTGTCATATATCATCGGTACGTACGGGTCCCTCGGGCATCACGTATGTACTAAGCTGACATATTCGTGCCTCCCAAGATGCATATTGGTTAAGTACGATGGAGGTACAACGCGAGCCGTGCACATCCATCCTTGCAAGCCCGTCATCCATGCTGCGATAATGACCATCAAGGCTCCATACCATGAGTGATGTGTCGTCCCGTAGGTTCCTTCTATTGACTCGTTGCCGTGTTGATCAAACTACACTTAGCTTGTATGACACTTGGAAGACGGACATCCCAAAGTTCGACGACTTTCTACGCTATCGATGTTTTACGGGAGTCTGCGACTACTGGGCTGGCGTGCGAGTCTGACTGCTCTTGGGAACCATGACATCCTGTGATGGCGGTGATACAACTAACCCATCCGCCATGCCATACCGTAGATCGGCGGTCTTGTGTCGACTATGAGAGCGTGTCATTGCCGATGTGACATGACTCAAGGATATGAGAATACTTACCCTCGTGGCCCACTGCCATTCCACCTGTTCCGAACTGTAGGTTTCCCGTCGACCTATGAAAGTAGCTTGTGGTCAGGTCTGGCAGCACCGGCAGCGCCTCTTCTCGAAGGAGACATACCAAGGATCAAATTGGCGTTTCACAACGGTGCAACCCCTTCGAAACCACTTTTTGTGAGTGTACAGCACATCTTTGAGCATCGCTTTGTCTCACCCGTCCGGTGTGGGTATGGGAGCAGCAAGAATCAGGCTTGAACCTGCAAACGCGCAAGTGACAGCGGCAAACAACAATGTGAACAACATTGCGACGTCAAAATGCGTGAATCGAAACGAAGGCGAAGGGACAGCTGTATGATGGGAAGGCTGCATTGTTCGGCTCGAGGTCAGCGAAAGAATGAGTGCGTAAGGTCTACTCACTGCTCTACACCAGAAATTGAAAGTGGGCGACCGCTCAGCGGAATAGGGACAACGTCCTTGCTTGTCCGGTATATAAGCGGTACAAGCTTGTGGCTGTGATCGCGTTGCAGTGACGGTGTGGCAATCCCGACTGTCCCGGCGACACCTGCTCAACAACCATTGCTCAATCGCCTTTGTGGCAAAGTATTGTTCGTCTGAACGGTGTACTCTTACCAGTGGGTGGCGCTGATTCCTCCGAGGATTCCGCAGGGTTTTACCTCAAATAGGCGTCATAGTACGATGCATTTGAGAGCTGGGCCAGGATGCCGTACATATCATGGGGTGGCGCAAGACCGGGTCGTCGCTCAAGGTGGGAGCTGACAGGCCAACGTTCAAACGCCCAATGGCAGTACAAGACGGTGGGCGCTGACCTGTGTCTCTGGGTGTGATATATGAGACTCATTGCTGTTGGGCTGTTGCGCAGACGCATACAGCGAATGGCTGAACATCGTGATACATAGAAGCAGGCCCGCGGACCGTATGCGCACATCAAGCTGACATCTTCAACCCTGGTGGGATACATTGGTAGGAGGCACGCACAGATTGAGCTGTGTACATTTGACAGCTCCGTCATCCATGCTGCGATCATGGAGGTCAGCGTCCGAATTGGGGCAATATCGCGCATTGCCCTGCAGTCTCTGCGACAAGCCTGTGATACGTCGATTATACCGAGCGAATAGTGCCATGGATAATGCGTCGTCCCGTATGTTCGTTCTACTGCCTCATTGCCGTACTGATCGAATTGCATCTGGAAGACGGACATCCCAAAGTTCGACGATGTTCTATGCTCTCGATAGTCTAGGACGACTGGGCTAGCGTACTAATCCGGTTACTCTTGGGAACCATGACATCCTGCGGTGGCTGTAACTGAACCAATCCATCACCCGCCACGCCAAACTGCGGGTCAATGGTAGTCGAGTTTTTGCGTGGGCCCCCATCTACGCGATAATGTCATGGCTCACTCGACAACAACGAACGTAGAGCGGACACTCACCAGAATCGCTGATTGTAATTCCAAATGTTCCGAATCCCAGTCCGGAAAACGGGTTGCCCGTCGTCTTATGAAGGCTACTTACATTCGGTCGGTTACGGCAGCACCGGCAGCGTGTTTGTGGACTTACCTCGGAATGCTCCTGCGTTGTCCGGCAAAAGCAGTTCTTCAAAGGCAATCGGTGTGAGTACACAACGCACTTCCGAGCACCGCTTCGTATGACTTACCCGAGCGCGTGAGGTGTGGGTATTGGAGCGGCGACCGTCAGGTCTGAGCCCGCAAACGTGCAGGCGACAATGGCGAATAACAATGACTTGAACAACATGACGGCGTCGAATATGTATGTGAGTCGAAACGAATGCGAAGGAAGGGCTGTATATACTGAAGGCTGTGATATTTGGCTCATTAGGAATGGTCAAGAAGATCGCATGCAAGGTGCACTCACTGCTCTACACCAGAAACAAAAGGTAAGTGGCCGCTCGGCGGGGTGGGGAAAGTCCCCCGCTTGCTTGCTTGTATATATACGTGCTGAGGGCTTCTTGATAGGATCCCGGTGTGAAGAATGGGTGGCCTCGTCGTCGACATCTGCCCAAACATCTGTTGTGGCGGTTGGCTGTTCGTCAGTCCAGGGTATCCAGGTTCTTGAGCGATGCCGACTATCCGTCCCCGGACTTCGCCCCAGCTGCGTGGCAGGAGGACGCATTTCAAAGTTCAAGCCAAGATGCACATCCCGGATGGACGCGGACGACTCGGAACCGCCGGGTGGCATTCTACAGATGACCAGGTGGCAGCCGTTGTGCCGCATAACAGTTCGTTGGTGGCACGGTGGCCCTAACAGCGGGCGCTAAGCTTGTCTGTCGTCGACATCGTCGGACTTACTGCTGTTATGCGTAAGTCACAAAGATCAGATGGTTATCGAGCTGCGAATTGACAATTTCAACCTGGAGAGAGGCTGTGCGAGCAGCCGTGGATATGGTGTTGTCTCATCGTCCATGTCAATAACCATTATGGCGACGTGCCGTTGATCAGCGCAAGAACCCATGTTTCTTGGGTTGTGTATGTTCACCCTTGCGCCCCTGTTGTTCACGACCGCCAACAAAGCTCTGGGTCATTTTTTGAATTGGGGCAATGCCGCGCAGTACACAAGTAACGTTTCGTCCCGGATGCTCATTCTACATACGTGTCGGGCGAGGTGAACGGAGTGTGAGTATTGTACATCTTTGGCTTCCCCCTCTCTTTTGCGACTGACATATCTCTTTACGCCGTACTTAGCAGCATCACTGTGGGAAGTACTCCGGGAGGATATAGCGCAACTTGGCAACGTCTTCCGCCCGTTGGCCCTCTGAGCGCGGCATGATGGAGTATTGCATGGACCCCTTCTCCGCGCTCAGAATGTCGCCCTTTACAGCAGCAGCCGTCAAGCCCTCGAGCACGGCAGCGGCCACGTGCCGTGCTGTCTCGGCGTTGGCCTGGAGCGTCTTGAAGACCTCGACCACGGTGACCGACTCCTCATGCGGACGCCACGCATCGTAGTCGGTCGCGGTGGCGATGAGAGCGTAGCTAATGCGCATATAGTGAGTGGAAGAGCACTCAGAGATCTTGTTGTTACTGACCTGATCTCCGCCTCGCGTGCAAGCTTGGCCTCCGGAAGCACGCTCATGTTGATCAGGTCTCCGCCCCACTGCCTGTACATCAGGCTCTCTGCACGCGTGGAGAACTGCGGCCCCTCCATGCAGACGATACACTTGTCCGTGACGAGCTTGACGCCGCGCGGGTCGCTCTCGAGGGTCTTGCCCACCTCGCCTTCCAGCCAGCGGACGAGCTTCATGCTGAACGGGTCGCCGAACGAGGCGTGCGCCACGACGGACCCGTCGAAGAACGTCGACGGGCGGATGCCCTTGGTGCGGTCGATGATCTGCGTCGGGAGGCAGAACGTCCCGGGAGGTATCTCCTCGCGGAGAGATCCCACGGCGCTGAACGCGAGGATGGCTTTGACACCGAGGGTTTTGAGGGCGGCGATGTTTGCGCGCGAGGGGACGGCGGAGGGGGAGATGGTATGGCCGGGACCGTGCCGCGCGAGGAAGGCGACCCTCGTACCGGACGGGAGAGAACATATCGTGATCGGCGAGGATGGTGAGCCCCAAGGCTGTGTTGTCCTGGGCGTGAGCGAGTGAGGACGGACAATAAAGAGGACTCACTGTCTCTGGGTTGACTTGTTTGCTGACGGATGGCATTCAGATGTCAGAGTCTTAGCGTAGAGATTACCGTCCGATACTTACATAAACGTCAAGTTGTCGAGGTGGTAGAGACCGCTACCTCCGATGACACCGATGACAACTGTGGCGCACCCCGGTCAGTAGTGCTTGTGGCCATGAAGTTGTGGCGAGTTCGTACCATTTTCCGATGCTTGCGCCATTTGGAGGACCGGGGGCGTTGGGGGGCGTCGCAAACGACACCTGGATCGAGTGAGCCCACTGCGTTCAAATAACACCTACGATATCGACGCTGCGCTAATCACCTCATCTGGACTTCCTATCGCGGCAAGTCATCCGTTTCGATCCTCTGGCTGCACCATGATCAGCGTTCGCGGAGAGACGGCCATCTTTCTGCGGACTGCGTGGGTAGCTGTCGAGGTAAGGTTCTGTGCGGGCTCAGGCAGGCTCAGGCACATACGGCCGGACCCTGTCTGTGGCAACTGTCCATGTCGGGGGATGATCGTAGGTAAGATAAGCTTGTACGTCGTCGCTGAAGCGAATAACGTATGTACCGGTGGAAGGACTGTATTCAGTCTTGCGCATGTCCTCCAAACATCTCCTCAGAAGGCAGAGCAACATCCGCTATCCTCAGAAAGTCCCAGGGTGAGTGTCGCTCAGTTAGGGCGCGGATGTACCAAGGCTATGCACTTATCGTAGAACAGTTTCAACGTGACAGTCGTGTCCACAATGATTCCAAGACCTTGTTTCTGGGTTATGTCCCGTGAGACATATCAAAGCCTACGGTATGTTCCAAGATGCCCTATGTCCACCGTGTCAGGTCTGAAATCCAATAGTTGCAGCAAATCGTTGCTATCTCCCAGGCTGCACCACGTTCGACGCCAGCCAGACAAGATCAGGATTGCTGACAGGATTCTCCCGAAGTTGAAAGCGAGACTGTAGCTTGTCTAAGTGAACTGGTTCACATGGACGTTCATGTTGGAAATTGGTATGTCGTCTTAGCTCTTGTCGTCCATCGTGCCGTGGATACCAAGGATCGGCGGGACTTCATAGAGCACGCCGCCGCGGATAGCCAACGCAGAGTGCAGAGCAATCAAGCCTCCCAGCGAATTGTTGGCTTGACACGGTGTTAGTGAGCCTCTAGTACCATCTACTATGCAAGCCAACTCACGAAAATAGCAGGCGTTAGGTGGTCCGTGAGCCTAGGGCTAGTTCGGCTTGGACCCGCGGCACTATCAGCCGACTGTGGTACATGACAATCAGTCGCGAGTCCTTCGGCAGGGGCATCTGCTATCCCCGTGTCCTCCAAGTTGGCAGTTCGACCCGGTGGCCATTGGCGTCCCGTCCTGCAATCGTGTAGTTCACCGTCAGCCGCTCGGTGTCTTCCAAGCATCACCTGTGGATCCGCTGCTATGGCTCCCAAGACCTCGGGACGGCGCCTGGAAATTAGACTTTGTAACGTGTATATGAACCGACTTGGGCTAGGTGCGGTTTGGCCAAGCCACTCTCTTGTGCTAGCTTGTTTGTTTACTTATCATGTCTTCCAGCGACGACGCGGCCGTCTGGCAAAGTGTCGGCCATGATCTCGTCCAGTCATTTGTGTCCGTGACAGTCGAGACATTCGTTGTTGGTATGTGCACCCTCATGCCTCCAACTCCATATCGCATGTTAACACCGTGATTGCAGCGGTCTACTCCGTCCTAGTCTTTGAGACTGGTCGACTGCTACTGTGATAATCTTCGCAACATCACTTCACACTCGGCTCAGCACTGATGCATTGAATATTTCAGGAGAAAGAGCCACACCAAGGTCTCGCTCTGCACATGTCTGGCGGTGCTCGTCATGTACGGCCTCGACCTTTCACTTTGGATGATCGACGTACACAATGTTGTCGCCGAAATTCAAGGGACGCTTCTTTCCACCTCCACCGCCCCCCTCGACGGTATCTATGCTACCGTCATATCCAAAATCCTCCGTCTGTCGTCCATTGAGGATGTCATTTACGCATACATGGTATGCCGTTTTGCTGCGGGCATGTAAATACACTGACTCGACATTGACCGGGGTTTCAGACCATCATCGGCGATGGGATCATCATATGGAGAGCCTACGCTTTCTGGTCGACCGGCCGAGAATGGCTTGTCCTTTTCGTCCCCCTCGCCTTCCTGGCAGGGTCACTTTGTGCGTATTCGATATTGTTTGACTTGCTGCTCAGTATTCACGGCTGCTTCCAGCGACCTCCATCATGCTCACCTATTGTGCTGCACGCCTGGGAGCCGACATCGAGCTGGGCACCTACCAGCACCCGGCCTTCTGTCGCAACATCCAGACCGCGTCGTATTCCACGACGCTCGCGACCACCGCTGTGACAACGATGCTCATCGGCTACAAGACATGGTAGGTTCACTCCCGCTTTCATCAGCCGATGCGAGCGCAGAGCTCAGCAACGGACATCTATTCTAGGAAGTACAGACGCACGCATATTGATGCCTTCGGGGGTTCGTCGCCGCAGACCCGGACGCAGAGGGTTATGGTCATGCTCATCGAGTCTGGTGTCCTCTACATGCTGTTCTTCGTGAGCACTACGTTCCTCCCCCCGCACAGCGGCCCCTCGCTGATCCCGTCGCAGCTCGTGCAAGTGATCATGAGCCTCAGCTCCGTGAATGCCAGCCTGAGCCAAAGCACGTCGCTCGCCTTCGCCTTCTCCATCTACCAGTACATCAGCAGCTCCATCGTCGTGCGTCCGATTCCCCGCTCACGGCTCCCTGCGAGATCTGACGACACGGTTGCAGGGCATATACCCGACGCTCGTCGTCATCCTCGTCAACTCGAAGCACTCCATGCTCAGGTCGGGCGTGGGCACCGGCTCGTCGAACAGCGCGCTGGTGTACAAGCGCGGGCCGGGCGCGAGCGAGGCGACGTACAGCTCGACGGCGACGGTGGACCCTGCGCGCGGGCCGGCGGCGGAGATCAGCCTGTACGAGATGGCGCAGCTGAAGGAGGACTGTGCGGAGGACCCGGAGGCACTGGCAGGCGTCACGGGGAGGAATGGGACTGTGAAGATACAGGTGCAGCAGTCCGTGGCATACGATGTGTGAGCCGTCGGCGCAGGACTACTCGGACTCGAGACCGTGTGTGTGGATCAGTCTTTGTTGAGCGCTCGGTGTATCATTTTGTGTCTTAGTAGTCGCTGGGGGATACAATATATTGCGCCATGATATTTCCAATCCGCACACTGGCAAGAATCACCGGCTCGGCCGTTGGAGAGCAACAGCGACATTACAAACGCCACCTCACTTTTATCGCTGTGTACGAACGAGGACGAAGCGTTCAAAGTCAAGCTGCATGCTAACCGTGTCTGGTGGTCCGTTGTGTCCGCAAAACGGCAGATGTGGTACATGTACAGTTGGTTCAATTTGAATCACATGATCCCTTGTACGGGTATCGCCGTATTTGGGAATTTACCCGCGTGTTGTCCGAATCGGTCGGTGGCTGTGTTCCTCACACTTGCGCTGTGCGGAGAATGGTCTTGGTATGAGACAGCGTCCGTCAAAAGCCTGGACTAGCGCGTAGTACGTCTCCGCTGATCATGACATCGCCCTCATTCCTTCCCTCCGAGTCGTTCCTTCGAGGCAATGCAAGGAACTTACTGCCAGTGTGCGGTGAATCTCTGTGCGTAATTATCACACTACAGGCTGATGCACGTCGCCCTTTCCGAGGGACCGGGGGCGGGTTTTGAATCAATGAATGCGATTCTACAGAACAGCCAGCATCTCGGTACCACGTAGATGAATTGCCGGTGTCTACGCGCTACCTGTGGCAGGCTGCCGCAGGATAGGCTCCGACTCGACATGCTTCGCACCGAGAGGCACGGTCAATTCTGTGACGCCGTACTAGGAACAACTTGAACAGCCTGTTCCGAGTCAGATGCCGCACTGCATCCCGCGCGGTAGGTGAGGGGATAAAAATACCCAATCATCTCACTAATGCCGTTTGCAGTATCATGATGATAACGCAGCCAGAACCCAGAGTTGACGGTGGTGTTTGTGTTGAACTGATCTTGAACAAACTGTCCAAGCATGCTGTAGATGCGCTTTTGGCACGCACACTGGGATGCTGTAGGCTTCCTGAGGCAGCTCGCACAGAACATAGAAAGCTCATAGCATGCGTGAGTCCGCACAGCATATATAGCGCGATTACGGGATCCCACTTCTTCGGGACGTTTCATCTAAACCTTCACATCCCGGTCTGCATGCTGACGCAGATGTGTCATCTTACAATGGAAAGGTCGATGCCAGCGGCGTCCGAAGTCGTACTCAGGGCCGACCCCACCAACGTGCATGCTTACGGCTATGCCCTGGGAGCGATCGAGGATGTGTACCTCGGGCGGGCGAGCGACTCTACTCTCAAAATTGTCATATGAAACCCTGAACGTATCTTCGGATAAGCAGTCCCGCAGTGCACATGTTATATAGGCCACACTCCCAGGCATGGGAGTCCCATCTGAACTGCTGTTCCAATTTCGCGGACGTATCCGCTTCGCCAGCACCATCATGTTCCAGCAGGTGAGGAAATGCAGCCGCCGGTGCCTGCATCGTTAATTGCGGCACCCGACTTCACAAGCTGTCAACGGCGGTGATGCCGACGTGTCCAGGAGCAGCTATATGAAGAAGAGCTCGGAGCACAGCCAGCGAAGCGAAGGTCGTCCAGCCCGTGGCGCATCCATTGCGAGCGGTCATATCGCAATCGCATAGTCACAGGTGAGCAGACCATCATCCACTTCGCATCTGCGAAAGCTCATACGTCTCTTGTTACGAGTATGTTGCCGTGGTTGTTCGCCTCGCTGCTCTCGCACTGCGCCCTGCAGCTCGCCTTGGTACCGACAGCTGCGACTGCGTTCTCTATCTTCCCGAACCAGAGGGGCCGCGATGCAAAGATCGCGCCAAAAGTCTTCATCATAGACATGGTCAGCGCGAATGCTCTCCGACTTGAATCTCCTGCGCTCACACTTCTCCGCTCAGTTTGATGACGAGGGGGACTCGTGGTATGGCATCCCGCAATTCGACGTGCTCGCGCACAACATCACCATCCCGGGCTTCTCTCCACTCTTCCCCCAGGCGCACTGCACACTGGATGGGTCGATCTGCCAGCTCACTACTGGAGAAGCTGAGATCAACTCCGCCTCGACGATATCTGCCCTCGTCCACTCCCCCGTATTCGACCTCGCGCACACCTACTTCCTCATTGCCGGGATCGCAGGCATAAGCCCTAAGCTCGGCACCCTAGGCAGCGTCACGTTCGCGCGCTTCGGCGTGCAGGTCGCGCTGCAGTACGAGTTTGACGCGCGCGAGAAGCCCGCCAACTTCTCTACCGGGTACGTCCCCCAGGGCTCCTACGCGCCGAACCAGTACCCACAGGAGCTGTACGGCACCGAGGTCTTCGAGGTCAACGACAACCTCCGCCAGCTCGCCATCGAGATGGCGAAGACCGGGAAGCTCTTCGACGACGCCGGCTCGGAGGCGTACCGCGCGAACTACGCGAGCGACCCCGCCTACGCCGCGGGCGCCGCGCCGCCGTCCGTCGTCGCGTGCGATACGGCGACCTCGGACGTGTTCTGGACAGGCGACCTACTCGCGGGCGCGTTCGAGAACACGACGACGCTCTTCACTAACGGGTCCGCGACGTACTGCACGACGCAGCAGGAGGACAACGGCACGCTCGAGGCGCTCCTCCGCGGCGCTATCACCGGGCTCGTCGACTTCGCGCGCATCGTCGTCATGCGCACCGCGTCCGACTTCGACAGGCCGTACGACGGCGAGAGCGCCGCGACGAACCTCTTCCTCATGTCCCCCGGCTACGAGATCTCGATCCAGAACATCCCCGCCGCGGGCGTCCCTGTCGTGACCGGCATTGTCGCGCAGTGGGAGACGCTGTTTGAGGAGGGCATCCTGCCGACGAATTATGTCGGGGATATCTTCGGGTCGTTGGGCGGCACGCCCGACTTCGGTCCTGGTAACATCTTCGGTGGCAGAGCGGCGCCGGCGAAGCGTTCTGTGCGTCGCCGGGGCCTTCGCTCGACGATACGGGGCGTCTGAAATGTGTCTCGATACCACGTCTACCATTCTGCAGACACGACGGACCAGCGGACACGAGTAGTACATATGTAGCCTGGCAACGCCTTGTCCTCTCGTTCGTATACAGTCATAATAAGTGGTGTTGCTCTCCGATGTTGTACCGCTGATCCGTGTGCGGATTGGAAATATGGCGCAGTAGTACTACAGCAGCGGCCGGGGCCGACCGCTCACACGTCGTACGCCACGGACTGCTCTATCTTCGCAGTCTCATTCTTCCTTGTGACGCCTGCCATGGCCTCTGGGTCCTCCGCACAGTCCTCCTTCAGCTGCGCCATCCCGTACAGGATGATCTCGCCCGCCGGCCCGCGCACAGGGTCCACCGTCGCCGCAGAGCTGTACGTCGCCTCGCTCGCGCCCTGCCCGCGCTTGTATACCAGCGCGCTGTTCGACGAGCCGGTGCCCGCGCCCGACCTGAGCATGGAGTGCTTGGAGTTGACGAGGATGACGACGAGCGTCGGGTATATGCCCTACAGCCGGATCGGTGTCACGTTTGAATCAAGGGATGGGCGGGATGCGACGCACCGCGATGGAACTGCTGACGTACTGGTAGGTCGAGAAGGCGGACGCGAGCGATGTGCTTTCGCGCAGGCTGGCGTTCACGGAGCTGAGGCTCATGATCACTTGCACGAGCTATGCCGGGATCAGCGAGAGGCTGTGCGTGGAGAGGAACGTCGTACTCACGATGAACAGCATGTAGAGGACACCAGACTCGATGAGCATGACCATAGCCCTCTGCGTCCGGGTCTGCCGCGACGAACCCCCGAAGGCATCAATATCCGTATGCCTGTACGTCCTGCAATAGATGACGATGTCTGAGCTCTGGCGAGCATCGGGTTCTGGTAAGCAGCGTAGGAACGGAAGCGCTCGAACGATTCGTCGAGCAAGGGCGGATCGTTGAACCATCGACACCGGCGTCGAGTGGCTAGACATCTCGAATGCGGGCATGGACATGATGACAGAGGTGTCGACCTCGAGCATCAATGAAGTGTTTCCACCATTCGGCAATGATGTGTCTCCTACGATGATACTAATACAAGGTCAGCTATAGGCCACAGCGACAGCGCAATGCGAGACTTACATCACAAGCCTTATTCCGCTCAATGCTTCCCCGTAGATCTCCTCCGTGTGTACTACCTTACGTACCGGCCTTGCAAGGTTCCCGTCAACGGCCAGGATCTGCAATGTAGATATAGAGACGAGTACTCACATCGGTTCAGACTGACAGTGGCAAGGACGACTCATGTTGTTGAACACTGAGTCTCCCCTCACCTTCCTCACAAGTGTCCGTCCACCACTGCCGGAAGCCCAGGCAGGGCGCAGTGGTACGTCTGTCCAGCTCTAAAGGGTGTCCCTTCACTCATCGCACATCCCCGATGCCTGTAATCACCGTGTCCGGCCGACGCACACGTCCTCGTCCCGCCGCCGTGACGCAGCCGCGACAGGACCTCGAGTCCCGGGACGAGTAGTCAGTGGCATGCTCCAGACACCGTGCACAACGTCCCGCCGGATCTGGTGCCCTCGTCATTGGCATTGGTTCGACTCGTGGTCAGTGATGGGTGTTCCGGCGCGTCTCTGCGGTCGACAACCGCGGCTGACATCTTGAGATGGCGGTCGTTGATGATGTCGAATACCTGACTGGCTCGCACAATACCTCAAGCGTCATGACCCCGGGCTTTCGGGCGAAACCATCAGTGCATCGTCATTCTCGCAGACGAGGCGCACGCACCCATTGAGGCTCACGTCTCATGGCGAGATCCACGGGAACTTGGCGTGGTTGGCGGATACAGGCAAGACGACCGATGGACCGACTGAGTGAGGCAGTCAGTGTTCATGCAGTGGATCCGGAGAGGTCGGAACGGTCGTGCGACGTGCAATGCAGACCAGCTGAGCTACTTGCGTATCACACATGCTGGCCGGTCGTGCTGTCACGGGCGATCCGTCACGATTCACGGTGCAGCTGGACGTTGTGTACGCGACCACGTGCCTTGGTCGGAGGACGCGCGACGGTGGCAACTCGCTGCCTCCGACGCTCCTGTGCTCCCGTATGCCAGCGTCGTGTTGCGTTACTCGCTGGTGTGTTCCCCATGCGAACCGCTTTCCTTCGCCACCATTTGCTTGTCTTCTCTTCCCATCCTGCTTCTCTTCTATGTCTGACGTTACGGTTCTGCGCTGTGCCGCCACGTCGTGACGGACGACCGCTTACTGGGCTACCACTCACTCATCCGTCGCGTCCATGCCGTCCTTGCTGCGCGTCTTCCTGAATCGCCTTCATTCTCTGCGACTCCCGCGCTCTCCAAGCTCTGCTCGGGATGTTCCGGGATGCATCGTCCGCCAGCGCACATCTCCGCTGCATCTCCTCTGAGTCCTCAAGCTCGGACGGTCCCACCGCACGTGCCCTCGCCGGGGTTTCGCACACAGAGCGGGGTCTGGAGCTGTCCAATGAGGTCGAGGCGTCGGTGAGTTTATCCTCAGGGCTCGGAACTGGCGATCTCGCGAGAGTAGCTCTTGCGACTTCTCCCTGTGAATGAAGAATCAGAGCAGTCGATCGCGATAGACGACTGCTCACCCACGCTGCCGTTCGTCACCCAGAAGACGACCTCCGGGACGCGCAGTGAGGAGCCGCGACGATGTGAGGCGCAACGGCGTGGAACGGGTGGACGTGAGCGGCAGACAACCAGCGGTAAGGCGTGTGCGTTGTATACTGACCTCGTACGCATCCCACTTGCCGACGATGACTGCCTGTTGGCTCGCAGGGTGGCGCTCTGATCCGTATACGAGGAGGCGGGGTTTCGGATGCAAGGCCAGCGCCTGCGTTTGGTATGGTACGGGACTCGCGTCTGGGCGCGAACAGCTCCAGAGACACGTCAGGGCGGAGGAGAGCTGAAACGTGCACGGTAAGCATGGATAATGCAGTCCAAGATCGATGTGTACTAACATACAGGCTCGCTGCTCGCGATCTATCACTTCGGTTGCTCCGGCAACACATTTGTTGGGGCGAGGACGCCTGTTTGACGTGAGCGGCAGCGGGGGTCGGGTACACATGACACAGCAAGACACTACCGACATACCTGCGGAACTGTCATAACGATACCTGGGACACTGTTGCATGTCTGGAGACGTGCCGTTCCCTGCAAAGGCACCAATCGGCGTGGGCATTGCATGGCCAAGGCAATTACACGCTTGAAGCAACGGCGCACGGGGCGGTACACGTCACTGAAGACGTATCGGCATGTCCTTGACAAGACAAGCTGTCGTCAGACGAGTCGAGGCTAAGCGGCGACGTAGTACAGGAGAAAGTTGAGCTCACGGTCACTACGATACGAAGAGCATGGCTCACCATTTGTGGCTAGGCACGGAAACCGATGGTGCGGGACGAGGATGTCCGAGGTGATAGTTACGCAGATGTAACATAGAAGGTACACTCCCCCACACGGTCGAGTGTGCAGACTATATGATGCTCTCAACACGACTCGCGGGTTCTTGCCCCGGCCGTACACACGCCACGAGCAGATGCGACGGGCTTGTCCGGGCCTGAGAAGGTGACCCAGAATATCCACAGAACATATACAGCACCCATACGGAATGCGACATGAATCGATTCCAACTCACGGGCTGAACAAAAGACAGTTGATGTGGCACGTACCGTTTCGCTTTGCCAGTGACATCTGCTATTGGCAAGATCTCGTGTGAGCCGAGCGGACACAGTACGGTCAGTTAGGATCGGCACCTCACCTACGATCGTGCGCAGACGGCTTCGTTGGGATGCCCCGCTCTGAATGCCAAACAGCGCGCACGCAATCCGAACCATTGGTCTCCCTGGATCTGTGGAGACGAGAGGGGATGGCCAGTCATACTCCGGTGACAGACTCTCGGCGAGGGTGTTCGGCCGTCGTCACGACCGGGAGACTGGGAGAGACAACAGCGGTCTCTGTCACGGACAGTGGCTAATCAGACTGACAGTCTATGATACGAACAATGAACAATAGACTTACTCACAATGTACTGCGCGTTGTATGAAACCCCAATACAACTTCCGTGGCACAGCCTAAGCTAGATCGGACATGACTCAGTCAGAACAACACGAATAGGATGTAATCAAATATCTTACCTGCTATACGAGCTTATACGTATGGTTCAATATGCAAGTGTAACCGGCAGATACTATATGATCGAACACTTTGGCGGCGCAGCGAGTGCATCAAACGACGCTGGCCCGGGGCGTGTTCCGTGGACGAGCATCGCGTGGTTCACTTCGGCCATGGAGACAGAGAGCGGAGAAGCAAGGAAAACAGAGCTGGTAGGTTTCGAAGCTCAGAGTGTGATAGGATATAAGTAAAATAAGTACAGGGAATGGATGGCACGAAGGGAGAGAACGGGGAAGAGGATGGATAGCACAGGTCAGCAAGACCGGCTTTTATAGCTCGTACCTTCCGCGGGGTGGTCCGTGCGCCGTCGGCTCGCTGCGCGGTAATCGTACCATGCCCCAAAGCGGTCTCTCGTACCCGCTACCCGCTGTTCCCTGGCGTCGCTTGCAAATGCCGGACTGGTGCAGCCGCAATTTCCTCCTCCCTAGCGAGTTTCCAGCCATCGGAAGGCGACACATACGTTCCGATTGATGCATCACGTCTGGGCGCTCTGAGAAGCGCCGTCCGGAAGTTTCACGCAAGCGAGACTTCGTTGCCACACTGGTATAGTGCTCGTCCGGAGGTTGCCTCTAAATGTGAGTTGATTAGTCTTGTCCTCTGCGAGTGCGCGTTGGCCGCATATCGTGCCATATATGTATTCAGAATCGCAATTACAGGTATCCAGAGTCGAGCATCGAGGGGAGTGAAGCGCAAGAGCCAGGTAACACTGCAGGAGCAGCAGAAAGGACGATCGCGCGCAGACGAAAGGAATAAGCGCCCGTGCAGAGCGGTTGAGAGCCTCGTGTTCTGAGATCGGATCGAGCGATCTCGCGCCGTTCTGGGCGGCGCGCGACGTCTCTCGCGCGTTTTCCTCCCACCCTACATGCTGTACACGGCTCGTCTCTCGTACACTGACTCAGATTTGGATGTCTCTTTTGGAGATGAGTCTGCACCCGTGCTGTCATCCAGTGTAGGGGTGAGGTTTACTGTTGTTGGGCCAAGGGGCACTCGGATACATACAGGCAACCATGAGCCTTTGCTCGCGCGGCGGCGAGGTACGCGCAGAGGCCCGCCCTCGAACGGAACGATGACGTCGTGACCTAACCGAATTCCATTTCAGGGTAAAGCCGGTGTATGATCGCGGATAGCTTGGCCCACCGAAGCGAGCTGCGACGTGTGCGCTCGCCCGAGGGCCTCGCCGGAGGCCACATCCACGCGACGTCTGATTCCGCGCGCGGAATGTAGCCGCGGAATTCTATTACTGTGCAGAATGGATAATCTAGGTATTTGAGAAATGTATCCTAGGATATAATCTGCTCAAGGGTACCAGCCAATACTGAACAATTCAGGATTGGCTGACAGCCTTGGGCAGACAATGGCCTCGCGATTGGGGCAGGCCCGTCAGAGAATATCCCCGATCATCAAGGGTAGGATTTGATTGATGAGCTCAGCGCTCCGGAGCTGCATCCCAAAGCGGACAGTCAAATATGATCAGCTCACCGATTATTTCCTTTTTCTCCATGCCAGCAGCTTGAGGACTTCAGTCACTGAGATACCTGAGTATGCCTAATGCTTGACTGAGCAGTACACATTTGTATTTCTGATATCTGGGTGAGGATACACTGCTCCAGCATTGAGTCTGAGCAAGGAATCGTACCATATAGGGTCTGAAACACTCAGTGGCTACTTAGCTGCCATCAGCCGCCCATACTCAAGGCGGTCTTGACCGGCAGTGTCTAATTTGGGTGAACAATGGGCAGTCGGACATAGCCTGAGGCCGAAGCAAGCCCGCCCGCGGAGTTTGGTGAATAACTCCAGTATATATACAGGAGTACGCTAGCCCTTGATTAGCCC